AAAAGTTTATAATTGTTAAAATGGAATATTTAATACGTAATATAATAAACTACAACAATTATGCCACTATTACAAATAGTTTCACATTGGGAAGTCTGGGAACCGTCTGCCCGGCGTTCTAATAATGGATTATTACATTTTGCCATCATGGTGCAAGGGCATCATTCTTCGAGACGGGTAAATATTTAGCCGCTGAGGTGTTTTTTTTAAAAACATATAAAGAGAGCATATTAACTCCAAGGGAAGAACACTCGGTGTATATATTTCCTGCTGTTATAAGACGATTTCTATCGCTCTGGACTTTTTAAAAACAAAACTGAGAGTAGATTGTTAATAAGTATAATTTCATACTATAATTAGTTCATCACTGATAAAATTAATTAGTATACATTTTCCAAGTAACAACCTACATGTTCATGAGACTGGTTCTTCAGCACACAACAAGTGGGTTAGGAGAGCAGGACACGATATGACAAATAACATTATAGTTCATGATAGAATATAAGTGAGAGACTACCATAACAATCGTAATATTATGATAGTTACACACTAATTCCAATGATCCAGTTTACTACTGTGGAGATAGAGTAATATTATTGATGACACAAAGATCGGATATTATACTACAATGAATATTATAATATATAACGAACTAACTATTTTTATTAACATTACGATCAAGTATATATATACATACATGGCAACAAATACATTGAAAACCTACCAATAATGCTTAACTCTAATTCTGGCAATACTCCTCAAGGGTTTAGATATTGAGTCAGAAACTGGCGCTTCGGGAAATATTTCAACTCAACAGTAATACCGGTATATTGAAAAACAATTCTAATATAAATGTTAAGATTAATATGGCTCGTGAACTACATCTAAAATATCTGTAATATCTATATTCATCTCTCTTAAGAAAGAGTGATGATCTAAGAAATATTTTTCCCTTTCTGAATAATCAATCTTGATAGGAACTTTCAAATTTTCTTCTTTATCATAATCCAAATTTTGATAAAAATAACCCAATCTTTCAGCTTTCTTAAGCTGGTCATCTAGAATTTTTGTTTTATTCAAGAATTTAGCAAACATATAAATATGTGTGTCAGGAGGATAATCTTTTTCTAAAATAAATTTTGTCTATTTACCTGAACTCTCTAAACACTTAGCTAATCCTATATTTATTGTTGAGTTGGGTTAATCAACGGAACTTCGGCTTGAACTTAACATCTAAACCTTGAGTGATATAAATAGCTATATGTTTACTCTCGTACCATGTCCTGCTGCTACAGCTTACGCTGGTTTTATCTAACTTCTCATCTCCTTTAATATCGGATGAATATATGTTCCAACGGTTATCTTCAAGTTTTAACAATATTTAACCACTACAAAAATTTTAGTTTTACTTCTTCAGGAAACTGATGATATGGATTGTACATTCGTATATTATACCTCTAGATAATTATTTTTGAAAAAACTTTTGTTGAGTTCTAAACTATTTTCATGATAATATTAAAATGATAATATCAAAGCTTACATATGTTATAGATAATTTGCATTTCTAGATATTTAACTAAATATACACAACTGCCAGGAGTTAAGAAACTTCACACTGTGGCCATGGTTCAACCGGAATGTATTGTGGGTCAGGTGTTAACGAATCTTGATCGAACGGTTCATTATCGAACCCTCTAAATCTACCTGATGTCATTGTATCTTTAGCATTGTTGTTATAGATCTGATATTGGTAAGCATTACCACTTTCATCCCCAAGATAACAGCTGACTTCATGAACTAATTGGCCCCAGTCATATTGCATACTCAAAACACCATTAAATGAATCGACATAATCACCACTAGCTTCAATTCCTCCATTGGAAAAATTTTCCATATTGTAGGACTCGTCCCTTTTCTCATAATTGGTCGAATTACTTTCAGTATGTATAAATCGGGCAAACCATGTAGAGTTGGTAAACGACATGGCAGACATGCGATGTGTCAAACCGTCAGGTCTCATCAAAAAATGAACCGGATAGCCAGTCTGATCATTTTTAACAATAGATAGATTAGAGTGTAGAACGGTTAATGCTGGTAAGCCGGATAGCTCTGCCATTGTGCCTACAGCGGTAGCAACACAGCCGGTTACGCAACCGATTTTGTCGGCGTTTCCAGCTTCATGATTTGCCCAATTATTACACGAAGATGATGTTCCGTAAAGAGAAATACCAGCAAGCGCAACCTTTACCGCTGCAAATATCCACCATAGATATACTATACGTTTCGTGTATGGTGCCAGAGTAGTTGTTGAGTGGTTTACTATTAAGGTTTCACTACTGCTTTCATTCTTAGGATATACCCATCCAGTTGTAAAATGATTTCCAGTTGCTTTATGATTTTCCAGTACTGTATCTACGGTAATAGTTTTACAGGGATGGTAATATCACGCTTCTTATTACCATCTCTTAAATGTCTTGAAATTTCGTCGATAAATAATCTGTTTCGTTCTTCCATATTTTCCAATGTGCGATTAGATTGAGTTAAGAACCATATTCCAACAAATACAAATATAAACAAAAAATATATTAGAAATTTTATTGCATCACGTCTGAATTTAGCAGTACGTTGGTCGTCAGCTTGTTCATCTTCCATTTGGCCTAGTGATTTTTAGAGGTTATCCAGATATTTATTCCGGAGATCGCAGTTATTAAAAAGAAGAGCAAATAAGAATTTAATTCATAGTTTCAGAATGGTAACGACTGCTATATTTATATGAAATTAATGTTAGTAGAAAAACATACATGCGCAACACTCCATTAAAAACTTTGGGAGCCCAGAATGTGAAAAACAAGCACCCGGTCCGTTTTCGAATAGTGATGCAGAAATAAGTAGTCGTTGCTTGGTTTCATTTTTCATAACCCCACCATGAGTGCGTTGGTTCTGCGCGTCAGTTGGCGCAATTAGAAGTAGCTCACCAGTGATGCAAGTCGCTGCCAATTATAGCGTTTTGATGGATTATAAAAGTTTCCGGGAGATACTGTGCACTCTATTTGAAGTTACCAACCTACACAAAAAATCAATTCATCCGATGAAGATCTAAAAAACTGCAGACAGATGATTTTGCATTCAAAAATAATGTGACAGGATACTGTTTATCCTACTCCTATAATTTACTGTTCATTATTTTCTTTGTTGACAGGTGTTCATACCATTTATTAGACCACAGGCACGGAAGCAATGGGTAGAATTTTTTGGCTAGTAATCATGTTTATCCCTACCGTACGCTATTTTTACCCAATTTGGAAATTTTCTATTCATCCTCTGCCCTACATTGAGCCTCTATGTAAGCCCTAATGTAGGCTTTTAGAGCACCAAAATTTTGCTAAGTGCGCATACCTTTGACTGACACACTCAATCGATGAGCCTACATAGATAAAATGTTACTTTTATATGTTCTTCAACTATTTTTTTTTTTTTGACCCAATAGCTTTCATTGTTTGGTGGAGCTAATATTCATATAAAGAGTATTTTTTTTATCAATTCTATATGCATATATTTTATACTAAATACCAATCCTTTTCTTATTTTCTAGTAACAAGAAATCATATAATATTTTCATATATCTTTGTCTTGTATAATTGTTCTTTCAAGAATATTTTCTTTATTTAGAATTTCCTATTTTGTCGTGTCGACATATCTACCCCAAGACGAACAAATATGATCGACAGCGGTATGTCGAGTTGTAACATATTTTTATTTTGTTCTAAGTGACATATGTGTACTATACATTCCAACAATAATATATTTTTATTGGTTGTTACTGAATGACACTGTTAAAAATCTAATGTGTGGTACCCAAAATATTAAGAGTATAATGTACTGAGTTGAATATTCTAAAGGGGTATGGCATAAGGCATTCATGTGAGCAAGAGAATAAATGAAATACGTAGCAAAAGTTGAATACATAGTAAAAATTGTACTTGGTTATTCTAACTGAATAGGCTTATATGACGACATTCGAATATGAGGCTCACGAAGATCGAAAATAAATGAAGCAATCCAATCTGTGAAATATAAAGACAGAGGTTTGAACTACGTAAGTTATATATGAATGACGTCCTTTTGACAAAAAGTACGCAAACATTTCTGTGAGATTGATTGCATAATAAACTTCAAAAGTAGATCAATCAGATAGCCAAGGGGAGGTCTACCAAATAGCATCAATGTTATGTATATTGATGAATACTTTTTGGTGCTAATATTTCTCCAAACCAAGATATTTCTTGTGTCATCACTGTGGTAAAAACTGACTTTCATTAAACCGGTTTTGGCACATCGAAAATTGTCATGTTGGAAATATCTATCGAAGTACAACAAGTTGTATCAATAAACTTCCTATTAATTATAAAAACACGCATAATATTACACTAGGTGTTATTCTTTTTTTTTGAAATTACAAAGATCGCTACATCGCCTTCTGGGACAGGAACAAAACAACGTATTGCAAGGAGACACCCGTTGACTGTTGACTGCTGGGTAACTTTGATTCCACCGCACAAATGACTCCCTTCCTCCTCGCCCCCTGGACGCATCCAAAAATGGCAAAAATAGAAAATGCCTGTTGAAAAAGGGATCTACATTGAACTTACCGCAGAAGTTCCCTCCGATAAGAATCAAACTTTAAAGAAAATGATATAAAAAGGAAGCCCTTAATATAATATAAATAAAATATTAAGTGTTCTTTAATATGCAACTTATATATATTATAAAGAGACCAATTAATTATCGTATTATAAAATGTCCGAATTAAAACAATCAAAACTTGAAGAGACTAATAGAGGCAAACACTCTTTCTCAGATTCTCTACAATAATATATAGTATCAATGGTACACATATATACCGACCTCCAACAACAAACAGAAAAAAACCTCTCTACGATGAAGAATACTGTTGCCTCAAAATATATATAATTATGGGCTGGCACAAACATATCTTCACATCAAATAGAACCAATATGTTTTTCCCATAGTGTTAAAACGTCAATTATGGCTCTAGTGAGAATAGTTAACTCCTTCGAAGTTATGATATAAGGTGGCATAATATAGACAAGTTTTCCAAATGGCCTAATGTTGATTCCCCTATCTACGAACTGATGTTGGAACCATTCTTGATCAACTGCCATATGTAACTCTACAACACCAATCGCACCTAGAACGGCAACCCTCTTGACCATATGGCCCATCCACTGTTTATTTGTTCTTATTGGGACAAACAGTTCCTCGAAAAGCTGTTGTTCAATGTTTCTAACCTGGGATTGCCATTCATTTCTCATTATTATCTCCAGAGATTTATTCGCAACAGAACATGCCAGGGGGTTACCCATGAAAGTTGGACCATGCATAAGTACCCCTTTAGTTGGACTTGAAGGTGAAGAAAGCCCCTTTCCAACTTCTTTAGAAACGACCACTGCGCTCAAAGTCATGTATCCACCCGTTAGGGCCTTCCCAACACACATTATGTCAGGATACACGTCGGTTTGTTCCTTCGCGGGAATACCCAATTGTTCCTGGTACAATTTGCAATGCTTAAAAGCAAATATCTGGCCTGTTCTTCCAAACCCCGTTGCAATCTCATCAAGTATCAGTAGCTTCTCATATTTGTTGCATAGCTTTCGGATATCGATCAGATATCGTGGATGCCAGAAGCGCATCCCGCCGGCACCTTGAACAATGGGCTCAATAATCACAGCAACTATTTCGTTGCCATAGTTTTGCAAATGTTTTTCAAACATTGCCATGTAGGGTTTTGTGTCAACAATATCATTTGACGTATTAAAAACATGTTGCGAAAGTGGCGATGATGGTAGTATGGAAATAGAGGGTGGTGCATCCACATATATGTTACACCTCAGGTAACCATTGAATATGGAGTGAATCGAATTGATAGGATCACAGACACTCATAGCGCCAATGGTATCGCCGTGGTACCCATTACGAACCGTCAGAAATTTATGCTTTGATATGTCTGCCTGCGGATGGGTACTGGCGCTATATTGTAATGCCATCTTCATGGCAACCTCAACAGCCACTGAACCGGAATCGGCAAAAAAACAATGAGCTAATTTTTCGTGATCAATCAATTGGAGCAATCTCTGGGTCAGTTCTACAGCTGGAGAATGTGTAAACCCACCAAACATTACGTGACTCACCTGTTTGAGTTGATCTGTTATTGCTGTATTTAGCTCGTCGTTGTTATATCCATGAATCACAGACCACCATGAAGACATTCCATCAATAAGAGATGATTCTTCTACATTATCAACATAAATTGTACATTTGTTTGCACGTTTTACTGGTAAAACGGTGAGTGGATTATTGAGCGACGTATAGGGATGCCAAATATGTTTTTTGTCAAATTCTAGCAGTTGTTTGGTTGTAGCAGAGTAAAACTGTTCGTGAACCATTTTTGCTATAAGTCGTTGAGTAGTGGTGTATATTTATAAAGGGAAATCGTTTGGCAAACGTCCCTCAAGATTTAAGCACATAGCCCTATTTATATTCAATTGTTTGGAGATAATATCGTGTGATATTCACGTTGATATTTCCTGCCATACACATCTGAAAACCACCAGTTTTGGATCCCCAAAGTATATAAGCCACTCGAATATTTTATATTTCCAGTAACTGTTCACTGTATCTTCCCTCTCCCAATCCACTCAGAATCCTCAACTCGCCAAGCTTGATGCCCTCTACCCAACCCATAATTTTTGTTACCGGCACAGACACGGACGTAGGAAAGACATTTGTTTCGGGTTTGCTCGTCCAAAAATGGCACGCCAATTACTGGAAACCCATACAAACCGGACTGGAATCAGACAAAGGTGATTCATGGACAGTGTCACGTTTCTGTTCCACCCACAAAACTTCGAGCTGGAATCCAACAATATTCAAACCAACGGTCGAACTGAATAAACCACTTTGCCCATTGGATGCTGTTAAATGCGATGCTAACAGCAAGCAAATCAGCTTGAAAGATTTTATTTTACCAGATGACACTGCTGCTGCGCCATTGGTAATTGAAGGTGCAGGTGGGATATTTGTTCCATTGAATGACAAACTTGAAATCACATCAGATTTGATTGAGAGAATCAAGGAGCAGACCAACAGAACTGTTTATATTGTTGTGGTTGCAAGAAGTGGTCTGGGAACTCTTAATCACACTCTTCTAACGTATGGCCATTTACAAACTAGGGGACTAAAGCAGAATGTCCTTGGGTGCATTCTTAATGGACAGCAAGACCCGTTGAATAAACAAACACTTGAATTATTTGGTGTAACGGTTATGGCTGAAATTCCTATTTTAGATACAGAATCCCAACTAAGTTCTACTCTTGATCGAATTCCGCCACTTGAAAGAATTGTCGATGAATCATAATAGTGAGATTCAATTAGAGCACATAAAAAATATAACTTTATATATCTGAACTCGAGTAAATACTTTTCATATATAAACAAAAGAATTTTTATATGTATCTCTTAATAAAATACCAAACGCCCCCTCCACCATCAATAAAGGAATTCCCATGATTAAAGGAAATTCTGCAATCTCTATCACAGAGATCAAAGAAATCGATGGTAGTAATAACCTTACAAGGAATTTTAAATGGCAGTCATTGCTTGGAATTGCATTTTCACTTACAAACTCCTGGCTAGGAATTTCTTCTTCGTTGAGTGTGGGAATATCCAGTGGAGGACCTGTGCTTATAATATATGGTCTGATTATTGGATTTTTGTTTTCACTTATATGTGCATTCACTCTATCCAGTTTTGCAAAATTGCTACCAAACAGTAGCGGACCTTGTTTTTGGGTATTGAAGTTATGTGAGGAGAATAGTGGTATTGATAGTGACCAATCAACCGTCGAGATAGAGGACGCCACCTCTCTATGCACGGTCGAGACTCTCAAATTAACTCTTCTGCAAAGGAACCTAGGTCTCGTTACCGGACTATTAAACTATTTTGGTGCTGTCTTCACAACTGCAAGTATTTGTTCTTCTCTATCCTTCAACATATTGGGCATGTATGCTGCATCTCACCCGACATTCGAATTGAAAAAATGGCACACTTTCATAACTTACCAATGTCTAAACATATTTATATTGATGGGAAACTTAAGGTCAAAACCCTTACCATGTATCCTAAAATGTGGTCTTTACCTCTCAGTACTTACTTTTTTCTTAACCTTTATCATGTCGATGGTCTCACGTTCAAACAGCCGCACCGATCCTTGGCCTTCAAGTTCCTCTATTTTTGGAAAATTTCAGAATACTACAGGATGGAGATCATCAGGAGTAGCATTTATTGTAGGTTTGATAAACCCTTTGTGGGCATTTGTGGGTATCGACTCGGCTACCCATATGACAGATGAGGTTGGGCATGACAAGGCCAGAGTACTAGTGCCTCGAGTGATATTTACCACCGTTGTTCTGGGATTCCTGACCAGTTTTGCATACTCTATCGGTATGTTTTACTGTATCACTGATAGGGAAAGAGTACAGGGGTCTATATTGCCTATTCTTGAGATTTATCAACAAGCAACTAGCAATAGAAACCTCAGTATATTCATGCAAAGTATGTGTACATTATGTGGGTTGGTATGTGGAGTTGCGTCCAGTACTTGGCAGAGCAGAATTTTATGGAGTATTGCGAGGGACTTCCGTCTGATTGATAGGAGGTTAGGAAAGGTATCAAGCGCTAAAGTTTTTTCGTCGATTGTTGAAGTGCATTCCAGGTATCAAACACCGCTAAAAGCTCTTTTACTCTCCCATTTTCTAATAGTTATCATTGGTTGTATTTTCATGGTTTCCACAACAGCTTTCAATGCGATTATAACAGCCAGTATAACTCTACTTTTTATTACTTATGCAATTCCATCTTTTATCTTCCTTGTAAAAAGACCCACATTTTTCCTAGAGAATTTGAGTGGGATGAATTCTAACTTAGATGGTATTACCCACAAAAGTCTGGGATGGTTCTATCTTGTTATACATTCATTATGTACCCTTTGGGCCTTGTTTTGTCTTTTTTTTTTCTCCCTCCCATATGAACTTCCAGTGAGTGCAAAATCAATGAATTATGTTAGCGTTGTGTATGGTGTCGTAACACTAATAATTTTCATGATAGTAAATAAATAAGAAGCTACTTTGAGAGGTGATCACAAATTAATATATTTTGGTAGTCGATTTATTGTTTAAGGAATAGGTTTGTTTTGGTACGTTTTTGGGGTGGTAGATGCCTTTCGCTCTTAGTATATTTGGATATGTTCATAACTTGTGTTGTGTCTCTCGTTCTTCTTATTGTACAGCCTTTTCTCTGTTTGAATAAAATAAAAAACATTATACCAACCGTATCCCTGTACAGCAACGAAGGGGCATAGAATAATGAATACATAGTTTGAGTAGAAACAGCAATCTGATATATATTTAGAGAATCAATACTATGCACTTATTTAAACAGTTTCTATTCGAAATTATATTAAAATAGTACGACGTAACGTGTATAAAATCATGAAAACAAAACTTGCAATAGTGAACATCATAGCACCATAAGACGTACCACTTCCGGCACCATTATTAGCAGAGGTAGAGCTTTTACTGGCAACCCTTGATGAAGAGGCAGAGGCCACACTGGCCCATGATTCATATTGGGAGTGCTTTGAAGCAACAGAAGAATCAGCAGAGTGTGCAGCCCAGTAAGATGATATTGAAGCAGTGTTGTTTGAGTAATAAATATACTGCATGAAGAAGGGTAACTAGCTTCATTTGCAATTATAGAGCACTAAGGTACGTAATAATAAAATGGATTTAATGTTCGTTTGGTTTTTTAAACCTTTTATGAATCTTCTACAGGATTATGTCATCATAATTTATGCAGTAATGAGCATGATATGTAAAAAAGTGTAAGATAAAAATATCTTCGGCTCATATATTTTTGTTCAATTTTGAATAAGTTAAAAACTGTAAAAGAAATGCATAAAGTATGACTTATTGTTGACGTAGATTGGCAAGAGAGTAGATCCTAATATGGTTTGGATTGGGAGCAATTGTCATTTCTATAAAGATCACCTGTATAATTTCTATTCGTTAATCCATTATATAAAGTAGTATACAAGCTAATCCTATAAATATATAGATAGATACCCAGATATATCTCGAGGAGATAGTATCTCTTTAATAACTGAAGTAATGTACAATGGGCATCTCATCGCAGGAAAAGTTTTCTTGAAGCGCATCGCGCGTTATCGGAAAAATATCTTCCGATAGTTTTTCCGATATTATAATAAACGTGTCACGTGTTAGTTAGTGACCACGTGATCCATTTAGAACAGCTGCTATAGAACATACTTGTATGTTCTATCTGTTCATGAATTGTTACCATAATAAGTATCGCTACTTAATATTTCCACAACACTTATAACATAAACCTATAAGCTAACTTTCAAACTGGAAAGATCATTTTTATACACAAATTATGTTTTACATTGAACTTTGGATAATTTTTGGTATGTACCAACACTACATCCTAAAATATAAGTTAGTTATTCCATTATATATAGACAATAACATAGGAATCATTCCTCGACATGTTCTTCCATTTGTCATGTAGATATACTAGAGAGCATATTGGTTACTCACTAATTTAGATTAATATATTACAACATGATTGTTTCTTCTAAGATTGACACACCACAATGCTACATATAGCTTATAGAAGTGTTTATTCTGCTCATAACCTAAATTACACCCTTTACTAGCAAAAACAAAAAACAAATATATTATATTATTAGTATGTATAGATAATATCTAAAGTGGTCATATTTATTGAAGTTTTATGAAGGGTTGACAACGTCAACAATTTTACTAGATGTTTGTTGTCTTGCCTTTTTCGAATTTTAAATATATAGCATTCATTAGAGTCCCTAGATAAGAATCATAATTGAGAAGAAGCAGAAGGACAGCAAATCAACACTTTGACTTGCAGCAAGGTTTGGAGACTCCACTAGAATGGCAGTTGAAGGAATAACATGGGAAATTACTTTAGTAGGATTGTCACTGCTATATAAAAATTCGTTTCTTGGCGGTATCTCTGTTGATACCCCTGGTAACTCTGAATATATGTGAGGAGCAACTTCGATAATTTCTTGACCATTGTAGGTAGTACTTTGTGTTTTCTCTAAACATCCAAACTTACAGCTTGTAACTTTGTTTAAGATGGTCGACTCAACGGTTGTATACATAGACCATACCTTACCTGTTTCTCCTTTTCCATTGTTAGAAAGTTGAGTTGCAATTGTTGTTGAGGTAAATGTATTTATGTTTCCATCATTCGCAGAACTAGATGACCGCTCAGTTCCGATTTCAATACTCGTTAAAGATTTGGAACTAGATTCTATTGGACCGAATGTCGTAGTTTTAATAGTAATTTCATTGTCATCAATACCCGATTTTGAGGACCAGGGTCCCGGTGGTGAAGTATTATTTGAAGAAACAATATATGATGGTTCAATGGTTTTGTACGAGCTCAAACTCGTAAATATATTGCTGGTCATATTCTTCGATGATGCCACGTCCTTTGAAGAGGATATATGAGAATGCGTAGATGATGATTGAGACAGTGAGAAGGATGGGTCACTGGATGATAAATTTGATACTGAAGGGAGATTTGAAGAATATTTGTATGTAGAAGATTCAAAACTAAACGAGGATGTTAAGGTTGAGGATGATGTTACGGTTGAGGATGATGTTAAGGTTGAGGATGATGTTAGGGTTGAGGATGACGTGATCTTTAAATCAGGAACTTTAATTAAGTAAAGAGTTTCATAAACATTTCCACTTAAAGAATCTGAATAGGTATTTGTAGAAGTATAGTATGTTTCGGTATAAGTGCCAGTCCAGGTTTCAGAAGAGGTTGTCTTGATGTGCCAATCATCACAATTACTATCTTCTACTTGGTACAAAAATCTATCTAATGATTCATGCTTGGTTCCGTCAGGATCGATCATGGTCAGGTTTAAAACAGCATCACCATATCTATTTGCATAACTTAGGTATAAACTGTAGGTAAATCCTTGAATAAGATATGCTGAACCATTATTAGGATATTTAGTAGGAGCATCTGGACTGTTTACTAGTAAAAATATATCAGATTCCAAGTCGGTATCAAAATCGTCACAACAGTAGAACTCTATTTGATAATCAACACTGAACGCAGCCGCGGAACCGTTACTTGTCTCTAAGTTAAATATATAATTTCCTGTTTTAGGTGGAACAAAAATCGAATTAACAACAAATGTGAAGTTTGATATTGTAGTATGATACCCAAAAATTTCACCCTGAACAACAGTATATTCTGGCGCTCCATTAATAAATGAGAAATTTGGGCCATTCTCCCATGTGGTAGAAGTTTCGTAACCCTCACTGATATAAAAGTCAGTTAGTCCAGGATATGGATCGTAACCGGGCGAGTAACCTCCCAACTTATAGGATCCAAAATTGATACTAATCCCCTTTTCTAGAGGTTCGGGATAATACCACAGTTTGCATGAAGGGAGTGAGGAATTCTGCGAAGTAGAAAAGGCCAGGTTAATTATTACAAAGAAACTGAAAATGATTATTGACATAGCTGTAAGTTTGATTATCTTTCGGTTTGTTTTTTAGATTATTTTACCTAATTCATTAAATAGTTTGAATCGGTAGAAATATAGAGAGAATGGAAACTCCAATTAGAGTTATTTATATATATATATATATACTCTTCCCAACGATTCAGTATTGTTGTGAGCTAATTTTAAAACTCCCTATAATTGTGCCTGTCCTGGGTTATTTTGTCTCTCATACATATGCGTACTCTAAAAAGTAGTTTAAAAATAAAAAAGTTCATATTGCATCTAGTTTCATGAACGCTATTTTACAGGGAATACGATTTGAACATATAGTCGAAAGATGGAAAATCCATTTATAACGGTCGTGTATTCTTGAAATTGTGGCTCTGATTTCTTTAAACCAGTTAATATTATGGTACAACGTCCAGTGATTGACGGTAAATCCAGCAACGATGGTGTTCATGAACTCAAAAAATTAATAACATTCACTGGATAGAAAATGTAGAGTGCCTACTGATATCTTTTGTAAATCCTAGTTAGTTTCCGGTAATCTCTACAAGGACTGTTGAGATTGTGAGACGTGAGTAGGATGGGTAGCATATTTTGCCGGCCGTATTCTTTCTTTTTTCGGTAATCGGCAGTTCCAAAGTAGAGAAATGGCTGCACTTACTATATTTTTTCAGGAACATACGTACAGTGGTGCTATAACCCTTCCTGAAAAATATAGTCCGATCAGACCACTTCAGTAGTAATTAAATTTACAATTACTCCTCTTAGCAACATATATAAGTATCTTGTTGGGATAATATTTGGCAGGTAGTAAATAAGATTACCTCAGAGTTGTCGACTGCACTGGGAATCAATGAAGTTAAATATAACCATATTTAATGTTTTTGTTTTTTTCTGATCTCTACCGGATTATAACACATTTACACTCCTCTCTTTTTGTTAGTAAGTATTTCTTTTAGTGAAAACAATAAGATTATATTAGATCAATAATTGGGCCACCTGTTTCCAAATTCTTATTCTGTGTATAAGTGTATCTATATTTGTTGAAAAGGGTATCATTTGGTTTGAATAATATTTTTGAGAAAATCATTCCATTTAAAAATGGAATACTTCTCCTGCAGTATAATCTTAAGGTACTTGGTAAATCTCTGAATTATTACATCCACAACGTTATTACATATTGTAGGGGGACGGACGCTGTTACGACATCAAATTCAGTTAAGAAAATTTAAGAATAGAAAAGGGAAATAAAAGAATTTGGTGTATGTTTGTGGAGCCTTAAACCTTATCTTTCCATTTGTATACAAAAGTACAAAAATAATTTTAAGTAATGTAACGCGAATTCATGTTTATTAAGATAACATATGTTAGGTTTATGAGAGTAATAATTTTTATATGAGTGCTATGTATAAGCTACGGTACTCTGGGATGTTTATTATAGAGAAAGAAATCCAAAAACCTACGTAAGCTATTTGTAGGAATTACATAGCGTGCAACGATGCATTACTTGGTTATCCCTATAAATGTATATATCTCAAGAATCAGAAAATATCCAGTATTAATTCCAATCAACTATGTGTATCATGATACTACATCAGAGTCTATGATCACCGTCATCACCTGTTAAAAGAATACCCGTTCTTATCTTGGAACTGAATTGGCCGCATGAGGCTCCAAATTTTGCCCCTTCCTCCCATTGGTTGAAACCACATAACTGACACCACAGGGAAGGAGACCATTACTGGCATCCAATTGAATGATGCATCTTTATTACATGAACCTGTATATGCATAATTCCATGGGATAATGGCTTGCCTTTCGTCTTTGGATACGTCGTTTGTATCTGTACAATTAGTTAATTGATACTAGGGGTGCCACCAATATTCCTGATCCTTCAATTCTCTTTTTTTCTTTATTAGTCAGGTTATACTTCCAATTGTTAAGTTTACCATTGACAATTTTATTGGTAATTTTTAACTCATGTTTGCCTTGTAAAATAACATGGAATTAAATAATCTATCATTAGCTCAGATTATATATATATATAACTCATATGGATCGTAGGATCTTCAAAGGATATCCTAGCTCTTTCACTACCTGATACTATCACACCCTGTATACTATTACCTTGGTCCATTTTATTTATTTCATTGCAATTATAAATAAAATTTCAATTTTTGTCAACAAATTCTTTATTTACTAGAAAGTGTCTGGGAAAATTATTGATGCGATTTGGGTTTGTACCAATTTTATTTTTATTTTTTCCAGTTTATTCTGAACTCTTCGCTCTTTTCTCAGAGATTGATTTAGGAAATGCTCTGTCAAAATCCACAATAATACTTGAATATTCGTCATTTGATATAGTCAAACATTATAAAATTGTTTCCAACTTTTTTATACTTCAATGACAGCATAAGCTTGGTACATGTCAGGATAGTCAAGATTATTTATGAACTTGTCAGCTTTGATTACTTCAAAGTGGACCCTCTAATGAATTCATTTTTTCTTGTAGTCTATTCTCTGCATGTGTCACAAACTTCCTGTTTTTTAAAAACAAATATTGAATGACATTGGAGAGCATATATTATCAAATTACAGAAAACGTAAGTTGTTATTGTAAGAAACTTATATCACTAGTAGTAAAATATTCTTTATTTTCCTTTCCAATATCAGTCTTCATTAAAATGTGTTGAAAGGTGAATTTAGGAATATTAAACATGTTTGCAGTTTCTCTCTGGGAGACTTCGTCTGCCCCAATTTCGTTTAGAGAATTTTAGGAGTGTCTAAAATTCAGCTAGGTGTTAAACATGTACCAAGTATTCCATCATCCTTCATATTATCTGGATGATGGGTTGACCCTAAACTAAGTGGTTGTTTATAATAAAAATTAATCAGAGACACTTAATAAAAATCTTTCTGTAACTTAAGCAGTTTTTTCAAGAAAAAATAGCCGATTGTTATTTCACTAAAGGTAATCTGTTTGAAACCTAATTCATACATTTGAAACACAGTTTCAAAGTACACAAGATTACAAAACATATATTCTGAAGACCTTATAGAAAGTTCCAAAATAAAATAAAACGTTTCTAACCTTCGTATTAGTATGATATAGTTTGTTTGTTTTTATGCTTGCATTATCATATATTGCGGATACGTTATACAAAATTATTTTATATCTGATAAGGATATAAATGTAACTTATATACATTCAAGAGATGTAATATCTAATGTTTTAATTTTATCTTCCTTGTTCAATATTTACATATGTGCGCATAATAATTATAGTATCTGGATCTATATTGTTCTCATATATGTAGACTATTTAAGCTATAGTTGCAATAGAAAAGCAAGGCTTTTGTATATATTTATGGGGGTGTTCAACACCTATCCACTTTTGTCCTGAACGGTCCATGTAGGTGGACCATCTGCCCCACTCGAGTATGCCGATATTGGATCTCGTTTTATCTACTGTATTGAAGAATAAAGTACGTATTAATCATTAAATTTTTATATTTTACATTGATGCATTATTCAAAAAATCTTCATAGACATGATCTGAAGTAGTTGATATTTCATAATATAAGTTAACTTGTTTTTACCTAACAGTACTATTAGTTTGTTGCTGGATTGGCTCACTCTAAGCGTTAGTACATGCAATGTTAAAACCCATTTTATAAGTTAATCCGTACCTAAAGTAACTTAATATCATGATCATTTCTTATATTAAATGGAACATATTAAATTGGAGCTTAAAAGATTGGTACCATATGAAGTTTTATCTTTTGGAGGATATTCCAGTTTGTAAAATTTTTTAGTCTTTCTTAAAATTTCCCAAGTATTATAAATTATATTCTTTTGATCTTTTAAACATAAACTAAAGATACAAAAAACATTGGGAATGGATATATTATGATTCCATAAACCAAAACATTTATATAGGGTTGATAATATTTTTATTTTATTTTATTTTCTTGTTCACACTAGAATATTTCTATTTCAAATTAAATTAGATAAGTTGAGTTTATTATCGTACACTATTCATGCCTGGTATTATAGTTTTCAGTCGTTCGCATTTTAATTAGCTCTTCTAATACCATCTTAGAGAATAATCATTTAGGAAGAAGAGAAAATCATGCTACGCATATTAAGTTCAACTTTTTCATAATTATCCAATATTACGAAGTTAGTGAAAAATGTTAAATTTGGTCGTAATAAAAAACAAAATTTTCCACATTGGAGCGTAAACAAATTTATAAACAACAGTTTTTACTAAAACTAGTTATGTTAGACTTGGTATAATTTAATTCAAAAACTAGAAAAGGTTGAATATATTCAAAACATATATATAGATAGATAAAAAAACTATGTATAAGAAAAAAAAATAACAATTTTAACATACTTGTCTAAACCATAAAGTTTAGTAATACTAAAATTGTGCTAAATATGTAGTTAATGTTTAGTGTCGACCCACTTCCATGATACGTAGACACTGAAGGATCATTATTAGAAGCTAATGATGGGTAATTACCATCATTTAATGTGGATTTTGAGTTTGTATTTGAACTTAGAATTATGGGAGTTGATGAGGCGATTTGGGCCATTGTAATACTATTTGTGTTTGCTTCAATCGAAATTGTTGGATCTATTTTTCCAGAATTAGTATCAGCTGCTAAAGAATTTGTGGGAATAGCATTAGATGAAGTTTTCTTGCTGCTTGGATCAATATCCGATGATAATGAACTAATCGAGGCATTATCATCAATAGATTTTATACCTGACGCCATGACTAAAGATATTATTGATGGCTTCTTTGATACATAGTCATAGGATTCGGTTCTGTAATTCTCAGTATTATGGTTTGCTTCGATACTTGAACTAGCACTATACGAACTGATTGATTTAGAGCTTAGAAGTAAGTTTTGAGTTCCGGATAATGTAGTACGTTGTTGTATTTCTGGGGTAGGATTTTCAGAAATTCCAATTGAAGTTGTATATTGATTGTCATTTCTATTGGAGGATAATAATGCATGTTGCTTAGTTTGAGCAGCTGAATTTGATACATGTGAAATTGGAGTTGATTTTGAAATATTCTCGTCGTTCGAAACAATACCTGATGAATCAGATAAGATCACTTGGCTGGGCATAATTGTTCTAGTTGGAACAACAGAAATTACTGTATATTCCTCAGTGAAGGATATGGTGACAACATTTTCTATGGTTTCTTTCGAGAACGAAATTGAGTCGTATTTTGAGACTATAAATGAAGTTGAAATTTCTTCAGTAGTAGTGAAGCTATTTTTCGGTGTGGATGATGGCACGAGTTTAGCAGTTATAATTGATGATGACGTCATTTTCGCATGATCAAATGTAGAAGATATATCATTATTTTTGTAGGTCGATGGTGTGTATACGTGATCGGTCGTAGTTAATTCGTTAATCTTGGTAACTACTGAACCTGCATAATCTATTGAAGTTGGAGATATGGTAGGTATACTTGCTTCTGAATAGCCCAAATTCATAGATATAATTGAGGATTGCGGTAACAATGTTGAAACAGTAACCAAACTACTATTACTATAGTGAATGATCTGTGTATAAGGAGTTTCGGTATTTGATGAGACTCCGTTTGTATGATAAAGTGAAAACCCTCCAGCTGACGATAAGTAAATGCCACTGGCTGAGGGTTGATAATCTACCATGTTAGTATTTGAAACTTCGCCACTCATAGATGTTGTCATTGTTGATGGTATATTATATATATTTGATTGTTGAGAAATGTCAGTAGGTTTCTCAATATTCGAACCCTCTATGGTATCCACAAAAGAAAACGAGTCACTGTACGGATCACTAGCTGTTAGGCTATTGGTTAGATCGAAATTTATCGAACTATCATAATCTATTGTTTGGGTAGTAGCTGCAACTATAGTCCAGTTCATTGTTGATTCAGTTGTAACGGTTTTGGGTATTTCAATCGTAGAAATACTCTTCATGATAGACACAACCGTAGTATTTTCAATATATGTAACAGGGCGGCCAAGCTCACTCTCACTCATGGTCAATACTGAATCACTAGATACAACTTCACCATTCAAAGTCGAAATGGTCGACTCTGCAAAACTAGATACATCTGAACCACCGCTAGAATACGACATATCACTTACCTTATCAGACTTAATATTTGAACTGTAGTAAGACGAACCGTTGGAATCAGTTACCATCGAGGAATTGGAGGTGTAGGACCCAGACATCATATCTGATGGACTTAGGGTCACAACAGATCTACTACTACCACTCATTGAATACGAGCCAGAAGCACTAGAGTTCCGTGCCTTGTCCTCTGGTGAGAGCGAAGTAAATCTGCTAGACAAACTTGTTTCAGAGCCAGAGGTGTTTCGCATAGTACTGTTGTACAAAACACTTGTACTAATGTTACTTAATGTAACCGTAGATATTTGCAGGAATGTACTGTTCAACGAAGGGAAAGTGGTAGAATTGGAACTCGAACTGGATATTGCCATAGTTGTGCTAGCGATTTGCTTTGTACTCATCAAACCATCAGAACTAGAACTACTTGGTGAACTGCTTGATGTACTGCTCGACGGAATTGACGACTTCGATATTGAACTTTTAGCAGAACTCATTAATGAATAGAGGCTAGATGATAGTGGTGATGATGAAGATGTGCTGGTCGGTCCATTCGTCGAAAAGTCCGTTCCTGCGATACATATGGACGACGATTCGTACGTGTCATCCATATAGGAATATACCATAGAACCCCAGTTTGAAACTACTGTTCCATCTGGTAATGTTAATGATGTTCCCAAACGTGCAACCGATTTCATATTTACATAAACAATTTTCACTGGGTAATAATTACCTGCCCTTAAGAAAATATTAGATGAAACAGTTGGTGCAGAATAAGTGCTGGGCTTAAGACTAATAACATCACTGTAGTACACTGAGCCAAAATTTTGATCAGACTGGGCGCAACAATCAAATGCGACTGTTGAACCAACAGTAATTGATGCTGCATCATCGATATTGTTTAAAGAAAAGACATAATTTCCTGTCTGCGGAGTATATAGATAACCAGAAAGCTCAACAGTAATATTTGAAACTGTGGTACTAAACCCAAACATGTCAATATTACCGACAGACTGATCATCCGTATTTTGACAAGCGCGAGAACCGCAGACTAAAAGGTTACTACCAACAGAAGTTAAACTAGATGATAAAGGACAAGTTAATGTATATAGATTTTGGATACATGGTCTAACATAATAATTCGGATCAATAATACCGTCGGAAGCACCAATTGGGGAATTAAGCATATAATCTTGTTGGATATAAAAGTTACTATCAGTTGCCTGAGTAGAATCAATAGGATATGGGAAAAATCTTGCGCTGAACCCTTGAATACCAGGACCTGTTGGTATACAAGAAATTTTATCATTTGATGTACTTGTTGAAGGATGCAAGAACCCTAAAAGGAAATCAGGGAATAAGTGCAATAAAGATACTAACATATGCGCAATATTTTCTTAGATCACTCTTGAGATGAGTTAAGGATAAAGGATAAAATATAAACTAACCAGAAAAAAATCGAAAAAAATAAAATAAAGGAATTTAGAATAATCTATTGGTATATCTTTCAGCTGTATACTCGTCTAGCGACCGTTTTGTAGATGTGTGGTTGTATAGGAATATTAAAATAAACGGATAAAACCATGAATCCATAGGATCCACCAACTCTCTAACATCGACAGATATATATATATATCAGATGAGATACAAAGTTCTAAATAAAACGAAATTTGCTAATTAGGAGATGGAAGGTATGGTTCTATGGAGGAAAAAATACTTCTAAAAATTAAAATATATTAACCCCTACCAATTAAATGAAAAACAATATAGGAGAGCTCCTTAATTACAGAAGAAGGGTCAAAAAAAACATAAACGGTTGTTTGAATCAGCATTACAATACAACTTTGGGAGTTACATTTGGTTGACATCAAGATAAAAAAAAGTTAATTTATTTGGATTTTCTAATTTTAGAGAACCAGGAACTTTTATGGTATATGTTATTATCGTACAGCATTCATACAGTATAATTAGGTAAATGTTGGCTTTGAAGTTTCCATTGTAATTTAGAAAAAAGCATGCACGAAATCTGCAAAAGAAAATATTATTCTTTTTTTGGACACATATCTCGTAGTCATTATCTTAAAATTGATATCTCATCTCATACTAAGAAAATTAACAACCAATTTTGTGAAAGAAATGCTTATATGTTGTTTCTTACTTCAGTAAAAATACTAGCGTAAATCAGTGAATTTAGGGTAAGAAATATTTTAGGGACTCAGGAAATCCGTAGACCCATTGCACGTGTCAAAAATTACGCCAATAATTTTGTTATTTACATGTCATTGATTTACATTACTTCTTGGGAGTTCTCTGACTATGATTTTAATCGACTTTGTATAAGCACAAAAAGGAAGTAAAATCGCAGATCTAAATGTGTGTTGTTCTGCTAGAGTTTTGTTTTTTCATAGGTAAGTGAGTACCATTAATTTTTGAATAAGCATCATCTCATCTAAAAATGATTGAAGGGTGTTTTCTCACAGTTCTCCTATTGGTTAGTTTTTTCACCACCACCATTTTCATCATTCAATGTGCGAATTTCTCAACGTTTACAGAACAGATATTTTCTTGTGTTTTCATCTTCAAGATTATTGAACAAAAGAGTTGCAAATAATGATAGTTAAAAATAAAAGGATGACAACGTTGTTGACTGGGTATTAAATTTCACTATAAATTTCAAGTAGAAGTTGTTTCATAGGGAGGAAACAATGGTTATGAAGTTTCCCTAGATAGTCCTTTCTTTTCCTTGAAAGGGAATAAATGAAATCAGGAGGAATGTATGACTTTCACCCGCCAACTGTTCCACCCGTTTCTAAATTGGCGATAAAAGTGATTAATTGGAAAACAATAAATGCATATTCACTGCTAGAATACCAACGCGATTATTATTTTTTTTAATTTATTTTTATTTGTAATTCTAATTTGTAATTTTAATTTTTTTTCTTATTGTATATTTTCGTATCATTTTATATAATATGGTGTATGAGCGGGAGGAAGACAAATAATGTCTATTGTCAAAATTTTCTGTTATTAAAAAATTTACAATTATTGTTATTCATTGTCTCGTTATTTTCTTCTTTGAACTCTGTATTTTGATTATCTTATTCCGTTGTTAAAAATAAATAAAACAAGTGTACCTCTCCCATTTGGGAGGTTATACAGTACCCAATATGAATATAGAATATTCGAAAGACATAGTATCATCTATTAGATCAGATAAAGAAGTAATAGAAGGGGGAGTGGGAATAGTACCAAAAGTAGATGATAGTAATCTGATTGTGGACTAAGGGGCGTAGGATGCGAAATCTACGTACTGGTAAAACTTCAATATCAAAAACACAATATAGCCCCCTTATTCAACTTGATATAATAACAAAGAAGAAGGCAGACTTAACTTGACATAATGTAATGTCTACCAGGAAAAAAAATAAGATATTACTTCAGAAATAATATTTTGTATAACTTCCTCATTTTAAGCTAATTCGGGGAGAATAATGTATGTTAGGTATGTACGTTTTCTCCTGCGTATTCATTGATAGCAGTTGAAATAGAGCATTCTTGCACTCTTTGTTTTTTTAAATTAAAAAAAAGAACTATTGAATTTATTGTTTGGTGTTTTTTATTGGGTGGCAAGAAAGAACGAAAGTAAAATAAAACAAAGCAAAAAAAAAATATTCACGAAAGTCCGATCACTCAGGTTTTGAGCAGTCGAATTAACAGAGACTTGTACACACAAACAAACACTTTTGAACAGAACATTGATAAAGAAGAATGGAAGAGGTAACAATAGATTTCGATATATTTATGTATTTCTTTTCTGTTCGGTACTGTACCGTTTGGAGTCATGAGAAGAGGAATGAAAAGAATTCTTGTAACATACATAGGTCAAATAACTATGTAAAATTTTATTTTAGTTACTTATCTTGTGATAGACCGTTATTTCCGTCAATGGAGACCCAGAATGATGGAAGAATGAAGAGACTTCAGCCACTGAGTCAGGATATCTGCATCTTCTTGTAAGAAATAATGAGATAATGTTGGATGGCCCCAAAAACAAAAACAAAAGAGAATTTAAACAATTTTGGAGTGGACGAATGCAATCATATTTATGCCTAAATTGGTATATAGATGAATGTCTGTATATGTCCTTAATCTTGCATGATGTCATGTAATATTGTTTAGATAATTAGTGTATAATATATTAGAGCAAGTTTGTTGATAACAAGAATGGTATACATTGGCCTACTGTTGTTTTTTGACTGTTACGTTGCACTTGTAGTGGTGTCCATCAAGATATATTTCTTTTTCGAACACATAGAAGAGACAAAATTATAAAGGATTTGAGGTCTTATTCAAAGTATGATAGGATTAACTTTTTGCACTATTCACACAGTAGTAGTCATATAGTTCAAATTTTTAAAGAAAAAACAAAGAATGTTATCAAAACCGTTATTTGCGAAATAGTCAAAAAAAAAAATGAAATAATAACTTAGAGGAAAATTACTTATCGTTCAATGATAATCCATTTGTTTATGGAGGGCTAGGCTAGAAATAGTACGATATAATTTTACAGCATGATCATCATGTCTTTTTTACCACTGAATTTTGGTGATTTCCAAAGAATTCATTTAGAGTTACATGTAGATGGTTGTATCCCATATACGGAACAAACTTAGAGTGCTGAGGAGGGAATATACATTTTATCTAAAACTAAAAGAGAATCAATCTCGATTTTTATCTTTGTTCTCCTTTTGCGAATGCATATTTTTATGTATTGTTAATCCCTTGGTGTTCAGAACAAGAGTATCATTTTGTTAAAAAAATACATTTTCTATCTTTTTTTTTGCTTTTTGGAGTTAGAGAATTCCGTATGAAATACGTCGAAGCTCTTTTTAAGGGCTCTTGAGTTACTTTTTGTAACTTAGTTTGTCTCTACTTCGTAATGTTTGACCATGGAAACCTCTTACAACATGTCGTGTTTATAATCAATGATTTACATATGAATGATTTTCACGAGACTCCGTATGGGTAAATCTTTTTACCAATTGTAGTAATACTAAAACTTCTAGACATGCTCAGGAATACATGTTTTTTCTTCAGAACAAATCAATCGTTGGTTCTTTTGGACTCTTAAAAAAGAAGTACGAAGAAGGAAGCGCAGAAAAATAACTTCTCTTTACTTACAAAGAGTTCAAGATATTGAACTAATAAAGCCGAATTCTCGGTTTTCTTAGAGTTAAGTCCGTAAGGATCGAGAATGAAATGTGTTTGTATGTGAGTATTTTCTTGATTAAACTAAATAAATTTAAATAATACGTCAACAACCCTAGTATTTTGGGGATGGTTACTAATAATATATTACTAACGAGATTACTTTCTGTTATAGTTGAGTTTTTTGACTTACTATTTTTTAACGTTTTTCTTCTTTTGTTTTGGACACATTTGATTGACAACATCGAATATTCCAAATAAAGTTATTCTGATTATCACCCCTTGTTATTGACGTCACTTAATTGGAAAATCAGAAATAGAACAAAAATTAAATGTATCATATTCTTTTATTCAAAAGAAGATGAAAATTGAACATTAATAGCTATGTTAAAGAATGTTTTACAACCGCACAATTGTTGTTATCTTTTTTTTGCATTTGTCTTTTTGTATTTAAAATCACGAGTAAACAGTAGAATGAAATTCTTCGTCATTTAAAGCCAGTCTTGATATCAAGAATTTAAATTTGGAAATTGTTATGATTGTACGAAATTTTGAAATCATGCTTTTTTGTTTGGGCCATCTTGCTGCTTGCTGTTTATGATATCTGATAAACAGTTTCAAACGAATAATTAATAAGGCGCTCACCAAATACTGCATTGTGGACATGTTGGTTCACAGTGTTCTGGAATACCATATTGTTCCAACATATTAATTACATAAAAGAATAATGCGTACCTTAAATAACGCATAATCCATATTACCTCAAATATGGTGGTTATCCTAAAGCAAGGGCAAAAGGGAATCAAAATATGTATTCTTTGCTTTTTATTGTATGTACTAGTTATGCAAAATAAGTAAAATGGAATATAAATCATGTTTGGTTGGTTATTTGAGCCTCTTATTCTACTCTTTTCTTCATAGCTCCCCCCAGCATGACATAAGATAATTGTAGCTATTAAAGTATCAATTACAATCCATGCTATTAATACAACAGAGTTTCTACCCATTTTAATTCTTGTTAAATCAAAGAAGATGACATCATGTATATCAGTTGCGTCATGCATGGGTAATGTATAACCAATTATATAGAAGACGTTTGTTAATGCAAATGGGGGGAAATAGTTAGTGCATTAACATTGATAAAAGACATAACCCAGAGCCCTGAATACTGTGGGTAATATAAGATAAGTAAAGTTAATACATTTATTAGCACCACAGCATGCTACAATATTATAAAGTGGAAGAAAGTGAAAACCGTAGCTTCTATCTGATCGTCAAAATTTGTTCCAAAATGTGCCGAAGTATTTTTTTTTCAACTCTAATTTGGACGCTAGTATCTTTGGGTACATGAAATACTAATAAGTTATAAACAATTACCCTTGATAACTAAAAATCAATACACTAAATTATGTTTTAAAAAATATCATGAAATTGTTCGTAATCATTTTAGACTAAATAAAATAATGTAACCCATCAATTTTTTGTGCGCTGTTGTTGTTGTTTTCTCGTTTTTTGTCAACGTTGCGCGTATGGTCTTCTAATGGACCGTAACGGATCCTTTAGGCGTGTATTTAATACAAGAGTGAACTAACAACACAAAGCTAACTTATGAGACTGAGGAGGAAAAATCTTTTATAAGTGACATATCTCAAAAAAAGATCTTTATTTTTTGATGGGTTACCAAACTCTAGGATTGATGGGTTACATGTGTAAGTAAATTAATATTGTGGAGAGGCTTTAGTTCATATGGGATGAGTTAAGATTGTCCATTGAGCTTGCATGACATAAACATAAAGGAACTGTAGTTAGTACCTCAAAAAAAAAAGATTAACGAGAGGTTGTAGATTTTGAGATAGCCGCACAAAGTTTTTCTGCTTACGTGGTTTATCCTTTATTCTCTCTCTTCTGTATCGTCTACTATTTAACTATCTAACTGTAGTAATGTTAAACTGTTTCTCAATGACTAATTTCAATGTAACAATTGACAATACTACCCTGTCTTATTTGTGGAGTGAAATATTTGACTATGTAATATTTAAATAGTTCTTATTTGTTTCAATAAAGTTTTGTTTGTTTTATGTTTTTTTTAAATAATTTATCACTTTTATTGTTTTGTTTATGAAAATATATTTTCAATAAGGTAAGTCGGAGGAACTTAATAGAACAAACTGGGGAAGAATCTTGACTGAAGCGTACGATCTGTAAATAAAAAAACAATAGTGATAATAATGAAAAGTATTTGAATATTATTATATTATGTTAATAAGAATATATAAGACTTATATCTATTTACTTAGATATGTAAATATAATTTTAAAAATGAACTAATGAAATACGCACTGGTATTTTCGTTTTAATTAAATTGAAGGGGTCCAATTGGGAAAAAGTATATGATGAAAGCAACTGTTTTTATTGACATTCAAGTTCTAACATACCATATGAATTAAAGTAAACCTCACCAAATAGGTGGGTAGTAGGACCGTATGTACCATTAGCTATAACACTTGGTGATAGACAGAATTTATAGTCTTCAACCCCCTTAATAAAACTTGATACTTGTGAGACAAGTTTAGTGACATCGAAATTTTCCAATTCATTAATAATTGTACCAATATCAGTCTCACCTTCCTTCACAACATATGAGATCCAATTGACAACGTTTTTGACACCATCTTCAGCTTCTTTAAATACAGGAATACCTGGTGTAATACTAGAGATTTCCGCTGCTAATTTAGTAAAATTTGTTGAACCAATTTGCGCAGCAATATGGGTACCAACGTTAGTCTCAAAGTGAATGATACCACCAACTAAGCTTTCAACACTCGTAACTAAGTCAGCAGCAGTTGGATTATATAACCCTAACAAAGTAATACCAGCGTCATTTAGAATGCTAGCCACATCAGTGACAACATTAATACCATCGGAAATAATTCCATTAACAACTGGGCCATTATCAGTATTATCAACAGCAACAGTGGCAGTTGCAGCAGCATTAATGGTGACGGTAGTAACAGTTGGTGTAACGTCAACTGGTGGTGTACCTTTTCCAATTGCTGAGATACCAGTTAGTACAGTAGCAACAACAGATTCACCTAGACAGACCAATGGGTCTGCATTGGTGCAAAGAGTTTGAACAGAACCTGCCCAATTAGATATGTCAGTTGCGGTTAAATCGAAATACCAACCAGTGTTACCTAATTTAATGGTATCTCTTTTCAACAAAGGATAAGTTAAAGCAGTTGAAAGTATAGAAAGTAAAGCGATTGTTTTAAAGTTAAGTTTTGAAAATGTAAACATATTTTTTGTTATTTTTTGTGTTGTATTATTTTTTGTTGCTTAATGAAACCTAAAAGAATAAAATATTGAAACAAAATTTGGAAATGATGTATTGAGAATTTTGCTCATTTATATACATTTTATGATAAGAAGAGATATCAAAACTCATGGTAAGATATTTTAAACCAACCAATTAGTCATTCAACTTCTTATCAGTAAAAGATAATAATGCGAACATAGGTAGAACTTTACACCATTTGAAAATTAATAAGTTAATTCATCAATATCACCATAAAATGTGACAACTAAAGTCTATCACTCCCTAATTTTCTCATCTCGGCAGTTTCCGTTAATGACCATAATAGAAGTAATAACAGAAAGTTTATTTCCATTCTAAGCATTAATTACACCTTAAAAAACAAAAAAATGATACTGGTGTACCTTCCTAGCACGTGTAGGTCCACATATCTATAGGTGAACGAATCGACTAGGCTAAAAAGTACATGAACAAACCAACAATCTGCCACATCACCAGGATGATGAATGATAAAACAAAAGAATACCAAATATTTTAAAATTCCCCCGCAACCACAGCTCAAGTTCTTTGCCCCTAACTTAGTATACTAAATAAAGACAAAGAGACCCTCTCTCTCATTCCGTTAACGGCATACCACAATACACTATTATCTAATTCAATTTAAACTGATCTAATCAGTAACATTCTCTTGGATTGTTTCAAAGTTAGATCTTACAGACGCAGAACAAGCGGTATCCCGGTTTCACTAAAATAGATAGACAGGGTTTCAGTTGTTAAAATAAGTCAAATTTGATAAACGTCGTTTGTTCTACGCATATTTCTCAGTAGAAGAATGATTCAAATCTGTAAAGCCGATTTCGGCGAATATTTTCTATGCGCGGGATTGGTTAAAAACAATATTAACGTTTGAAATTAGTGCAAGTGGTAGGGAAGACAACGGAGAGGGATTGGAAATGCAATATCCCGAGAAGAATGTTTCAAAACTTTAGATAAAAAGCCAATTGAGATTCAATAGAGAAAGCCATCAGAACTGTGAGGCCAAAGGTTTCTGCTATTTATTGTAACATGTAGATGTGTATCGCTTATCTCTTATCAAACGGCTTCCATCACGTAGTTTGTTTATGTTTCAAGATTTGATACGGAACAGAACATTCATTAGGTCATACTTTGTTAGAATCAGTAATTAATTGCATTTCCTGTGTTCTTTCCAGAGTTCGAAGTCGAAAAAAGTATCATCAACGATGCCTAATCTGCACGTGGATGTAACATAATGTTTATGAATATCTTTTTGTTATCACCCTCATATTACGTTGTTACTCTGATTGGTACGATAATATCATTTTTCAAGATAAAGTTATCTTATCTTTGTTCTTAAACGTAACCAAAAAATAATACAGTCATTAACATAATTGAATCAATAATGATTGGATTTAAAAGGAAAATGGATATAGAACGTGCAAACATAATTGTGTAGAATTTAAAGACAAATATGTGATAAATATGTTGAAGGTTTTTTTTTGGTCTACTAATAGACAAATATATGATGAAACTATGTTTTATCTATTGTTTCAATTTTTTGCTGAAACAGAAAATGATACGTCTTGTGCAAACATGTCCAATTTTATAATACACCCCCTTGCATGAGTCACATTAGAGAAGAACAATTCTCAATTGAAGTGATCTTAATTAAACTGGTAATCATTCGTTGTATCACGTGTTGGAACCTTATACGTATCTTCAGTGGTGATTGGAAAGTTCATGACACCTATAAGTATAAACTACTACAACCAAAGTCAATAGGTGGTGATGACATTATACATTTTATGTGATGGTCACCCAAGAAGTTTATATTATTATCAGATAATTAAACATTTATGTCTAGTTAAAGCCTAGTTAAAGCCTAGTTCTGTTGTTGAAAGCTGTGTACCTGTTATTTATCAATTAATAAATTTGTCTTAGCAATGTACACAAGTATTCTTCAAAGAAACTACGCTTGATATGTGAAAGTGGTTGTATATTTAATTATCTCTGCAAAAAGTCTAACATATAGCCTAAATAGTCAAATCAAAGATACATATAATATGATATGATATGATATGATATGATATGATATGATATATTAATATTAGTATTATGATTATAGATTTTATGTGTATTTGGAATATCTACTATGGTATTTGTTATTATGATTATTTATAGGAGATAGAGATAGGGACGAGCAGTGAGAAACGTACAAAAACAAATTATGAGTACTTTCGTTTTAAAAATTAGATCACTTGGTTTCTTCATCTGTCTTACGATGGAAGACCTTATCTAGGTATCCATATCTCTTCTCTTCAATATGTGTGACGTCATTTCCATCATCAGATTGAATTTCACTCTCGACATCAGATAATGCAACGGTGTCGGTTAATTTGTAATCTCTTAGAAGTAATGCAGCACCAACCAAAGGTATACAGAACACTAGACCTACAATACATAGGATCTTTTGAACGTGTCTGTATGATTTGACAAGAACCTCTCTTTCGGGGGTCCCCCAAGTATAAACAGTGATGAAGGTGAATGGAGAACTGTAAGCTTCAGCAGCCAATGTAGCGTTTGAGATACCTCTTTCGATTTGTTTTGGTAGAACTTGAGTCCAAATGGCACCGGAGACACTACCACCAACAGCAGCACCAACGTTATATGAAGCCAAGTACAATGCAGTGATGACGGCCAATTTTTGATGAGTCTTGGCCGAAGCTTGGATGGAAGCTTGAGTGGTATATGTGAAGAAACCAGCACCGAAACCTAATAGACATAGAGAACCAATGATACCGGAGTGAGCACCTGAGTTACCTCTGAATTGGACCAATAGACCGAAGGCAACAAACCAACAGCAACAACCGAATAAGATGAATGGTTTAGTTCTCTTGAATTTGATAATGAAGAAACCTAAAATGGTACCGGTAATGACGGAGACAAATGAATACAATGAAGTGATTCTTGTGGCTGCCTTAACAGATTCATGGACAGCAACAATTAAAACTGTATACATGTAGTCACCTTGCATGTACCAGATAAAATCGATTAAGAAACCTATAATTAAAGCAGAGTAAATACCTCTGTCCTTGATCAAAGAATATGGCGTAATTGGATATTTAGCAAATTTAACTTCCCAAACGATATACAGCGGTAGAGAAACAACCCACCCTAGCACTTCAGGAACAATAATATGAGCAGTCTTCCATTCAGTGTTGATACCACCAGCTAAAGTGAATGGAATCAAGATCAAACCGAATGTAATAGCGACTAATAATAGACCAACGAAATCCAATTTCCATAGGAACAATTCAATGACAACGTAATCCCAGAATTCACGAAGAGATTTTGGAACCTTGATTTCTTCTTTCATTAATCTGTCACTGGCATTCTTCTTAGCCAAATATCTCATATGGAAATGACATAAGACCAATGGAATACAACTCAATGGCAAGATAAATGCCCACATACCAATACCCCATTTCCAACGAGTACCTACCGCAGCTGTAACGTTACCACTAATCCATGTATTGATAATGAATGGTGTAGCTGGTATGAAGGATGCTAATAATCTGTAGTTCAAATTAGAGAAATCTGCAGCAATTAATTCAATGATCAATATAACACCTGTAGTACCAAGTTGATACAAAGATGCACCAGCAGCAAATTTAGATACTGTAGTGGCTTGTGATTCAATAATAGTACCTACAACATAGAACATGACAGCAACAAACAATAATGGAACACGACCCCAAATATCAGATGCTCTAGCAAACCAAACTTGACCTGCAGCAGCAATGACAGCTTTGATACAGTTGACAGTTGACAAAAGAGAATGTTGTGCGTAAGAAGAAGTTGCATACGCTTGGAAAGTGTATCGAATGTTACCGTCTAGACCGTAAGCGTAAGCGATTAAGAACAACGAGAAGAATAACATTGCTCTATAGACTGGTTGCTTGTATTGTTCGGAATAAACTTTAATGTTATTGACACCAGCGTCCTTCAACGAAGAAGCTTCACCATCAGCCAAAGAAACTTCTGACCTTGTGGTATTTTCCTTTTTAATGCTCTCTAGGGAGACACTGTCAGATACTTGCTTCTCAGATACTTGCTTGTTAGAATCCTCTTCAGCAAAATCCATATCTTTTATGTTTTGATATCACTAATTATCGTTAGTTTGGTCTATATATTGAACTTTAACAAGAGATATAAATTAGAAAATAGAAAGTAGATAATTCCAATTCCAATTTAATAAAACAATGATCAATTTTAAGTTCTTTATATATCATTTGAATTAAACAACTGAAAAGAAAAGAAAGAGACCCTCGGTCATCGCAACAACTTTTTCACTAACTTTTCAATTTAATAGAAAAGATCATTCATTTGTCAATTACACCTCCATTCAATGCAACCGATGAGTTTACAAATATAGTAATTGGCCAAGAATACAGTCTATCCTATAACCTTTAAAGAGGAAATTTTTCACTTTTAGCCATCGTTCATTTTTTTTAATCAAAGTATAGCCATAGTGGTCTACAATGAATTTTATCATCGCTAAACAGAAAAAAAATAAAAAAATAAAAAATGTTAAAAGAAGGTGCACTTTTAGATATTTCATGCATGAGGCTAAAGAGAGAGAGAGAGAAAAGGAAGAAGAGCAAACAGCTGAGAATGATGTAAATAGAGCAACACCCATATAATGGAATAGTATACACTGCAAGGTTTGTAAGCAGCCTTCTGTCTGTCTCTTAATGTATGTATTGCTAGTAGCAACAAATACCAAGAAAGAAATAAGAACAACTATCTCGAAAGAAGCGGGGGAGGGGTGCACTTGCAGAGGCAGACATAAAGTCGGCAGACTTTTATGGACGCTTCATTTGAGAAACAAGGTGTATTCTTTGGATTCTTGCATATTTTTCTTAAACATCTATACAAGTTCCAACAAGGCTTGAAGGGTAATTCAAAGCGTTAAACAAACCATTCTCGTTTACCAATAAATTAGATTCTTTCGGAAGGCACTATTGTGGTACGACATATAGAGAACTACTTCTATTACACATCGGAATTGTTAATGCCCTTCGAGTTTTGTGATTTACGTGCAGAGCCCGTTTAAAATTGAAATCATATTCTATTTCTCTTTTTTTTTGCTCTTTCTTTAATTAAGTAGGTTTTCATTGGATAAGAGGCCTATATGTATGACTCTCGGTGATACCTGATTCTTAAAACCTAATAGGGTTTATTGAGATATGAAAGGAACACCCTGGGATTTGCTATGAGTGTCCGGCTGAATGGCTATTGATACATATATATTTGTAAATCGTTTGGCTCTTTTCTCTCTCTCTTCCACTGCCATAACTTGTTTCTTTAGGGATAAAGGAAATATTTCATAGATTATCAAAGTGGCGTATTACCATTATATCTAATAATTCAGATATTCACAAATGGTGTAAAAACAAAACAAAAAATGTTTGATGTACATGAAAGAACATCTCAGGCTGGTTTTCTTTGGTTTAAAACAACTATGATAAAAAAATTAAGATGTATACAGAAACAATCTTGGTAGCTGGTAATTAATTGTTTTATTTATTTGTGGTTAATATAAGATTTACCAGAATTGTATTTAATAGTACTTTTCTACTTTACTTATTGATTGGGTTAACTTTGCTTTGCCACATGAACATTTAACAAAATGACAGCAACCTATTGCTAATTTTATCAGCATCGATTTCAAACAGGGGCAAGATTGTTTTATGACCACTCATCAGTACCATTAAAGGACTTATAACCAATACTATCTGGTTAAGCCTTGGCTATAAAACAATTTATCTTCCTAATAGTTGCGCCTCCAATACACTATAATATATGAGAGAACCACCGAAATATTTCACGATGACTTTTTTGTCACTTCGCCTCTCAGTTTCGAAGCCCCCGAGGCGCAGATTTACATATTGCCATATTTGGGATTCAAAGGTCTAAGCATCGATGACTTCGAAGATAGAAAAACGACACACTCTGGGAAGACTCAATCCATTCTTTATTGTTTGTTTACTGATATTAGAATGGGATAGGCAGTATTGGCTGTTGTTTTGCCATGTCAGGTCTTGGGACAAGGTGTTTTTTATTTTTTTTTATTTTTTTGCTTTGCTTAGTGTCAAAATGTTGCTGTGTTTTCCTAATATGGAATACCATTACCTTTATTGGAACAAAGAGCAAAGGAAAATGACATCAGACCAGATAGATGAGTATATTTTTCAAGTTTTTTTCTTACTTGTTTTGCAGGCAGACTACGCGAAGGATCTACGTTCTTAAGTCCATTATGGTCTTATTAACTCCATCAAGATGGCTTTGACTAAGTAATTCTTGACGCACTTATATCATTCTCATTTGCAATCGATGTATTTTGTAGTAGGCATTTGGGAACGAAAATGAACTCAAAATGAATCTGAAAGTTCTAGTTATATAATTAGCTATTTTTAGTTTCATGGTTTAATTTTCCTCTTTGACTTTGGTTACGTTTCAACGATTATTAGTTTTTTATTTTTAAATTCAGTAAAAAATTGCCAAAAAATATCTTAACGTTTAAAGATTCTCATAATAGTGATATTCTGATGTATTATGTCAAACTCAACTACTATCACTACGGAAGAGTTATATGGATTTTCACCAAACCACGGCGCTGCTGTGTTCTTCACCATAATTTTCTCCTGTGTCACAGTCTCTCAATTTGCTCTATTATTTATCCATGCTAAGAAGAATAAATTAGCAACTCATCTAGATTATCATTTGGAAAAACCTGAAAGTTTGGTTTTATCTAATTATCTTTCGTTATCCCTGTTTTATATTCCGTTGGTATTAGGTGGTGTCTGCGAAATTATAGGGTTTATCACAAAATGCATATCAGCATTTTCTTATTCCAATCTAAACTCGTTCATTGCCCAGAGGGTCTGTATTCTAGTGGCACCTAATTTGTTTATGACCACAATGTATTTGGTCTTCGGAAGATTAGTTCAATTGATTAACATAAATGATAATTTATTGTTTTCAGAGATAGTTAACAGGCGTCTATTTGTCACAGGTAACTTAGCTGGATCTATCTTACAAGGTGTCGGTGGTGGTATCTCGAGTAATGGTACTCAATCAGATTACGAAAAAGGTAAGAAACTGTTGCTTGCAGGTTTGTTTGTCCAATTGGGGATATTTATTATCTTTGTCCTAAGAGAATTTTTCTTGTTTAAGATTATTAAGAATGGGGACAACAACATTGCCTACAATACAAAAAAATGGAGGACTCTAAACCTGGTATTATTAGCCAGCGGCATACTAATCATGCTTAGATCTATTGTCAGATTGGTCGAAGTCTTTGAAGGAAGCACCAGTCCAATACTAAATCACGAATGGTTTGGGTACGTTTTCGACTCCTTACCGATGTTGGTGCTGATGGTGTTGTATGCCATGACAACTCCGATATGTTCACTATACCATATCCAAGCAGAAACTGTTGAATTCTTACAAAAGGACTACGTTTAGTTTCTCGAATGGGTCCATTTATATTTTTTTTGACTTTCTCTCCCCACTCAACAAAAATGTATAGTTGCGTACATGCTTATAATTATTAATAGTAACATTTAGATCTAAACTACCACCCTAGTAACCACAAGGTTATCACCACGACGGACTTTATTCGAAATCGTTTCCAGTCATTGCCTCAATTTGAGTCCTCTTTGTCCTTGATAAGTAACTGTATCCCCTTTGGGGCAATGAGTCGTGGATCGCATCACTTCTCTTTTTATTCTGCGTATGTTTCTGCGTTGATGAGATATTAACGTCATGCCAAAAACGCGTTTTGCTTTGTTAATGGTAACAGCGAAAGTGACCAAAAGGGAACAGACGATGACTATCTTCCTTTTAAAATGGTTAAAATGGACTCTGTAGCTTATTTAGTTAATGGTTTGGGTCTTTTGGAATAAATTGTCGATGAAAGATCATTTATATACTTATATATGTATATATATATATATAAGGCATTGTGGTGATGAATGTGTTTCTCAATCAATTATCTATAATGGTTCTTTTATGAATGCTCAATACTATCGATAGAACAACAAGGAAAAAAAGACATATAAACAACAAGAATGCATTTGCAAAATATAGTGGCCGCTGCCTCTATTTTGTACTATCTATCTTCTGTACATGCTTGGTCTCCAACAGACAGTTATGCACCAGCTCAAGGTTCATGTAATGGCAATACTAATTTGGTTAGAGAAGCCAACGGCCTTTCTTCAGCCGAAACAGAGTGGTTAGCCAAGAGAGAAACTAACACCAAAGTCGCTTTAAAGAAATTCTTAGAGCGTGCAACTAAAGATTTTGCTGATAACTCTATTGTCAGCGAAATTTTCAGCTCTGCGACTCCTAGAGCAGGTTATGCTTCCTGTGGTGGTGGTTACAGAGGTACTTTCATCGACGCAGGTATTGCCGCAGCTATGGACGAAAGAACCGTGGGTGCCAATGAACATGGTCTAGGTGGTCTATTACAAGGTATGAGTTATATGACTGGTCTTTCTGGCGGAACTATGTTTACCTCAACACTGTTATTCAACAATTGGACATCTGTTCAAAATATTGTTGACCAGATGAATGATGGTGATAACTCCATTTGGGACATATCTGTATCCCCATTGGCTTTAGCAAGTTCTAAAGACACCACTACCCAAAAGATGTTCGGTAGCATCTTGAGTGCTATTAAAGAAAAATACGATGCTGGGTTTGATGTAACGTTAGCAGATGTTTACGGTTTATTCACAGGTTACTATCTATACCCATCTTTGCCAGATGGTGGTGCTACTGCCTTGTGGTCAGATATCCAAGAGATGGATACATTCAAGAACGGTGAAATGCCACTGATCATTGAATTATCAAGTGCCGAAAAGACAGATGAAACTGCTGTTTCCCTAGGGTCCACAGGGTTTGAAATTACTCCATTTGAGTTCGGTTCCTGGGACCCTACCGTCAAGGCATTCACTGACATGAAATACTTGGGTACCGAAGTTTCTAACGGTATTCCAACTAATGAAGACCAATGTATCACAGGTTTTGATAACGCAAGTTTCTTATCTGGTGCATCTTCCAATATTGTTAATTACATTTACTACCAGGGTAATGCTATGTACCGTTCCGTAGTGACAACTCTAAGGAGTAAATTCCTACCTAGTAACTCTACTGTAGATCGTATCGATGTCAATATTATTAGACCAAATCCATTCAAGGACACTGACTTTTATGAAGGTTCTGATAACGAACTGATCGACATGGATGGTCTTTACATGGTTGATGGTGGTTTTGGTGGTCAAAATATTCCATTCACCCCATTAATGAGAAAGGAGCGTAACTTAGATGTTGTCTTTGCTTCAGACACGACTTTCAATACCGCAGATATTTGGCCAACTGGTTCCTCTTTAGTTAATACATATACTCGTCAATTCATGGCTATCGGTAAGACCGACGCTTTCCCTTACGTTCCCGATACTGAAACAATGGTTAACTTAGGTATTAACAAGAATCCAACTTTCTTTGGATGTGACTCCTCAAATTTGACTGATTTAGCTTACATCCCACCTTTAGTAGTCTACTTACCAAATAGGGCTTACAGTTTCAACTCAAACATCACCACCTGGACTTTAACTTACACGAAAGAGGAACGTCTAGCAATGATTCAAAACGGTTTCGAAATTGCCACTAGAAATAATTTTACTGACGATCCAGATTTCTTAGGTTGTGTTGGTTGTGCAGTCATGAGACGTAAACAAGAACAATTGGGTCTTGAATGGCCAAGTGAATGTGAACAATGTTTCCAAAGATACTGTTGGAATGGTACTATTGCCCAATCAAAAAACAGTTCTTCTGATAGTACTCCAGATACTAAGAATGATGTTCTACCAGAAACAGTTGATGTCTCTTCTATAGTAATCAATCAATGTACTGGTGATGACTGTTACAATACTATCCACACTGCTACATCCACCACAGTTACTTGCCATGAATGTGAAAAAAGCAAGGCTGCGCCATCTGCCTTATTCACAACCACTACTGTTGAATGTGAGGAATGTCAAGAGGGTAATGCGCAAGCTACTTCTACAGTTGAGTGTGAAGAGTGCGAAGAAGAAGTACAAAATGGTAAACACAAGTACACCACTGTTACATCTCTATCAACTACTACTGAATTTTGTGAATTTTGTGAAGAAGCTCAGGCAACCACTACGGCAGGAAAATACTCTAACGGTTCCAACGATAATGAAAATGGTTCTAACGGTTCCAACAGTCATGCAATTGGTTCTAACACTTCTAACAATATAATTAAATCTTCTACCTCAAGTCCAACTATCTTACAAGTTACCACAGGTGTACCAACATATTCTGTTATGAGTGTTGTACTAAATGAAAACATCGGTAACTCTATTGAATTGAAGGGATTCGCAACCGTTGTCGCTCTAATGGCTGCAATGATTGGTATTTTCTAATTCAATAGTTCTGACAACTTACGTAGTTTTTTTATAAATTTATTCGGTTATATTTTTTTGTAAAGACATGAAATAAATAATATCTCATTCAAGTCCTCGTTGTTAAACGTTTCAAAACAACTATGTACTAGGTGTTGCATAAAATATGTTATAGTTGATGCATTTTTTTGTGTGCCTAATATGTCGATATTGCCTTATTTCTGTTGTTAGTTGAAGTGTTTAATACCATATAAAGTTTCTTATGCGCATAACGTGCGTCTCCATATCGGAGGCCTAACTGAATAAAATTTCTGTTCCACCAAATACATAACCAACAAGAATAACCAAGTATGAAAAAACAGATAATTTCGGTTGACTCTTGTCAGCATATGTCACGATATATGATCCATAGAGCTCTGTATTTATTATCCGGAAGTTTTGTCCAGAATGAATTATTTTTTACCATATAAAGATAGTTGACTTCAAACATCTAACATGAATTAAATGAAATTCGATACCTTTCATTTACTGGAAATGACAACAAGAGAAAGCTATAAGTCAACCAACAATGTCTTATAATACCGTGAAAGTCAATTCGCCAGCACCATATTTTTGTCTTAACAAAAATAATGAACAACCTGAGGTTTCAGTTATTACAGGTAGAAAATGGAATGTTCAAACTAAAATCGAGAATGATATTAAAGTGTTGACATCCCATAATTGTGAATCTACTACCTGTCTAGCCTATTATTCCATTGGGAAGACATTAATCCCTACCCCAATAGAATCCTTAACAGATTCCATGGTAGTTAAAGGGGGCTTCATCAAATTAGATTGTCCAACTAATGAACAGATTCAGATTCTTGAAAAGAAAATTAAAGATGATAAGAAATCAATGGAGCCGATCATTGTTATGATATCAGATGATTTAGGTTCCGTTATTTTTGAACAATTAAATTTAGTTTCAAAAGTTGCTTCAAAAATTGAACTACTAGTGGTGGATTTGTCTGTTTGTTTGGAGCACTCGAATGTTTCCCCTCAATCATTGAACACAATTGAAAATTTACTTCAAATATTACAAGAAGCTTTACCAGAAAACATTATTAAGAATATACTAGTTCTCAATACAAATTTTGGTGCACATGGCAGTGTACTGTATTTGGGGAACACAGGTGACTCTTTTAACCTCCAATCCAATACTTCTGATATTCTTGACCCATCTTCGGTAGCTACTTCAGTTATAGCCAATCGTTCTCATGGATATGAAATCAACGAATCTGTATATGGTGCTATTGAATTTGTTCAAAACTCCTATTTACTTGGATTGAAGTCAGGCCAACCAAACTACATGTACAACATTGAACTTCCACTAAATCATATGCTAAAAGATGAATGTTTTGAAGCACAAAAGATGCGTATTTCAAAGCTTGTGAGATCACCTAATCCAATTGAGGAAGATTTTTTCGAATATTTGATTAATCATATGTTAGTAAAACCTCATTGGCAATCCTATGTCAATCACGACTTTGTGAAACTAATCGCCGATGGTACTTTAGATATCAACAAATTTAGATTTTTTATTGAACAAGATTACTCATATTTAGTTGATTACGGAAGAGTTCATTGTATCGCTGGCAGTAAAGCTCCAAAATTAGAAAATATGGAGGAAGAATTGGTGATTGTTGGAAGAATCCGAGATGAGATGGCTCAGCATGAAAAGAGATTAAAGGAATATTTTGGCGTTACCGACAATTCTTTTTTTAAGAATATCAAAAGAGGTCCTGCATTGAATAATTACTCAAGGTATTTTAATGATATTGCAAAGAGAGGTACTTGGGAAGAGTTAGTAGCTGCGTTGACCCCGTGTATGATGGGTTATGGAGTTGCCGCTCTCAAATATAAGGGGAAAGTAACAGCCAAGAAAGGAAGTCTCTATGAAGAATGGATCGATATCTACTCTTGCGCCGGTTATGAAGATGGTATGAAGATTGGCCAAGGCCTGTTAAACCATATTGCCAGAACAGCTGCACCTGACCAGATAGAGAGATTGGTAAGAATATACGGTGAGGTGTGCGCCCTTGAGACCAAATTCTGGGATGCTGCATTGGCTTATTAGTTATATATATCTATAAACTGAATTCCCTAAAACTTTGTAGAATATACATAGATCATTTTTCCATCTTCTTTTAATAGAAACTATATTTAATATTTTATGTAATAGAAATACATTTATTAGACATCTCTATTAATAAATACGGAAAGGTTTGGGGATATAAGGTTCTTCTAAATAGTTTAATTCTTCTTCTGTAAAGGTTACATCCAGTGCCGCCAAGGCATCATCGACTCTCTCCATCTTATTAATGCCGACAATAGGGAAGCAGCCTTTAGAAGAAACCCATGCAATAGATAAAACAGCCATCGATATTCCCTTTTTCTTTGACAATTCTTCAACACGGTTAACTATCTCTCTATCCGCAGGAGGTAAATTAGGTAAATCCCAAGCTCCGATAACCCTATCCTTAACAAATCTATCTGTCTTTGTACCTAATGGTCTTGTTAAGATACCACGACAATTTGGAGACCACGGTGTCAATGCAATATTATGCTTCTTACAGCTTATATTTAAGTCGCGTTCATCTTCCCTGTATAATAAGTTATAACATGACTGCATATTTACAAATTGATACCAGCCATATTTCTCTGCTACAGCTTGCATTTCAACAAATTCGGTAGGTAACATTGAAGATGCCCCAATGTATCTAACGTCACCGGAGTCAATAACATCATTCAGGGCCTTCATTGTCTCCTTGATTGGGGTGTCGTAATCAAACCGATGGATCTGTAAGACATCGATATATGTTCCCAATCTTTCGACTGCATTTTTGACACCGGCCAGAATATGTTTACGTGATAAACCTTGTTGATTAATCAAATTTAAGGCATAATTTTCGTCATTAGAACCTGTACGAGTCACTGCAACAGATTCATCCATTGGGAAAAACACTTTGGTCATGATAATTACTGTTTCTCTTTTAATATTATATGTTTTTAAAAATTCACATAATAATCTTTCACTAGCTCCATTAGAATAGACGTCAGCGGTATCAAAAGTACGCAATCCATGATCATAACAATATTTCAAAATGCTGAATATTTTTTCTTTATCATCTTCAACCCATGAAGCCCAATCTTTTGAGCCATAGGACATGCATCCTACGATAATTGGAGATACTTTGATACCTGTACCACCAAATCTAACTTGTTTAGCTATTTTAGTAGGCATAGTTGTTGTTTTTTGGAGTGATTTCTTTCTAATTAGTCTTGGAAGTTCTGTAGTTTAGAATCAATTAAAAAAAGGTTGAGTAATTAAATATATTTATTGTTGTAAAAAGAACATTATATAAACAAAATGTTCAAAAGGAATTCAATTTCAAGTAGTTGTTGTTTTGATAAAGAAGTTAAGTTCAGGGGGATATAGTTCCTTGTTCCTTGTACTGTTGGTTCGGCCGAAAATTCAGCAGATCATACTGCATATATTGAGTTTCACTAGCATGTTACGTACTTTCTCGTGAACTTGTGGACTTGTAAATAGGAATAAAACAAAAAGTAATCGTAAGATGTGTCGAAGAAGCAAACGTGAATATTTTGATTCCAAATATAATACTGGTATTATTATTTAATTATAGTGTGTCTGTGAACCTATAGGCCACGTGACACACATACTCCGTTTCGGCCGAAAGACACTCCTTTTTCGTTAATAATATCGGATATAGAAGGCCAAACTTACCAGTAGGCAAAGAAAATAAAATAAGAGATATAGTTTATTAAAATAGGGATATTGTTATTTTTATTAATTTTAATTAATTAAATAGTATGAATAAATAGTTATATGAGTATGCAAATGCAAATGCGGGAGGTTAGAGGAGTGTAAGTGAGAAATGACCAAATCTCAATGCTAGAAAGAATGACGCTGAATGGTATTATTATATGTAGCTCAATAATATTGTTTTTGGTCGATTTTTCTTTTAAAACCTCTTTAGAGCTTTTTGATTCTTAGAAAAAGCTAAATAATTGTTTGCATTTCTATTCTTCAATGGATAAAAATTCTTGTTTGAAGAAGTAACAGTCACCGCAGCAGGCCTTATAGATCTATTGATGGAAGTAACAGTCGTAGTTTTATTGCTGCTGTTATTAGAGTTATTATTTGTTTGTCTGGATCTGTGACTCTTTGAACAAGCTCTTGTTAAAAGCAACGGTTTTCTTGTAGATGATGCTTGTTCTCTTTGGTTACGGTTGAAAGGAGAACGTAGGGCTCTTGAGTCCTGTTCATTTTCCATCTCAATGAAGAATTTTTCAAAGGAAGAGGATACAATTGATGATCTCATCATCATATTGTTGCTGTTGGCAGTAGTAATATTGGAATTCATTATATCTATTGTTTGGGAGAGCGTAGTGATGATTAGTTAAGTCAATTACTATTGTAGTAGTATACTTGTTTGTTTGTACTTATTATTTTTATATATCTTTTAGTAAGTGAAAACAAGAACAGAAAAGAATTCTAATAGCCTAATATCCCAGCCTTTATATATACATATTTTTTCAATTACTTTATTAGCTCACCTTCTTGTATGACATAAGCATGATTATTAATCCAGGATATATGTAGCCCCTCTCTCTATTGGGTATGTGAAAATAGGCACATACATACATACATACATAACTATCAAAAGACGAATATCTCCTCTCACGCGCACTATTAGCTCATCTCCTCCGCTGACTAAATTTTCTTACTAACAAAAATTCCGAAAAAGAGAGGAGGAGGCGCATATATTGCTCCGTTCTCCGTTCTCTATCTCTACCTGTAAACCGCTACTATGTAATAATGCACTTATTTGTCTTCCGTCCGAACTGCGGGTCCCGGATTTTTGTAAAGACAAACCGAATGAATTCGGACGAGAAGAGAAAATTTTTCACTTTTTGTTTTTTGCTTCGAGGGAGAACAGTTCAGGTTGAGCCAATTGGCAAATAGAAGTTATGCATCTTGGAGGCAGAGAGCAGAACAGTGGGGCTACCACCGTCAAAACCCACGTTGAAAATAGTTTAGGTAGCTAGATATGTGTGTGTGGTGACCGAGCTATTTGCCCGTCTTTCGGCCGTTCTGGGTTGGTCAGTTTTTTGCTCAACTATGTCTTTCTCTCGAGAGCAGGCAAAATTACAAATGATTATTTCATCTTCATTTGTAATGAATAAGAGACGGATTTGTTTTTTTGCATGTTGCGCAGTTTCTCCTACGTTGGATGAGGAGATAGGTGTGTATGTGAATTAAGTATCCATGTATCTTTTCTTTCTTTTTTCTCTGTGTGCTCGTAATAAACTATGTGTTACTCAATTTATTTTCCATATCACCCAAATAGTGAGTGTGAATCGAATCTCCTCTCTTGCAGTTTCTTTCCTAAATGTCTGATCGATTTGTTCGTCGCCCCTTAGTAACGGTGTCGGTATATTCCCCTCTCCCCCCTCTGTCAAATGTCTTTTAACTAAGAGCGATGCCGATCAGCTAATGCATTTTTTGATAGGAATAATAATAATAGGCTTATTTTTATTTCACAGAATGATTCGTTTTGAAAATATTGCATACGATTAATTCAGTCATTCATATATTGGACACTTAGAGATACCTTATTAAGCTAAAATTCGTATATATATTTCTGAATTTTTCGAAGGTACAACGATGTCCATTGTGGAAAATTCTGCTAATGTGGCTCAACAACGTAAGAGGAGACGGATTCCAAAATCATGTGAAGCTTGTAGAGTGAAGAAATTGAAATGTGATCGTGTTAGACCAAGATGTTCAAGTTGTATAATTAGACAAATAACAGATTGTCATTATGAAGAAGATCGTTTAGGTAAGAAAGTTAAAACAACAACAACAACAAATAGCGATATTTCTGAATGTGCAATTTCCAATATAACAACAACAACAACAACAACAACAACAACAACTTCTGGAGAGAAAGCAGTATCCAATGAAAACTTATTGGGAGCGAATGTAAACCCTTTTGCGAATGTGATTTATGTACATAGATGTCTTCCGAAAGGGAGAGTGATGGTACAAGGTCCCACTTCATTGAAATCATTTGTAGCAAATATTCATCCTCCATTTACAGAGAAATTCGAACAATTGTGGAGGAAAACAGAACCTGAAAGATTGTTATGGCAGGATGAAAATAAGGAAATAAATGGACAAACAAATCCTTTAAAAAACACAAATGGACCGTTGTTAGGTTCCGAGACAAGTCTCCTAGAGTTATGTTCTAGGTTACCTGAGTATCATGTTCTTTTACAAAATATGACTCAATTCTTCTCAGGAAGCCCATTATATGATATAAGTACAATCTTATCGAAGAAGGATACAATGGAAATATTTTATACTTCTTTTATTCCCGATGGGACAGTATGGAAATTCCAAGATAGATTGGTTAAAAAAATTGGAATGCCTGTAGGGGTACATCATTATCAACTAGGTGTTGTGTTAATGATTAATAGATTGGTTCATTGTAAAGAAAATATCGATCCTATGGTGGAAGTTTTTTTAAACAATTTGGAACATCAAAGCCAAATGAATGGATCGTTCATGGTGCAATGTCAATTCTTATTATTACGCTGGTATCATAGAAAACTTTATTTCACTAAGATTGATGATGTCAAGCTATTAAACCTTGTGAGTCGTATAGTAGATACCTCAATGAATTTAGGTTTACAACTTGACATTGAAAAGATTTACTCAGGGGATAAAAATTTACAAGTGTTTAAAAATATGTGGTATTGGATCCAATTTGCAGATTTAAGTATATCATTCCAATTTGGTAGACCACTGAAGATTAGTGCAGTAGTTTATAAGAATTTCCCATATAATAATAATGAAGAATCCAGTTTCATTAAAAAATTGCATAGATTCTTGATGACAGTTAGAGAACCTTATGATTCAATTTATGATCAATCAGTAAATCCGAATCTTCTTTCTGCTTGCGAACAATTAACTCAGTTCCTAACCATTGAATTTCCGAATATTTCCAAATATTTTGAAGACCCTTTCGATTGGAAAATTGCCATTAGTGAATTAAGAATTTTAACATTAACTCTTGGTATTCTAATTGCCATGTACGGTCTTCGATTTAAGATGATAGGAGAAAGAACACTTAAATTGAAAAATGATTTTACTCAAGTGACATTGGTATCATTTAAATTAATAACAGACATGTTAGAATATTGCTGGCGTTATGATAATGAATTTTTCCCAACTTTGGTAACTTCATCTAATTCGTTAACACCATTTTTGACCTCTGCAATTTCCTTATCTGAAGGGTTATTCCAAAGAGCGCATATGAATTTTATGAGTTTAATATATTACAAGATTACATTGTTTAAAGATGGTCACTTCAGACTATACGATCTTCAATCAATTGATTGGGATTTGTCCACATTAGAGACACGTAATGATAAAAGTATCACTATACATACAGCATTCGAATTATACACGGAGATATTTTCTCGTTGGCGTAAACCGGCTGCTATAAATATGAAAAGTGTATTAAAGAGATCCTACCCTTATTTCTTGATGATTCTTTTGGAAAAGATCGGCAGAATGATCGTTGATAAAGTTATTCAATTTAGACAAAAATCTGAAGAAAATGTTAGAGGCACTGTAGATCCGAACGGATCAAATGTACACCTTGAAAAGGCAGATAGTGACGATGTAAATAATGGGTCTACAGATGGTGTCTCAAAGGAGAATGCTGATGGAGAAGAAGTTCCATATGATGAGACTGCATTACTTGAGGCCCAATTGAATAATCAAATATCCGACGAGTTTTGGGGAAGTTTTAATGATTATTGGGAAGAACTTCTTAAGAATGACTGCAACCAGACACAGGATTATATATAGAGTTATACACAATTTTAATAATGATGATGATGATTACGATAGATAGGCGTATAATTTAAGGATTTATATTCTTCACTTCTGTAGATGTTCTTGTTATACACACATATATAGTAGCCCTAAAAAAATAACCAAATAAATTATTTGGACTGCCTAATGTGAGCTTTGGGAGGTCCACGAGTAGAGCAAAAAAACAAATATATACGCAAAAGAAAACACGGCGGAAAAAAAATTTTCATTTCGAAGATACATTCGGATTTGTGTTATATATATAAGCAAAACTTCATACATTAGCACTAACCTGAAAGAGATTGGAAACAGTTAGCAAATTGAGTATGCCAGTCTACATGGAGTAAGCATAGTGAACAAATAGAAGTTGATGGCTTTGATCCTCTCTAGAGAGGAGGTCTAATATTAGGTATGTCGTTAGGAGACGACAACCTCTATTCGTCACAATGATTATTCTAAGTATTCATTCTACTTTTAATCTTTTAACCAAACCTTTTTGTCAGGGGGCAGTGTTCGCATTTTCTTCATTCTTAATAAAATGAGAAATTACTATACGGCTGTCTCTGTTACTGTTTTGGAAAATCAATATTATTCGTGATCCAATATTTCTTCGTTCTGAAGAGTCTCTTTTGGATTATCCTAATACTTTAGCTTCGTTCTGAAGTTTACATATTGTATTTGGGAAGAATAACGAAGATCTTTGATGAGTTGAAAAGAGACGTTTGTGACATTTATGTTGCAATGTTTACACCCTCTTTTCTTAGTAAAGAGCTTCACATTTTTCAATTTTTTATTATATATCTATGTATGTATACATTCTTTATAGTTATTGTAGAGAAACTGTTGGGAAAAAATTAAGATAATAATTAGTACATCTTACATCTCATCAGTACAGTCAACTTCTTGAAACATAACTACTTTTCTCTAAATAAAATGAACAAATAGAACGTGAAAAAAGTTTTTATTAATATTAAAATTATTTAAACGTTATATATTATTTAAAAAAGTTGTTAAAGAATTTTGTTTTAAAATTAGGATTAGGATTAGGATTAATAATAATATTTTTATTATTTGAAAGATAAGTCATTAAAATTTTTTTGAATTAAGACGAAAAGAAAAAATAAAGATCATTAAGCTCATATACTTTATGAAATTGCTAAAAGGAAATTGTATCAATTATAATTGTTTCGCTTATAGCATTCTCTTGTACCATGGCTTATCGTCATGAGCCATAGCTTCAACATCGTAGTCGGCACCTCTCTTGGATGGTGGGACCCATTGAGCAGACTTCCATGGTAGGACACCTTCGACCCACATAGTGTTGACTTCTTCTAGAGATAGACCCTTGGTTTCTGGAATGAAGAAGAAAACGTATAACCATGAGAAACATAGACAACCCATGAAAACGTAACCGTAGTAGAAGTTAATGGCACCAGTGATAAATGGAGTGAAGAAACCTAGTAAGAAATTCCAGAACCAGTTAGCAGCAATAGCCAAAGACATACCCTTAGCCTTGATTCTCAATGGGAAAGATTCAGAAACAATAACGTAAGCAGTTGGAGCCCAGGTAGTAGCGAAACAGAAAATGAAGAAACAAGTGAAACAAATCATACAGTTACCAGCACCCTTAGAAGAGATATCCTTGTGGTCTGGACCTTCTGGCCATAGCTCAGTAACACCGACAGAAGCGAAGATAACGAAACAACAGATCATACCAGCAGCACCCCATAATAGACAGGTTCTTCTACCGAATCTTTCAGTTAAGTATAAAGCTGGGAAAGTGGAAGCAAAATTGACAATACCGATAACAACAGAGGTTTCGAAACCATCATTCATACCGACAGCTTGGAAAATAGTAGTACCGTAGAAGAAGAAATAGTTAGCACCAGTCAATTGTTGTAAACTTTGAATCATAACACCCATGATAACTCTGTGTAAGATCTTACCTTCTGGGTTGAATAATTCACCCCAGGAAGCGGAACCAGCAGCTCTTTCAGCTTCAACACCGGCAGTCAAGAATTCGACTTCGGCAATAACAGATGGATCATCGACACTCAATTTGTTAGATCTAGCAACGGACTTCTTAGCTTCTTCGAATTGACCGATTTCAATTAAGAAACGTGGAGATTCTGGAACGAAGAACATAGCAGCAATCATGAATAAAGCCCAAGCGAAACCTAGACCCAATGGAACTCTCCATTGGACAGAGTTATCATAGTTTCTGGTACCGTAGTTAGTACAGTAACCTAAGAAAATACCTAGAGTAATCATCAATTGGTAACAAGAGACTAAAGTACCTCTGACATGCTTTGGAGAAACTTCAGAAATCAATAATGGAGAGTAGACAGCAATACCACCAACACCCATACCGGAGATAATTCTACCGATGAAGTATTGGTACCATTTGTCAATGGAAGCAATGGAAATAATTAAACCGATAACGTAAACAATGGTAACAAAGACTAAAGCCTTTCTTCTACCGTAAATATCACCAAGTCTGGACCAAAGCAAACCACCGATGGCACAACCAATATTGAAAATAGCTAATAATAGACCAGTTCTGACCTTGGACAAGTAGTAAGTACCGTCCTTTCTCTTTTGACCGAATCTTCTTAGATAATCGGTTTGGTTAACGAAACCAGAAATGGTACCAGTATCCCAACCGTAGACATAACCACCGAAGGCGACCATTAGACATAGGATGGAGACAGTAACGTAAGCGGAAGCTGGCTTCTTTGGCATTTCAGCGGCGACAATATCACCGTCACCACCGAATTCCTTAGCTTCCTCATCATCATTCTTTTGAGATGGAGCAGACAAGACAGAATTGTTTTCTGAGTTGCTGTTAGATAGGGAAGGAGACAAATTGTTAGTTTGTTGCTGTGGGTCTTGGACCTCTGCAACAGGTTCTTGATTCATTGCGATTTGTTATAATAATAATGTATTAATATGATTACAAATCGTTGAGTTGATGATTTTTATTAGTAAATGTTAAGAAATAAATTAAAATATAAAGGAAAGATTTGAGAGAAGAGAGAAAACTTATTTTATGAACATTGATTGATGAGTTTATATATGTTTCCTTTGAGGATTGATTTTCATTCCCCCACCCCCACAACGATAACGACGGTACATGTGTTTACTCCAGAAAATAAATTTCAATTAGTTGTTTTAAAAAAAAAAAAGCAAGTTGATCCTGCAGTATGCAAACTATCATAATACTTTCCCCAGTTTTTCCAGCTAAGAAGTTTTCCATGTCTCCATGCTTTCCCCTCTCCACCCCTCTAAGTTGCATATCATAAAAAAATTTATTAGTGTTGTTATTATTCAACTAACTTCAATTCACTTATCAAAAAATAAAGCAACCAAACACACGAAGATGCAAATCTCAGTCGAGATAAAAATAAAAAGCAAGAACAAAACCCTGTAGAATACCTGTTTCTAGTGACCATGAAATAAAAATAATTTAACGATCCGATCATTTGAGTGGTGTTTTTCGGTAAGCATAGGAAAAGTAACTTTACTTAGTTAACAAAAATGAAGATACATATTCCTCTTTTGGTAATTAAAGTTTTTGCTTCGTACGGTCAGCTCTCGGCCGGGACACAGACGTGTCCGCAACAGTTTTCTTTGTCAAATTCGACCAAATGGAAAATTAAAAAGAAATAATGCGAGAAAGGATTTGCTGCGGATCTCTCTGCTTTCTTTCTTTGAGCCAAGCCGTTTGTTCAAAGATGTTACCTCAGAATATGGAGGAGGGGATAAAATATGGAAAACTTTTCTTTATATTATATTATATTTAAAGGGCCCAGAGCCCCTTTCACGATATTTCTACAATGTATTCACTGGACCCGGGGCTTGTTGTTCCGAAGGTACCCACAGGAAACACCTAGACAATAAGGCGAAGCAAACCCTAGAAGCGTTTCAGTTGTGAGGGGTAGTGCTTGCGGAGCATTGCCCTCCGTGGAGTCTCATACGAAGCTGAAAAAGCAAAATCTTTTTTCTCGAATAATTATGATGGGTAAGCATTTATCGTTTAAGGTGCAGGACATCGCCCCCCTTCCCCCCATTCGGCTAACAATGCTCCGCTACGCCACTAACCTGAAAGAGATTGCATTGATAATGTTAAATAGTAATTTTCATGATACCACGCCGCACTGCAACTACATTACAAATATGTTTACATATGCACAGTCTGTGGAAGGGGGGAACATTTGCTAATGAAAATTTTGTTTCTGTCTCCATTTCACCCACTCCCTTTCAAACGTCTCTGCCACCTCCTTACTGTTTCCCCTCCCCCGCCAGCCGACATAATCAAAGTAGTCTATTCCCACGAAGATTTTAGACCAACATTATGAAACTTTTTGTTGATGTTTTTGCCAAATGGCGTTGTGTGCTCCGAATTAACGTTTGTTTGTTGTTTTGACCAGCTAACAACGTTAAGGTAGGTTACCACTATTACATTTGATACGTACTACACTGGTGCGGGGGTGGGGGTGGGGAGAGACAGGTATACAGAGACACCAAACTTTCAGATGAATGAGATAGATCAAGAAGGAGAAGAAGTGGTGGAGTGGTAGTATTTCTTGGGAAGTTGTTTTTAGAACATGCGGCTACGCGAGGGAGAGAGGAGGGAGAAGAAAACTGAAAGGAAACCTTTACAGAACGTTCGTATGGCGGAGGAAATGGGGTAAGAGAGAAGGAATGGTAGTGTTACATACACCATGTAAGTTACGTATTATACATGAGTTATTACCGGATCAGGTCAAGATTATGATACTTTTGGAACAAGGAGAGAAGGACATGGTACTGGCACTGGCACTGACGCCGGGGTGGGGAAAGGAAGGGACAACAGTTCTCCGAGCCAACTGAAAACATTCTCTCTCCCTTCGGTCCTCCTCCCCACTATAAATTTAAAAAAAAACGGAGAATGGGATGTGCCCTCATTGCTGTGGAAGGCCCGCGACGTATGGCATTAAACGCCAAAAATAGTTTATGTTCATCGCGGGGAATGGGAAGGTTGGAGTTCAGCGGCTAACCTACAAAGCCGCGGTTTGTATGTACAACTACAGTAGAATAAGAGATAGAAAACGGTTTGTTGGTTTTTCAAGCATGTTTATTCCAGTTCTCTCGCCCTTTCTTGTAATCCGGCGTTGCTGGAGCTGTTGCTCGGAGATCTGTCCCATTCTGTCGAATCTCCTCGTCTTTACTTCCCCCTCCCACTGTTCATCATCGCAAACGATGTGGGGTCGCTCGGAACATATACGTAGAGCCCCACTACTGTTAGTTACTCCCTCGTGTTCGGTGCAAATTGGGAGAATATTCCGTTAGAAGGGGGTTGTGTGGTGTGGCGACGGCCTATTTGCTCTTTCTACAATATATTGCCTATTGATTGCGCTGTTACGCCGAGTAAAAAAAGTATGCGGGGCGACAGTAACAGCGTGTTCGTGTTGCTAGACGTTTAACAGTCGGCTAACGGAGTTGTGTGAGTTGTTGATTTGGATGGGTGTTGGTTTTCTCAGTAGGCATCAGATTGGTCTCTATGAGGACGTCCACCGAAGAATTGCAAGGATTTTATGATTGCCTGGGGGAGGTCGTGATTTCTTGAGGAATATGGGATGTCCAACAAACACGGAATATCATATATACATTTGGGTTGTTTGTTACGTGGACTTCGCACTATTTTTTCTTAGCGGAAGTTTGATTCGTTTTTGCAACGTTGGAAGTACCAAATGTTAGATCAAGTCTTGAAAACCCCTGGTACGCTAATTCAACTCTACTGGTTGGGGTGTGTTCCATCTGTCACATATAAATTTTCTTGTTGATAAGTTACTTCAATTGTGTTGGGATGAAAACAACCACACAACCTCTGTTTCATATACAAAAGTAAGACGGAACAAATCGTACTGTTTGGTCTCTGTCTTCCTTTTCTTAAAACAAGAGTATTACGGTAGCGTTGTTGTAGCCTGTGCAAAACCGGTTTCTCATAGAACTTCCTGGGAATGGTAAATCGTGGGACATGGCTACGGAGATGTATTATGTGTATTCCTAAAATATTCAATTGAGTTATGTTACTTACGACTCTCGAAATATTCTATTGATGAGAATTTCTTGTGAACTTGGTAGTTAACTCTTCTGAAGGTGTGCCGAGTTATTTGCTACGTTTCGCCAATACTTTGCACTGGCGTCAGCTGTTGGGAATACCATACCATACCTTATGTAGAAACGCTGACATCCTTCTCCCACATTCGGTTCACTAATTTGTCACTCTAGTAGGAAAGAAAGAAACCCACCCCTGCGCAGAATCGCTTTCCCCCGGGCTAGGTTAGGTAGGTGGCTCACCCTCCCAGCGAACTAGAGACGCAACAGTCTGGGCAGTAGAAACGTTCTGGCAACATCCCAGAACGTTTCCTGTGACTGAAGAACTCGGGCACTTTGCGATTTTGAGGATTTTCTGGTCTAAAATGTTGGGAAAACACCATAATTTGGAGAGATGGCACTCCACTGGACACTAGAAACAGACAAGAAACAAACCAGCAACTATATATGTGTGTTACTCCCACTGCATAAGAGCGGGCCGTTGGCTGCTCGGAGACTACGTGCTCGTGCTGGGTGTTTCGCTCCAAATTGGGTGGACGAGCACACAACAACAACACCCACGCACCCTTTGGCCAAATTTTGACTGATGTGAAAAGTACTAAAATATATAGAATACGATGCAAATGAACATCGGAAACATATTAGCAACAAACGAGCAACATACATTATTAAGTCGTTGCCTCTAGTATTATTTAGCCAGTTAAAGCACTAGCTGCAATGGCGCTAATTCCTTATTATACAGGTGTGTTAGGACCACTTTCTGCTGTGTATTAAGTGCAACAGATACTTAATATGTTGTGCAAGCTAATTATGTGCTATATACTAAGAGATACGAGTTCTGAATAACGAATAGAAGATCTATGAAAGTATTGCAATTTGCGTTCGTTCATTGACTGCGGCACAACGAGATAAAAAATAGGAGCCCCAAGACTATTTGGACCTGATATTTAACGCTTCATTAATAAATCATCACTTCTCTTAGGCTTCTATGAATCTAGTATATACTTATCAAATTACCTTTTCTTAAGTTTAAGTAACCTCTAATTGATGCACATCTTTGTTTTTCCAATTGGGTACCAGAAATTCGCGACCAAGAAATGTTGCAAAACAAGAGCATTCAATTTTAGTAATAGTACCAGGTTCATCCTTATAGATGCCGCCGCTTGTTCCTGATATTTGTCAGTTGTACTTTCTAAACCTGTTTTGGTATCCATAGCTAATAGTCAACCCTTAAAGGGAAACCAAACCGTTAATTTAATTTTTGACACAATTATCATTATCTGGCTAGTTCCGCGGGAGAACAGGAAACTAGTTGTTCCCATGGGGCGCGCAAGTAGACATTGTGGAGCGGCCCAGCAATAAGGGGATCTTCCATCATTAATCCGTTCGAACATTACGTAATGCAATAATGATGAACACTGCAAAAGAAAAATGTATATAAACAATGCATTAAGAGTATAAATCCAACAACCATTCCCTGATAAATACTAAAACAACAAAGTTTTAAATTACACAACAATGTCTCTATCGATCAATGCCAAACAATGGGTGCTGAAAACACGCACCGAGCCAGGCCATCCTTTCAATATGGATTCTTCAAGCCCTGAAGCTTCTTTCGAGCTTAAAGAGCTAACATTGAAAGAAAATTCCCTTCAGGATGGTGACATCCTAATTGAGACTATTTACCTGTCTAACGATCCAGCTCAGAAATTCTGGATCATTTCGGCTGATAAAAATTATGCTGCTGGTGTCGCTCCAGGTGAGCCAATCCCAGCTAGAGGACTAGGAAAAGTGCTTGCTTCCAATAATGACAAGTTTCCAGTAGGTGCCCTAATATCTGCTCAAACGAACTGGTCTACACATACTATTATTCGTAAAGAACAGTTAGGTGTTGCTCGTGTTCTACCCATGGAAGGTGTAGAACATCTATGGTGGTATCTTTCGGTTCTTGGGGGTACAGCTGTAACTGCCTATTTTATCTTTTATAGATATGCGGATTTACAAGATTGTGAACCAGATTCCCATGGTAAAACATTTTTGATCTCGGGTGCAGCAGGTGCAGTTGGCTCAATGTGTGTGCAGATTGCAGCTAACGTATTTAAGGCAAAGAAGATCATTGCCATTGCTGGTGGACCTCAAAAGGTTAAATTTGTTGAATCCTTAGCTCCATCAGTTGTTGTTGGCGTAGACTATAAGGATCCAAAATTCAGTGAAAATTTATTGAAGGCAGCTGGTGGAGAAAATACAGTTGATTATTTCATCGATAACGTCGGTGGGAAAATCCTTGATTTAGGGTGTAGTCTAATGAAACCCCAATCTACTATTATAGCTTGTGGGTCAATTAGTGGGTATAACGATCCTTCTCAATTAGTTTTTAAAAACTATGTTAGTGTCATTACCAAAAGACTAACCATAAAGGGTCTCCTATTAATGGATAATTACGAAAAATTCCCAGAAGCTTATGCCCATTTAACACAATGGATTAAAGATGGTAAAATCGACAAGGATACCTCCGCAACCATTGTAGATGCTACTAGTGATAAGTTTAATAATGTTCCAGCTATATGGGATGGACTTTTCCACGGTAAGAATACAGGTAAGTTGATTACTAAAGTTAATGAAGAATGAGTAAACTAGTGTCTTCAATTTTTAATTATATTTGCTAAATAAAAATATGTAATAATATTTATTAATATTACAGAAAACATTGTTGAAGTATTTATTTTTATATTTGTTACTTCTACATTGAATTTTTAACAAATTTAATATTTTGTTTGACTTTGGTAACAATATTGAAATGTCTCAATCACCCTATCTCGGTAAACAAAAATATAAAAGTGATAAAAAATTACATAATAAAAAATGTGGTTACACTACTAAATAAAAACGATAAAGTTAATTAAACTATATGCATATATATACACACATAATTTTACAAATATTTAGCCTTCTTTATATACTGCTGAGTACTAAAAGTATAATATATCATAATGCACAACACTAAACCAACTGGAATTAATATCATTTTCAAATTTGAGATTACGTCATCGATGTGTGTGTCATGTAAACCTAATTCACCTACTTTCATAGTGGTTTCCCTTAATTTTTCTTGTTCTTCTAATAAGTTTTCCAAATTGCTATTAATCTTTAAGAAATCGTTAAATTCTTTTTTATCCTTTGTGATTGGATCTTTTGAAGAATCGTCGTTTTCGGTAAATGTATTTAAGATATGATCCATGAACTTCATTAAACCCTCTTGAGTTTGAATAACAGCATCTAACCTTTGATCTAGAGGTCTAATGTCGTTAACTAGTATATTCCCCTCGACTTTATCCAACTTCTGGAATAAATCGTAATTACTAACTTCATCATTTCTTTCTGCATCAAACCTCTTTTTATCAATCAATTTTGTTTCTCCAGTCTTACTATCTCTCATCTGGGTGACAATTTGAGGTTGTGGCATTGACTTAATGTTTGGGATCTTAGACGCATCATTAGCACCACTGAAGGAATTAAATTTTAAGATTTCGAAGGATTCTTTATTGTTGTCACCATTATCAGCAGTAACACCGATTTTAAAACTGGCTCTCGATCCAGCTCCAACAAGTTTCACTTTTCTAGTTTGGAAACAAATTCGATTATCAATTTGCACTTTTAATAGATGATTATCATCAATATCATAAGTGACCCTTAAAGTCGATGGGACTGAAGCTTCCTGGTAACCAATTAAACATGATCCCAAAGTATTTTCATCCATAGAGGCCTTTGACAAAGGGCTGGAACCGTCACTCAGTTGAGCACGTAATGCTTCACCATATGGACCAGAGTTACCAATTAATAACTGTAACCCAGTGAATTGAGAAGGTCCATTATACAATTTTTTATCATTTTTATTAGACATTGCAGAATCTATGATCCAAAAGGCAAGACCACCTGAGGAAAACCCACGGTAATCAAAACTTCTAAAAGTCCATTCAAAGGAAAAAGATCCTTCCATTTCAAAAGGAGATTTCAACCATAATCCACCTTTTGAGCTTGGTTTTGGTGTTAGGATGATTCTACCTTCATTCAATGTTGTGGACCCATCTGTTGCGAAAGTTGACGGAATTGAATTCAAATTGTATATCTGTGACATGGACATTTCTTTTAATAGTAAACCATTGTCATTACTGGGTATTACATGACCATTCACCGTCTGTGAGTTTAGCCATAACGATATAGACAACAGCGCGATCCAAAACGTATTATACATTGGGAAAAAGCAAGGTTGGGATGGAGATAAAAAAATATGAGAAAAAGGAAACGTTAAAATGTCGTTACTTTACGTAAAGGAGTTGCTTGAATTTTCTCTTAATATATCTCTTTTTTTGTGTGTTCTATTTCTTTAATCCCAACCTCTGTTAAACTTAATGTATGACGATGTCTATTAATATTTCAAAGGAAATTCAATTGTTTCAAGTAATAAAGCGAGGTGAAAAATCACCTGCGACGGGCTGTGCAATTGAAGCTATAGAGATTGAATGAATAAATTATGAATATGATATAAAATGATGGTACTTAATGTTATTTAAATGATTATGGATTGTGACTGAGGGGAGGGATCGATTCTATCCACTGATATGCATAAAAAAAGTGAATAGTATCGAAATGCAAAAAAGAATTGGTTTTAAAAAAAAAAAATGAAAGTTATGCTTCATAAATCTAAATCGATATCGCTTCTATCTTCGGAGTATAATTGATCTTCGAACAACATCTTTGGTTTCAATTTCTGGGAGTTTCTAGAGAGTCTACGTTGTTTAACTTTTTCACCTCTCTTGTTTACGTATGTGATATATTTATCCAAATCCGGTTCTTCTTCCATCAATTGCATTTTTCTTAATACACGAGTCTCCTTTGATGGGACTCCGCTTGACATGAAAGGGTTTTCCATTGTCTCCTTCGATATAAACTGAGACTCAGCATTATCTTCGATATCAGAATCGTTAGCAGTCTCTGCGTAGTCTTTATTATACCATTCCTTTGACAATTCAAAATTCGTTATCTTTTCATTTGGAGTATTGAATGTCTCACTATCTGTTATACTTGTAGGTTGTTGTTTTGGAGTACTTGGAGGTAATAAAATTCCAGGAACATTTAATTTCTTTCTAGCTGGTTCATCTGAATTATTAGCACTAGTATTATCTTGAAGGGATTGATGATCTGTTGGGAATAATACTCGACTCACACTATTTAAAGTTCCTTTCTTCCCCGTAATCGATAATCGTCTCATAGGAGTATATTCTGGTGACTTCAACCCATTAAATGGTGAATTAATAGCGGTCTTTGCGTTCTCTTGAGGTGGTTGCAAAAAAGGTCCATTCTTAAACACCAATTTGTTAGCATTACCCATACCATTTGCCTGAGGTTGGGAGGACAACTGATTACGAACGTTCAACGAACCGTTCTTATGCACTGTGGAGGGGGTCATTGGTCCTCCCAGTTCATTGCCTTTGTTTGGTGTAGCCGGAAACAACAACTGTTTCTTTGGCAAATCTTCTGTAGGTTCCATATTTGACCATCTAGACCTTGGAGGCGTTGCTGGATTATTACTCATAGTAGAAGCAACAAAGTATATTTATATATATATATGTATGTGTGTGTGTGTGTGATGTTATTGAGAAAGGCTCTAAAACAAAAAAAAGAAAGTTTAGTCTAGTCTCTCTTGGATCTCTCTAGTATTGCAACGGTGATTTTTTCTAGTGAAATAACCAAATCAAAAGAAAAAAAAAAGGTCTGCTAATTATATGTCGTTGGTAGACTAGTTTTTCGATACGACATTATTTCTAGCAACCCAAAATACAAAACTCCCACTCACCATCTCTATATATAACCTTCTACTTCTTCCAGACAAAAAAATATTGAGATGACTGGGTCCCTGAACCAACTACCAACGTTTGCAATCCCATTAATTCCAGTTGCAGTTTCTCCCTCTTCGGAAAGTCCAGCATTATGTCCCCCCAAACCCCCAAAAACGAAGCACGTCGCGAAAAAAACCCAGCCAGTTCGTTTTTACATGAAATTTTGGCGTTTGGCGCTGGTGGGCGGATTATCGTGTTGCACGGCTGGGAACGGTTATATTTTGATGGATTTCTTTCTTTGGTTGAAGAACAAGAAGGCATTAAAGAGGGCTGAAAGTTATAATTTGGAACCGTTGGAGGTCGGTTACGTTTGATCGATGATTAAGGAGATCAACGGTTTGCCTGATTCGGAGTGGTGAGCAAGATGGTATGTGCTAGTGGTACTGTTTTATTTTTCTTTGCTTCCTTTTTTATTTTACTAACTTAATTCCTGAATAGAATGCCTTATATAATCATGCTGTGAAACAAAAGAGTCAATTACAAAGAGACCTCCATCGATTTGAGAAGAATCCACAGACTGCCCCGATTTCTTTACAAGGGTCGATTTCTGCTACGTTGGTTTCCTTTGAGAAGACTGTAGCTCAATATGCGGATTATTTGACTAATCAACCTATATTGAATGATCAAGAAGATGATATAAATAAAGAGAAAAACCAAAGTCGATTGGTGTCTCTAAGAGAAGAGCTAGATCATTTGCAGACAAGCTTTAAAGATTTGAAAAAATTGTATAATGAAGCTAATTCTAATACAAATCAAAGAAACCAGTTGTTTGGCTCAACAACTACTTCAGAAAACCCTTATAATGATATGGATACAATGATGAATCAAAGGAGGACTGCTGGTTCAAATGCAGGGGAACAACGTCAACAGCAACAGAATATGTCATATAGGGATGGCCTACAAAATGAAAACTCGGTGTTTCAAAGAGGTAACTCACAATTGGATTATATCTTGGAAATGGGTCAAAACTCATTAAATGATATCATTGAACAAAATCACATCTTAGATACTGTACAGGATAAATTGACTAAATCGTTGAGGACGTTGAACGTCTCGGAGGGAACCATTCAATCTGTCAATAGTCGTCTGTTCAAGGATAAACTTATCTTTTGGATTGGTTTAATTCTAATGTTTTTAGGAATGTATTTCATATTGAAATGGTTACGATAAATTTGTATAAATTTATATAGAAATAGGAACGATAAACTTGTTGTTATTATCTTATTATATGGACATGAAATTTTTGTATGTGTTTTTATTTGATTTTATTTACGTTTCCAGTACATACAACTGGAATCTTTACCAATACTAACACTTTGTTTGGTTGGATCGATTTTAAATGTTGACAACGTACTTAAATCCTCATTTTCTAAATATTGTTTTCCTGGTTCAATCAATAAAGGTAACTGTTCAGGTTTATTAAATTTATACTTGGATTTTTGCCAATTACCTATCTGCCCTACATTGTTCAACCCCCAACTCTCTAGATCACCATTACTCATTTCACATATGACATGATTAGAATTCTTATTACCGATCCATTTTTGAATTTGTCCATCAATTTTAATTCTTTGTGGTTGAAATTGAGAATTTCTAAATGATCCATCACCTAATTCTCCATTAGATCCATTACCCATCGAAAAATATTTTTGTTCACCAAGTGCATTGGATATGCTCACATATGTTGTCTCTTTGTTACAACAAACATCAACACATCGTAAATCAAACTTGAGACCCATCGACGGTAAGATACGAACTTCACTATTCGCATTTTTCTTTTCACTCCTAGATGGATTGTCATTAAAATATGGAATAAAGCTTGTCATCGATAATTGTTTTGGATATGGCATGATTTCATTCTCATACGAAATATTAAAACCTAATTGACCAAATCGATTCCAACCAAATGTGAAAAAATGGCCCTGAGAATCAATAGCCACAGTATGATAATCACCACATGCAACCTTCACAATCTTTCTAAAATCTATACCTTGTGTGGAAGAAATCGATTTATTCAATAATTCAATTTCATACAATTTGTTTAAGTCAGGGTATTTAGAGTATTGAGAAAGTGATGGTATACCAAATTGACCTCTGGATTTTTCTGGGCTTGTTATAAGTTCGTCCTTAGCAAGACCAGTTGAACAAGAATATGCCTTCGACGCATCAGATAATAAAACTAAATGGTTAGAACCGGTATCAAAATCCACAATTTTTCTTTCACTTATTCTTTTATCAAATGCCTTACTAGTATCAATCTTTAAACCATATGCTTGATATTCATTAATTTTACTCAATTTTGGTAGGAATCTTACTCGTTTACGACTTTCGAAATATTGGGATAGTGAATTTAAATTTTCCAATGGCATGATTAATATTTCACCTTTATTATTTAACCCATATAAAATATTGTTAGATTCTTTAACTTTGGTCAATTGTTGACCCATTAAAATATTAGCTATTTCATTATTATTTTGATCCCAATTCAACAAATTACCTTTTTGGTCAACAATCAAGTTTTTCTTTTTATCAATTAAACATACATCTCTAAGGATCATTTGATCAAATTGTTCAATTCTCTTTGGAATCGATGCCCATTCAGTTTCATTTGTGCATTCGCCCCATACATACAAACCAGGTTCACTGGAGGTTAATTGATCCAACGGCACAACGGGTTTAACTTTAGACAATTTACCATTTTTTCTCTTACTGTTCTTATTTTTCTTTTTCTTTTGCATCGAACCCTCACTAATAGATGCCCACTCAAGTTCTTCTATAAGTTTATTTTGTTTTTGTTTCTTATCATAAATATAATACGAACCTGTCAAAGTCAGTCCTAATAAAGCAATAAAAATTATGCTCCCCTTTTGCAATTTCTTCATTCTTTCCAGAGTGAGTTCTTTAGAACTATCAGGTGCATCTTCATTCCCTAAGAATGGTAAGTTCACTCTTTTACTTTTGAATTCATTATTATTGATCCCCTTGGCCAGGATCTCAGCGTCATCATATTTCGGTTCATTAATCAGGGATCTTCTAAAGACTGATGAACGGTTTGCAACAGGAATAAGTTTGTGGCTTATAGTAACTGTACGACTCCTAGCAAGCTTCAACATTTTCTGTCAATTTCTTGATCCACTCTTGCTCCGTGGTTCAGCCTCTTGACGTAAATATTTCCCCCCTGTTAACTTTTTAAGTCTTAAGAGTTATATGAAATTAATTAACTGCAAACAAGATACTGAAGAAGTCCGTTAAAAAAAATCTACAGAAGATGATAATAGTAAACTAACTATATTCTTGTTTAAAAAAAGGCTAAAGCCATCAAATCATATAATTGAATAAAAAAGGTAAATAATATATAAAAAGAAATATATAAATATCTAAGATAAAATAATTAAAATGAGTTGTTGATTTAAGCTTGGTTAGTGAAGTATTCTGGGAATTCTCTGTAGTTAGCTTCTAGAGAACCCTTTCTGGACAAGAACTTAACGAAAGCACCGTCATCCTTGACTTCACCGGCGTCTCTTCTCTTGACGTATTCGGCTCTGTCCAAGTTGGTGAAACCCCATTTCTTGGAGATAATGATCTTTTGTTGACCTGGGAACTTGTATCTAGCTCTTCTTAGACCTTCAATAACGACGGCCTTGTTGTTGTCCTTAGTTCTGACAGAGAAGATAATTTGACCAATATCAACTCTAGCAGCTAGACCGTGAGGCTTACCCCAAGCACCTCTCATACCTTGTTGCAGTCTATCGGCACCGGCACAGGAAAGCATCTTGTTGATTCTTAGAACGTGGAAAGGATGGACTCTGACTCTCAAGTGGAAGGATTCTCTACCAGAGATGGTGGTGACGTACTTGTTAGCACAAATACGGGCGGCTTCTAAAGCTTCAGAAGACAATTGTTCCAATTCGTTGGAAACTAAGTGGACACACAATGGGAATTCATCGACAGTGGCCTTCTTCTTACCTAGATCGTAAATTCTGATCTTAGAGTCTGGAACAGCTCTGTTGTATCTAGACTTTGGATAAGGCTTGTTCTTTTGGTATCTGTAACATCTAGCTGGTCTTCTAGCCATTTTGAATGATTTAATATGTTAGTGATGGTGTCTTTTTATTGATAAGAAGTAAAAGAAATATAGATAGTACGAATATAAAATCGGAGTGACAAATACTATAAGAACGTAAAGATGGTCAACGTTTATATACTAAACCGCTTCGAACGCCACCATGATTACAAAGAAATTGAATCTATCAAAAAGTTCTTTCCCATTACAAATCCATTCATTCATTACCTGATTGATATTGAGCGATGGATGTCTCTGCATCGAAAAATTCCTTCAAAGTTCGCCGTCATTATTACTAATGGAAAGAAAGATATCAAACCGCCTGAATTTTCTGTTTGTGCATTTTTGCATTTTGTTCGTGTCTTGTTCAGTTCCGTGCTTCCGTCTGTGTTTTGAGAAGTGCGGCACACAGAACATGCCGCAGGTCCCACAAATATAAACTTATCCGTCAAGTTCCGACGATCCAACCATAATTTCCGTTTGAAATCAAAAAAATCAAAAAAAGTTTCAATAAATTGCGTGGGTGTACAGATGTTATGTATGGTGGGTGCACGGATGCAATTTCTTAAATAAAAGTAGTCACACCAAAGCCACGTGACTTTGAAAATTTTTTCTTCTAAAATTTTTTGGAAGTTTCAATCTCATCTCATCTCATCTCATCACCGAGGGAAAGAGCTAGAATATTTGCATGACTTATCTTTAGAGTTCCATAAAAGAAGAAAACCTTCAGGATCCACTGTATTTATTTGGTTGCACTCAACTCATAAACACTGAAACAAATAAAAAGAATAGTAGTAGCAATGGGTAGATATTCTGTAAAAAGATATAAGACGAAACGGAGAACGAAGGATCTGGACTTGATTTACGATGACCTTTCATCTCAGGATAAGATACAGAAACTATTAAACCAACCTCTGGATGAAACTAAGGCGGGCCTGGGACAACACTACTGTATCCATTGTGCGAAGTACTGCGAAACTGCAATGGCTCTAAAGACACATTTGAAAACTAAAGTTCATAAAAGAAGAGTTAAAGAACTGAAAGGTGTTCCTTATACTCAGGAAGTTGCGAATGCCGCTGCCGGTGTGAATTTGAATAAGTTTTTGAATAGAGTCGAACAAATTAAGAATAGTGTGGGCCCATCAAAAGATAATAATGAAGTATTGTTGAAAGATCATTTAGATGTGACGTTAAAGGATATCAAGTCTACAGAGCCTGCTTTACCTTGGGCTGATGGCCAACAAGAAACAAATGAAAATAATGCAGAAAATAATCAAACTCCTCAAGTTGAAAATGCTACAAACGGTACATTTATGGGGTAAATGTATACACCAATAGATTCAAATAATTTCAAATATTTTTTTAATCTTTTCTTTTACCATTTTTGAAACGATATTCCAACCATTTCTTTTTTGACACAAACTCAATAATATATATATTTATATAAATGCATACACCATTATCCTTCTACAACGTTTTCCTAAGTTCAATGCTATTACCATCTGTAAAATAATAATGTACGTGATAGAAAATATTTCCATAGTTTCAATAAAGTTTCTTTTAATATATATGTATCTCATATGTTATTTGTAAAAATATATACTCATTTTAAGCTTGCCCAAAATCAGTATGTCCTGTACTCTCTGCATGTTTCGCTATCTCTCTTTCACCCATAAACGTCTTATGACATATGTTACAAACGATATTAGCCTTTTGAGAATTGAAAGATTTACCTCCCTTTTTCATCTTTGTAGCGATTTCTAAAGAACAAGCAAGAACCATTTGACAGAATGCTTCATCGGTCTTAACATTAAATACTGTCTTCTTTGTTGTCGATTCAATAGCATCATAATGGACACCACTAAACAATATGATTATAAATTCATCATATTTATCCTCATTAAATTTTTCAAATTTTAGTGCATCAATATCCAAAACGTATACAGCCACATTTAATACTTTGGAAAGAATAGCAATCTCAATACCACCACCCCATGAATCCTTTTGAAGGATCCAATCCATATACAATCGTGGTGCTTTACCAAGGATTGCCTCATTATATGTCTCTTTATCTTGCATGATTTCTTTTGCTACACGCTCTCTTAAACCTTTCGAAAGGGATATATCCTTATACATACAGTACGATATGGCATGGAATAAACATGAATTATCATCTGGGACAACATGTTGTTGCAAAATCCATTTAACTCCATCATCTGCAACAAATGAACTTTGATTATCCTTCAATGCAACCTCCCCATTATTCTGTTTATTCTGTGGAGAAATATTACTCATATCATTGTCATTCTTTAATGTCACTCCGATCTTCTCACCTGATGATAATCCAATATCCTCTAATGGTCTGACTATACTTTCATCGTTTATTTTCACCGTTTGAGGAGGATAACCAAACCTTACAGAGATGACATTATCCATATCTATCCCAAAAGTTTCTGCTATCTCCTGTAACAGTTCACCTAATAACTTTTCATTACCATCAACAGAAACAACTTTGTCTCCTTTACCACTGACATTCACTTTAAACCTCATTTTGATTTTCGTATTTATGTAATTTTGTTACGTGTGGTGTATGTTCTATCTCCTTATTGCACTATATCTCAAGGTGTGTTCTTAAAGGTGTTGAAATTTTAACACCCTTTAAAAAAATAATGAGAGGCAGTGCACCAGATGATGCCCTTTATTGGATGAGACAAAAAATCCTAATGCATTAAAATTTTTTCTATAAAACTAATTAAAAGCAAATATATAAAGATATGGATATGCCACGTTTAAATACTGTAGTTAAAGTAACTTAAAATGGAAGATATTTCATTCATCTACCTCATGCGATGCAAGCAATCTCGTCAACTTATCGAGAATCTTCTCTGATAATTCTGGAGAATTTTTGTTCTTGTGAGCATTAGATGTAATACCTAGTAATGACCTTAGTGACTGTAGAAACATATGTTGCTGATCGTGGGATTTTAACATGTCGCTCCTAACAGGTGTTTCGAACAATGCCTCAGTTGTAGCTTCAATTCCGTCTGTATTATAGAGTTGAAATTCAATTAGTTTGTTCATCTTTTTGTTTATACTCCACAAAGCATATAACAAAATCAGAAACAATATAATATTTAGTACAAAGAGTATTGTCATCACTGAAGGGCTGGTGAATATTGAATTCGAAGTTGCAGTTGGTTCATTATTTTGGGAGGTTACAATAACGCTCTCTGTGTCTGGAGAATTACCCTTTGATATTGAAGGAGAATTTTCTCTTGTCTTCGAAGTTGAAATAGTTTTATCAATCACCATGTAATCTAGGATTGTATGCTCTTCAACATAGTTTTCAATCAAATTAATGAAATCTATTGTTGATGAGACTAATCCACTCTTACAACTAGACTCTACCATATTTTTGATCCAAGAGGAACCAGTCCATTCTACCCAAAATGATAACTGAAGTTTGCATCTTGTAGAATCATGCCATTGGATAATATATCTTGTCTTAGTTGAAAAATTCGTTCCACTAGGTACATTTGGAGTTCTAGTTGTATTAATTAGTTCAATATAATCATTTATATCGTAATGCACAATTTGTTCCTCTACATTACATTTCGTAGTACTGGGACCAACAGGGAAATGTAATTGCTTTTGATATGAATACTCTCTTGTTTTCTGACCAGAATCATTAATTTGGAATTTGCCAATATCTGTGAAGTTTGATGAATCTTGTTTCTTCAAGAATTCGTGTAAAAATGTCGGTTTAGTTTCATTAAACACGAAATCAAAGAGCATCCCAGGCGCACAGGACAGTTCAATATCAGCCAGGAGATACTCATCTACAGACCTTGTGGGGATATTACTAGTGAGTTTTGAATTATTGTAAAGTGGACCGGCATAGTCAATCAGTAAATAATCCGAAGCACTCTCGTTTAACTTGTAAATAGGTACTTTGATATCTTTAACTGTGGTATCATCATCCTCGTCAGCATCTACAGATATCCCACTTGAGTTAGAGGAAGTCTCGTCTATAGATCTTATTATATTCTCAATGTCTTCATCATCGTTTCTGGTATTCTTTGTAGCTTCAAGACTAGTTAAAAGTTTAATACTTGATTTACCAATGGGGTTAGTCTCAGCCCCAGCTACTATTGAAGATTTTTGAATCACAGGAGGATTCAATCCAACCGAATAGTTCAATAGATCTGTTCCTTTTTTACTATCATCTGTATAAAGCACAGGATCTACTTCTTTATAATTATTGACAAGCATTTTTAGAGTTTGGAATGTTGTTTCTAAGTTCTGGAACCCGTTAAATCTAGTCATACCAAGGGAAGTCTCTACACATATTTCATCATCATATATCGAATTCTGTTTATTCGTCGTCAAAGATCTTATTTCCCTAACAGGTATTTGTATTTGGGCTAACCAGTCCAATACTGTTGAATTAAAACACAAATGATCCTCTGTGACGTAAAGTTTACCCTTATATGGGTAATTTCTATGTAAATTGCAATCGAAAAGCTTTACGAGCTTCTCTTGCAAGGGGATCAGTTTAAATAATGTATGGAAATCCCTGTCATCAATTTGTGATGCATATGTAAACCCTGCAGATGATTCTTCTGGACTAATATCTGTCTCGGAATCCTTTGCGAATTTATTAAAGTTAAACGAAGACATGATATTATCAAAGAATGAAGAGTTAGTTTCACTTAGGGATCCAAACTGTCTATTCTTCAACGGTGATTCCAGGGGAGTACCAGGACTTGTCGTTATTGCCATGGATTTCAAATCATTTATAGAATCATTAGTTGGATCGTTCGCAATCATCGACACAGAAGTAACATCTGATATGTGAGGATCCGCTGGAGTAGATTTCATACAACGAGGCATTGATAAATCTATAGAAGAGTCTGAACCTCGCTTATTATGATGGTGACCCCATTGAATTGTTTGTGAGTGAATACTCACTTTACTGGAAGTTGTACCGTCACTAGATCTCTCATTCTGATCTCGTTTATTACTGTCACTAGGTTGCACAGAAGAAATCTTAATACTACCGCCATTAGTAGAGCTCTGTCTTGACATCTTACTCAGTTACAGATACATGCACAGCAAATGCCACCAATTATTGAAAAAGTTGGGCTGATCTCTCAATTGTAAAATCTGACTTGCTCGTTTAGAGTCGTTACAAAGCATTAATCACCCTTATATGTTGTACTTTGCCATAAATCAAAAATTCCATGTGTGCGTTACCCTCACGGTTAATTTTCTCCGTTTTCCACTATTTTTTCAGATATTGACAGTTCGCTAAGAATACTAATAATAATGATAGTAGTAATTAATGGTAATTGCATATATAAAAACTGATTAGTTAATAGGAAGAACGATAAAAGTCACCTATTTTACTGAACAAACAGATTGTTTAAACCAGATATCAAGTGATTGAGACAACCGTTACGCTTAAGTGGGTGTGCTGAACTAAAGGTTTGCTTGTTCATTTTTTCATTTTACATATTATTATTATCATCGCTGCGTTTGACATAGAAAAGAGAATTTGAAAGTTTCACTTCCAATAAACGTCATTTATTTATTCATTTTATTTGGCCCGAAACTGATACTTAAAACAAGAAGTCTTAGCAAAAAAGGAGACATAAATCAACCAACTTTCATAATGAGCAGTGCAGACGTAGATTCCACAGGCGTAATGATCGGTAGAGATGGCTTAACAAACGGGATTCACGATACTAATGCTCCTAATACCATTGACTCAATCACCAATGTCTCGACAGCTGAGAGCCATTCGATGAATCCGGAGTTTAACGAAAGTAGTATCCCTAATAAGAATAACGATACTACCACTACAACGACCTCGAAACTACATACTGTACTTGTTGATGGTGTTGCACCCGAGATCCCACATGTTCAAATTAATCAGACACCTTTATCGATGGTTATTAGAAATTTGACCATTTTCACAATTAAAGAAATATCACAATATATGAAGATGAATCTTCACAGGACAACTAATGGAAGTCAAGGAAGTAATAACAACAATAATGGATCCTCGGCGAAGAAAGTTAATTTTTTGCAATTGATAATATACTTGAGAAATCAGTTTTTGAAATTATATGTATTAATTAAATGGGCCAGAACCATCAAGAGTAACAATTTCAATGCACTTATCGATTTATTAAATTGGTTCAGAACAACAAATACATCTGTGAATAACTGTCTATGGGCCCTTAAAGCAAGTCTGGATTCCATGACTAATGCAAAATTACCTAATGCTGATTTAATTACCGCATTAGAGGTCTTAAGTCTTGGAAGACCTAACTTGCCATCACACTTCCTTAATATTACTGCAGCTGGTGGGATGAGTAATACAGATAATGATTCCACCGTTCCACCAAAAGTTGTCTTAAAAGTTCTAAGAGATTTGAACTTTGTTGTATCTATTAAAATGGCCTTGATGGATTTACCACCTCAATTTAATGATTATTATGTGAAAAATGGTCGTGTCTATATTAGTGTTACCAATGAATTTGAAATACAACTATCTACCATTGATCGTAACTCACCTTTTTTCTTCGTCGATTTGAATTTTTTATTTAGATCAGAGCAAAATTTACCACTGAACAAAGCAAGAGTAGAAAAACTAATCAATGATTTATTGTTTAAAAATAAAGACAGGAAACCGCTGTTTTTGTTATATCAATTTCTACATAAGTACATCTTAACATTGAAATTATACATGATTCACATCGAATTACAAGCATTAGAAAATTTCGGGAAATTCTCAGGCGGTAACCTAATTCACATCTATGATTCTAAGAAAAGTATTATCTCTGGTAGATATTGGATAAATGGGAAAATAGGTAATAAAGGTAAGTTTACAATTGGTGTTGACAAAAGAAGTGAGAAATTAATCTTAAGATGGGATAATGATTTTACATCCGAGATATTTAGAACAACCGACGATAAATTGCATCTAACCGGTGCTGATAATGGTATATCTGGAAAGAACAATAACAACACAGGGAAACAGGATGACGTTAGTGGGAATCAAAATACTATACACGATAAATTCAACAATATGCCTATAATATATAATCACATTCTAGGAAATGTTGAAAGTATTCTAGACGAAATCATGTTCAATCATGCAAATATCATTAGAATGAAACTTCTATCTACAGGAATATTTCAAGAAGACGAAGGTAATTCAGATATATTATTGTTTCAATTACCAACAACGTGTATATCTACAGCCCCTATCCAAATGAAGATAGATCTTATCACAGGTGTCTTTTATTTTAAGAACCCATCACCGCTATTACTAGAATATATTCAACAAATTAATAGAACTGAGAAAACCGAAGATTTGATTAAAATTTTACAGAAATTGAAATTAGATAAGATAACCCATGTCCTAAGGAATATGTTTGAAAAAACAGGCTGGATTTGTAGCAAAGTCGTAAAATTAGATATTCTAATCCCAACACAATTCAAAATACAGTCTCACGAAAGTGATTTGCTTCAAAACGATTTATTCATATCGTTACCCAAGTGGCCAGTTAATTGGTATCTGATTCTAACGGTGATATCTTCCAATTCCTCTTGTGTCATTGAGAAACGTATTGGTAAGATCGTATCTAGTAAAGGTAAATGGGAATTAAAATACCTGGATATGTCTAGCATTGTGTCTTCTAAGTTGGAGACCATGACCTACCAAAAGATACTGTCTCTACAAAAGACTATCTTACACAGAATTGTCAATCACATGCTAATTGACTCGTTAAATGAATTGAAAATCAAAAATCAAATCTGTTCTGCCGAGAGTGTATCGATGAACCTGCCCAAGTATGTTATGGAGGATGATTCCTCCGATAAGGATACAACAGCTGGCGGAATCATTGCATCTCAAGAGGACGAATACACTTCTATCATAACCATGGAACTAGTATCTTTTCTAGAAGGCTCGAATGCGCTAAATGGAATCCTTGAAAGTTCCATGTTCATGAGGATCGATTACACAAATTCTGAAATTAGATTGTATACCAGATTTAAAAGAGATATAATGATCAAACAAGTACAATGTGAAGAACTTTTGATACATTTTGTTAAAGATGATAACCTAGCATTCTATATGTGCGAACACTTTAAATCTTTGAGCCAGATTGTCCATTACTTAAGTACGTTCAGACAGAAATTGATGCAATTGGTTATTCTCACTGACGTTGTCGAGAGACTACACAAAATTTTTGCATCTGAAAACTTCAAAATTATTGCATTGAAGCCAAACGAAATTTCATTCAATTATCTTAGAAATAATTCTACCCCGATGTTACAAGATAAAGGAGACAAACAGGATTGCGCAATTAACATAATAACAAGTGACATGAAGGTGAAAAATCTGACGGTAAATTTGTCAAAAACGAACCCTCAACATATAATACAACCGTTTATTAACAGCGGAGGCTATGACTATCATTTTATCTTCAATTACTTACAGTTCACCTCTTCTCTCTTTACAACTCTAAGAGACATCATACATGAGAGACAAGAGAATAAGGATAAGAGTTATACTAAAGTGAGTCTTGGTTTACACAACTTGAGTGAATATCAGTTAGTATACCATAACGCTGAAGTTGGCTCGAAGATCACCTTGATAATAGAGTTGAAGAATGCTTCTCATAATGGTAGGAATAACATCCAATTCTATGTACATTTCTCTAATGATGAGCATATTACGTCGAAGTCTGCTGCATACCCAATGATTCATCGTGTTCGTAACGAAATTTTCATTTTAGATACAAAAGTGAACAGTTCATTAACAGGTCCTGAACCAAAAACTTCTCCTGCTAGTAATGAAGGGGTATCTACCGCATTAAGAAAGTTCCCTCATTCTATTAGATTGGTTGACGGTATATCGTGTGACTCCAGAGATATTGAAGCCATTCTAACCGAAATACATTCCATCTTAAAAGTGGACAGCAACGATAAATCTAAGCAATAAAAGTAATTACTTATATATATATATAGAGGTATATATTAACACACCAGAAACAACTGCAACATAATACGATATGGCACTTGGTCCTTATATTCCCAAAAAGCACGTTTATGACGTATTTTCTCGAACCCCCCGAACAATTCTTCAAGGAATTGTAATACATATTTATATAAGTTCATATTTTCTTGCAACAAGAATCATAACATTTTTGTCTATTTGATCCTGTTTCTACAAAAATTGCATTAGATTTCATATTCGAAAAGTTATCGCAACCTAAAATGAGTGAACAAACTGCTGTTGTACTAGTTAAAAAGGAACATCTAGAATTTCAAAAGCGTACCATTCCAGAGGTTCAAGACCCTCATTACGTTAAGGTACGTGTAATGGCTACAGGAATATGTGGTTCCGACATTCATTTCTATAAGGAGGGAGCAATTGGCCCATTTATTGTTAAATCTCCTATGATCATGGGTCACGAATCTAGTGGGGTTGTTGTTGAGGTGGGGGATGCAGTCACAATGGTTCAAATAGGTGACCATGTTGCCATTGAGCCAGGTGTGCCTAGCCGTTACTCAGAGGAGACAAAGGCAGGCCATTACAATTTATGCCCACATATGAGGTTTGCTGCTACACCCCCTGTGGATGGAACGTTAGTGGAATATTACGTTTCTCCAGAGGATTTCGTTCACAAGGTCCCAAAATCTCTAGCCTTTGAAGAAGTTGCATTAATGGAGCCATTATCTGTAGCTGTACATGCCAATAAATTGGCTGGAACCAAGTTTAATGATACAGTGATAATTATGGGGGCCGGACCAATTGGGTTAGTATGTGGTCAAGTTGCTAAAAGTTTTGGTGCAACTACTATATTATATGTGGATGTCAATGATTTCAAGTTGGATGTAGCTCAGAAGTCGTTTGGGGCAACACATATTTTAAACAGCAAGAAATTAAAAAGTGATGTTCCTGTAGAGGTCGCCATCAAAAAGTTATTGGGAAATACTAAAATAGATACTGTATTAGAGTGTACGGGTGCTGCTCCTTGTGTAGATGCTGGCCTAAAGGCTCTCTCAGGAGGTGGAACTTTTATTGTGGTTGGTATGGGTGCTAATAGTATTCCTGTACCAATGAATTTAATCTCAATGGGAGAGCTAACTATCAAAGGCTGTTTCAGGTATTGTCAAGGGGATTACAAAGACGCTATTGGCCTAGTTAGTCAAGGAAAGGTAAACCTGAAAGAACTTATTTCTGCTAAGTATAAGTTTTCAGATGCAATCAAGGCATATGAAGCTCAATTAGACCCTTCTGTCGAGAAGAGAATAAAGACCATTATACTTGGACCAGAGTAAGACAAACTATAACGGTAGTTACAGTCCGGTTTCCTTTTTCTGTTTAAGTTATATATATATATATATATATTTATGTTTCACTATTTGTATGTAGTGGTGAGCTACTCATCATTATTTCGCAGTCGCACTTTACGGAGACAGCTGCCGGCGAATTAGAAATTGAAATTCTCGAAATCAAATAAGGACAAGGTTAATTTCAAGCATATTTTCTGAGATTACAAATAATAATATATACATAAAAGATCAGTAAGCACATTTGACTGAATTTATTAGGTTACTGGTTTTTATTTCCATAACTCAGTGAATCGTGTATAAAGAAAAAAGGAGGACAATATGGTGTTATTGTCGAGGAATCTGAACTTGTTTCAGATGCGTAGCGCACTTTCTAACCCTACAAGGATCTTACGACATCAGGAAGCCTTGGTGGCATCTTCGAAGCTTAGAAAATTTGCTTATACTCATAGGGCATTCCATCTATCTTACAGAAAAATGTCAGAATACGAGGATGAAAAAGTCGTAATCGATGAGATCAACAAGAAACTAACCCCTGAGGATATCAACCACGCAAGGAAGTTAAGAAATATTGGTATATCTGCACATATTGACTCAGGAAAGACTACTTTTACTGAGCGTGTCTTATACTATACAGGTAAAATTAAGGCGATTCATGAGGTTAGAGGTCGTGACAATGTGGGTGCTAAGATGGACTCTATGGATTTAGAGAGAGAAAAAGGTATTACCATCCAATCTGCAGCCACTTACTGTTCCTGGGATAAAGATAACGAGAATTATCAGTTCAACCTGATTGATACACCAGGGCATATTGACTTCACCATCGAAGTTGAGCGTGCTTTGCGAGTCTTGGATGGTGCTGTGTTAGTCGTTTGCGCAGTCTCTGGGGTTCAATCTCAGACTGTTACTGTGGATAATCAAATGCGTAGATATAATGTCCCAAGAGTTACATTCATTAATAAAATGGATCGTATGGGTGCTGATCCATTCCGCGCTATTGAACAGTTGAACTTGAAGTTAAAGATTCCTGCCGCCGCTGTTCAAATCCCTATAGGTAGTGAGAACGAGTTGAAAGGTATTGTAGATTTAATTAATAACGAAGCTGTGTTCAGTGAGGGTGACAATGGTGAAATTTTAAGAAAAGCCCCAATTCCTGCTGATTTAGCTGAGTTGGCTGCTGAAAAGAGAAAATTGCTAATTGAAACCTTGGCTGATGTCGATGATGAAATGACAGAGATTTTCCTAGAAGAGAAAGAACCAACTGTCGACGAGATTAAAAGTGCCATTCGTAGAGCTACTATTGCCAGAAAATTCTCCCCTGTATTAATGGGTTCTGCTTTGGCCAATACCGGTATTCAACCTGTCTTGGACGCTATTGTCGATTATTTACCAAACCCTTCCGAAGTGTTAAACACAGCTCTAGATATTGCACATGAGGAGAAGAAAATAGATTTAATTCCATCAACACAGGAACCATTTGTTGGTTTGGCCTTCAAATTAGAAGAAGGTAAATATGGTCAACTAACCTATATCCGTGTTTATCAAGGTCGTCTAAGAAAGGGTTCTTTCATCACCAATATTCAAAATGGTAAAAAGGTTAAGGTATCAAGATTAGTAAGAATGCATTCGGAAGAAATGGAAGACGTTGATGAAGTCGGTTCTGGTGAAATATGTGCCACTTTTGGTATTGACTGTGCATCTGGTAATACATTTACAGATGGTACTGTCCAATATTCTATGTCCTCCATGTTTGTTCCAGATTCTGTTGTTTCTTTATCTATACATCCTAAAGGTAAGGACTCTACCAATTTTTCCAAGGCTTTGAATCGTTTCCAAAAAGAAGATCCTACATTCAAAGTTAAGTTTGATTCAGAATCCAAGGAGACTATTATCTCTGGTATGGGTGAATTACATTTAGAGATTTACGTTGAAAGAATGAAGCGTGAATACAACGTTGAGTGTATAACAGGTAAACCTCAAGTATCCTACAGAGAATCAATCTTATCTTCTGCTGACTTCGACTACACTCACAAGAAACAATCTGGTGGTGCTGGTCAATTTGCTAGAGTTATGGGTAACCTGACTCCAGTGGAAGGTGATAAGAAGTCCAATATTTTCGAAACTGCCATTGTTGGTGGTGCCATTCCAGAAAAGTTTTTGGCAGCATGTAATAAAGGTTTCGATGAGGCCTGTGAAAAAGGTCCTTTAATTGGTCATAAGGTATTGAACGTGAAAATGTTGATAAACGATGGTGCTATCCATTCTGTGGATTCTAATGAATTGGCTTTCAAGACTGCTACAATTACTGCCTTCCGTAACGCTTTCTTAAACTCTCAACCTGTCATCCTGGAACCTATCATGAATGTTTCCGTGACCTCACCAAATGAATTCCAAGGGAATGTCATTAGTTTGTTAAACAAATTACAAGCTGTTATCCAAGATACTGAAAACAACCACGATGAGTTTACGTTGAAGGCTGAGTGTCCATTGAGTTCCATGTTTGGATTTGTTACCTCTTTAAGAGCATCCACTCAAGGTAAAGGTGAATTCTCATTGGAGTTTAGTCACTATGCCCCAACACTTCCAAATGTACAGAAGGAACTTATTGCGGAACACAAAAAACAACAAACCAACAAGAATTAATTTTAATGAATAATACCAAGATGGTTCATCGACAAAATTACATAAAGGAAATCAGAGATACTTGTAAATATAAACAGCGAAATCCACATCCTTTGCTCGATATCCACTTCCATATTCAAGTAGATTATCAATGTGCATATACATATATAAATATATAAACTTGTAAGTATACGGTGTAAACAATATTAATATTAAAGTTCAAATTTTTTTAACTAATTATACGTTAATGGGTTATGTTACAAAAAATAATGCTGTAAGAATCATTTTCTTTTTATCATATTATGATTGAAAATACGTAAATGCTAACGGGTATAAGTATCATCTTTTTTAATCTTATCTAAAAGATCGTTTATCTTTGGACCCATTAAAGGTTGTCCCGTCCTTGTACGCTGGGTTAATTGCGTTGATCTACGTTCTCTTTGCTTAAATTTCTCCTTGGATTCATGAAGACGATCTATCTGTCTCTGACGATGGTCTACAGCCTGTTGAACATTATTTTTACGTATTTGTCTCTTGATCTCTTTCTTTTCATCCAATTTCTTTTTACCCTCTCGCAAACGTTGTTCTTTCATATCGCGAACACTCAGTTTAACTTGAGATTGCGACTGAGCTTCAGGAACCGAGTACCCTTCATCCTTCAATGCCTTCAAGTATGCCTTTCTTAATCTGGTCTTCTTTGTGATACTCTTTTGGATCTCCCGTACCTTATACTCTCTGGTGAACTTTTCTTTATTTCTCTGCTGTTTTGTAAATGCCATCTTTGCCTCTTCACTGTTACTAACGAATAATATGACAACAGAATCTTAAAATAATGAGCTAATCAAATAAGGATTAACCCTGACATCTACTTCTTCTTTAACCTTGCTTGGGAAGCTCATCGAGTTTCATTATTTTGAAATTGAGATGAAAAATTTTGGCGGGTTGTGCGGGTAAAATCCGGAGAGTTCCTGTATCGGTGAGAAGCGGTCAACCAAACAAATCGAAAAGTTTCAGACTTGGTGAATCTTTTGACTGATGATGAGCCCTTTTCATATTTAAGCAGGTTAGGCTACCGAAGGGTTCCTGGTTTTTGCAAAATTAACTAAACACTACAGTAACTAAATGAAGCTATGAATAGGCCAGTAGTTTCTTTGACATATAGGCGCAATGGGAAGCGGGTTGTCAAGAGAGTGCCAGCAATTGTGCGACAGATTTTATTATCTGATAGCACTATACCGTTAACTTCCGAAGAGAAAGACAAACTTTTCAAATATTTTGTGGACAATCGACTGACAACTCAATCATATGAAAGACAATGGACACTAGATTTACTTAGGAAACGTGGCGCTCATGAGGTTATATTAAAGTTTGGGAGACGCCATCTCTTTGTTATAAACAACTGTGACACCACTACGAAATTGAACACACTTTCAAAAACTGACAAATTAAGTGACAATAAATCTTTATCAACATTAACACCTGTAAATATTCAAAATTATGATGATAAAGAAATCACTAGTAACTATATTCATGGAAAACAACCCACCATTTTGTTGAAAGATGACGTTGTAGGTTCCGAATTACGGACATTTATTTATTCGTTGATATCAATGAGACATACAAGAGAACTTGAAACATTTATGCAATGCATTATTTCCCAAGTATCACTGGACAGACGAGGTAGAACCTGTGATTTGATCAGTGGTGTATTCAACGGATTAATGAACTTAGCACATGAAGATCCGGAAACTGCCAGTAAACATAAGATTAACGACGCTACGATATTAAATAGATGGGTTAAATGGGTAATATTACTGAACGGTAGTTGTGAATTTACTTCGTATACTAATAATAGAGACATTTTGAGAAGAATGCTGAACTATCTTACTGAAACCAAAGATACTGATGAAGAGAACACTTTATTCAAATCACTATCAGAAGGGTTAGATTTAGTAAACAAACATCAGGGAATAACTGCATCTTCTCAATTTGCGACCACATTAATTTACTTAGCGTCATATTGTAAGAATTTTGAACTCGTAGAACAATTATGGAAATTCAAAACAGAAAATAAGTTCCCAATATGTGCCGTTGATCTAACTACAATTATGAGAGCATATAATTATAAAGGTAAATTTAATGAAGTTGCCGAAGCATATGAATTATACCCCGAGGCTCATCATGACGTGTCTCAATTTGATTATCTTCTGTTAGCCCACGCAAAGACATTAAGTTGGGCAGCACTAAAACAACAATTTGACGCATTGTTTGGTATTGGGAAATTACCTAATATACGGCATTATGAAATTATTATGTATTCGATGGCTCTCTTGGGGAATGCAAAAGATATTGATAGTTTATATTCACAGTTCTTAAGAAGAGGTATGATCCCAACATATCCAATATTACAATCACTTTTACAGTGCCATTATAAATCTAGTAACCCAACGGAATGTTTCGAACAATTTCGATTGTTTGAAAAATATTCTATCAAACCAACAGCTGCAACTTACACAATCATGTTTAAAGTCTATAGAAAACTTAATGATATCAGTGGTGCCTTACGTTTATTAAAGGTGATAACTGACGAAAATAATGTACCAATTTTGGAGGATCATTTTATCATAATAATGCAAATGTGTTCCCGTATTACAAATCATTTGATTGCAAGAGAAATTTTTAATATTATGAAGGATCATTATGATATAACACCAGGGGCGTTATCTGTTTCTGCATTAATGGATGTTTATACAGAGGCCAAACAGTATAATGATGCCATAGTATTATTTGACGACTACTCAAAACGTAAGACGATTCAAAACGATCCAGATAGAATTTCCATTTATACAAGTGCATTATATACCAGGTTGAAATCCAAAGATGAAACTGGATGTGATGCCATCCTTGAAGAAGTCTCTTCGTCGAATATAACTATGGATTCAAAATTCTACAAATACCTGTTAATGTATATGGTGAACAACTTAAAGGATTATGATGGGGCAAATGATTTGCTGAAGAAATTGATTAACAATCCGAAATGGACTTCGAAAGCTAATACAAGCCATTTTGAAGTTATAATGGATGCATATTCAAGAATATCTTACTATGATGGTATATTTCAACTATACAAGTTAATGACTGATAACCATATCCCAGTGAATTCAAAAATTCTCTATTATTTGGTTAAATCAACTTTTAAAGTTCAAATGTCCAAAAAAGAAGATCTGACTAGCTCTATTGAGTTTGTTGATAAAATTATGACCAATAGTGTGGAGAGTAATTTATATACATCTGATAGTAAGTTCCATCCATCGATTATGGGGTGGGCTCTAAGGGCTGTGGCCAAATATTACAGTCCCAAACAGGCCTTGGAGATGTTAAACAGATATGATAAATTGTTTTATGATCAAAATACGAGGTCTGTGAACAATAAGTTTTCGTTAATGAGATCACTGGCGGTCTTATTTGCTGAATTAGGAGATTGGGAACAATTTGAAATCATGTATCAAAACATATGGAATCAATTAGAGAGGTATGAGAAACAACCAACATCTACAATTCCCAATATAAAACTAAGATCTCTTTTTGTCGGTATATTCACATATAAGATTCGTCATTTGAAACAAACAAAACAATTAGAAAAATTACCTGAATTGTTAAACAAATTGAAAACTAGAAACTTTGTGTTGGACAATAGTACATGGAATCAAGCTATTCTTGAATTAGCATCTGATGAAGCTACTATTAAAAGTGCGTTAGAAATCACCAATGAAAAATTTATTCATGGTTACAATATTATTCATAAGAATAGATTGTTAACAAAACTGAAAAACCAATCGTTATCAACAATGAACGATTCTTGGTTCCTTCAAAAAAAGACAGAAAATCCCAATAGCTTTATTCCTACACTGTATTTAGAAAGTGAAACTTTTGATCTATTGTATAAACGGTTAGATTCTTATTTGAATGAACAATCCGATATCGAAAGTATTCTTAAAGAATTGATAGAGAAATATGGCTATTTTATGAAAAGTTATCTAATGTCATCAAAACATGATGTTCGGAATTGGGATGTCATTGAACGTAACCATCATGCATACTTCCATGAACTGAGAACAATAAAACGTGTTATTCCTGTTCTTAAATTTTAGTCTCGAATATTCATACTGACTAAATGTAATAATCATGTAAATACATACACATACACATACATACTTATACGTAACCACTTCATCACCCAACTGATACAGTATCAATGCATAATTTATAAAGACAACAAGTTCTTCTTTACATAGTAAATTGTATAAAAGATAAAGTTTGATTAATATTCGTTCTTAAAAGCTTGTATACGATTAGTTCATACAGAGTATATACATATATAATTATATATAGTTATATATATATACAAAAGTGAGTTAGAGTTAGTGAAGAAAAGATCCTGAAAAGTTGTTTTATTCAAGAAAAACAAAAGAGATGTTTCTTTTAAATTTTCTTTACGAGGATGCTTAGAAACACTTGTGGTGAACGATGGATGGACCACTTTCGTCGTATTCTTGCTTTGAGATCCACATTTGTTGGAAAGTAGTCAAAGAAGCCAAGATAGAACCACCAATCCAGACAGAGTACTTTCTCTCTGGTGGAGCAATGATCTTAACCTTCATAGAAGATGGAGCCAAAGCAGTGATTTCCTTTTGCATTCTTTCGGCAATACCTGGGAACATAGTAGTACCACCGGACATGACGATGTTACCGTATAGTTCCTTACGGACATCAACATCACACTTCATGATGGAGTTGTAAGTGGTTTGATCGATACCGGATGATTCTAGACCTAGGACAGATGGATGGAACAAAGCTTCTGGAGCTCTGAATCTTTCATTACCGATGGTAATAACTTGACCATCTGGCAATTCGTAGGACTTTTCAATGGAGGAAGATTGAGCGGCGGTTTGCATTTCTTGTTCGAAATCCAAAGCGACATAACATAATTTTTCTTTGATGTCACGAACAATTTCTCTTTCAGCAGTAGTAGAGAAAGAGTAACCACGTTCGGAAAGAATCTTCATCAAGTAATCGGTCAAATCTCTACCGGCCAAATCAATTCTTAGAATAGCGTGAGGCAAGGAGAAACCGGCATAGATTGGAACAACGTGAGTAACACCGTCACCAGAATCTAAGACGATACCAGTGGTTCTACCAGAGGAGTATAAGGAAAGAACAGCTTGGATAGAGACGTAGAAGGCTGGGACGTTGAAAGTTTCAAACATGATTTGAGTCATCTTTTCTCTGTTAGACTTAGGGTTCATTGGAGCTTCAGTCAATAGAACTGGGTGTTCTTCTGGGGCAACTCTCAATTCGTTGTAGAAGGTATGATGCCAGATCTTTTCCATATCATCCCAGTTTGTAACGATACCGTGTTCAATTGGGTAACGTAGAGTCAAGATACCTCTCTTGGATTGAGCTTCATCACCGACATAAGAGTCCTTTTGACCCATACCAACCATGATACCTTGATGTCTTGGTCTACCAACGATAGATGGGAAGACGGCACGAGGAGCGTCATCACCGGCAAAACCGGCTTTACACATACCAGAACCGTTATCAATAACTAATGCAGCAACTTCTAAATATAATACATTATAATCCAATCAAACAGCAAAAGAAAATGCTAATTTATGAAATATATAATAAAAATTTGTTAGTAAATTAAAAATTCATGAAAATAAACAGCGTTAAAAGATACGCATTCATACTGAATTAAAAGTTAATAAAGAAATTGATTATTCCAGGTACGATATCACTTTCAACGGGTAAAATTTCAGGAGGTTCAGATCATCCACAAATAACCATATTCAATAATACTGCTTCCATATGGTTACTAGCATAATAACAGAATGATGCTAATATAGTATCACTAAGAATCAAACATATTTGATTACCAAAAGGGTTCTAGATCATTGTGGTAAAATCACAAAAAAGAATAAAACAAAATCCCTTCATCCTGAAATAATATTCTCACAGTAATCATCATTGACAGTATTGCAGTTTGCATACAAATCACATTATGATTAATCTTGAACCAGAAAATTTCAAAAACAACAACAACCCACTCTAATAACCTTCAAATCAAATATGTAACATAGGAAATACGCGTTTCCAAGTTCATAATTTTCACATACCAGAATCCATGTTTATAATATCTATATATATTTATGTTATTCCAATGTACTATTGTATAATGAAATAATTATCGGCAAATCCAACACACCTTAAATGAACAACAATACTCTTGTTACCTCTGCTCTTATCACTAGATGTTACGTCTCCCAATGGTTGTTGTTGTTGTTATTGCTCGACTGGACAATTCCTCTTACTTTGCCAATCCTACTTCCCAACGCATAACGAAATTTCACTTTTTTCGTCTTGGAAATTTCACCGCCAAAATTTTCGTTTTGCCCCTTTTTCCCTGTTAGTGGCGGAATAAGCTGGGAGATTACCCGGGGTTTCTCTGGTCACGTGAAGTTTCAAAACTGCCAATGTCTGTGACGCAAGCTGAGAGAGAAGAAGTTCATTAAGCACAACAGCAACCGTTGGATATATCAAGATGGGGTGAATGAAATACGACTAGGGATAGGTTTTGATGTCTGTTATCTACTTGCCGAGAGACAGGGAGCACGGAGGTATACAAGTGTAGGAATGGCCGGTAAAGCAAGCAAGAAACAGGTCCAAACTAATATTAAGATCCTAAGTGATCTCTACAAGATAGCCGTTCCAGTATTGGTTCTATCTTTATTACGTGCAGTTTACTCTAAGGGTACTGATGCAACATATACGGGAACCACTTTCAGATGGTTACTTTTGAATGCCCCGCTACTGGGGAGTCTCTATACTGTTGAATTATCCGGTAGACCTCGTATTATAGTGGATCCACAAACAGGTTCGAAGAAGATCGTGAAGGAAGGGTTAGATCTATCTCAAAGTGATGGTTTGTTGCAATATTTGTTTGATTTAATATACCTATCGTTGTTTGCTAATGTTGGGAGAATTTTGTTCAATTCTAACAAATTGTGGTATGTGCTATGGGTTTGTCCAATTTATATCTGTTTTAAATTATACGGCTTAAAACAACAATATTTTGGTGGATCAGGTTCAAAGAATTCTGCCAAGGTAGATGATAAATCTGAAGATTCCCCAGTGGAGACAAAGTCTAAAAGACAAACCAAGAGGGAAAAAAGAGGTGATAATCAAGTTAAATACAAATATAGGTAAATACTATTCTTTAATAATGATATTTTTTTTGTTTTGTTTATGTTTTACGTAATCTGAAAATAAAATAAAATAAAATAAAATTGGAGATAATACAAAATACGAAACTAGTACGTATGAAAATATATCAATTACTAATTGTCCTGCAGCTATTCAAAAGGATACTTCCAATTGTGTTTTTTACTTTCTATTCTATTCAATTCGTTACTTTTTATTTTATTCGTCACACAGGTAACATCATGAATAGCGATTTGATAATATGTTTATAAGCGTACCATTTAGTTAAAATATTTTGTGGTAATTTTGTAACTAATAATTGATCTAATTGTTGAATGTATTGTGCAGTGATCTCTCTTATTTTAGCATTTTGTAAATATCTTAGTTTAAAAAACCAAATATAAATCACAATAGACCATAATTTTAAAATGGACGTTAGATTAAATCGAGTTAAGAATCTAAATAATGCCATTGGTAAATCTATCAGTCCAGAACGTAAACTACAAATAATCTCAATCACTTGAGCCATTGCTAAAAATTGGGCATTATAACTCGAAATAAACCTAGTAATATTATTGTTGATCAAATTCTTTAATGAACTATTGATTGGTAAGAAAGGTAATAAATTTTCTTTAAAATAATTTAAACAATGGAATAATGAATAAATCACAGGAGAATATGTCACACCATTCAAGACAATACTATCAGTCATTACTGAACATATCCATAATGCGGTCAACATAATAAAATATTGTAAATTATCTAAAGTCTTTATCTTGTGTCTCAAGCTTGTTGTATCCATTTTCAATTGTCCACTCTTATAGAATTGATACAGGACAATCCCATAAGTAATCGATATATAGAATAATGACATCTTGTAATGGTATATCTGTGATCTAACAGAAAAGAGTGAAAGATGGAACCGAATAAAATGGTATAATGTAAAGAAATGGCCTAAAAACCAATAAAATTGAGGTTGTTTGATTCGTGATTTGATCATCACTCTAAAGGATGCTCGCGAACGAGGTGGATGTGTATCTGATCCTGTCCCCTGAGTTCCTGAACTTGAACTCGAACTCGATACCATGACTGCTAACAGAAATTCCTTGTATTTTAAAAGATCTTTAATATAATGATTCGTTTATTTGCCTTCAATCTTCCTTGTTATCCAAATATCAATCAATAATCACACACTGTGTCAATATTTTAAAAATGCAGCAACAAATTCTCACAGTTTATCAACTCTCGCAAAATAAACCAACAGACAAAGAGTAGATTATCACAAATCTTTATCCTATCTTTCTATTTCGTCTTATCACACAAACCACTTCCTTCTTCTTCTTGTTCTTCCGCGTCCATTAATTAATTTACTTGAAAGAGAATTATTATTATACCAACCGACCGACTGACTTGTTGTTTTGATATTTGTTGCACCGTGCGTGAATTTTCCACGTTTTGCTAAAATTTTATGCTTTTTGACAGCTGAATTTCTGTCAGATTATACAAAACAATGATTCAGTCTCAGAATACAGAATATATACATATATATATAGTAGTGTGATGTTGTGCAGTTACTGTTAATATGGGTTCAGATATTGCTATGCAATCAGTTCTTTTTACGGTACAGTCTGTAGAATACACGCATGTTTTCAAGCTTGATCGGGTAGTCTAGTTTGGTACCACATCTATACCATGTACTGTCGTCCTGATCGACGATCTCCCAGTCACCTTTAGATTCCTGGCCTCTTTGCCCACATAGGATCATATCAATGAGAAATTGTAATGGAAATTTCTTTGTACCAATAGTAATATGACTGTAAGATCCGGCACTCTCCACAATTAATAGAAGACAGCCCTTTTGACAATTCTTGTTTAAATTTTGTAAAAACCTTATGCTTCCAGCTTTTTGTTCTTTAAATAATTCATTGGTAGTGAACAATAACGTTATTAAATCAAGTTTATTCAATTGTAATGCCTTGGAGTCCATTTTTAATACATCATTAAGTTCACAATTTACATTGAATGATTCAAATTCATTACTATAAAGCCAATGAGTCTCGATTTGCTTCAATAGTCTATCTGTTACATGATCCCATTCGGCAATATCTACAAGATGTAAATTCAATTTCCCATTTGATACTGTCTTTCCACCATCTTCACTCTTCTTAGAGTATTTCGACATAAATGGTCTAGATGGGGTAAAGATAGATGCAATTGACACTAATTCTGCACCTGCACCACCACCTATACATAATACCGATTTATCCTCTTGTTCGTGACATGTAAGAATATTCGTGATGGATTCGAAGTGAGAGAATAATGATGCATAACCTAGAGCTCTTGCAGGCGACCATCGACAACAATACGCTACTCTCTTTGTATCGTTATCAAATGCACCAATATAATCTCTATCGTATAAATGTGATTTAACTTCTTGGATTTGTGCTTGTAATTTCTCTAGACCGGAGCTCTCATCGTTTTCATCATCACCATCATTTCCATACAATTCATGGTCAAATGTTCTTTTGAAAAGATCAAGGACTTCTTGAGGTGGTAAACTAGCTTCATTGTGTTCCGGTAGTTGCGATGACATTATATTGATTGGATATATACACTTAATTATATATATATATATATATATTATTCGAGGTACAAGTAAAAATAGTGCTTATGAATTTTTTTTTGCGATGCCTTCTTTAATAAGTACAATCAAAATTTTTATTATTTTAAAATTATGTATCTATAGGATAAAATACTATCGAAACGAATTTAATAATATATTATTGGATGATATATATTGGTATAATAAATGCTGTATATATATTTATGAAAGTACCCTTGTGATCTTGATTGAAGAAAAGAATGATGAAAAAGTGATTAATTGATTAAAAATAGAAAATACATAAAAAATTTTGAGATTAAATATTCAGTTTTTTAGGCAAAATGCACTTATTCTTCGTCTTCTTCTTCGTCTTCTGGAGTGACTTGGTAGAAGGCCAACTTGTATTGGTTAGTCTTGGTAGAGACGAATCTGATCCAGTCTCTCAATTGGTTCTTCTTCAAGTACTTCTTGGTTAGGTACTTTAGGTACTTACCAGAGAACTTGGTAGTAGAAACAATGGTGACGACGGAACCATCTTCTTCGACAGTGATGGCGTTACCTAGGTTACCGGTAGCATGTTCGACCTTGATGTGGTCGATCAAGTACTTGGCGTAGGAAGCTGGGTCGAAGACACCGTTTTCGGTTGGAGAGGAAACGTCGACAGTGAAGGTCTTGACAATCTTTTGCTTTCTGGTAGTCTGTAATAATAATGATTAAAATAATAATTTTAAAAAATTTGTTAGTAACTAATCATTTTTCAAATTGTTTTTTACATATCTTGCCTACTGCTATTAACAATCACATCAATTTCAAAAAATACTTAATATTAAATGAAATAATTGGAAAAGAGTGAATTTTTAAAATACAGCATAGCACAACAATATAAGAAAAAAATTACATTATATTAGTCCGGACTGATGCATAGGTAGAGTAGGATTGGGAAAACATATATCCACCCTAATATTTATTCATAAATATTTAATTAATTGGATTGAAGCTTGTTTTGTTAATTTAAGCAAAAGGAAACAACATATGATAAATGGGAAATCTTTATGTTATTTGACATACGTTTGGAGCCATTTTAACTGATTATTCTTGGTTGTAGTGTACGGTTTACTTTGAGAAGTCTAATATAAGAAAGTTAGCTGCAGAATAAGTAGATATAATAAAATACCTATGTTAAATGTATGTATATTATTGAAATTGATATTTCAATTTCATTAAAGATGTAAATTGAATGAAAATCATTAAACGCGTTGTTTGATCGAATTCTCTAATGTGAAGTATTCACATGACGAAGCGGTTTCAGTTATAAAGAAAAATAAAAAAATGAAGAAACAGAAAACTTAATGCTGGTGGACGGATGTTAAAGCAGGGTGTACGGATGTAAAACCAAACAGTCACATATATTTATCACTGTTACAATTTTGAAACATTAATCTAACAAGGATAGATGCACAGTTTGAAACAAGAAATATATTAGATTATTTATAGAAGAGACTACACTAATTTGCTATTTATGATTGTGGTATGCTGTCGTGAAAACTACGTAAGAGATCATCGTATTGTCTATATTTGTAATGTTATAGAGTTATTGACTCTCTCTTTATTTATGTAGATTTGTGTATTTATAACGTCTCATTAGATGTATTTTTGAAACAAATTATACACATACACACAACAGTTGTACAACGACTACTACTAATATGAGCACTCAACAAAAACAGCACCTTACCAATGGTGAATAACATTCCCAATAATTGTCAGAGATTTGGCAATGGGCAGACCCTTCTCTTTACCGTTTTGAGTAAACAATTCTCTTCTCTCACAGAAGACAACGTGCGGACACAGAAAGAAAAATGAAAACAAAACAAAAACAACAAAAATGAATTAAATAAGCAGAACGTTGTTCCGGTTACAGTGATTATTAAGCCAAAGTTATGTAAACAAAGAAAACGACACAGAAACTTGTGATCGATAATATATATATAAGAAGTTTCATCGTCTTGTTTTATATATATACAGTTGTTTTTAGGATCTAAACGGTTAATAGAACAAACCCCATATAACAGACCCTACACAATAGTCATTATTTACCTCATATAAACTTGAAAAATATGTTTAGAAACATCATCTCATTAGTACAACAAAAAATCGTTAGAAATGGTCCATCTACTCAAGTGAGACATCTAGCGGAACAAACTACCAAAAAATTGGTTAAAGGAACTATCTTAAGGGACTCTAAAGGTAGAATCTCCAAACCGATTGTTTGGATTGATTGTGAGATGACCGGTTTAGATCATAAAAATGATCATATTATTGAAATATGTTGTGTCATTACAGATGGTAATTTGAATATTGTCGATAAAGAAAATAACAATTGTTATGAAAGTGTTATTCATTGCGATAAATCTATTATGGACAAGATGGATGAATGGTGTGTTGAACATCACGGTTCTAGTGGATTAACTGAAAAAGTCCTAAAGAGTACTAAGACTAAAGAACAAGTTGAAGAAGAATTATTAAAATATATTAAGAAATATATCCCAGATGGAAACGTAGGGATTTTGGCAGGTAATTCAATTCATATGGATAGACTTTTCATGTTGAAAGAATTCCCAAAGGTCATCAATCATTTATTCTATAGATTAATTGACGTTAGTACTATAATGGAGGTCGGTAGAAGATTCAACCCAGATATCGTCTATGTTTTCCCAAAGAAAGAAACTGCACATACAGCAAAGAAGGATATATTAGAGAGTATTGCTCAATTAGAATGGTACAATGAGCATTACTTGAAGTCTCCAGAAGAGACAAAAGAATTTGTTGATATGAGAAAAGCAGAGATAAAGGAACAAGAAAATCAAGATATTTTTAATGCCATTGAAAAGAAACGTCCTATTGAGGAATCTGATAAAGAATCTGACCCAAAAAAGAGAAAAATAGATCCTGAAAATTAATCCTATTTTTTTCTTTTCTTTTGATGACCGTTTAATGTTTTATTCATTTCATTTTTAGTTTTAGTTTTATCTTTTAGTTTTTTTTTATTTTACCATATAATCAATTTAATTGATTATATTATGTAATATTAGTATCGTTTAATAGTTGTTCTTCCTTTGGAAGGATGTATTCATGGAATCCGACATTTTAATGAATTGTTGTTAAATTAAATGAAATTAATCATGTATATATGCTTATATGCTAATTGTATTATACCTACCCAATTGGTTCTTGTTTTAAAATAATAAAAATATTTGTGAAATTGTTATAATTGTTCCATGTCCCGCATAGTTGGTGGTTCCACGACACGTCTCTTTAACAAATGTGCACCTTCCGTATAAATATATTCATCCAATGAATAATTTGAAGGATCGCTAAATAATAGATAGTAATATTTTAAAGTTTGTGAAAACCAATAACTAGGTAATGCAACATTTTTCTTATTCAAATCTGCTATCCTCCATGTCCCCTTCGCACCCATATTAGTCTTTTCCATTGTAGCCAACATTTGAACCTTCAATTGACGACCCATCTCTCTCCATTTCTCATCACCTGTGGTTCTATACATGAAGAAAATAGATTTAATCAGATTTGGTGATAATAGAGTACTATTATTGACACTATTAATCCATAAGGATCTCTCTGGATCTGATTTCCAAGTCTGCATCTTTTCATCAATATCCTCATCTGAGAGAAGTATATTCATAAAGTTTTCATCCTTAATAAAATTAAACGATTTTGTAATCGTATCATCCATACTAGCTACATCATCACTGTTATCTGTGGCAAATAAGGGTTTATTTTCATCCAGGTCATCATCTTCCAAAGGTTTCACATGAATGACTTCATTCAATATTTCCTTTGATGAATCCAGAATTGATCTCTTTATTTTCTTGTTGGTGTCTTTACTTGTATCTGTCTTCATCAGTTCCACCACTGTATCCTTAGGGAAACCATTTTCAAATCCCACATACCGGCCGTCTCTAATATCCTTCATTTTATCATCTTTATTAAAGATACAATCATTAGTGATACAAGGGTCTAATGCCATTTCAGCCAATGCAGCACCTTGGGTCATGGCCAGTTTGAAACAAGTCGTAGTCAATTGACTAGCCAAGTTCATTTCATATTTATTGGAAATGTCGTCATCATAACCTTTGGGAAACAATTTGGACCCGTATGCCAATGTGGCCCCCAGGGTACATGATTCAGGGTGGAATGTGAAGTCTCTTCTTAACTGAATTGCCAAATCGTTTGTGGATGGCGAAAAGATAGGGTTTATATTTAAATTACTCATAACCATGAAATCATCATCGAATCCGATTTCCGGATGCATTGGTTGAAATTTGAAAAATTTATTCATTTGTTCCATTGAAGAATGAAATAGATATGAAGAGTTTGTTGAAGTCGTAGTATCTGAAACGTCCAACAAATCAGTTTGAGTCAAAGCATATAGTTGAGAAATAATATCATATAAAGGTAACAATTTCGAGTCTAATTTGTAAGTGGTGGAAGATTCTGGGAAATAAGTCAATTGATGACAATGAATGAATTTCAAATTTTCATCAATACTTTTCATGATTCTAGAGTCACGTTGATGATCGCCTTTCTGAACGTCCTCCGATGTAACTAAAGAACAAGTTGATGCATCGATATTATCTGGGAAAATGGAATCGATATTCAAATATTCTGTCGATTTAATTATCATGGTTAGGATATGCAACATTGTATTAAAATATTTGTTTGAGCCTGTCAATTGAGTCAATTTTGTAAATTCTGAGGCCATCTTCACTAAATCGGCGACGGAGGCGTCCATATAAGCGAATCTATTCTTAAAAGGAGTTTTCCAAGAATATTGTAAAAGTTCCACTCTGTTTGGAGTATCAAATGCCCTCAATAAGAAATCTGCCAATTCTTTCGCCTTTGTCAAAAGGATTTTTTCTTGCGACAGTTCATAAGCAGATATCAATCCGCCCAGTAGTCTTGTTGATAAGTCCACGACGTGGATGATTTCCATCTCCAACGGTGGGATCTTAAAATCCGTTGCCTCTACAGTGGTCACTATCTTTTGAAACAACAGGTGTTCTTCCATGAGATACAGAGTGTCCATGATATCGACCTCGTCTATGGGCCAAGTCGAGTCGTGATCTATGGACAACAGATATAATTTCTGTTGATCCCATGATTTCAACAAGATATTATGAATCTCCTCTTTGTCTTGAGAATAACCCAAAGGATCCCTGGATTCGTCATCGGCATCATATAGATGCGCTTGAACCTTGTGTAAAGTATCTTTCTGTTTCGTTGAAGGTTTTGAGGTTGATTGATAAAACGAAGACAAGCTCACTTCATACATCAAAGGGTATTTTTCTTTATAATTCGTCAACTCTTGCATCGACAATTCCACATCGTCCAGATCCAATGGAACCGTGGGGTCTGTCGTTGGAGATTTCAACCACAATGGGAAATATTTATTTTTCTCCTTCAACACCAACGGATCTGCCAAATCCACACTTGTCTTGCTACTTGAATCTTCATCGTTCTCTTTAGCGGGTGCTGGTGGTGGCAACTGCTGGACACCTTGCTGTACGAGATCGATCCCGTCCTGTGGCTTGTTGACCGATCGCAAATTCGAAATGAGGTCCGAGGTCTGCGCAGCAGAGTGTTCCAAATGGTCGTTATTGATCGATGGCAAATATTCGTTTTCTGCGTATGAGTTCAAGATATCGATTTCATTCTGGAAAGTGTAGTAGAATAGGGTCGAGATGGTGACTGTCAGTAGCAGCACGGATCTCAATTTGCGTACTGTTGCGAGAAACAGCTTCGAGATGCTCATTCTCCGGTTGTATACCTCTGTGTCTCGTTGTAATAGTCGTTCATGTGATGTCGTGTACTTTTCTTTTTACCTGTGTATATCCCAGACGCATCTTCGCTTATATAAATGTGCCAAGGACAAATGCAGATGAAATTTTCAAGACAGAAACGAAACGAAGCCAATAAAAGCAAGAGTGTATATGTAGAGTGGATAAAGAAACATTAGAAGTGTGTATATATATATGTAAGTATATATAAAATGTATAAAAAAAGGTTCTAAATATTCAATTATTCTTCTTGATATGGTCATCGTAGACTCTTTCATCCAAGTCCCCCTCCAATTCCTTCATTTCTTTGTCGACGTCCTTCAATTGTTCTTCCAATACTTTAGAATCGTTCTTTAGAGAAGGATCGAACAACGAGTCCTCTGGTCTTCTGTAGGAACCACCCAGTCTGTCCCACAATGTGGTGAATTGACCGAAGTTGTAACTGAAGTACAGATGGTGAACGGTATGGCACGCAGTCCCGTTCACGACCTTATTGTTGTACATGTGATTACCGTCATGAATCATGATGGTCCAAAAGTTGACAAAGACGAATAAACCTAGATAAATCAGTTTCTGTAGAGGGAAGATCATTGGGTAGACGTGGTAGGAGATGGATTGCCCGTACCCGTCGAATGGGTTGAACGCGTGGGAAGCGAATGGGGTACAAACGATCCACTTGTGATGAGGCTTGTGTAGGTACTTGTAAACCAGAGGCCAGTGCAACCATCTGTGAGCGAAGTAGACACCACAGTCGGTGAAGAAGATGAAAGCGCAGACTTCGATCAGGTAGTTATGCCAGTTTTTGTTTGGGTTGTTGAAATACAGTCTTGAATGTCCGTTACATTCCAGGACGAACCATGGGGCGGTCAGGGCGGACATGACGGGGATAGCAGTCAACGCTAGATGGATTTCTTGGTACATTTGGTTTTTCAAGTATCTTGGATGGTTGAAGATCGTCTTATCGAAGACAAAGATGTAGGACATCCAGGCCATCGATAAGTACAGCAGCCAGCCGAAGACGGTGGTGATCAGGCATAAGGAGACGAATTCTCTTAGAATGTTGTATCTTGGGAACAGCGATTGGAAAGTGGAATTGGTGAAGTCACGCAAGAATGGAGTGTGGCCATAAATTTCTTTATTGATACGTGGCAGGTTATTTTTGTAGTCCAGAGTCTGTAGCAGCAGAGTGGAGTTTTTGGAGATGAAACCGTCGTTCAAGTCCAGCAGAGACAGCCATTTAGATGGGATGTTTTCAGCCAGTGAAACAGGAAACAATTTAGTGTATATTTGATCAAACACATAACGGTCTGTGACTTCCAGAACCAAATCCATTGTGTGCTTGAGATGTCGTGATTACGTATTTAAGTACTGCTATTTATACCGGGATATAATACAGGCATGTAATGTAGACGATCCAGGTTGTAGGAACGCAATGTACATCTGAATGATTCACCTGTCCTTATATATATCCAGAGATTCAGTGGAAAATGCTTTGTTAATCGCAATAGACGACCATCTCTGTCTGCAATGTGAAAATTTGTTAAACGAGGCGACGAAGCCCGAAATTTGCGCATAGCAAGCGGTCGCTGTAGCTGTGGCACTATAGCACGATGGCGAATGTATTTCCGGCACAGTGAGCTAAACGAGCTAATTCTTGCTGTCGCAGAGACACAGGTGGAGGAGTGCACGCAACGAACCGAGTGTGAGCAGAATGTGTTTTAAACGAATCGCAGCAACTGCTATACGAGAGAGAGCACTGTGCAGTGTACCGCGTCCTGTGCCGTGTCGTCGTGTCGTATAGCCTGCACCCACACATTCGCCGGCAGACAGACTATACAGAATTGGTGTGGTCCGTGCCCTGGACTATACGGACGTCCACCCGGGTAAGCTTTGTGTGTGTGTCGGCTGCAAACGTGGATTCGACCGAGTTGTGCCTCTGAGGGACTGCTTGCTACACGCTAAATTTGCTCATGCGAATTCGAGCACAGGGCATGACAGCAATCGGGCCAATATACAATATGGGTATGGTATGGTATATTGGTCTTAGGCTGATACCCTTACATTGCACTCTGTGCTGGCAGTTTTTCTGTCTTTTGTGCGCTGCTAATCTCGCGCATTTGCTTTGTTTACGGCGATGAAGATGAAAAATATAGAAAGCTGCTGTCTACACAGACATATATATTTTTCACTGGAACAACAACAGTGGAACAGATGCTTGTTGATCGTACACAGACATATCTTGATTGACTTGTTGTTTAGTTGGTGTTTCGTTGGTCACACCGCAGTAGCATACAGCGTGCAAAGGAGAGAGACATGGACGAAGTAGATGATATTCTGAACCAAAATGAAGCAGAAGAAGAGGAGGAGGAGGAAGAGGAGGAGGAGGAAGAATTGCAAGAACTGGATGACGACGAGGAGCAAGAGAACGACAACGATGACGACGAGGGCGAGGGGAATGACAATGAGAACGATATAGATGAGGACGACGACGGCGATGACGAGAAGGACAATGAGGATGGGGATGGGGATGAGGATGAGGATGAGGATGAGGATGAGGATGGGGATATGGATGTCGATGAGGATGAGGATGAGGATGAGGAGCACGAGGATGAGGAGCAGAAAGACGACGATACCAACTCCATCCCTCAGAGGGATGCCCTTCACGACTACTACCTCTCTTTGCTCCAGTCCTCGAAAATTGCATCTGCTTATAATATTATACCAACTGTGGCCATTCCAATTCAATCACATATCAATACGCTGTCCCTATCAAAAGGGCTGAAATATTTATTTGTAGGGGGTGATGACGGTTACATCAGAAAATATGACTTATTGAACTCTATCGACGGCCAATTATCCTTGACAATCTTACAGAAACATTCCTTGGCCGAATCGATTTCAAATGCAGGGATCTTGACTGGCTATTGGGAAAATGAAATTCCACAGAAAAAAGCACAAATGAATATAATCGAAAAAAACAATAAAATCGACTATCAACCAATAGTGTCACCCGTTTACTCCATAGAGGTGCAAAGCCAATGCATGTTCTTACTTAGTGGACAAGATAATGGGGGGATAGCAATGCAAAGTATTAGATTCATGGAAGGCTCGACAATCCATTATTTCAAAGAACATTCTTCAGTGGTCAATCTCTTGAGATTGAATGACAAAGAAGATAAGTTCATGAGTGCGTCATGGGACAAACGAATTCTCGAGTGGGATTTAAATAAACCGCAAACTTTTGTGAACGAATTTAAAGGAAGTAATTCTGAATTATCATCTTTAGAATATAGACCGTTGTTTTCCTCAGTTGAAATACAACAACAATCTACGGAAAAGAATAATCCTGATAATAACGATGAAGACGACGATTCATTATTTGGTGATGATGAAGACGATGACGACAACAACAGCAACGATCACAATAACAATAACAATAACAACAAGACCGGTACACATGTGCCGAGTGACGAAATTTCAAACGAAACTTTAAGAATAGTATACGACGAAACAACATTCATGTCGTCGGGTCTGAACGGTTCAATTAATATTTGGGATAAACGTATTAGTAAATCTCCTGCATTGTCTCTCAATAGAGGACCCGGGATACCGCCTTGGTGTTTTTCTGCATGTTGGAGTGCCTCTGGTGATAGAATATATGCAGGTAGAAGAAATGCGTGTATTGAAGAATTCGATTTGAAGATGCCTAGTCAAACTGCAAAGGTATTAAAACTACCTTCAATTTCGGGACCTGTCACTTGTGTGAAATCAATGCCAAATCAACGACATTTACTGGTAGGGTCAAGAGATAATATTAGATTGTTTGATACTCAAGTAGACCCGAAGAATAATATACCATTCTTAATCGTTCCAGGTCATCATGGTGGCGCGATTTCAAATCTTTATGTAGATCCAAGTTGTAGATTTGTAATTAGTACAAGTGGGAATCGGGGTTGGCAAGGGACTTCCACCGATACTGTACTATTGTACGAAGTAGATATACAATAATTATTATAATCCGATATATATATATATATATATGAATAATTGTATATTCGACAAGGTTTTTACTATTGCTTTTTTTTTTGGCAGTTGTTGAATGTGTGACGTTTTTTTGTGTATACTAAAAACCGACAACTCAAAACATAGTCAAAAAAGAACCTATTATATATATAACACCAAGGTAAACTCAATAATATCTTATCAAGTACTGAAGTTCCAGTTTATTTTACAATCGAAAAATCAATAAATTCATATATCCACTGTATCATGACTAAAGAGGTGTCGTCTCCTTTAACGGCATTGATTGGTATGTCACAATTATTATTTTTTTACTCTCAATTTTGAAGACTGACTAAAATACTAACGTTTAACAAAATTCTATTTTTGTCTTTTAATCTATATTTTTAGTGGGCCAAACACCGACAGCACAATTCCTAGGTTGGAGATTAAGTTTAGGAAACGCTTTCATAATTTTATCTTCCAAATATGTTTCAAGTGATAGTTTAGTCTCATGGAAATCTTATAAATTTGGCGCAAATTTCTATGCTCCTAATATATTTGTCAAAGAAGTTCCTGAATTAAGAGAAAAATTGATCGAAGGGGAAAATAATGGTACTCGTTACAAAATAGATGTGCTAGTATTAGCACCAATATCTCTAGATGATTTGAAGACAGATTGTCAATTTTTATCCGAATTTATTGATTCGGATACCGTGGTGATGGTAAGTTCAGATTTTGGTTGTGAATTAGAACCTATCGTAATGGAACATTTAGAAGGGAATTTTAAGTGTGTAATGTCGATTGTTTGTGATGTTGAATGCAGACAATTATCCCTTGGTTCATACGTTTTAGTAAACGATGATCATTGTATTATTCATTTGGGGATCACATATCATTCTCAAAACTTCGAGGATAAAGCTAAATTGGTTCAAAATAAATCGATGGTTAAGAAAGAATTATTACAAATAAATTCAACTACAAATAAATTTTGCGAAATATTGACACTCTCCAAATGGTTACAAGTCAATAAGATTTTATCAAAAACACAAATGGCTTTAATGTTATGGGAAATTATTATCCCGAAGATTTCTTTGAATATATTATCAATAATTTATGAACAATTTGATTATGTTAAACTGTTAGAAACTAAATCTACAATGAAAATTTATAAAGATCTGGTATTAGAATTAATGAATATTTGTTGTATGCAATGTGGATCACATATCGGAAAATTTTTATTGCCTGAAGAGAAACTTTCGATTGATTTTAATAAGATTGTGGAATTAAGTGTTAGGAGAAGTAACGATTTGGCAACTGTAACAGTTAGTGAGCATCCAGAATATTTATCATTGACATTTGAAGCTTATTGTTTTTATCATAGATTTCAATTTCCAGCTCATATCTTATTATATCAACCTATTTTATTGGCTAAAAAGTATAAGATGGTTAGTTCTAATCTAAATTTTTTATTTGGGTTTTATACTAGATTATTAAGTTTGAGTGGATTAACTATCGATGGAAAACATTGTCAAAGAGTAAGTTCAATGTTTGAAAAGACTATAATAATGGATATTGAAGAAGATCAAAAGGATTCACCAACTACAAAATGTGAGAAACCCAAAGAGGAGTCAAATGAATTGTTTCCAACAATCTCACCAGAATTGGAAAAATTATATATCGATGTTGAAGGGTATACTACTGCAACCGAGATTCAAGAAACTGATACAGGTACGTCGACCAAATTTTCTCAGCAAGTAGATTCTTTAACCTCTCTAGATGTATCTGAATTACAAAAGACGACTCATCAAAATAATAATGATAGTGATAAAGAAGAGAACGATAATGTTGCAATCCAAAGTTTGCCCAGTGAAACAGTCTTGAACGGAATGTGTGGTTCAAGTTCACAATCAACCGATCATAACAGTTATCTGAAGGATTCGCTTTGGACAACTGACTTTGAGACTCATGGTGTAGTGGGGATTCCTCATCATTTTTCAAAATCATCCAGTTCTAATGGGTTTCAATTGAATGAAAGTATCAGATCCTTAGAGGTGCAATTAAGAACAAGTAATTATCTATTTTCCAAAGATTACGATAGAATCAATGGACAATTGATCAATGAATCAAAGATTATCACTCAGAAAGAACATAATCAGATTAGACAAAAGTATGCACCACAGGAAACACATATTTGGAAATTACAAAGAAGGTTAAATTTACATAGAGGACTAGTGGGTGGATTCCCAACTAAACCTTGTGAGGATTTATTAAACCACATCAAGATTCTTAACAGAGCGAACACTGGGGACGTTCTTCCTTTCACAACAGCAAGGTTTGGTGTAGTCGATACGTTCCATTTATTAAATGAGAATAAAGAAAGTATAATGGCATTGTTTGACAAACAGCAGTCTACCGAACCAAACAACCCAGAAGATGAACCCACAACCACATTACAGATTACCGACAGCAAGAATCATGACGAACCCCTAGCGCAATTAACTGACACAATATATAAATAAGTTTATAAATATATACATATATATACATATATATTCATACGAAAAATCCAATAACTTTTGGCGTCTCTCTCTCTCTCTTTCTATCAGAAAATGATTCAAATCACGGAGTTTTGGGAGGTTCGCTGCTTACTATTTCGGTAGGTGCGCCAAAATTTCATTGATTGTTTTGATTTATTTTGCGTCTTTTTAAATTCCCGTTCGTGTTTACTTTCTCATATTTAAAATATAAATAAATAAACAGATAAATATATAAATGGAGAAAAAAGAATTTTAGATAAAGAAGTTTTATTTTGAATTTATTTCTCGTTGTGAGCACCAATCTTATTACTTACTGTCCAATAGTACAATTACACTACAATTATGGACCTGCTGGACATGTTCAAAGCCGACACAACGGAGCTGGGTCCTGCCGAAGATCAAGATAGGGGGAAGACAAGCATACCAAGCAATAACAATATTCAACAGAATGACATAGGGTCAGGGAATCTAATGATGGATAACTACAATGCGGACGATTTTCTGCTAATAGATAAAGCAGGTAACCAGGATGGCATGTTTCTTGGAGAAATGATAGAGGAACTGGATTTCAGCAAATGGTTGACTGATGATGATGACGTGAGTCGACCAAATGATAATGCTGAAGCCGGCGTTCCTGCTACAACTGCTACAACTAGATCCACTATAGATACTGCTAGTATACCCTCACCTTTACCTATTACAGAAAACTATGTATCACATACAACTAACTCTACGCGAAAGAATAGTATATCTGATAAGAGAGCTCCTCCAGATAATATGATAGGGATACATAGAGATCGATTTACATTGAAGAGAACTAAGTCTAACCCTTTTTATTCACCTTCTCAACAGATTAGAAATTTGGTTATGAAGAAGAAAGGAGCTCTAGGGAGTACTAATAGGTTTACATTACAGAAATCGTATTCTAGTGATGTTTTGCCTTTAAGTGAACAGAACGTCAATGTGAGACGTACCAATTCAACTACGAATAATGATAATACAAAGAAATAATGAACCACCCACCCCCACTAAACAAAAACAATATATATGTAGGATATTCGATATGTAATGATACCACAATACAAAAACATTTTTGAAATTATTATTTAGCAATGTATATTCGATGGGTTTTTGAGAAGGATCAAGAAGTAGAACATCAATGTATATGTACAACGATATATATTTGTTTTGACCCCCAGGTGTGATCCTTTGTTGTACTTAGTACTAGTATCACTTCTTTACTGACCTCATTTTTTCTTGATTGACCGGGGGCAGAGAGGCCTGGCATAGAAATTTGAGAAAACGAAAAATTTTCAAGATTGATGAGCTACAAATAATATATAATAGCGATGAGCTTGTCTGACTGCAACTAGAAAAGGCAAGAACAGAGGAGCAGGATAAGGATATATAGAACTAAATTAGCGTCATGAGCAAGCAAATTACGATGGATTCCAATATGGATGATCTTTTCAATGCGTTGAAAGAGTCGGTCACAAAAGAGAGCACACCTACAACTGTGGACACAACTAATCAAGTCGATAATGACTTGGATGCTAATGACAATATTGTGGGACTTGATGGTGATAAACGTGATACAGAAAAGATATTTCGTGATATCGAGATCACTATGAACAAACTACCAAAACTTGACAATGGATTTGATTCCTTGGTGAAGACCAAGACTGTTATACCGAATGATAAATCGAGTACAGTGAAGTCAAAGATGGTACAAAAGGAAAAAACGCAGGATGACTGGTTTACTATACCAAAACCAAGTGATAGTAAGCGTAAAGAACTACAGAGAGATCTGACGTTGATTAAACATAGGGCTGCTTTGGACCCAAAGAGACATTATAAGAAGGATAGATGGGTAGTACCTGAACGCTTCTCTGTTGGTACAATCGTTGAAAGTAAAGGTGAATTTTATAGTAGTAGGATTAAGAATAAAGATAGAAAGTCTACTATTTTGGAATCCCTTATGGGAGATGATACAGGTAAGAAATATTTCAAGAGGAAATTTACAGAGATTCAAGATCAAAAGAGCAGTGGTCGTAGAGGTCATTATAACAAGAGTAAAGCCATGAGAAAGAGATACTAATAAATAAAAAAGAAGAGTAAAAGATAGAGGAGATGAAAAAAATTATACTTTTTCGATATACATAAATAAATATATATTTCAATTTTATTGTGAATTTTTAAATGTGGCTCCCTTTATAATAAATTATTATGATTCATAGAGTGGATAGAAAGAAGAAGAATAGTATTTTTAAAATTTTGTTTTCATTTTTTTTTTCCTTAAAATTAATTGATAAATTAGAAGTTAATTGGTTTATCGAAGGCAGCCATATTAGCTTCTTTAAATGCTTCAGATAACGTTGGATGAGCATGGCAAACTCTAGCAATATCTTCAGCAGATGCACCATACTCTAGAGCCAACCCAGCTTCAGCGATCATTTCACCGGCGTTTGGACCAATAATGTGTGCCCCCAATAATCTTTCAGTCTTAGCATCGATCAAGATCTTAACAAACCCGTCAGTATCTTGGTTGGTCTTAGCTCTTGAATTGGCAATGAATGGGAATTTACCAACTTTATATTCTATGCCATCAGCCTTCAATTCTTGTTCTGTCTTCCCGGCCCAAGCGACTTCTGGGTGAGAATACATCACAGATGGGATATTGTTATAGTTAACATGGCCGTAACCAGTCTTAATGATCTCTACTGCAGCGATACCTTCTTCTTCTGCTTTGTGGGCCAACATAGGACCGAAAGTAACATCACCGATAACTTTAATATTAGGATGCTTAGTACTATATTTATCGTCAATGACCAATCTTCCTTTCTTATCAACCTCTAGACCGATCTTTTCAGCGTTTAACCCTTGAACGTATGGTCTTCTTCCAACTGCTACCAATAGGACATCTGCCTCCAGAGATTCTTTTTCCCCTGTCTTGGCGTTTTCCATTTCAATGTTAACTATATCGCCATTTCTTGTAGCAGACATGACTTTTGTTTGTAATTTGAACTTAATACCTTGTTTTTTTAATAATTTCTGTGTAGTGGTGGCAACTTCATCATCCATAGAGGCACCAATCTTTGGTTGATATTCTAATACTGTGACATTTGAACCTAGTCTATTATAAACAGAACCCATTTCTAGACCAATAATACCACCACCAATAATGGCTAATCTCTTTGGAACTTCCTTCAATGAGAGACAACCTGTCGAGGAGACAATACGTTCTTCATCGATTGTGATCCCTGGGAATGGAGAGACTTCGGACCCTGTAGCAATCAAGATATTCTTAGCCTTTAACATAACCTCTTCAGAAACAGTATCTTTTAAGCCTTCGACAGGTTTCACTAGGACTTCAGTTTCTGAGTTAAATGCACCTTCACCTTTGTAATAAGTGACTTTATTCTTCTTAAATAGCATTTCTACACCACCAGTCAACTGATTAACCACTTTTTCCTTGGCTGCCATGAAATTTTTAAAGTTTAAACCTACGGCTTTTGGGTCGACATCGACACCTCTATTCTTCGAGTCCGTTAGAATCTGATGGTAGAACAACGAGTTATTTAGTAATGCCTTTGATGGGATACAACCGACGTTTAGACATGTACCACCTAGTTTCCCACGTTTTTCGATACAGGCAGTATCGAACCCTAACTGAGCTGCTTTAATGGCGGCGACGTAGCCTGCTGGCCCACCACCGATGATCACTAGATCATGAGTTTTTGTTGAGTATGCACGCAGAGATTGTTTAGTAAACACTGATCTCAGCATATTTGATATGTAATAGTAATAATGTAATAGTTGTTTTGCTTTGGATACCTGCTCTTTATGATGAGTTCGAGTGGTAAAAATCGTGTAATGGTTTACTTATATCTAGAATTTGTATTACCAATAATTTCCCTTTTTTATTGTTGGCGGTGGTAATTTCAGTTTCCAGTTTTCAGTGTGGTTGAAGCCGAGCGGAGTGCGCAAAGCTGTGTGACTCTGACCGTTGATTGGTTGCACTGCTAGCACTGCTATTAATTACATAGAAGATAGAGATAGAGATAGAGATAGAGGTGATAAGAGATGGTTGTATACAATGTGGACAGTCGCTATCCGCCCAGCGTATCTCACGATCGTTCAATCGAGGATACAATTTTGTAGTTCTATACAGCGAGCACTGGCCATGACTAACGGTTGGTGTGCAAGGGAAGTAGAGGTGGTAATCGCATCCACCACATAGCCACTAACAAACAAGGTGATCAGTGGGTGAAACTGCTTTGTTATGAGGAACTGTGTACAATGGGTCCGGGTCCAGAACTAACAAGACGTTTCTGTCTACAGGCTGCCTTGCTCATGATGGCCGACTCACGCTCTCATTATATATATATAAATAATAATAATTTGGATAATTATACAATTATAGGAATATATACAGGCATTCACAGCCAATAATAGATTACTTCACCCTTTGCATTTAGCATGTTTTGCCAGAATTGAAGTTCTCTCTCTCTCTCTCTCTCACACTGTGTTTGCTGCACACCTTTTCCTTTTTTGGCAGCAACGAAAAAAAAGTGAAAAATTTGTACTTCTTGAAACTCTTCTTGAAGTGGTGGTCGTTTATTCTTTCAGGTTGTTGCAATATACGAGGATCTGGAAAGCCTGTGTCTGCAGATACTTATCTAACGTGTTGTCCTTTTCACTGAGGCACTGCTACAACTGCTGCATTGTAGTTGAATTGCGGGAACAATATAGCACTCTTTCTTCTATCTGCTTACACACCACTATAGGCTACATTTACATTTATATATATATTTATATAGGTTATTTTCTTTTTTGCTGTGCCTTGGTCTGTGCCTGGGCTGGTCTCCTGATCTGTTTTGACAGTTCTATTTAAGTAACTTCTCACCGGATATAGTTTATTTCCTAACGAAGAACAGGGGTTGGCACTACGTTCCTCTGTGTTCAGTATATACCTCTTAGTGGAAATTGACTGCGGAATGTACATAAAACTGTATTTACAAACTGGTTCTGTAACTCCATATTCTTCTAAACAAACGCCAAAACTAAGTATATTTCCCACGTAACTACTCGAGAACTCGAATTAAATATACTAGTATGGACATGACTTCAAAATATTTAAAAAAAATATTGTTATTGTTGTCACCCCCCACTCACCTCCTCTTTCAGACTACTGTGGAACTAGGTAAATAATATATAAAAAGCAAGTATATTTCAGTCTCGATGAATTCGAAACATCCTTTTTATTATTATTTATTCTTCACATCTCTTACCTCTCTTCTTCTTTGTATTTATTTCATTAGTGTATATATCAATACTCACTCTGTGACCTATTTAAATTAAATTAAATTAAAATAAAATAAAAATGAATTTCTTCACTGTTGCACTACCTGTTGTCCTTGCTTCTTTGCAAGCCGTCATGGCTGACACCCCAGATATCAATATCGTCAATACCAACAATGGTGGTGACTTACAAGGTTTCCAAGTCTCCTTAGATAACGGTATGCTAAAATTGACCTCTGGTTCCAAAAAGGACTACCAAGTTATCACTGATGCTGGTAAATTGAAACTTTCTGATGGTACTTACGCCGTCTCTTTGACCGATGGTTCTTTCGTCACTGGTACTGAAAGTTTAGGTACTGCTGGTTGGTCCATTCAAAACAGTAAACTATACTTCAAGGGTTCTGACACTTTCTACGGTGTCAGAGGTTCTGGTAGTAGTTCCAACGCTACCTATACTTTTGCTACTAGTCAAGGTTCTGATGGTAAATCCGTCGTCTTTGATGCTGTGTCTAACACCGATGAAACTGTTGTTAACTTCCCAGATAACAGCACTTCTTCATCAAACTCTTCCTCTTCTGTTACTTCCGGTACATACACTAACTCTACTACTGGTATCAATTCTGGTAACTCTACCAATGGTTCTACTTCCACCTCTAACTCTACTTCTGCTTCTCACAACTCTACTTCCACAAGCTCTCATAAGAACGGTGCCGCCATTGCTAACGTTCCAGCTTACGGTGTCCTAGCTGCCCTAGCCCTACTAATATAAGAAGGTTTTTGAACTTGTTTATTAACTTGTTAAACATTTATCTTATATATATATATAAATGACTTTGTATAAACTATCAATAATAATATACTTTAATTTTGTGTAAGAATACACCTCAAACGTTCAAACGGATCTTTCAGACTATAACATACATAGACGTAATGGGATTAGGAACGTTGGTGTATAGTAAGCTATCAATTTAAATTTATCCATGGAATTTAATGGAAGACCTGTGGCCGGATAGTACCCACGTTGATAAATCACCCAAATGCAGAACAACGAGGTCAATGACGCATTCAGTCCATACAATTTTAATAATCTGGCAACAGTCTTACGTTTGGTTAACTTTTGGGCCTTAACTTCTTTCGTAGAATCATTATTTCCCTGATTAAACACAGTCATATTCTTAATGAAATAGAAAAATGCTGGCAATTGAAAGATTAACTCAAGGATTACCATCCAATAGAACCAAGATGGTTTCTCCAACAACAAGAAATCGTTGTTAGCAGCAATGTGCCATTCGATCATGCTGTTAAGCGTCTCAGTCATTGGTGGGAAACATATTGTAGAATCAATAAAAATCGTTAATGGGATATGAATAATAAAATATACCGTGTAAAACAACTGCTCCGCAGAAGAAGTTAGTACTGTGCAACCCATTGCTTCTATTCGATAAGTGTCCAATCTAGTTGAATGGTTATTCAATTAATTACACTCTCTAGTTAGTATCCTTTTATAAACTTATTTGTTTAAAAAGTCTCAAAACTTCTAAATAAATTATTCAACTTTCTCAGGCTACGCGGATTGCTCGTTCAAGGAAAATTGTGATTGATTATACGAGATGAGATGATAATAGAACAGATACTAATTGATACTGAATGAACAGGATATCACTACATGAATGTGCGAGAATGTATTTTAACGGTTGGCCACATATTATCGGAGTTATATATCTGTGTTGGATTGGCGTGAATCATGGGAAGAGAGCTCCTCGTATTAAATGTTTAAGAGATGCGTTCAAGCCATACTCTTTCATTAATTCAAACAACATTTGATTCACATCAGGCTTAGTGACCAACGTTCCATCAGCAAATATTTCCAGATTTATTTTTGAGCGGGGTATGACAGAACCTTCAGGTATTTCGATTTTAATTGTAAGTCTAATAAGATTATTATTCTGGTTTGCATTGTTAAGGACAATCTCACGTTCAATATCCATATAATTTGATTGGTTCTCAAAAAACGAATCTTGGATCCAGGAACGAAATTTTCCAACAATGCCACTAAACAATTCTTGTCTCTTCCAAAGCAATCTATCATATTCACTGAGACAAAATAATATTGCCGTTGGATTGTCTGAATGTTTTTTTATGAATGATCTCATATTCAAATTCAATGTTGATGGGGTGAACTTGGATATTTCAAATGATTGTAAAGTTTGTTCGGATGAATCATATAGCATTATAAACGTTATTTTTACAATATGTTTTACGTTTCTTAAAAAGCGTATAGTAACAGTAATTTTCTTATTAGATTTTTCGTTAACTCTCTCCACAATATCCATTTTCATATGCGGATATAAATATTGCCTTAAGTATCTTAATCTTACATTCATATTCAATAGAGGTAGAGTATCATATTTTGAGGCTAACTCATCTTGCATTGAAGAGTTCCCATCAATTTTATTAGAAGGAAGCTGATTTCTATCATCAATATTTGGAAACCTGTTATTTCTTGAAGATATTGACATTAAATCCATTAAAGTCTTGGCCATATTGTGATCAATTTCGTCATTCGTATCCTCAGTTTCGAGTTCCTCCGGTTGTGGTAATTCTGTACCATTTCCTTCTGGAGTGTTTTGAAGTTCTATATTCAACTCATCAACTTCTTTTAACAACTTTTCTCGTTCTAATAATAATTTCTCTCTCGTATCCTCCAATTTTAACTGTTTTCTATCTGATGCACTCAGCATGTTCAATTCTAAATCGCTTGATTTGTCAGTTGTCGTTGGTAACGTCTTAGTAGTTCTATTGGCGATCCCCAGGAAGCTGGAACTTGAGCTGTGGTGACCGCCATCATTTCTGGACACATTGACATCGCTACTCAAATCTGAAGTAAAATCCATTGTCGTTTCACTCGTATCCGTAGTAAAAGGAAATATTTACAATCGTTTGCTATCCTTTTAACGAGTTTTCTAGCTTTTAATGTCGAAGTTTTCACCTCAACAGGATCGCCAGAAATATAATAAACAAACAAAATGTTGGCGCTTAATGAATTTCGCGATGCTTAATAAAAAGGTTTCCAACAATTCAGACATTCTATATTACAGAACTTCCAGAAGAGAACCTATATAAGAAACTACATACTACGGAAATTTTGTCTAGTTAACAATGAATAGATACGATAGACAGTTGAGATTATGGGGTAGTGCGGGTCAGGATTTGTTGTCTAAGGCCCACATTTGTATCATTGGACCAGAGAACTCGTTACTACAGGAAACAATCAAGAACTTGGTTCTAGTTGGTATTTCGAAGTTCACATGGTTCAAGAGTAATGATGCACCAGCTTATTCCCAAAATGATCTATTCTATAAAGATCTTATTCAAGATATGGTTCCGCTAAATCCTCGAGGTGTCTCCATTATTCAAGAGTCAATGTTCAATATACATGAAATAACGCAAAATAATAACTTTTCAATAAGCATAGTAATATCAGAAACTAATATACCAGAAGAGCTGTTAAGGGAGTTATCATCGTCTGAGTTGTCCCCTGTAATAATGTCCCATACAGAGGGTCTATATGGGTATGTTTATACCAAACTATTTGAGCCACATTGGGTAATAGAATCTCGTCCTGACTATGAAGTACCATCCCTTCGATTGGACTCTCCTTGGGATGAATTGCGTGAATATATGGATACCATTAGATTCGAAACTTTGGACGAATATTCTATGGCGGAATTACCATATGTAGTGTTACTTTACAAGGTATTACAACATTTGCACTCTAGCACACAGATCGACCATAAAATGATAAAGGATACTTTAACGAACTGGTACGTTTCAGATATTAACCCAAAGGGTACGAATGATTTGAATTATGATGAAGCACTTCGATATGCACATGTGGCTTTGCCAAATGAAAGCTACAAAGTTGGTTTACAAAAATTAATAGATTTTTCCCAACAAGATGACAATGATAGATCGAACCAGTGGAGAGATAATTACAACAGACAAATAGTTACATTAGTTCATGCATTATCAATCTATTTGGATTCAAATTGTGGTGATTTAATGGTGAATGCTAGTATCCCAGATATGGAATCGAGTTCAAAAATATTTGGGGAGTTACAGCAAGTATACAGGAATAAAGCCACTCGTGATTTGACAGAGTTTTCCGGAGTAGTTCATCAGCTAGATGAGAGTATTCCTAACGATTTAATAACAAGTTTTTCGTGTAATGTGAAAAATATAAAACGTATTGAACCCACAGCAAGACCAATAAATGATTTCCTAACTGATTCTAAACTTACGGAGCCCTATCCAATTTTGAGTACACTTCTTAAATTTCAAAAACACCAACAAGTGGAGAGGACATCTGATAACAAATCATTTTTTCTCTATGAGAGCTATCCAACAACTTCCTTTATTGGGGGGTTAATCTCCCAGGAAGTTATTAAACTGATAACTCATCAGTACATCCCAATTAGTAACACCCTCATTTATGACGGTATGCATAATAATATCACAAGTTTCAAATGCTAGAACAAGACTGAACAGGCTAAGCTAAGAATGAAATAACTAATCTTCCGCCCCTCATTTCAGGGCAGATTGCATTATCACATCATTGTGAATGATATTTCTAACGGTTGTTATGTCTGATGCCATCATTTCTAGAGTCATCGTAACTTTGTTATCAGTTGCTGCGAGATAATACAGCGCGGTATTTTTTTTTCTTACTTGGTTGCTTCTATTATTAATGGGCCTCATTTCTCTGCCACAGACATTTTGACCTTCCGGCATGGGGGAAGAACTTCCTTTGATCCATATTTTGGAGATGATATAAATCTAAAAGTTTATATTACAACACCTATAATTTGTGGTATCTACTTACTTTCAGCAAATCACAGTTTGCTTGAAAGTTCTAATAACACAAACACTGTAAACAAAAAAATAGTTGTAACTACATTTAAGAATGGCTCAATCTAAAGATAATCCTCCTATTGTTCCAAAGGGTTGGAAAGCGATTTTTGACGATGAATACTCAACATGGTTTTATGTTGATTTGTCATCTGAAAAATCACAATGGGAGGCACCAAAAGGTACTACTTGGTCGAATTCTCGTCCAGATGGGCCGCCTCCTTACTCCAGTAAAGACAACACAAATAATAATCAATCTAGAGATCAAAAGAATAGTTCTAACAGGCAATCCCAGCAGCAACCCCAGCAGCAACGCGTATATCAACAGCAACAGCCAATGTATCAACAGCAGCCCGTTTATCAGCAGCAGCCGGTTTATCAGCAGCAGCCCATTTATCAACAGCCTGTATACCAACAACCTGTTTATCAACAACAACCTCAGAGGCAGTCTAACCATGGTACCAGAAATGGTTTCTTAGGTGCAGGTGCAGGTCTACTTGGTGGTTTATTACTTGCAGATGCGTTAGAATCACATCATGGTGGTGAGACGGTCGTTGAAAATAACTACTATGGTGATGATGGCGGCTACGATGGTGGCTACGATGGCGGTTTTGACGGTGGTTTTGATGGTGGTTTCTGATCGGATGACTTACATCATTTTCCACAACATAATATCCAATATTACTATATACTGTTTACATAACGGACTACTTATACGTTTTATACCCTGCATTTATGTATTATTATTTATAATAAAATCAATACATACAAATAAAAAACAAGAAAAAATATGCATTAGAAATAGTGTATCAAAATATATTATATATTTAAGGGATCACAAGTCATCGAATTGACCTTGAACGTCGTTGTTTTGTTTTTGTTTCTTCCTAGACTCTAATATCTCATTTTTCCAATCGTTATTCGACTCTTCATCAGAATTACCGTCGTCACCATTCTTAGCCAGTTCTTCTTCAATGGCTTTTCTCTTTAATTGCATCTTCTCTCTTCTTTTAGTTTTCACTTCCTTTGAGGAACTGTTATTAGACCAAGCCATATTCTTCTTCTTCAATTCAAATTTAAGTTTCTTTTTATCATTGATTTTTTGAAGGTTGGCCAAATCTTTCAATCTAGCCTGTTCACGTTTTGGATCAGCGTATGTATATGAGTTAAGATCGACTGGTGGATCAACCAACCAACCATCTCCAAAAGTAATTTTATGACCGGGATTTAATGGATCTTCATCTTTTAAATTCTTTGTGATTTCAGGCATTCTTGGTAAACGGAAAAGACCGTACATTTTACATAGACCAACATAGTCTAGTGTTTGTAATCTAAAGATTGAACTGGCAGAATGATTAGAATAATATCTGATAAATGCGACATACGATCTAACAGCATGATCAAATCTAGCTCTATCCTTTAATAACCATGATTTCATTTCTTCATAGAATTTGTCGTTATCGGGATTTTGTTCTAACAAGTCATTAGCTGGAGTTAGAATAATATTCTTGACCTCTAAGAAATCAATATAATCTTCTTCTCTACCTTCATTTAGGAATGTAATGGCTTTACCTATTCTATTCAATCTACCCGTTCTTCCACATCTATGAAGGAAGTAATCTGTGTCCGTAGGTGGATCCAGCTGAATCACTAGATCCACATCTGGTATATCAATACCTCTTGCAGCAACATCTGTGGTCAACAATACAGAGTTTGCAAGATCCTCTGTAAATTTATTCAATGTCTTCATACGAGAACTAGTTTGCAGTTTCCCATGTAAAGAATAGACACCAATATCATTGGATATATAATTGTCTGATGATGCTGTTTTTTGTAAATGGGTAATGAATGAATAAAAATATTGGACTGAACTACATGATGGGAAATATACTATACATTTCTTGAATCTATAGTTTTCAAGGATGTGTAACAATTGTTGTAATTTCTCCTTAGGTTTCACTATACAGTAGTTGAATGATATAGTGGATGGTGCAGAAATTTTACTATTGACAGTAATCTTGACTGGGTTTCTTAACCCTGTCTTAAAGATATCGTTCCCTGCACTCTTAATCGTTGCAGAAAACAGTCCAGTTCTTCTCTGTTTTGGCAACATTCGTAAAATTTTCTCTACGTCACCTAGGAAACTACTATCCAGTAATCTGTCTGCTTCATCTAAGATGGACATATTACATGAGGTGATCTTAACACGAGGATCTTGGAAAAATTCCAAAACTCTACCTGGAGTCCCAATCATTATCAATGGTTTGTTCTCTAACAAAAAATTCACGTCATCATGTACATTCATACTATCAGTACCGACAATAAGTTGAGATTTAATCGGATATTTTTGAGCTTTCTCTTCAGGGTATTGTTCCAAAAATTTATCGATAACAGATTGAATTTGTTTAGCCAATTCTCTAGTTGGCGAGAGAATTAATGTATGGAAATGACCTTTCTTTATATTTGTGGCTGCTTGCTCTGCTACGATCCGTTCAAGAATCGGAACCACAAATGCCACAGTCTTACCTGACCCAGTAACAGAATCTACTACAACATCTTTATTACCAGTTAGTAATGGAATCGTCGAGGCTTGCACTGGTGTCATCTGCTCAAACCCCATCACATCGATGGCTGTACGTATCCATGGTTGAAGGTTATTTTGTAGGGAATCCCATTCAAGCGATTTTGACATTGTTACAGTTTGGTATAGCTCTTAGTGAGATCCCAATACTTGCTCTAATAATCAGAAATAATCGAATATAATGGTAGTAAAATAGTCAAGAGCTCATCGCCAAACTTCTTCACTTCTTTATAAAAACACTGAATAGAAAAATTTTCAGCGATGGCGAGCCCTAACTTCGCTTCGCAGACCAAAGAGAGCCAAACCCTATATTTGACTGTCACACTAATCCTGGCATTACAAAACCCAACTGGCAAGTTTAGATGATGTGGATACTTTAAAAGCATCGATATTTATTGGCCACTCAAAGATATCCATGATGATCTGGATTGCTTAACTGTTCCATATATATATATGAGTATACAAAAAAGTATACCCTGCCGATACAAACATTATAAACTGTCTTAGATCGGATGGACTAACTTCAACATCTAATTTCCAATAGTCATAAACAATAACTGTCCACAGCTCATTATAATTGTAGTCTGCATTGCAATAAGTTACGGTTGTATTAAAATCCAATTTAATACACGATTCAGTTACCCGCCCCTATTTCTTTAATTTTGAGGCCCTGTAAGGGCCTCAAAATTTTGTCGCGTTTTGCGTTTCTCTCGCTAAATTTGAGAGAGGCTCATTCATTCCTTTTGATTTCAATAGATAAATATATAAATATAGATATAATTAGAATTTTAAGAAAGTTGGATCAGTGGGGAAGTTTTACAAAGAGGTCCATAACTACAACTAACAACCTATAGAACTATATATATATTACAATGTCCTCAGCTGTACCTTATGACCCATATGTTCCACCTGAAGATGCACATCCACAACAGAATTCCAGGACAGCAGACCTACAAGCGGAGATCGATGATACCGTCGGTATAATGAGGGATAACATCAATAAAGTCGCTGAACGTGGTGAAAGACTGACTTCGATCGAGGATAAAGCTGATAATTTGGCCGTATCGGCACAAGGTTTCAAGCGTGGTGCCAATAGGGTGCGTAAACAGATGTGGTGGAAGGATTTAAAGATGAGAATGTGTCTGGTATTAGTGATTATCATTTTATTAGTGGTGATTATTGTTCCTATTGTCGTACATTTCACATAGACAGCTATACACATTATTTTTATAAAAGAAAGTGATGTATGCTGTTGTTACGTTTTTTGTTTTTGTTTTGTGTATACTATTTAATCTCTAAATTAGAGAAAGAGCAAAAAGAAAGAAATAAAAGATTTATTTAACTATTCAATAAATATACATAGATATTATTATTAATATTATTATTATTACTTTAATTATTATTATTATTATGTTACTATTTACTCTATAACATTTACATTTTGCGCAACGAGATCAACGATACGTTTTGTACTTGGTAAATTCAGCCACACAGGGATATATGCTTCCACTTGGTCGAATTCCCTAGTTGGGATTTGAACAAATGGATCATCGAATGGACCATTTGGTGTATGCAAGAAAATATCGTTCTTAAGACCCGACTTGTCAGTAGCACCTTCAGTATTAGCTGCGGCAACTGCAGCACTCTCTTGTTTCACTAAATCGGCAACATATTTGAGAATTTCTTCAGGAATAGGGGATTCATAGTCTGCAACATGAGATTGTGTAATCAATTTTTGTAATTGTGCGGGAGATAAATCAGAGCAAATACCTCTTAGGATATTGATATCTTCAATGGTATATTTACGTAATTGTAACAATTTTGAAGTTTGAATTAAATGCTTTAAACAATCGGCACCGTCTGGTAGTTCATGAGATTTACACCATTCTTCTAACCGTGTAATATTATAATTTAATTGTAACCCACGTTTCCATGATAAGAAATTACGACGCATAATTAAATCATTGAAACAAATTGAATCAATATAATTTAATAAAGTAGTCACTACACTACGGAAGACTTCATTTTCTATGTGGAATGATCTCATACACCAATATATGCTGTTGAAAAATGTTAAAATATCGTCCATTGTATAACTATCGTTGGAATTGAAAAATTTATTCAAGAAACTATTGGATTCACTTGCACTGAAACCAGGTAGTGATTCTGACATAACAATAGCAGGAATTGCTTTCTTTTGTAACTCCTTTTGCAATTTTTTCAACCAAATGTTATAAATGTTATAACTCAATGATTCAAAATCTTCTTTTAATTCTGTTACTAATGAAACATATTCGTTATATTCATCAACGTTCATATCATTCTTAAAATTTTCTTCTGTAAGGATAGATTGTCTTGCAAAAAGGACAAATGAATATAATTCTCTGACATTAGCCAACCAAAAAGCACCGCTTGGGATTAAATCACTACCTTTTAACGTAGTGACAACTTTTTGAATGGTAATCAATACTTGTGCCAAGAAATTTTCACTTTGTTTAGTTAAACCAAATCTCCACATCTCACTTAAGACAATGATTAGGATTCTAGCTGGGTAGACAACATCTCTTCTACTCAATGCAATGGATACACCAGAGTCTGGGACCTTGAATCCCTTTAGTAGACCCTCTGTTATTTCAACGTTCAATGTCTCGGTATTCTCCAACAATCTGTATAATTCTTCGTTGATTTGAGCCAAAGAAGATGAGTTTTCATCGTTAGATAAAGTGGAGACAGTTTTCATTAATACTGGCGCACCTGAAGCGTCACTAACCATGCGGTTACCGTTAGTCATATTCATAGAAGAAGGAACAGCAGCGGCCTGTGGTAATGTTGTGGTCTTGACAGCAGTACCCAGATTGATGGAACCTTGTAAGCGAGTAATTTCTTCCTTTAGAGTCTTTACCTCGTTTTGAAGATCTGTATTTTGCATTTGGTAATCACTTAATTGTTTCTTAGCTTCTTCTAATTCTTCCAAATTCTTTGCAGAAGAATCTCTCAACTCATTATGTTGAATAGTCAATTGTTCCATTTGTTGTTTATGGTCTTCGATTTGAGCTGTAGCAGAGACTAATTGTTCATCTAGTTCTTTATGTTTGGTTTCATATTCAGCGTCCTTTTCATTTAATGCATCTTGATGCAACTTCTTTTCTTGCTCAATTGTATCCTTTAAGATAACTGATTCTTCTAAATCTACCATTAACTTTTCAATTTGGGATTTCATTTCTTTATTTTCCTTTATCTTTGCAGCAAGGTTCTCAGTTAGTTCAATAACCTTATTCTCTAGTTTATAACTAACCTCTTGTAAATTCTTGACACTTTTAGCTTCAGATTTCAAAGTTTGTAATTGAGCCATGGCATTACGTCTTCTAATCATAGATTGGATAGTAATAGTACATTTTTTATTCTTTTGGTAAATCTTTCTTGGAACAAAGGATCTAATCCTACTTTGAATAGTGACAGCAGCATCGTGTTGATGTTCGACGAGCATTTGTTTTTGTCTAAGTTGCTTCTTTATCTTTGTTTGCATGACAATGATTGTCCTTAAGATATTATTAAACTCGTGACGAATACGAGACCCTCTAATTGCCGTTTGAACCAATAGAGCAGCATTTGTCTTGAATTCATGATCAACTTTTTGACGTACCACAGAGGCCTTGATAGCAGTTTGTAATAACTTCAATGATTTCATAGTGGCTAAATAATTCTTTCTATAGTGTAGAGATTTGACATGTTTCTGAATCAAAACAATGGAACGATGCATCTTATCACTTCTCTTCTTTTCCAAATAAGCTAACATACCAGCTTTAAAGAAGATTTTAGTGTTACCAATTTGATATTTAGCTTTATCCTCAACAGTGATATCTAAGATTTTTTTACACATATTAATGATATCATCCTTTGTAGTTTCCTTTTGTTGGAAGATTGTAGCGTATTCTTCTGCAGGCAACAAGATATAATATCTTAAAATAAATTCATTGAAGGTCCATCTGGATGGGAAACCTGCACATGATATTCTGATGGTCTCTAAGACACCACATGCTCTCAACTGAGATAACACCATCAAATTGTCAAACTTCCATGCTTCTTTTTCATTGTTCGGTTTGATGCAACGAATATAATGCACATTGGTAGAATTAATGGTTTCCATTAATTCGATCAAAGATTGTTTAAACATTGAACCTAGAGTTGGTTTTCTTTGGACCGTTCTACGACCTCCCATTGGACCTGGTTTCTTGTTCAATTGTTGTTCTTCTTCCTCTTTCTTCTTTTTCATTTCTTCCAATCTTTCAGCAGACTGTTCTAAATTATCTAGGATCTTCGACAAAGTTTCGTTTGTAGTAGCCTTTAACACTTCAAGAAGACCATCAGAGACAGTGTCTCTATTCTTTTCAATAAATCCATCAGTATCATAAGCAACATCGTGAGCGTAATGACTGACAACGAATTTCGTTTGACCAAATCTTGGCTTGGAGAAGACTGTATTCATTGGTGGTTTATCCAAAGTTTGGTACAATTTTTGAGTCCATGATTCATCAGAACCTGCAGGTAATCTACTCTCTTCGTCCAATAATGATAAGATACCAATCTTGTTTTCGATTAAGTCGATACATGGTTGATTATCGTTGAATTCAATAAATGACCATTCGATTTGTTCGTTGACGTACTCTTCTTGTTCCAATTTAAAGACATGTTGATTAAATTCTTGTTGTAATTTTTCGTTAGCATAATTAATGCAAAATTGTTCAAACGAATTTTTCTCGAAATGTTCAAATCCATAGATATCCAGGACACCAATAAAGGATTTAATTTGGTCTGTCACTGCAGGGTTACAAAGGACATTATTAATGTTTTCTACAAGCCAATCGAATAAAGTTGAGTAAATAAATTTGGCTACGGAATCTCTAGCGACTTGAGCCTGATTAAAATTCAGATTGGAAACAATCTTTTCAGATCTTGTTACGATTTGTTTCTTAGTGATCCATTTGGCAAAATTAAATGGATCTATCCCTAGCAAGTCACAAGCGATCATTAAATTTGGTTCATCTGATGATAAAGATGCGTCGTTTCTTGTCTTCTTGATTTCAACGTTACCGATATGTAGCAAAGCAGCTAAGATCTTAAATATGTGTTCTTGGGCAGTTTCATCAAATCCGACTAAAGATAATGCATCAGTAGTGATTTTAAATTCTTGGGAATCGTCTACACCGACAATCTCAGTGGCACCACCTTGATTTAAATAGAAATAATCATCTGGAGAGGTCAAACTTAGGGATTCCTTTGTATCTTGTGACAACCCGGACAACATTTGGTAGAAAATATGATAATTTCTTTCATCTGTGGGTTGATATACCAATCTTGATCTTTCTAATAAATATGTTCTCAATTTAGCACCGATGATAGATGTATGGTCATCAAACAAGATTTCAAGATATTTCCCGAATCTTGACGAATTATCATTTCTTGTAGTCTTTGCATTACCAAAGGCTTCCATAATAGGATTAGTAGCCAAGATTTTCTCTTCTGTCTCTGACATTTCAGTTTGATGTTGAATATTTCCAACATTTGATGACATTTCTTCTTCCACGGAAGCAAAATATCTCATAATATACTTCGCAGAGACAGTTTTCCCAGCACCAGATTCACCACTGACCACAATAGTTTGATTTTGTTTATCGTTCTTCATTAATCTATAGGCTTCCTCAGCGATAGCAAATAAATGAGGTTCCATTTCACCACGACGTTTCCCTGCATAAGCCTGGATCATATCCTGAGAATATAGCTGATCCACACGGTCAAATGGGTTAGCGGCAATCAACACAATACCAGAATAAGTATAAATATTTAATTGCGAGTATCTTTTCTTGATCGCATGCAAAACAGCAGGCTCGTTCAAATAAGATAATGATGTCAAATCCTCAGTGGACTCTAGGATCGGTGGGTTTCTCAGCAAAGGTAGCTCGTCCTCGCTGGCCTCCATAGACACCACATCACTATCAGGATTCTCTAGCTTCAAAGATAGATGGTATTTCCCATCAGACAGCTCGTTCTTCACCACTTCTGCGCCGACCCAGCCTTGATCTTTATCCGGGTACCAACACCTCGTGCCTACTTCTAACGACATATCTTCTGGCAAAATGTGTGAGTGTTTAAATATATACTCTAGTGGTTACACCAAAGGCAAGAAATAGACCGAAAAATTACCAACCTGTGCTCTTGTATAACCTCGAGAAGTCGAAGTGGGTTGTTTATAACTGAATCAAAAAGAAATCAATTCTCTGCTTTCTCAATGGGGCCCCATCACAATAACAAAAACAACACGTAAAGAGACGAAACAAACAAAAATATATAGAAAAAGTATAAACAGCGCGCAAAATAACCTCTTTGTGAGGGTAACCCCCAGCAGGCCCTCAAAACTTTAAGAATTTTCCAAAATTGTTTCATCCAACCATTGCGACATCGATGATCCCTTTACCATTTGCTTAAGAGAAGCCAACAGGTATCAGCCAGCTTTGATCATTTCTTTGCTGTTGACCAGATTAACTTCTTGCTGTCGACGATATACAGAGTTGGGTTGAGAATAGCGAAACAGCTAAGAGGACCAAGCGTGCAGAAAGGATTTCACTCCTATTTATCATCGAGCTATTATTAGTTACAAACAGCCTCATATAGGTTGATTTGAATATATTTGAGGTATAGTAAGTGCAGATAATTGTACGATAGTCGAACTATAAGGATAAAGATAAGAAAAAGTACATTTTAGCTTGTCTGTTGCTTTTTTTTTTTTTGAAATAATGGATTTACTGGTGGATAGAATGGAGAGAAAGGATAGGGAAGGTGTTCCTACTTTTCTCTCGATGGGTGGACAGAATAACAGGTGGAGGATGGAGAAGTTGAGGGCACCTTCAATGGGTGAAAGATCCTCCAGGGACATTCCTTCCAAATTACAGAAGTCTCCTATTATAGCTGTGAATAATGTCCCTATAACAACGATGGGGATTAATGCTGATGAACAAGATCGGTCGATAGTAAATTTACAACGCTACTTCACGAACGGTTATGACGAACATGCCATGATCAGTGATTCAGAGAGTGAAGACGAATCCCGGAGTTATAGTCAGGGGAAACAACTACATGGACACGCATCAAACCGACCAGCCACTACATCGAAAAGTATAAGGAAACCGCAGTCTGCGGATCCAGTGTTTGATTTCTCAGCAGCTGGAACGGGGATGTTTAGTGACTTAGAGTTCAACTTTCCTGTAAGTCCCAAGAATCACACCCTGGCCGTGTCACATAGTCCGAGTCGTATCCTGCCATCGGCATCAATGTCGACGACGGAAGAGTCCCTGAATAGCCCCAGAGAATCTAGAAATGGGTCTATGTCGGAGATGTCGTCGATGGGGCGTCGAAACTCGATGTTTCTGTCGACGCCCAGTTCGGCATTCATGAAGAATGGTAGATCGATGTCCAGTCATTTTAGTTCCACTAGTAGTATGAATAATAAGAAGAGACTAGTCAACCAGTTTTTAAAACCTAGTGAAATGGAGAATGAGGCCTCACAGATGCAATATCATTCAGGGCAATGGCATCAGACACATCGTCCATCGACATCATCATCTAGCGCATTGTCTTCATTACATGGACCATTCCGTACAATGACTTCGTCGTCATCATCAAACGAGGTAAACTTACCACGTCGTGAGAGCAATAATAGTTCGACTTCGTCAAGTTACACACAATTGCACAACGTCCTTTTCAAAGATTTGGACGCGACACAGCAACAACAATCACCATCATTATTATCGACGACAACAACAACAGGCATGCAGGGCTGGACCCTGAATTCGTCAAAATCTTCAGCGTTCTCGTCGATGATGAATATGTATGAATTAAATACTTTTGAGGACTCTAAATCTGTTATCCCGGCTACAGCAACGCCTGAGTTTCGTTCAGTCGATTATAAGGGTATCAAAGACACCACTACAACGAACAACAAAGACAGTCGGGATGTCTTGAAGCAACCACAACACAGGGGTCTTTTACAAAATAATACAGAGGATCCCGATATGTCGCTGTATTACGAGAAGCATATCCATAGGAGTCTTTCGAACTTACAAACAAAGCTCAGAGATACGTTCCAAAACAGCGTAATACAAGAAGAGACCAAGTTTACTTCAATGTTACAGCATTTCGATCAACTCACGGAAGACTACGAAAAGGTCAATGAGAGCATCCGTGAACTCCGTCAAGTCGTGGATACCAATTACGACACCAACGTCAAACAACGGTTTAACTTAACAGACGAAGCATCGTTCCAATGCCAGATGAACTGCACAATGGTAGAGTGTGTGAATGATCTGCAGAGTCTCGAGGCCCGCATGCGTGCATGCCAGGACAAACTGACCTCACAAAAGGAAACTATCCGTAAGCTAGACAACCTACTGGTAGTCGAAAACTCTCTCAGAGAACTTGACAAAAACACCCTGTCAGTGCACAAGTACAAATACTTCGTCTGTGATGTCGTCCTCGTAGCTGTCCTTGCCATAGCAGTGATGCTGTACCGACAAACCCCATCCATATGACGCAATCATATACATATATACATTAATACATACAGACATACGTAATGCACGGACGAGACATGAACTCCCCGTAGAGTCAAGAACCCCCCCCCCTGCAACCGATGAAACTTTGATAGTTCTTCTTCTTCTTCTTCTTCTTCTTCTTCTTCTTCTTCTTTCTTCGATTGATTGATTCGATTATGGCAACTTTCGCAGTGAAATGACGCAACGGGCGACTTTTGCAGCGAAAAAAAAGTGAAAAATTTCAGAAAATGAAAAATTGTGTGTGACACACGAACGAATCTTAGTAAGACAGAGACGTCGAACAATACCCAATATATATATATATAGGCATAAAAGAAGGAACAAGCAAAGGAAGCTCAACATGGAAATAAGAGAATAGTTATTTTGACGTTTGAGCTGTGCAAAAGAAAAGCAAGTTAAACGTATAGCGATCCTACTTACACCCTATATATACACCTTAATAGTTTTTAACCAAAAGAAAAAGTAAAAGAATTTATAATACTCCCCACGAATATGTCGTCAGCTTATGAAATTGCTAAAAGTGCCAGAGTTGCTGGTAATATTTTGAAGACTCTGTCCAACGAGAGTCGTTCTGCCATCCTATACAAGATACATGATTCTTTGGCAGCCAGCAAGGATACTATCAAAGCGGCTAATGAGAAAGATCTGGCTGCAGCCGAGACTTCTAATCTATCCAGTGCCTTATTGAAACGTCTAAACTTGTTTCAAGGCGATAAGTTTGAAACTATGTTGCAAGGTATTAAGGACGTCGCCGATTTACAAGATCCTGTCGGTCAAGTGAAACTTGCTAGACAACTGGATGATGATATGATGCTATACCAAGTCACCGCACCAGTGGGTGTGTTATTAGTCATCTTTGAGTCTCGTCCGGAAGTCATTGCTAACATCACTGCTCTATGTATAAAGAGTGGTAACGCCGGTATCTTAAAGGGTGGTAAAGAATCTGTCAACACTTTCAGAGAGATGGCCCAAGTTATCAATGATACCATTGCTAAAAACGTTGCTGCCACTGGTGTCCCCCTAGGCGCCGTTCAACTGATAGAGACTCGTCAAGACGTCTCTGATCTATTAGATCAAGATGAATTGATTGATCTTGTAGTTCCAAGAGGTTCTAACGCATTGGTGAGAAACATCAAGAGAAATACAAAGATTCCTGTATTGGGTCATGCAGATGGTATTTGTTCTGTATATGTGGATGAATTTGCAGACTTAGAGAAAGCCAAAAGAATATCCGTAGACGCGAAGACAAATTATCCAGCAGGTTGTAACGCTATGGAAACTTTGTTGATAAATCCAAAGTTGTCTCATTGGGAAGATGTTCTAACAAATATGATTGAAAATGGTGTGACTTTACATGTTACTTCAGATGTAAGGGACTCTTATACAAAACAAATCGGTGATAAACTTACAGATGATATAAAATCTCATATTGTAGATGTTAATGAAAAGGAGGATTTCGACAAAGAATTCATATCCCTAGATTGTGCTGTTAAGTTTATCAAGGATACTCAAGGGGCCATCGAACATATCAACGAGCATTCTTCTAGACATACAGATTCTATCATCACAGAAAATAAAGAAAATGCAGACAAGTTCCTAAAGGGTATTGACTCTGCAGGTGTCTACTGGAACGCCTCTACAAGATTTGCCGACGGGTTCAGGTACGGGTTTGGTGCTGAAGTTGGTATATCGACTTCAAAGATCCATGCTCGTGGTCCAGTGGGTCTTGATGGTCTAGTCACATATCAATACCAAATCAGAGGTAATGGTAACATTGCAGCCGATTATTTGGGTGCTGGTGGTAATAGAGCATTTGTTCATAAGGATCTAGATCCAACTAAGGTTTTCTTGTAGAATATTGCATTTTTTTGGATGCTGCGACCTCTAAGAGAAACGTAAATATCTTTAGATCATTATGTAAATATTAACTTCGTACGCAATAATAATAATAATAATAGTAATCAATAAATTAATATACAGAAAATTCCTTTATTATCAAGGTTAAGGAGGTGGGGGGATCTTTAAATATATCTATGTATCTATAATAAAGTAGACGTGCAATACCAAAGGAATTAGAAAAAAATGGCTTGTCTTTTTTATATTTTGTCTTACTAATGCATTTTGGAACGAAGTCGTAAAAATAGAAAGGAATATAACTTAATACAAATCTTTCGAAACTTAATGAGCAACTTCTTGTTCTGGTTGTTGAACTTCGCGTTCTTCTTCGAACTCGATCTCGACCTTTGGACGTTTACTCTTTGGAGCCTTTGTCTTCTTACGTTTCTTGGAACCTTCATCAGCATCACTATCGCTGTCACTGATGTCACTTTCACTCTCTTCATCAGAGGATTGTTCGGCATCAGAATCAGCTAACCATTTTTGTAAGTCTTCTACACTGACATAGTCAGCATTAGCTTCATCAGCCACATATTCAACTTCACCGTCATCACTCTCTTCTTCCAATTCTTCATCTTCCAATTCTTCATCCTCATTCTCATCTTCCAATTTACCCATAACTTTCTTCCAGATCTTTTCGTCGACGTTTAATGGTTTATCACCATAAGCACCACTCTTTAATCTATCCAGCAATTCCTTTTCAATGGCTTTTTCGATCTTAGCAGCTGCTAGAGCTTTTCTTTCTCTGTTTTCTTCTCTACGTTTCACCTTTGGAGCCACACCAACATAGTGTCTCTCTTCTTCTCTCAAAGTCATACGTCTCTCTGTAATGGCAACTTGTGTCAATTTGGTGAATCTTTGTTTACATTTATGTTGGAAAAATTTACTCCAATAAAGTAAATGTTCATCAATTTGTTGTAAAGCCTTTGAATAATTCTTTGATAACTTAATACGTTCCCATAACTTCGCTGGAGTATGCGCTCTTTCAGGAGTCTTCATGTACAAATATATCCTACCTTTGTCACTCCTCACAGTGGCATACTTTGAGTTAGCCAATGGACATGACTGTCTGGTACATAGACCTGTCACATTGTATGGATCCCTACAGAAAGTCTGCCCACTGGGTGACTTTATACGATGCGAACAAAAACTCTGGTTAATCACTTGCCAAACAATTTCATCAGACATATCTACAATTTTTTATTTTATTCGGTTCGCTTATAAACAAATAGCTAGTTAACCACTCAAATCAGTCACTGAAACACTACACTATCTCAATTTCTCTTATACCTTTTCAAGTTGATCATCATCTCATCTCATCTCTCTTTGTGATTGAAAATTTCAACTTTTTTCAACTTTTTTTCTTCAGAAAATTTTTCAGTAATAACGCACCCACACACCGCACAGTGTTTTTATTTTGCGATGAGGAACCCTATGTTTGGTCCTTAGAAAACCCTAATATTTGGTGGAAATGAAAAATTTTGAAAATTTTGGAAATTTTTGGCTTTCTGAAGTCGCAGCAAGACCTTGAAGGAAATGTGGAACAAATATTTTATGCAGGTAGAAAGATATGGGAGCGTTGAACCACTCTAACAGGTATTTTAGGGTGTGGATTTGTGAATCGTGAATCATTTTTATTTACTTTTAGAAGTTTTGCTTCAGTTTATACTTGAGTTATTAATTTTTCCTGCTTTGGCTTGTTATTTAAGACACTTTAACCTTCTAAAGTGCTGGCCCTTTTTTTGATTTTAATTTCTTAACCAGATACACTAAAAATACAGGATCGAATTCTACTAGTACCTAGTTTTTTATTTGCTTACTTTGTGGTATGGTGTTTTCGAAGTTTACACAAGCTTATGGATCTTCTAATGGGAAGAATGAGAGCAGAAAGAAGAAAAATAGTGGATCTCCTAACCCGACCCATGTGGCAGAATGTCCCATTGAGCTCTCCATAAAGATTGAATCGCCACCATGTGTATTGTATGGCAATGCTGTGGATTCTTCAGGTGCTTTACTTGCAGGACTACTTACTTTAAAAGTAAAGAAACCTCGTTCAATAGATCAAGCAGCAAGCGCTCCATTAAGAGCTACGAAGAGCACTCCATCATCGTCACTGAAAAAAAGTACAGCTGGCTTATCTAATGAAAGGAATTCTCAGACGTCTTTATCTAGACAAGCTCAACTGGCCTCTATGGAAGGGAAAAATTACAAGAATATTAAAGTTGTTGCTGTGACTTTGCGGTTTGTCCAAAAAGTTCATTATCATATGCCGTTTGTGGCTGAATCATCAAGTATACAAAATTGTAATAAATGTAAAATCAAGATGACAGAATTGAAAAAGTGGAAAATTCAAACAAAAATGGAAGAGAAATGTATTGGCAAACACATTTATCCCTACTCGTATCTAACACCCGGAAATTTGCCCTCTACGTCATCATTGGGTGCAAGTGCAATGACTCACATTGAATATGAATTGATTGCAATTGCAAAATATAACATACTTAACGATCCTGAAACAAAGACTCTACGATTGAATATGCCTATCCAGGTGACACGTAGTATACTGAGGGGACCCGATAAGAATTCGTTGAGAGTATTCCCTCCTACTGAATTGACTGCAGCTGCAGTGTTACCTAATGTAATATATCCAAAATCTAGTTTCCCACTAGAGTTGAAGTTAGATGGTGTTTCATCTGGTGACACGAGATGGAGAATGAGGAAGCTTGCATGGAGGATAGAAGAAACAACTAGAGTTAGATCAAATGCATGTAATGATCATGAATCTCAGTTGAAAAAATTAGAAGAATCTGTTAAACAGAAGGAGATTGAAAGATCCAAAAAGCCAATACATCCAATTAAAAGATATGGGGATGTAGGCCCACAAGTCAGAGTATCTGTAAGTTCTCCAGAAAATATGCCCTTAGGTCGTATGAGAAATGTACCAGTGGGACTAAATGATTCGTTGAATACTTTGTCTCCGTTTACAGAGGGTCCGATTGATCCGTCTGTCTCTTCAACTGCAAGACCTGTATCACGATCGCAACCACAAGCACCACGAGATGGTAATTCTTCAAGACAAAATGATGTTCAATCTAGGAACTCTCGTAATCGTGATATTGACGACGATGATAATGATGATAATACACCTTTTATTCATCCCAGTGATGATGCTTTGAGACAAGAGATATTACAACAGCAACACCGTCAAAGAGAGGAACAAATGAAACAAGAATTTAAAAATAATAACAGTACTTTATTCACAGAAGAAGTGAGAATCATCTCTAAAGGTGAAATGAAAAGTGGATGGAAAACAGATTTTGACCAACACGGGAAGATTGAATTGGTCACAGATATTGACTGTATGCCGTTGACCACCGGAGTGAGGAACCCATTGCTTTATGCAACAACAGCCAAGCCTATCCCGCCTCAAACTAAGCCTCATATTAACCTGTCATGTGATATTCAGGATCTAGAATTAGGGATATATGTCAACCATATACTTGCCGTAGAAATAGTTGTTGCAGAAGAGACTTTACAATACACAAACGGCCAACCTGTCTCTAAGACACCGAAAAGTGCATCAACTTCTTCAACGTCAGTGGCGAGGGATGACCAAAGATTAGCAGAGTTATCAATTATGTTTGCAAACCAGACAGCTTGGAAAGGGCGTCCCGTTGAAGAGGATGGTGGTTCGTTATCTCCATCTTCTTCGAACAACAATTCAACACCAAAGGCTAAGACTGAAAGCAGTGTTAGTTCAAAGGTGGTAAGTGTACCGACTGGTGCAGCAAGAGTTCTAAGAATGCAATTTAGACTCAACGTAACAGAGAGATCTGGACTAGGTATATCTTGGGATGAAGAAGTTCCGCCTATTTATCAGGATGTTAAAGATTACCAAAACCCACCTAATTATGAGAATGCGGTTGCAAAGACACCAACGAATAGTTTGGATAGCGTTACATCCAACTCCAGTGTGGATGATCCACACCGAGAAGGGGACATTCAAACAGTGTCTAGGAATATACCTGGTATCCCAACCGTACCACAGATGGCACACCATTCAAATGCTAATGGACACCATCGTAATGACCCTAAATTTGATCCATTATCTTCTGTCACCTCCCCTACATTAGAAAATGTCATTAGCATACAAGGTAACGTACCGCATAGAGGACAATTATTAACTCCCGCAACAACACGTAATATGGGAATGATGAACCACTCTCATTTGTACGATTCTGATAGAATCACACAATAATGGATGATACATTTTCCCATATATATATATATATCGTAGTTTAGAGAGTAAGAAGATTAAATGTAGTTGTTGTTTTTTCTTTATTTCAGTTTAACACATTATTTATATATAAATATCGTACAAATATAAAATAGGATTAATATTATTTATAGAAATGACATCAATGACGGTTAGTAATGGTCCATGTCTTTAACCAGTCCAAGTATTCGTACTTGACGACATGTTGGTCCATACCGAATGAAATTGGAGAGAATAGAATGAAACATGCAATGTTACCTACGAAGAATAGAGAGAATAGACCCCATTTAATAAATTTACCACTTTTTGGACATTTTGTTTCCAGGCAAGTTTGTCTCAATAGGACATCGAAACAGTAAGCAAGGATAATTAGAGCAAAGTATAATGCTGGTAAGTAATGATGGACGTATGTGACTCTGGACATGATAACAAATGGCATGAAATGTAGACCCCAACCTAACAATGGGTAGAAGACACCCATCATGAAGACATTCAAGGTTTCACTGGAGGCAAAGTTTGGTAATTGTCTTTCCCATCTGAAAAATAGGACAGCGACGGCTAAGATACAGGACAAAACAGCAATGGTAGAAGCCCAAGTAGAAGTTGGGGTACCAATCAAGTAATATTTGATGGATTCATCGTTCCAACCGTTCAATCTTAGACCGATGTGAAGAGTTGGCCATTCCCAAGCAGAGGAAGCCAAGGAATCGTGCTTTTCTTGATCTGGAATCAAAGCGTTGTTAGTAGCCATCATCGCCAAGTTCAAATGGACGAAGTCCTTAATGAAGTTAGTCTTTGGATATTTGAAATTTTCTGGTCTTGAAGGCAATTTTTCATTGTCATGAGTTTCGATATTCCACCAAGTTCTCTTATCTCTTCTGAAAGGATTCTTAACACAAGCAACTTCACTTTGTCTGAACCCCCATTCTGGCAAGTTGACACCAGTTTGGGCCAGATAACATCCTAATTGAGCATTTTTAATACGGAAAGAAGAAGTCAATGGATGCAACATGGTCTTATCCTCATCACCTCTTTGGTCAGCAATCTCGATGATCCAGTTATCCTGGAAGTCACCTTGGTCCTTGTTACCGTAACAAGAGACTTCCCATTCAGTCTTAGAGACAGGGGCAGCAATTGGGTGAGAGTGTAAGTTTCTACCGGTACTCTTATGGACTAATCTATAAACCCCGTTATCTCTAACAAAATCAATGGCGGTATCGTTATTTTCTGGGTCAAATGGAGTTTCACCTCTGGCGTAGTCCAGGAACCAGTCGTTGTTAGCATCACTGAAACCGTAACATGTAATCTGTTGTTGTTGGGAACCTTCAGGGTATGTTTGAATATGAGAATGCAACAGAGCACCACCCAGGGCTTGGTTTTTAATGGAGAAGGTAGAAGAACCGATAGCGACGTCACGAGGACCCATGCCGACATCGGAGCCTTCTAGACCAGCTTGGAATAAAGAAGGCATGTTGGAGTCACCAGTACCGGAATGAGACAATAGAATGAAATGAATCTTGAAGCATAGCAAGAAGACTAGGAATGGGAACACGATCAAGCAGACAACTCTAGCCAACCAGTGGTTGATATAGGTCTTCCATGACATCTTCTTGTCAGCAAGGAAGCACCATAGATCAATGACGGTGTATATACCTACCAAAGTAATGACGAATAGACCAACCATCTTCACGGAAATGGCGCAACCTAAACTTAGACCGGTCAAACCTAACCATTTCCACCATTTTCTGGAGAAAGGCTTTGATCTTTGGTTGTGGAACATAACAAAACAGTAGAAGGACAGGACGGTGAAGAATAGAAGCATGGAGTCCAATAGGATGAATCTACCTAGAGTAGCGTAAGAGTTTTCGAAAAGCACCAAGCATGTGAATAACCAGACAGTTGGTAATTGGAAGCCGATGGCTTTAGCGGTGAAATAAGCTACAGGGACACACAAGGCGGAGAATGAGGCATTGAAGATTCTCATCTTAACGTAATCGATGTAATCTGGGTACGCTTCACCAGATGGGAAATCCCATGAACCGTTGTAGCCGGCCAAGTAACCGGACAGACCCACGAGCATCTTCCCCAGAGGAGGATGGACATCGTGGTAGAATTCGTGTCTTAGATAGTAGGAACCGAACTTACCGAAATGGGCTTCATCCCACACGACGTGGCTGTTAGCCCCGATCTTGTACATTCTGATGAACAGAGCGATCAGGGTGAAAACTACTGGCATGGCAAAAGCCTCTACCTTCAGCAGTGGGTTTTGAGCCCTGTGTACGCCCTTAGCAGTCTTTGAGACGTCTTCAGCTTCTTCGGCTACTATTTGTTCAGCATTTGCTTTTTTATTTACTCTTGATTTGAGTTGCGATGACCCTGTCTTGTCGTCAAAACCAGTGGAAGAGGACATGACTATCAACTAAAAGTAAATGTATCGTGTCGTGTCTATATGGTTTTCCCGTGGCAGAGAGATTGGTTATAGTTATTCTAAATTAAACAAAAAGAAAATATTTTGGTAGATTGTCAGCTTTATATTAGCAAGAAACTAAGAAACAATTTTTTTCTTTTATTTAGTAAGAACACGAAACCAAAGCTACAATCAATATCACTCTTCAAATTGCAAATGAATATAATAGGATGCTAGAGGGTGAAATTCTCGAGACTCTGTCTCTCTGTTTCTTTGTTGTTGCAGTAGCAATAATTATTGTTATTATTGCTTGACGTGTTCAATTTTTTCCAGAGAATTTCGCAACTGTTTGGCTGTTGCGATTTCTGCCCTCTTCGCCAGTGGAATGGAATGCTCGGGTTGCGCTGCGCTGCTTTCTCGCCGTGTGATGAGGAGCAGTTACCCTCACATTCACAGCACAGTGCGTAAATCCCTTACGCGTCGTTCTCAATTTTTTTTCACTTTTGGCGTCTTTTTGCCTCAGCTGGTAGATATGGTGAGGTAACCGACTCGTCTGTGCCACATCATATAGAAGCAAGCAAGGGAAGTTCAAGTGTTGGGTAGGCAGACTGCCGGCCTGGACCAGTGGATTTAAGGGTACTCAATGTGTCAGGGTCCCTTATGTATAATAAATATGACAAGATGCTGTGTACTGATATCGTGCTATATAGAGGTTATTCTTGATGTTAAGATGTCGTGTGTATATATTGTCCCCAACTGGGGAACGGTGTGGAACTCTACGCCTGTAGTCTTCACTGCTTGAATGTTCAGAGATATTACGCCGAGTCCCCTCAATGCGCCATTCATCGTGTGTACAGTTGGCAAATGTAGGTGTTTCTTCTGCTTTACTGGTCCAGTATGGGGGAGGTCACTAAAATAAGCTGCCATCCGAACAATAAACCAGCCAACCATCATCAATTGACCTGGCTACTACCACATTTTGTCATTGTATTAGAAGTGTACTGGCAACACCTTGGAACACTGCTTGTGCTGGTGGTTGAGTTTACTTCAAATGATGTATGGATGGATGCTTCTGCGACACCCCATCATACCTTTTCAGGACGGACAACCACCCACACACCCCTCCTGTAAGTGAGATGGACCATCCAGTTTCAAATGCTACTAATAATACGGTATTACGGTACTGGCCTGTGGAAACGAACCAGAAACAGTCACAAGCAAATAGAGAACTCAAAACGTTACCTCTTGCGAAGACCACAACAATAATTTGGCCTACAGCAACATTAGAGCAACATTCTGGAAACGTACTTTAGGTTCGGCTACTACGAGTTTGGTCCAATTATTAATAAAAGCACTATTATTGAGATATACCATGATAGAGGGGAGGGGAGGGTACGGGAAACAAACAGGAAACACACCCCAAATATGTAAGGGCCATCTGATGCGACTTACGTACACCCAGCCACCCACCCCTGCGCAGAATCGCTTTCCCCCGGGCTAGGTTAGGTAGGTGGCTCACCCTCCCAACGAACTAGAGACGCAACAGTCTGGGCAGTAGAAACGTTCTGGCAACATCCCAGAAACGTACCTGTGACTGAAGAACTCGGGCACTTTGCGATTTTGAGGATTTTCTGGTCTAAAATGTTGGGAAAACACCATAATTTGGAGAGATGGCATTCCACAGGACACTAGAAACAGACAAGAAACAAACCAGCAACTATATATGTGTGTTACTCCCACTGCATAAGAGCGGGCCGTAGGCTGCTCGGAGACTACGTGCTCGTGCTGGGTGTTTCGCTCCAAATTGGGTGGACGAGCACACAACAACAACACCCACGCACCCTTTGGCCAAATTTTGACTGATGTGAAAAGTACTAAAATATATAGAATACGATGCAAATGAACATCGGAAACATATTAGCAACAAACGAGCAACATATATTATTAAGTAGTTGCCTCTAGTATTATTTAGCCAGTTAAAGCACTAGCTGCAATGGCGCTAATTCCTTATTATACAGGTGTGTTAGGACCACTTTCTGCTGTGTATTAAGTGCAACAAAACTTCTTTTATTTTGAATCACAACTAATTGCAGGGTGGGGAAGAATATATTCTATTCACCTTCGAAGAGTAGCTTTTGTACTCCAAGGACTAGTTTCTGGCAAAACTCCTCTGCGATGTGGAAACAAATGGGGAACAAACTGGAAACTGCTTTTTTTCTTAATTCCTATTATATTTTATGACATATTTTTAGTCCACAGAAATTTGACTATTTTAAAGAGTGACACTAGTACACAACTGTGTGAATGTACATCTTACTTAAATGCATTGATTAATATAAGTTGCCAGAGGACATTTTGATATTATAGAATTACCTATAGTTATACATATAATATTTAATTTTACTTAGTGTCTGTGTCAGCTTTTCTGGTCATGTTTAGAAATAGTGTCTAGAAACTGGTAAACGATATTTCTCAAAATTGTGAGGTATTTCCTGTAAGATAAGGTTTTTAACTGTATTTAATTAATTTACAAACTAATGGTATAATTCTAGAAATATTTTACAGTTATTACATAAAAAATACTACCGCCTTCGTATAAGAATTAAAGATTTCTAAGATTTCTTCAAGTGACGCATTTCGGTGTATTAATATCTTATATAGAACAGAACCATCCTATATCTTTCATTTATGTATTATTGTCTTATTCCTTTCTGTTTCCGTTATACCAGAAACCTAAATGTAGTCCAATATCATGTCTTTATAAAATTTATCACTTTTGTTTTTTTGTTTACAGGAACACCCCCCTAATACTACTTGGAATAAAGAGCAATTCTAACAAAATATAAAAAAGAAAATTATAAAATAAAATTTTCGCAACCTCCTAGTTTCGCTTATATATAGGAAGGCAATGTATTAACAAAAGTATGTAATGAGAAGAACGATTATGAACACAATGAGACGCTTATGATCTGAGGTCTAAATAATTCGAAGAACCAAACTTATGTCCTACCAATCTGTATTACACTTGTAACTATCAAATTATGTCTAAACCTTCTTTATTACAATGACAAATAGTTAATGTAAGTTTTATCGAATCGAACGCTTAAGAAATGTTTCCATTTAGCCTTAAAATTTCTACAATGCTTTTTCTTTATTCTCTAAAATACAATAAAGACAAAATATCCTTTACTATAGAATTTTGAACCTGTTTTTTAAAAAACTCAAGCACTTAAGTTCTTACTTGTTTTAGATTTGGTAACATAGGTATATGTGAAGGATGTGATCGGGAAAATCAATAGTAGACATCTTCTATTTAACTGAACAAATTTTATTATATTATAAAATCAACTTATAGTCGTCTGATCTTTTATATCTTATATAAAGATATATAAAATAAATTACGGAAACAATTATATTCATAAATGAAATATTGTTCCATTTATATATGTTGGATTTTCATTGTCGTGATTATAAATTCACTCAACGGTGGCGTAAGTAATCTATTAGTAAGCTGTTGTGGGATGAAGCTATCAATAGATCATTGTGGGATGAATTTGTCTTCAGATCATAACCTTGGTCATTATCATTCTTATAATATATTTCCGATAAACAGGCATCAACTCAATTGCTTATACAAATATGAAATAAAATTATTTTGTTTATAAGTCACGTGATCAAACTTCACGCGGTATAAAAAGAGCGTTAGAAAAATTTCTTTTTATTGATGGCAACTTGGCCGAGTGGTTAAGGCGAAAGATTAGAAATCTTTTGGGCTCTGCCCGCGCAGGTTCAAATCCTGCAGTTGTCGTTATTTTTTTGTTTTCATTTCTTTTTGAAATTTTGTTGGGTTTTCAACATCTATTGACACTATTCTGAAGCTCATCTATTATTTTTGTCATTTTACCCCATCCCATGTGAGATTTACGTTTTATAGCGATAATAATATATTCTTTTTCTAAAATTATAATTTATTATTCTCTTCCTGAAGGATATTTGGAAGTCTTTCTCTATTACCACTAGTTATATAGGATTTATTTTCTTGTCTTATTGTAGCAAAAGAGACGCAATACAAACCCAAAGATATAACAGCTTTCTCTAGTCCCAGTTCCCTGCTTCCAACTAATACCCTTGTAAACCCTTATTGAAACTGCGTCACTATCATCCTGTACGAGGATGAACAAATTTCGTTTTTTGGTTTCAAAATTGTCATGAAAAACTTTTTGAAATTTTTCACTTTTTGTATATAAGAGAGAGAGAGCATACATAATATTCTGAATAAAACAAATTATTATCTTCTTACCGAAAAGAGTCAGGATAAATATTTTATGGATGAGAGAATATATGGCTATACATTATGATTTGCATATTACATGTATGTAGAATGGAAGGCTCCATTCTATCTGTAATGTATTTTTGCCTGATTGCTCTCATCGATGTTTATCATTTATCCCATCACTGGAATGATCTTTAACAGAAGTAAGGGAGTCTCGATTTTTGAAATCTTTTTCAACGATTCCGTTATGATACTACCGTTCCTAGAATAATAATCAAGAAGTCTATACATATTTCCCGTACGAAAATGTTGATCATGTTTTTTTCACAAGGTCAACATTGTATGTTTTAAAATTTATTGCATATTCAGAGATGAATATGGGAAAGGTACTTTCTTAACATTTTCAAATTGTATATTCGTAGTAATATTTTATAATTAATGCCCAATGTCGTATTCTTGTTATGTTATGCGTTTACGTAATTTTGGCACCCATCAAAATTCATAGAATTATGCAGATAAAGGGAAACTGCTCTTCTTCTTACTACTCATCTTGATTTCTGTCGAAATCAAAAGGAGCAGCAACTTTTCAATATGGGCACCGTCTCTGTGAGAGATTTGCATTTATTTTACCGTACAGGTTTCACGATGATTTTTTTTTGGGCAAAATAATACCATTTTTTTTTTCTCTCATAACAATTAGGTAACGAATGATACATTTTCAATATATAAATCAATGTTGGAAATAATAATTTCTTCGCTAAGAGAGGAGATATATTGGTTAATTAGTATATTCCTTATCTCAACAACTTAATTAAGTGTTTTCTATACTCATCCACAGACAGCAACCATTGTGCTCTGATTCAAGATGATGTCTCCAATTAGTCAAATGAATAGACCGGAACATACTCCATACCCAAAGCTTTCCACCACTCAGATCGAAGAGAACGTTCTTCCTCAATTGAATCAATGGGCTCTATGTAATGGTTTGATCATGGCCGACAAGGATAATGCCAGTAAAGCTACTGTTGCACCAACTACTGTCTTCCCAACTCCTATTCCAGCCAAGGTATTCGAGAACGCGAAGACTCTGCAAAAGACTTACAATCAATTGTACGCCCAAGTTTCAAACTCTGATTGGTTGATGGAAGAAAGTGCTAAGCTTACCCATTCCGATCCTGAGTTTACTGGTAAACTTTACGATATGGCCAAGAAATGTGACTCTAAGCAAACTTTGAAACTAGGTTTATTTAGATCCGATTACTTGATCGATAAAAGTTCTGAACAAATTAAACAAGTCGAATTCAACACTGTGTCTGTGTCTTTCGCTGGTTTATCTACCAGAGTTGGTGAACTACATTCTTTCTTGAACAGTTTGGGTGCGTACGATTCCACTGGTGAGATGAAGATGTTTTATGAAGGTATGGGTGAATTACCTGTCTCTGAATCATCTGTCTTCATGCCAAGGGGTCTAGCTCGTGCTTTCACCATGTATCCATCCATGAATTCCGAAACCAAGAAAGAAAAGGCTGCTATTGCTTTTATCGTTGAACCAAACGAAACCAATTTATTCGATCAAAAAGTAATTGAATTCAATTTGCTGAGATTATACGGTATTAAGAGTATCAGATTAACTTTTGAAGAAGCTCTAAAGGATCTGGAATACAGTACATTCGATGACAACAAGAGAATTATTCACAAGAAGACTGGTAAAGAAATCGGTGTCGTCTACTACAGAACTGGGTACACCACTGGTGATTACTATAACGAATCCTGCTGGAAAGCCAGAGAGTTCTTAGAAAACTCCTTTGCCATTAAAGCTCCAACTTTAGATATTCAACTGGCTGGTTCTAAGAAAGTTCAACAATTGTTGACTCAAGATGAAATTTTAGACAAATTTATTGACGACGAAGCCACTAAGAAAGAACTTGTCAAGACTTTTGTAAAGATTTATCCATTAGATGATTCTAAACTTGGTAAAGAAGGTAAGAAATTGGCTCTAGCTTGTACCTCTAACAATGCTAAATATGTATTGAAACCACAAAGAGAAGGTGGTGGCAACAATATTTACAAAGAAGAAATTCCAAATTTTTTGAAAACTATTGATGAAAGCGAATGGGATTCTTATATCTTAATGGAAATGATTGACGTAAAGGCTAGCACTGAGAACTATCTAGTTAGAGATGGTAAGCTAACCAAAGAACCTGTTATTAGTGAACTAGGTATCTATGGTACCATCCTATTTGACAAGGATTCTATCCGTTCCAACGAATATGCTGGTTCCTTATTAAGAACAAAATTGAGTTCTTCTAATGAAGGTGGCGTCGTTGCAGGATTTGGTACTGTTGACAGCATGTGTCTAGTATAAATATGTTAATATATATTTGAATATCAACGCCCTAATTTAATGTAAAGTAAAAAGATTTTTTTATTATTATTATCAAAATGAATTATGTCATAAGATATATTAGTAGCATTGTAAGTACATGCGAGGTATAAAATAAAAGTAAATTAGATTAAAAAAACAAACTCATGGATTATTGTTGTTTAGAACGTATTTTATCTTGTTCAGCCAAATGTTCTATACTCCATAAGGCTGCACCAACAACGTTACCAATCATTGTGAAGACAGAAAATATCGGTAACATCTCTAACACGCCTGTGGACATCCCCATATATATGAATGATATCAAATGTTTATATTTATATTGCATCGCCTGTTCACGATTGAGATTTTTCATATTACAAAGATAATATTGTACTAAGGAAAAACTTCTCTTAACTGAGGACAACTGATTATTTAATAAAGGTCCCAGAATAGGTACTAATGATATTGTAAATAATATAGATTTCCAAAGGAAAGATCTAATCATCTCAGCTCCTCTTACATATATTTGTAAAGTAGGATCATACTTCATACTCTTTAAAGGTTCGAACTCATGTTTTTGTCTTAATTGAGATAATAGTGTTTCATCAAAAGTTTCAACTGTAATTCTAAAGATATGTTCTTTCAAATTTGGTGATACAATATGTTTTGTAACAAAAACGGTAAATTGATTGGACAACATAATCCATTGAACATGTAATATGACTAACCCCATAGGACCTACAGTAATTACTCCCAAAGTTATCAACGGTAATAAAATCAAATATAAGGACAATGCAATAATGAAAAAAATAATAGAATAGCATGTAGTTAATAGAAACAGATATTTCCAATAAATTGGTTTCGTGACAATGAAAAAGAGACCCTGTAGATAGGAAAAAAGAAGATTTCAACAGTGATACCATTAAATGTTAGTACAATAAACAAATAGAAACAATGGAACTTGAAGGGAGTTACATAAAAAGAAAAACACGTACTTTAAATGGATAAAAAAAAGAAGGATTAACAAAATATGGTCCGTTACTTAATCCTTTCATGGATAATTGAAATTTTTCCGTATACATTCTCAAAACAACAACCCATATTGCAGGTTGTAATTGAGATGGTTCATTTGTTGAAGGAATTACTATACGGGACTCTGAGACAACTTCTGTGTCTCTAGTATGACTCAAAATTTCTATCCCGCTCATTATGGAATGATAACGTTTGGTCGGTGTAATATAGGAGAAAGAATACACTTTGAGTGGTCCATCCAAGTAACAAAACTAATTTAATGTTTATAAAATTTGAATAATTTATACTTTTCCTTAAATTAGACTTCAAAGATCAAGGGAATGTCACAAAAAAGGATGTTAAATAAAATGTATTCCGTCCATTAGTCACATGACTTTCGGAGTTAAATATCCTTGCGCGGGTAATTGTTTTCCCTGAAACGGAGAAAAACCATGACTGTAAAAAGATAAATTTCGTTGATTTAGTACCAATAACAATATAATATGTATATCAGATACATCGTACAATATATTGAAAGTCATGCGATAGTATAAAAATAATATAGTTGAGTGTGATATTAGACTCTTCGGATGGAATCTCATTTCAAAATGAAACTTATGGAATCCCAAACATACTTGTCAGGTTCTAGCCTCATATCCTGACAGCAAACTACATAGCTGTTGTAATGAAGCAAAATTAAAAATAAACAGTTAACGATTATTAATACGAATTTACCCCCTTCCGCCCAATTGTCGAAACCGAAGATAGTACCTTTATCCTTATCCTCACCACTACACAACGTACTATATACTCTAAATATACCTGTTCAAACATATCTCTTGGTAATACTGGCATTACTGTCCATTTTGCGAAGAGTCAGGTTGTGTTGCCCTTCCACATGGGAAAGGTCACATAAAATGATTAACCCCCACCATCTGTCACCCCACAGAAACTGCAGCAGCATCCCGGACATATCCGGTTTTTTGGCGGTCCAAAAAATTTTTCCGAAAGAGAAAAGGAGAAGATAAATTTCACCGCCACAGAAACTGCAGCACAACACTCACACCAATTTTTTCTCTCTGCTTTTGCTTTTCGGCCGACGCGATGGCCGAAGAACTCAAAATGGCGATTCTTGTTTCTTCTTTCAACTAAATTTTTTCTTTTCTCTTTGCAGATGGAATGGATAGAATAAAAGAAATGATGAGACATAATGAGAGAGGAAGGAGAGATGCGGTTTGTAAATTTGTGATATTCCATTGTATTGAATATTTACCCACTTATCTGGCTTATTGTCTTCTTCTTTTTTTTTTGGTTGATGAATAACTTATAGGAAAGTAGTTTTGGCACAGGTTATTATTTATATTATATTATCTTCTGTTCCTCTTTTTTATTTTACTTTATTTGTTCATCATAATATCTTTTATATTTGACGAACTGTAGTATTACTCAAATACACACCTGACTCTTACTATTCATCCACTGTACTCGTTCATATTAATAAATATAACAACAGAATAGTAATTTCTTTTGTTTTATTATTGATATGATTTCAGCTAAATCTAATCATAAACAGATCTCAAACGAGAAATCGCCATTAGGTACTACAATAACCACATCAAGCATAAACGAATCATCTAGTTCAAGTCTACAATCAAGATTCACCATGTCGTCATCATCAGGAGATGCATTAGATACCACAGAACAGATCACTAATCCACATAAATTGTACGCCATCACTAATGAATCTACACATGCATATTCTTATAATCCATTATCACCAAATTCCCTAACAGTCAGATTAAATATATTAAAGAGAACTTTACAAGTATTGATAAAAAATCCAGATATGTTAAGAGAACCATCTCAAGTAGATAATCATCATCATCATAATAATCATAACCATACAAGACATAATACGGAGTTGTTTAATGGGAACCATAGAATAGCGACATTGAATGCATTTGTAAACAATACCCAAGGAAATGATCCTATTACTCTGGGAACCATCAATGGTTCCGGTTCCTTAAATGGCTCTTCAGGTGCCTCCACACTTGTATTTAAACCACCTATTGGAAGAAGATCCATATCGTCATTAGCATATATACGTTCCGAAGAAGAATCTGAGGATTCTGATACTGAAACATTTATTAGTTCTGTAAGAGAACCTCCATTAAAACCAACACTATATCAAAATAAAGAAGCAAGTGACTCATCAGAATTGATTCAAACTCAAAGAACAGAATTATCAGACTTATTACAATTTTTAAATGAAACATTAGAAAAAAATACTTCATCAAAGGCCTCCGATTTACATCAATTATCCCTTTTGAATATCAATAAAGTATTCAATTCTGCCATGAATGACCAAACAACTACTTTACACATGAAAAAGACTTTATTAGATAGTTTGGCCGAACCATTTGTTGAACATATGGAACCTTATGTTGGACATAATATGATAATTGAGGATAAGATTCGTAATATTATTAATGCATTTACTTCCGCGAAGAATTCTCATTCAATGGCCATATTTACCGCAGAACAGGATTATCCATGGTCATTTAAATCTGCCAACGATTTGACTTGCTTGAATTTTGGTGTAAGTAAGAAGACCATTAAGATTCTAACTTTATTAGACTTGATCCATTTGGATGCCAGGGACTTCGTCATAGCGAAGTTGACAAGTCTTGATATAAGAGATAATGATATGGTAATGACGGGAGAAATTATTCCTACCATCTCTAACGGCCAATTATCTTGGAGTTCATTATGGATTAAAAAGAAAAATGACATGTTGGTTTGTGTCTTTGAAAATGTTCCTTGTGATTTCATGGATTTATCCTTAGATTATAATAATGGTTTCAAGATTAAAAAAATACATAATGGTGACAACAATAATTTGTTAATTCAATCTTCAACGATACCGACTCTTGAACAAGTAAATTTAATGAATATTAACGAGAAGAATCAATTAAATACCGCATATTTCAGTAAATCATTGAATAACTTAATCGAATCTGGGATAGAAGAATATCACGATGATGATCCAGAAGAGTTAGCCATGATCGTGGCTAAAGAAATTAATTCAAAAAGATATTTCACTTTGAACCATTTATCATCTAATATCCCATGCGCCATCGCAGCTTCAGTGTTAAATGATTCTTTGAAGTTGAAAGTTCATAGTCTACCTTATCAATCAGGGTTGTTTATCCTAAATATGGATAATAATGATCAACAATATAAAATGGTAAGTTTTAACAAATCCATTTCGAAGAATTTATTTGGTTATCGTTATAATGAATTGATTAATGAACCAATTACCAAGATAATACCCCATTTTAATGAAATTGTTCAATACATTACCGAAAACTACCCATCTCTAGATATTAGATCTAATGATAATGAGGGTCTTATCCTCACCGAGCATTTCTTTAGAAAGACACAATCTAGGATGGCTGGTAATCCTCAAGGTTTCTATACTTCTATCGGTATAGATGGCCAACACAAGGATGGCTCTTTTATTAAGATAGATATCCAATTACGTGTCATCAATGGTCATATCCTGTCCCTGTGGCTAACCCACTCAAGAGATGTTATTTTTAATGAATATAATACTATCCCATCTCAATTGCATATAATGGAACAAGAACAAGAAGAAAACTTTCAAACGTTAATGAAGGAATTAACACTAGGTGACGATTACCCAGAAAATGAAACAATTATCGAAGATATCAAAGAGGAGTCTGGTGAAGATGAAATTATAGATCAATCTGCAGAAGCCTCCTCTTCTATAGCTGATACCATGAGAGAAAGTGATGAAGGGTTCGAAATGAGAGTTAGAGTTGAAATTGCCAGAAAGACTGTTGTCACTGACAAATCAAATTTTGTTAACTCTAATTCTTTCAGACTTGACGAGGACAAGATAAACACTCCTTTACAACCTCAAGAATACCCAAACTTAGCTGCAATTGGTACTAATAGAAGGACCACCAAATTTTCTGATTTTAGTATAGTCAGAAAGCTAGGTGAAGGTGCGTATGGTAAAGTTCATCTTTGTATCCATAACAAAACCAAAAAATTAGTAATAATTAAGTCTATCGTGAAAGAGAGAATTCTAGTTGATACCTGGGTTCGTGATAGACAATTGGGTACTATCCCATCTGAAATTGATATTATGGCCAAGTTTAATAATGATCCTCATGATAACATTCTTAAGATCCTTGGGTTTTTCGAAGACGATAGTTATTATTACATTGAAATTGAAAGACATGGTGGAGAACTTGGTTGTGTGGATCTATTTGATTTAATCGAATTCAGACAGAAAATGACTGAACATGAATGCAAACTGATTTTCAAACAAATTGTATTAGCCATAAAGCACATGCATGACCATGGAATTGTCCATAGAGACATCAAGGACGAAAATATAATTGTTGACACCTACGGTTTTGTAAAGTTGATTGATTTTGGTTCAGCAGCCTATGTGAAGAGTGGTCCCTTTGATGTGTTTGTTGGTACAATAGATTACGCTGCACCTGAAGTTCTAAATGGGAACCCATACAAAGGTAAACCCCAAGATATATGGGCTATCGGTATCTTATTATATACTATGATATTCCATGAAAATCCATTTTATAATGTCGATGAAATACTTGAAGGAGAACTGAGATTCAACAGCGAAAAGATAATCAGCAAAGAATGTAAGTCCTTAATCCAGAGAATTCTTAATCGCGACATCGATAGTAGACCAGATATCGATAATATTATAACCTCTGAGTGGTTAAAAGATTGCATGACATAGAAGTAATAATGAAAAAATAAAATAATGTACGTATATTTTGTCATTATTAGTATTATGTCCAAAGATATACCTATACAAAGATCCAAACATATTTAGCATACTAGTTTCATAAATACCCTATTTAGAAATATTTTTGTAACCTTAATATAAATAATTAATGACATATAAATTTAAAATATCAAGGAAAACTTTGTAATGAAAGTTTTGTATTCCAATAATATGTATGCTCTCCTTTCCATTGAAATTGTCTAGTTTAGCTCTGAAAGTGAGTCGCTTTCGGTTTTAATTTTCAAGCTAAATTTTAAAGGAGAAGACCAATAAGTCATCTATTTCATGACAATGTAAATATAGTCAATCTAAAGAGAGCTCAGTGTAATCAGGAACAGGGGTTACAATAAACAATCAAACCAGCCTGATCTACATATGACCATGCTAGATATGTCTGACAACACCAGTTGCAGTGTATCGCAAGAGATCACTCCACAAGGGTTTCTCTCCGATGGAGAAACATTACCAGAATCTGTAAGATCTCTGTTGAACGACGACATGTTTAAGGATATTAAACAGGTCCATCATGATAAGATATCTGATAACCGTGATTGTAAATACCAAAAATGTCTCTCTTTATTTATAAGAGGTGATATTAAAGGATGTTTAGAGAGTATGGTAGAAAATGGTTTGTTATCTGAAGAAACTTTGAGTGATGATGTGGAAGTATACGATCTGTATTTAACTGCATGTAATGAAATATTGAATTTTCAGGACCTTGGAGTTACTCTAAAGAATATTGTCAGGGATACTTACTCAGCTAAAGTCGAATCTCTTAAAATGGTAGATCATTATGCTTCCGATATGGAGAAAGTAATGGAATTCTGGGATAAATATTTTAATAATTGTATCAAGACGATACCTATACGACGTGATCCAGAATTTTCAATGTTTTTACAAACTGAATTGAAACTGACATTGTCAAAAAGTGCTGGCAGGATATATATGAATGGATCAAATGGAGTTACAATCCCTACTCTATTGTATTTCAAGAAATTGGTTCATTTATATATATTCAAATTGGAGATTGAAAATATGGGAAGTAAGCGGAATGTTAAACTTTATCAGAAACTATGTTCTTCGATTCCTCACCTTTCTGAGATTTTAACCGACAATAGTATGAACGGCAAAGGGAATTCATACGAGTCAACTATCTTAGCTCAGCTGGAACCCCCACTTGAAAAGAAGACCCCTACACCGCAAATTGGTAATCACCAAGTCAAGAATTTCCAGAATCATGTATATTCCAAGGAAACGGATGCTAATATCACAAAAGAATCTCTAAGATCAGTTGATAATGATGAATCCGAACCGTTCAATGTTAAAACCAACATACTTACCTACATCAAGAGCAACCAATATATCCAACATATCATAAACAACCACAGATTCAATGCTATTATTAACCACATCGCTAATATCAAAGAACACCCTCAGACTATAATCCTAGCCTCAATAGCTTTAGCTGTCGTTCTTCGTTACGCTCATCGCCGTATTCGTTACGTACTTCGCAACTTCCCGGCGCTTTTAAACAAGCTGTTGCCCTACCTTACAGAGTTCCTAAGCTTACTTACAACTACTTGAACACACCCCAAATGGCATTAGTAAGGTACCCCAGGAGCTACTCGTAACGATGCTGGGTCTCCTTTTCTTCTGCCTGTCACTAGACACGTTGGATGGGGTTACCCGGATTACCCGCGAAAAATCTGAGAAAGGGAAGCCTGAGGAGGAGGAGAAAGCGAAACTTGGTGAACTTAAACTAAATGAGGCAGACAGAAAGAGAGAGAGAGGGCCGTGTTGACAGTTGCGAAGATGTTGTCCCTTTGTAAGGTTAACAATCATCAAAAGGTTGATTCTTAAAGGGGAGGGGGAAAACCTGAACAAGACCCTCAAATTTATGTAAATAATTGTATAGGATAGCTTCATATATTTGCACACAAGTACATAGATACAACGGTACCTAACTTATCCCTCATTTATCTTTTTTTTAAAAAATAAACTAACCCAATCCATTAGAAAGGAGAAGGTCAAAAAGAAAACAAACGGTAATATAGCTTACCTCAGAGTTAAAATCATATATATATATATAATATAAACGTTACAATAAAGGAGAATATAAGAATGTCTGCAGTTGACACAGAAAATAATAACAAAACAGCCGACGGTAACGATGTTTACCCATTGGCTTTGCTTATGGACGAATTGAAGCATGATGATATTTCTAATAGGGTGGAAGCCATGAAAAAACTTGATACAATTGCTATTGCTATGGGTCCTGAAAGAACAAGAGACGAACTGATTCCATTTTTGACTGAAGTTGCTCAGGATGATGAAGATGAAGTGTTTGCTGTATTGGCTGATGAATTAGGGAATTTTGTTCCTTTCGTTGGTGGTCCAGAACATGCCACGATACTATTACCTGCATTGGAAATTCTAGCATCTACCGAAGAGACCCTAGTTAGAGACAAAGCCGTCGCTTCTTTGAATAGTATTGCATGCGAATTATCCGAAGAACAGATCTTGAATGATTTCATTCCTTTGATTGAACATCTAGCCGCAGCGGATTGGTTTTCTTCAAAAGTTTCTGCTTGTGGGTTGTTCAAATCTGTCATTGTCAGGATAAGGGATGATACTTTAAGAAAGAACCTATTGGCTCTTTATTTACAATTAGTACAAGATGACACTCCAATGGTGAAAAGAGCTGCAGCCAAGAATTTGCCTACTTTGATTGATTTATTAAGACAAAATCCAAATCTATCTAATGATGTCGATTGGGATTTCATCTCTAATATGTTTCAAAAGATCATTAGTGATAGTCAGGATTCTGTGAAATTTCTTGCAGTTGATTGTTTGATTGCGATCTTGAAATTCTTTAACACAAAGAACGATGATGTCCATTTTAAAGATTTATTGACATCTGCTGTGAAATTAAGTACTGATGAAGCCTGGAGAGTACGTTATATGGCTGCAGACAAATTTGAAACTTTGGCTTCTCAATTTGAAGGTCATAACGAATATTTAACAGAATTATTACCACCTTTCTTAGGTTTATGCGAGGATAATGAAAGTGATGTAAGGAAAGCCATTGCCAATGAAATCCCAGGGTTTGCTGTGTTGTTTAAGGATCAACCAAACGTTATCCTAACTAAAATTTTACCAGCCGTACAAAATCTAAGTATGGATGAAAATGAAACTGTTAGAGCTGCTCTTGCTTTAAAAGTTACGAATTTGGTAGAATTAATAACTAAAGATGAAGCTATTGAAAATTTGTTGCCTATATTATTAAACATGTTAAAGGATGAATTCCCAGATGTTCGTTTGAACATTATTGCTAATTTGAAGGTTGTTAATGACGTAATAGGTATTGATCTATTATCAGAATCATTATTGCCTGCCATTACAGAATTGGCTAATGATATCAACTGGAGAGTTAGATTGGCCATCATTGAATATATTCCAATCCTAGCTGAACATTTAGGTGTTCAATTCTTTAACCAGCAATTGAGTGATTTATGTCTATCATGGCTATGGGATACAGTTTTCTCTATCAGAGAAGCTGCTGTTAAAAATTTAAAAAAATTGACTGAGATCTTCGGCCCAGATTGGTGTCGTAATGAAATCATATCTAGATTATTAAAATCAGATTCACAATTATTGGAAAATTTTATCTACAGATTCACATTATTGTCAGCTCTAACTGCTCTAGTGCCTGTTGTCTCTGAAGATACTGTGACGGAACAAATCTTACCATTTGTCAAACATTTGGCTGATGATGCTGTTCCTAATATTAGATTTAACGTGGCAAAATCGTATGCCGTGATCGTAGAAGTATTGAGTGTTCATAAGGATCAATACGATGATATTATCAACGATTCGATATTATCATCACTTAAATCATTATGCGAAGATTCCGACGTTGATGTTAGATATTTTTCTAACCAAAGTCTAGAGAAATGTAACAAACTTCTAAACCTATAATTTTTAAATGTCACGAAACACCAAACACTTTATATATAGATCCATATGTAGAGTCAAACCATCAAATCAAAACTTAATATACAAATACACAAATTATATCTTTATTATCGTGAACACTATCATTTGAGTTCTCTCCCCTGCATCTTAGTATTATAAATAGCAACTGCCAATATACATTAAAAATGTAATATATTACTAATTTACTATTTACCACCTTGCACTACTAGCATTACAAACTTTGTTGGCCAAACATATATCACATCTTCTAATTTTCGGGCCACAAATAATTTGGCCAAATCCAACAAGGATAGTATTAAAATCGTACCATAGTTCTCGTGGTAACCATTTTTCCACAGAGACCCTTGTCTGTTCAGCTGTATGACATATCTGTGGGTCGACCCATTTCCAGAGTCTACATAGCCGATGTACATGTACATCAACGCAAATTCCGTCAACCAAACCCCATGATTTTTGAAGTGCAAGATAGCCAATCTTTGGACCAACTCCTGATAAACTTGTCATTCCTGAAATTGTCTTTGGAACATCACCGTCGAAGCTTTCTTCTAGTTTATGTACTGTCTGCTCAATATATAAAGCTTTCCTCTTATAAAACCCAGTGGGCTTAATCAATTGTTCCAATATGGACCGTGGAACCCTAGACAAGGAAGACAAAGAGATTCCCAGAGGATCCTTCAAATCATCAAAACAATAACTCATTATGTTATGCATAGCCTTCGTTACAGTCTCATCTTTAGTCTGTGATGCAAGGATCAAACTAATCAGCAGTTGTAAGCGGTAATCTACGGGTCTCACTTGACTCCGACTAATTCCGAACTGTTTAGACACCAGCAGGGGGATTCTGGGACATCCCATTGTATCTACAGGTGTAGCCAACATCTGAGATCTCATCTTCCGAACTCGTGAGAATATAGACAAAAAATTACCTGGTACACCTTCATTATTTTGTAATTGTGAAACAGTTTCCTTAGATAACGGCCGATCCCATTGTTTCGGATCATCGTTAGTGATACGATCCATTCTATCAAAATATTCGTCACTGGACATTATCTTTATCGCACCAATGTCTACGCACGACACATAATTGTCTTGTTCTGTCGCTGATAACGTTCCTGTTATCTTCTTGCTCGGAAAATATCTTGAGGTTATCATCCCATCCCCATTATCTACCTCGTTATCGTCCAACTTCACCTCCACGTGCATCAACTTCCGTCTTTTCCGTGACATAGCACCCATCTCATAATGCAACAGACACACAGTAGATCTATAGCAACCAACTTCAACAGGACTTTCTCTTCTTCGTCCCAGAGCAAGAAAACTTTTGTTCTTTAAAATAAAAATAATAAAATTTTTTCAGTTTCTTGTGAAAAAATGCGTGCGGCGTTGCAGGTTCACCACCACTTATCGTATTATATAAGGGAAAACAAACAAAAATTGTCTTTTTCTGGTTCCAAAATTTTTTTATTTCATTTTATTGAAGTATTTCTTTTTGTTACTGAAGGGAACTAGAAGAACAGACAGAGAGAAATATCCTGATATATATATTTATATAGAGGAATTACTTATCGTGTTTTTGACTGTTACTGCAATACCTGTCTAGAACGTATCCTCGAGAAAAATTGAAGAAGGGGCGTCCAATTGGTACAAGAATAACGAGATACTGGTTGTAGATAACTTCGAACTAATTAAAAAAAGTAAAAAACACAGCTGCTCTGTGAGTAATAATTTAAAGTTCTGTTGCCATCATATATTATCATTGATTTCAATTGGTAAGATTTAACAATTAGAACCATCTGCTAATAATTAAAAAAACTATGAGTGCTTTTTGTCGTCGATTTATACCTGTGAAACCGGTTACTTCATGGGGTGCAAACAAGGGTAAACTAAGGGAATTGGGATTACCTGGTGGTCAGGTTACTAAGAAGGAGATAGATAATAATAGGTTCACTATGTTAACTTATAATATTCTTTCACCCGCATATATGTGGCCGCAGGTATATACTTACGTTCCAGAACAATACAAAGATTGGAGATACAGACATAATTTATTGGAGAGAGAATTATTTCAAACTTATAAATCTGATATTATGTGCTTACAAGAGTTAACTATCCGTGATTATAATACTTTTTGGAAAAATAATTTTCTGGAGAAATATAAGATGGGTTCGGAGTATATTTCAAAGACTGCTCCAAATTATTGGAAGGGTGAAAAGGATGAATTAGATGGTGTTGGAATCTTTTATAATTTGGAAAAATTTGAATTCATTCATTCTACTGGTATTAAACTAAGTGAATATTTAAACAACTTTAATAAACATGAACTAGGATTTCTAGCAAAGAAAAAAATGGACTTAACGGATGGTTCAGGGAAAGTTGTCGGTGCAAGTAATTTATTAGATGTATTGAAATCAAAGAATCAAGTATGTCTCTTTGTTTCCTTAAGACATAAACCCACTGGTACCGCCTTTGTTGTTATTAATACTCATCTTTATTGGAAATACGATGATGTGAAGTTGTCTCAATGTATGGTCATTATGAGGGAATTAGACAAAATCATAAACAAGATTAAAGAAAACCACAAGAAAGAAGGTCGTCCAGATCAACAGATCAAGATTCTCTTCACTGGAGATTTGAACTCTACTGGTGATTCATTAGTGATAAATTTCTTAAAGGGTCAAATACTTAACACGAACAGTCTTAATATGTTGAATCCGATGCGTACAAACTTGAATCATTGTGTTTACGATGACATAGTAAAAGAAAATCTCTTTGATTACACTTGTTACTCAGGCAAATTAAAAGGTATATTTGATTATATCTGGTATCATGATACAGATTTCCAATTAACAAAGATTCTAAGTGGGAAAGAAGTTACGGAAGAACTGGAGACTCATCATCAGCATGGTCTACCTAACGAAACCCATCCCAGTGACCACATTCCACTAGTCGCAGAGTTCGAATTACTATGAGGTAGCACATCATCTATGATGAACAAAACCTGCTATTATACAATCTTATTTGTTGTCACTGTTGCTCTTCAATCGATTCGATTCCACCAAACTCTTTTTTGTTTCTTAAATTTTCTTTTTCTTTTTCTCGCTGAAAAATTTTGCCAGCGAAGAAAGGAAGAAAAAATATCAAAATGAGTTGAAAAAGAGTACACAGAACATATAAGTTAGTGGTTTGATGATTTAAGCAATAGATAGCAAAAGAACAGACAAGATTGGGAAGAATAGATATTCAGTTGAAAGAAAGTTTTACTTCCTTCAATTAGTGGCCCAATAAAAAGTCAGAGATTTCTACTATTAGTGAGAGACTACAATAAAATTACTGAAATAATTAAAAACAATAAAATATGCAGAAACCAAAACAGTACTCATCTGATATTTCTAATGATGCAAACATGATGGCTCATCCAATGTTCCAGCATAATCAGCAGCCACAACAGCAGCCACAACAGCCGCAATCACAGCAACAATCACAACCACAACAGCAACAGCAACAGCGACAGATGAATCAGGGACAACGTACGAGTTACGACTCAAATATCAACATGGTAAACCCTGTCCCTATTACATTCTCTGATAAAGGTTCCAGTTTCGAGGATCCAGTAACTATGCATGCAAGACTAAAACTTGATTACATGAAATCCTTCCAGGATGACTCTCATTTCTATCCAGAATTCCCAAATCCAAATGTTCCTGTTGTACCAAATCAATACAGTTCTCATCCATCTATGAACAATTTCAATAATATTCAGTTACAAAATCAAAACCAACCACAACAACCTCAACAGCACATGTTTAGTTCTGATCAACAAAGTTCGTTCAATAGATCAAACACTCCAAATAATGTGAATTATCTGCATCAAAAGCAATACAATCAAAAGTTGAATGACAGGGAAAATTTATTATCCATATTAGCGCAAAAGAGCTTAGAAAAGCAACAACATCAATTCCAACAACAACAACATCTAAAACAAAACAAAAGACCTAATAGTCAACATTATTACCAGCATCAACAACAAGGTGACCCATACTTGGTTAACTGAATGATTCTTTTTTTTTACATAGAATACCATCATGTCCCATTTCTTTTTATTTTCATTTCTTCGCCCACACTCCTTTATTATCATTATTTCATGTTAAAAGTTGTCGTTATGATCGTTCCTCGTATTTTCTACAATTTTATCATTATTATTGTTTTCAATTATCATAAATATTTAAAGACTCTATTTCTCTAATCGATCATACAAATTCAATTCATCATATTATTTATTTTTTATCATAACAGAAATCTAATGCTGATTTTAAACTCCCCGTTGTCTAAATTCATTTTCGTTTTGCATCCACACTCAACTTTATATATATTATATATAGATGTAGCAATAGTAACAATATAGAATATCAAAAACAAACAAACACCTACAGCAAGAAGTTTTATACCTTTTTGAAATTTAACAAATTGTTCTCAAATTCATAATCTTTCAAATTTCTGAATATAATGTACAATGAAATTTTATTTTTTATCTTATGTCTTACTCATAAATATGTAATGATGAACTATTATTTATTTACTTCTCACTGGTTTCATTTTGAGCCTTTTTGTATGCAATAGAACGTTTAGTGACTCTACCAGACTTTGATCTTTGTTTCTTTCTTTTCAAATGAGATACTTTCTCACCCTTTGTGGCTCTTAGACCTTCAATGGTCAATTGTTTACCTAATGTAGCTTTATCGGCTTTACCAAGAACTCTACCGGCTCTACCCATCTTTGTCCTTTGAGATTCATTCAATTTATCAAAATTTTTACCCTTGGAATGACGTGCATCTGAGGCATTCTTTTCTTTTCTCATATTCTTACATCTAGTCACACGTAATTTTCTACCCTTTTTATTCTTAGTAGCATTGACAGAGATCATTGGCTTACCATTTAATAATAATGCTTTGTTAACACTTTGTAATTCATAAAATTGAACATAAGCAAAACCTTTACCCATATTCGTGATGGAGTCTCTGATGATACGAACATATTCAATTTCTCCACAGTTACCAAAATGTTTCCACAAGGATTCTTCATCTTCTTCAAAATCAAGATTCCCAACAAAGATAGAACGTTGCTTGTCATGAGGGGCTGGATGAATAACAGAATCGACTCTTAAATGACGGTTTTCAAAGACTGTAGCGTTCAATTTCTTAAGTAATGGTCTAACAGAATCTTTTTCCTTATAGACAATATAAGCATTAACTGCTTCTCTAGAGTCATGCAATTTTTGCTGAGCGAACGCAACTTTTCTTGGTAAAGCTTCCTTGAAAGAAATAGATCTAAATCTAACACTTTCAATAACGTATAGTTTCTTCTTATTTTTAATTTCTTCTTCATCTTGGTCCTCCTCATCTTCCTTAGGGTTTGGATCTGTACTAAATAATTTCTTGAATGACTTGAATTTATCTTTAGAAGTAATGACTTCGTTTGTTACATTACCTACAAAAACAGTTCTTTCAGCTTTTTCTAACTCATCTTCTTTCAAATCCACTTTCTTAGCCTTTTCTGCATGTTTAGTCTTAGTAGCCTTTTCATCAGAATCACTAGCATTCTCATTATCTTTATCCTTCTTATCATCATCCATTATCTTGGCGAAGTACTTACCTTCCAAATCGTCATCACCTTCACCATCTTTTTTCTTTTGTTTCTTTGGAACTGGTTCCTCCCCTCTACTATCTTCTTTGTCATCTTCTTTCTTTTGGTCCTTCTCTTTTTCTTCCCCAGTGTTCTTTCTCTTTTTCTTAATACTTGGTAGGATAGTTCTTAATTTTGTCTTGATAGAGACGGTATCGACCGCATTACTCTTTTGATTAAAGATATCATTAACATTAGATTCAACATTTTTGGAATCAACATTACCAAAAAGATTATCAATCGAAGACATGATAATAATTGCGTAAAGAGAAGTGAATTGGTGTTAGTTATTTTATTTACACAACTGCTGACTAATAAATAACTGTATAAACAGACCCTTTTAAAGAAGTTATGAGATCAGTGATCCATTTCTATAAAAATGGGTTATTACCAAAGTGATGAGATGAGATGAGATGAGTGACAAAAAGTGAAAAGAAAAATTTTCAATTGAATCGGTCACGTGCTCGAAATTAGTTTTGGAAGTAAACGTTGCTAAATACCATGTACTGCCGTAGTTTTACATATATATCTGATCATATTACTAGTCATAGAATGAGTAGAATCATCAATTGAACCTAAAGTCTATTGAACAATGGTACTATTCTAGAACTAATATAGAATTGTAGAAAATTGATTTTGATTTTGATTTTGAAATTTGGTCTTCTTTATTCATGACCATAGTTATGAGATAAGATTATAAGTAGTAGTAGTATATATATTATATAGTTAAAATAAAAGACTGGATGTTTCATGGACTGGGGTTTTAGATATGAGGATAACGTAAAAATTTATTTTTTTCATTCTTGATTGTATTTTTTTAATCATATTATAAAGGGAATGAATAAAACACAACGGTAAAAATAAAAAACAAATAAATCATATAGTCATCTCTCATTATAACCATGATATCAAACCCATGCAATAAAGTTGTCTAATGTAATAATAATTTTGGATAAAAAATAATAGTAACCCTTAAATAACGCTTATTTCAATGGAACGAAACGGGAGGTGGTGGCACCAGCTCTACCGTGTCTAACTGGGGTGTAAGTGATGGAGAATTCACCTAAGTAGTGACCTAGCATTTCTGGTCTGATTTCGACTTGGTTGAAAGACTTACCATTGTAGATGGCAACGTTAGAACCGATCATTTCTGGAACAATGATCATGTTTCTTAGATGGGTTCTGACAGCAGCTGGCTTTTCGTTTTCTGGACAAGCTAATTTAGCAGCTCTCAACTTCTTCAAGAAACCGGCTGGCTTGGCAGATAGACCACGAGCAAATCTTCTTCTAACTCTGGCTGGAGTTAGCTTGATGAAGTCTTCGGTAGACATGCCTAGTAGTTCATCTAGGTCGACACCTCTGTAGGAGTGGGTCTTAAAGATTCTGTTCTTCTTAGCTGGAGCTTCGGCAGACATGATTGGACTATATCGATTTGTGTATATGTGATGATGATCTTGATAAATGATTAAACAATATTTAAATATCTTAAAAAAAAAATATTACCAACTTATACTAGTATATGTAAACCTTTCTTTTATTTGATATATACAAGAGAGAGTTAACCAAAAAAGAAGAAGATGAATAAATTGAATTGAATTGTGTAACGAACGTAACCAACTCTCACTAAACCTTTAGACTGAAATTAGTTTGGTAGATGTGAATAAAATTAACGGTTGAAACAAACAGAGCAAACACGACGTACTTGCTTGCGAAGTGGAAGAATTTACGTCCCCCTGTGCTCGTCAGATGCGGGCAGAGCAGGCAGGGCCACAGAGAGAGAATTCACAACTTTTTCACTTATTTTCTTAGGCGGTGCGGTGGCGTGCGGTGCGTCCCGTCTAATATTATTTTTCACAATAGAATTCTGATCTGGATTTGTGACTGTTCAACCCACACACCGCACTGTTAACAGGGAACAACAAAGCGGTACAATCTGTACACCACACCATAAAGGTCTTTGACCGCAAAAAACTACTCGCAATATATTTAACAAACAACAAACAGGTTGCCCTTGCGCTCCACCTAATCAGTTGGCCGGACTGCCACTGGCTCACCGAGCAGAGAGCCAGCTGAAAAATTATTCTCTGTAAATAGAACGATGAACAGTGGGAAGGGGAGGAGGGCATTACTGCTCATGATGGTTTAGTCTTGAGGATAGAGTTGGAGGTGTCTTGGAACTTGCATGCTCTTTCAATATGGTACTGCCAATGTGAGGACACCTCTAGCTAATTCGAGGGAACCTCTCTCTTATACACCTTAAGTATCAAATATTGCTATTACTAGTATATATCAACTAACAAGAGTTTACAAAGGTGTTTCTACTATTATATAAAAAAGGTATTTGCTGAAATTTACTTATTTTTTTTTAAATAGTTCTTAATTCAATAAGTATAAATATAGATCAACTAAAGTAACATAATGAAGTACCTAGCTGCCTACCTACTATTGAACGCCGCCGGCAACACCCCATCCGCTGACAATGTCAAGGCTGTCCTAGCCTCTGTCGGTATCGAAGTTGAAGAAGAAAAGGTCTCTGCCCTAATGACTGCTCTAGAAGGTAAGACTGTCGCTGACTTGATCGCTGAAGGTAACGAAAAGCTATCTGCTGTTCCAGCTGCTGGTCCAGCTGCTGCCTCTGGTTCCGGTGCTGCCGCCTCTGGTGAAGCTGCTGGTGAAGACGCTGCTGAAGAAGAAGCTGAAGAATCTGACGATGACATGGGTTTCGGTCTATTCGATTAAGAACCTTTATAAAAAAGAAATTTACTGTTTACCATAAAACTCTTATGATATATTCCATCTTTTTTTGATTGTTTGAATAAATTGTATTGATGAAGAAATAAAATAAAATCACAAAGGAATTGTAATACAAGGAAAGATATAATCGCCATACAATGGAGTAGTATTCGTTTCCAGCAACCCCTTTATTTATTTACATTGATTTCTTTCATCCATCTATTTCTTTTAATTTTCGACTAGAATAGAATTATTATATCCTTTTTTTAATACATCTTTATATAACTCATTTTTTACATATAATTAGGTCATTATTCTTAATTTCACAACCCCCCATAAATCATAATTATTATCAACTTTTCTGCATTATTTGAATATATATAAGCATTTGCAGTGGTTTAGTCAGTTATCTCTTTTAGATAAGCCGTACACGTAATCGAAGAGGCAAAAAAAATTAAAGTGAAGCCAGGATGAAAGGAGAAGAGAGACAGGGACCACTGACTTCTGCGAACTCGAAGGGTAAAGAGACTTTCCGATAAAATATATAGATTATAAAAATAGTTAGGGGAATCTCTATTTTGTCTCAACGATTTCAAAGTTGTCGAGGATACACCTTTAGAACAAGTTTGCGAGTGACAGCAAAAATAATGCTAACGAGAAGACTTATACAGTGGCTACCGGCCTTTATATTACTGATATCAGGAGTCATGGCCATGGATCATTCAAACCAAATAATTTTAGCACCTACATCGGTTGCAAATAACGAGAATGCTGATGCGACAGATACAGCCGTAGTCGCGGATCAGTCACAGGAATCTACCTCTAACAACGTATATATATCTGGTGATTTGTTGTGTAACGATGACGATTGCTATCCTTTATTATTCGAGCCTTCATCTGAATGGCAAATAGTAAAACCGGAACAAAGATTACCAGCCGGTCTAGACATTAGGGTCAATTTAGAGACTGGTCTAAAAGAAGCAAAATTAGGAGAAGGTAATATGGTAACCAATAATAATAATAAAGAAAAGGAAGATACTAATAATGCAGCAGAAATGATAGAAGAAACATCTAATATGGTTAAGAAAGATGAAAGTGCAGTAAATAACAATTATGAATTTTCTGAACAATTTGTTGCGATTAGAGGGTTCTTAAATAAGGGCCAATACCCTGAGGCTGCAGGACAATTAGAGGATATAATGGAATTTGCTCATGACTACAAACAAGGCTATAAAATCGCCACTAGAGAGTTTGATCTATTACAATCCGTGGCATTGAATGAGTCTATCCCAATCAACGTTAGAGAACTAGACACTCGTGTTATCGTTGCATGTATAAGAAATAATCCACCTGTCGTAGAATACATCGAACAGAATTATCCAAATTTTGTCAGAGATATTTTCAATAACATTAATGAGGTGAAAAAAGTAACTGATGACGTTCAATTGCTGGTGAAAAGATTCATTAATATCCTAACTGTGTTGATCGACTCTGATCCAACATATATTGTAGGTGTAGTTGATTTCGAGACCCTAAGACGCGTCTTCTATACCATCGATGACAAGCAATTGAAGATGAGAATCTTAGAGATTGTCTCAGCTTTCATTGATAGAGTTCATCATGAGGATATTGCACCTGTCATGAAAAGAGACGGGATCCTGTTTGTCATTCCGCAGATTCAGGACTGGGTTAAAGAATTCTCAAGGTATGTTAAAGATGCAGACATTGAAGAAGACCATTTGAGAAAATTCTTTAACACTTTATACAATCTGAAGACAGATTTCGGTAAAGATATCAAAGTAGATACACCATTCTTAAATTGGCTAATTAACCAAGTTGAAGAAAGAAAGGCTCATTTAGCAAATGGTGAGGAACCAAGAGACCCCGAACAGGATGAATTTGATAGAAAACTGATCAACAGTAGACACTTGGTCTTTGGCAACGAAATGGCTGATTCTATTAAGAACTTTCACGATGAACTATAAGAAGAAAAAAAAATATTCAAAGGTATATCTCCCCTTAAAACTCCACATACATTCAAAAAAAAATAAAAATTGTCATTGTTTATCATAAATACATATATAACTGTATATATTTTTCTTAAGAGGTACCATCTACCTCTCTATGTTATGCCCATTGGTGTATAAATCATTGCTGTTCTATTGGTGGTAAAAGTTTCTTACCCTCATGCACTGGTCACTTCATCGAGGAAAGAACCGTCATTCTCTAATCTATTTTTGAATTTATCCCACCATGTATCGAACCTCTTAATTGATACACTACCATTGGCATCTAAAAATCCTGACAAATAATTGTATGCATGTTGTACAATTTTAGCAGCTAGTTCTTTTGTAAGAGCAGGATATGTCTTTGCCAACTCACCAACAGTTCGAATAGCTAAGGGCATACCCATGGCTCCATTCGGTCTGGATAGTACTAATGATGATGCATTCTTACTTTTCTCTACGTTAATTTCTTGTTTCCATTCCTGTATCTTTAGTAACCCTTGTTCTCTGGGTTCAATTGAAATACCGATTGTCACTTGGGAGAGGTTATTGTTTGTTTGAGGTGTATTACCGTCCATCATGGGATTCGTTACATTAGAATCATAGTCATCATCCATATCAATCTCTCCTAATCCATCATTTGATGGCGATATATAATTGTTTGAACCATTATTTGCAGGACTACTACCAGGAAGTTTAACTTTAAAGATAGCACTTGGTTTTTCTAATGATAAATAACCAAATAATTTAAAATCATCCGTGGGGATTAATTTAAAGTACACAGTAGCAATAAAGTTCTCCGGGAACGTTACATTCGGTAGAATAAATATAGAAATATGTGAGTATGATTTTGGCTTCGTTGATGAGAGAATTATAGTGTGTTGTAATCCATTTGAGTTGGCAACTTCTTCGGAAAGTTGTAAAGGATTACCAGCAGCGACGGCAGCAAACATCGTTTATTGAGTTATAATAATATTGTTGATAATGTAAGGATTACTGGTGTATACCGAATCTAAATTGTAATATATAAAGATGATTTGGTACCTTTAATCTGGGATAAGACTTTCAAGTATAAACTCTTTACGTTCGATCCTTTAAATTTTCGGTAATTTCAGTAAAACCCTTCCGGCTTGAAGATAAATTATTCCGGTTAAGTCGAAAGAAGTCATAAAGAGAATTACTAATAGAGAAACTAAATAATATTTACAAATAATGTTTATTGTTTATGGTATTTACATATTTTTTAAATGTTCGATTGCTGCCTGTAACCTATTTTGAGATTCAACAGCCCCTAATATATCTAAAATAACATGAATCTTGGCACCCGATACATTGCCTGAAAGAGCAAAGCGAAGAGATTGGAATAAAAGTTTCTTATTCACACCTAAAGTCTTTGTGGTTTCGGATATCGTTTCTTGTATCGTGGAAGACATTAACTTAGTTCTGGAGGTTTCCAGGATGGATATAATGGTATCTCTATTATTACTCTTGAAGAATTTCTGTGTCTCTTCTGAATGAACGGAATAATCTGGTAGATTAAAGAAATACGAAAATTGGTCTTCAAAATCATTAATAGTATTCAAACAATGACCGCAGTCCTTAAGTATTAGTTTCACTTTCTCTGTCAGTTGTATCTCATCCGGGGTCTCATATTTAGCTAAGAGTTTAGGAATAACAGTGGAAACCAACTCTTCTAGTTGTAATTCATTTTCAATTCTCTTTTGTAAAAAATGTTTATTAAAGAATAATAGCTTGCTATTATCAACTTTTACGTTACCCTTGGTAAGGTGGTCAAGATTAAACAATTGAGTCAATTCTTCAAGGGAGAAACATTCGTGGTTCTTCTGAGCCACATCTCTTGGAGGTGACCAACCTAATAATGCACAGAAGTTTATCAGAGCCTCTGGAAGTATACCTTTCTCTTTTAAAGCGAAAACAGATGCATCATTCCTTCTTTTGCTTAATTTTTTATCACTTTCAATGCTTGTTAATAGTGGAATGTGTATGAATTTCGATGGAGTCCAACCAAATGCGTTGTACAACATAATATGTTTTGGAGTAGAAGGTAACCATTCCTCTCCTCTTATAACATGTGTGACACCCATGAGATGATCATCAACAACATTTGCAAAATGGTAAGTTGGCATACCATCTGATTTTAGCAATACTAGATCATCATAACCGATCCTATCCTTTCTATCTTGAATGTTAACTTGACCATGTAATAGATCAGTAAAACTTTCGTATTTTTCAGGTGCTTTAAATCTAACAATAAATTTCCCACCTTTCTCCTTCATTTGAGCTGAAATCTCTTCTTCTGACAGATGGAAACAGTGTCTATCATACCCATCCAATCTCGACGCATCTAATTTCTCTTTACTACAAAAACAGCGGTAGGCCTTCCCTTTATCCAGCAATATCTGAATGTACTTCGCATATATTTCTTTCCTCTCACTTTGCTTAATAGGACCCTCATCAATTTTAAACCCACACCATTCCATTGTATCATATATATTTTGTTCTGCCTCTGGTTTTAGCCTTGTTCTATCTGTGTCCTCCAATCTTAATATGAATTTACCCTTAGTATTACGAGCGAGAAGGAAATTATACAAAGCAGTTCTCAAGGATCCTATATGTAATAAACCTGTAGGACTCGGTGCAAATCTAGTAACAACTGGAGAAGTCGGTTGGACAGATACCTTTTTAGACTGTTTACGAGATAGAAGGTCTGAATAACATCTAGTCGTGTCAACAGCATTGAGTCGACTAGAAATTCTAGGTAGACTCACAAGTTTATAGCTGCTTCTTCCTAATAACAACCTACTCATAATCAATAAATACTATATTACAATGCAATATACGCACCCTTCTTAGATATAGATATATATATATATTTGGGCTTAATTTGTTAATCGTCGTGATATGTTTTCCTTTATTTAGCTCCCCTTCCTTTAAATATTAAAAAATGAATTTCAACATCTCCGGTAACTAATGAAAGGTCTTGACTCGAAGCATTTGACTCAAATAACATATACTATATGATAATTTTCTATAATGAGATTTTTAATTTTTTGGACTATGTGTATGTGAAGGTTTCCACAGGTATATATGCTTATAATATATAATTGGATGTCTCACCAAAATGCTGCATTTCAGGTTGAACAGAAGGGTTAGGAATCCATGGTCCAGCCATCACACAATGAATTCTCATTCTTTCATGATAGTATAGATCGGTTAATAACTTAGGTGTGATTAGGAAATATTGGGAGGTGTTCTCCTTACAAGCATTTTCAACCATGGCCTTATGAACAATTCTTTCGTTTCTTCTATCCATACCTTGATTAATTTCATCAACTACTCTGAAAGGTGCAGTGGTAAAATCTTGAAGTGCCATCATATATAATACTGTAGACACAGCACGTTCACCACCAGATTGAGTATGTGGATCTAATTGTTTCAATACTGCATTATCTCTAAACTTGACAAGAATTTCAATTTCCCATTTAGTGAAAAGATCAGGCTTGTTTAATCTAATGGCACCTGCACTTCCAACTCGCTTGAAGAGACTAGCAAATTTTTTAGAGATTTGTTCAATCATATCATCTAATTTAGGCTCCAAAGCAGTTTTTTTACTAGTCATGTCTTCACGTGTCTCGGTTAATTGTTTCTGTTGACCAGGTAATACTTCTTTTAATTGTTTGATTTCCTTCTCCACTGTCTCCAAAATTTTAACGGAGGATGCATCATGATTTAATCTGGAAATTTCGGATTCCAGTTTATCTATAGTATCGTTAATAAATGATATATTGAAATGATCTTCATTATCATAATTTTCTGCTAATTCAGCCAATTTTTCTTTAAGATCTGGTCCATAAGTTTCGATTTCTTTCTTCCATTCCAAATATTCTCTTGAATTTTTACGTTCTTCGAAATTTTCCTTCTTAGTTCTATATTCTTGATCAAGTTCGTCTTCTTCTGCGTTGAGTGATTCAATCAATCCATTCATTGACATGGACATGTTTTTAAATTTAAAGAAGTTAGCTTGTTTAGTAATATGTTGTTCTTCCATTGTACATCTTGTTGTAACAAGTTTAATCATATCTTGTGACAATTTCAATTCTATCTTTAAATCTTCAGATATTTGATGCTTGACATCTTCAATCTTTAAAGAGACATCTCTTCTAGCGTCCTCTTTATATTTCTCTAGATTTTCTTCTAAGAGATTGCAATCATTTTGTAATTTCGAATGTTCACTTCTAAATTTATTTAATCCACTTAATTCGTCGTTAAGTTTATCGAATTCATGACCAAGTTCTTTTAATTGATGCGCAAAATCATTCTTTTCATTGATTTGTTCTTCCAATGTTTTAGACTGAGTATTTACTTGAGTGGCCATATCTTCAATTTCTCTATTTATGCTTGCCTTTAATTCATCTGACATTACACTTGAAGCATAGAAAGGAGTATTACCATTAGATTCAATGTTTCTAGATCTTGCATAGACTTGATTTGTTTGAGAGACGTTTAAAGTAATTAAAGTCTTACCATGAATAATTTGAGTAAACAATGGTTTCCCATTAGGTTGAGGTTTCATTAATGGTTCTAATTGGGAACTTGGCAATTCCCTACGAGACACTGGGATCATATGAATCTTATGAAACTCACAAAGCATTTGGATAACTTTTTTATCACCTTTAATAAAATCAGATAAATAACCTTCAAATCCATATTTTTCAATTAATTCAGTTCTTGGGATAGGTTCTTGAAATTGATTATTGGATAATTGTCTTAAATTTACAGGAAATCTTTTCACGATTGGATCAGCGTAAAGATCAAAAGCTGTATCTGTTGTAACGGTTAATGCAATGGCAGTAGCAAATGGAATCGCTGATGATAAATAAGGGGCAAACGATGGTTCTTTAGCGGATATTGTAATTAAAGGTGGGCCTAATATTTGTTGACCGCATTGTTGATCTGTTCTTGAAGTTCTTCTGACGTCTAACATAGCGTCTCTAATTGTCCTTAAATCGGGTCTCTTTGGATTATCTAATAGATCTATTTTATCATAATTTGTTTGAGATATTTTTTTCTTTTTAATTTTATCCTTTAGAGCTGTAATTTGACGATCGATGGTTCTTGCTTTATCATTGATTGAATTGATTTTTTGTTGGGTTGATTGTTGTTGAATAATGATATCATTTCTTTTTTTTGAGATTTCTTTGAATTTCTCAGGATCAGGTAAATTAATTGATTCTAGAGTAGATTTCTTTTCTATAAGAGTTTCTTCAGTAAGTTTAATTCGTTCTTTAATTTTATTAGCTCTATTTTTATAATACTCAATTTGATTTTGTTTTTTAATCATTGAATCTCTAATATTTTTTAAAGACGTTTTATTTTTTTGTAAATTTGAAGTTTGATCTTGAATTAATTGTTCGAATTGAATTAAATCATTTTTGGTAATTTGTTCATTTTCATGAATAAGATTGGTACTTGATTGATATTTTTTCTTTCTTTGAATTAGAATTTTTAATTGTTGTTTAGCTAATTTATAATCTTTTTTAAATGATTCTAATTTTTCTTTATGATCTTTTAAATAAACGTACGGTAATAAATTTTGATGGAATTTCAAGGATTCGTTTTTCAATTCGTATTCTTTAATCGATTTAATATTTTCATCCAATTTTTCTTTTAATTTTAATAATTCATCTAATCGTTTGCCATTAACATCAATTTCTTTTGCCCATGTCAATTCATTCTCTTGCAACGATTTCAGTTGTTCCAATAGATTCAACAGCTTGCCATCGATGGCTCTGATAGTCTCGTGTAATAACATCACAGGTTTCAAAGCAGCGAACTTCTCGACACGTTCCTGTGATAGAAACTGGCATAAATTATCCAATTGTATATTCATCCCCTGCACGTATTGCCTCACTGCATGTTCTGAACACTGCTTATCGTTCAGCCAGTACTCTGCCCCTCCACCACGCTTGTCTCTCACGAGTCTTCGTTTCACGGTAGTGTAGTTCCCATTAGGAGCCTCGGTGTCTCGTAGCGTGATCTCGATGGTGCTGTAAGGGCATCCGTTCTTCACGTAATTGGCAGCATCACTGGCTCTCCCCAAGTATTCTGTCTTCCCAGCGAGTCCCAAGCAGATGGCACACACGACGGTAGATTTCCCAGACCCGTTGGGCCCGATGATCATATTTAGTGATGGGGTCATAGCGAACTCTGCCAGGGTGTACGTGACGAAGTTTTGCAGTTTCAACGTGATGATATTCCCATTTTGAAATTGCGATGGGTCGGAAGTGGCCAGTTTGATCCGTTTATTGCTCTGGGTGTATTTTGCCAAGTCCATCTGTCCCTGTGTGTGTCGCCGGTCTTGCTCTTCCTGTTCTTGGGTATGGTCTTTCTTATTGAAAAGTTCAGCTGTGTATATTTATACTATTTACATTACGTTACGTTACGCTACGCTACGCGTATCTCTCAACTGTATTCCGTATGTGGCAAGAAATGCACACTGCATCACCAAGTCACTAGGCTATTATATATAAGTACATAACGGGAGCTACCATACAGCGATACGACAAGAAGAGCAGAGCAAGCAAGCAATAATACTTTGAAGGTATGTCAGTGTAGCGGTTCTGATTGTAATGGGTAGTCTTTAAACTGTCACTCATTTCTCATAAAAGAAGTCATGTTGCGGGTTCGACGCCGCACATAATGCACCATTTGTCATCATATAGAAAGTATCATTGCCAATAACGGTAGCCACTACCGTGAGGGTGTAACCTTACGTCCCCAGAGAGTTGCCATTGCCATTGCCATTGCCATTGCTCTTGTTGCTGTTGCTGTTGCTGACGGGAAGTGAAAAGCGCCAACTTTTTGCAGTTTGAGCAGCCGCCGCCGCCCGCCGCTTTTTATATTTTTTGGTTTTGCGGTTTTTGCGTTGCTCGCGGGCGGTGGACGCGGTGCGTGTCACGTGGGAGTCACTCGGGACGGCGGGTGCGTGTGTGGGGTCGTTAGGGTTTGGGGTGGGGTTGGCAGCCAGCGCTGGCTGCCAACGCTGGCTGCTATATAGCAATGCCTTGCTACACCACAACGAGGTAGGTGGGGGTAGGGGAGGGGGAGGGGAGGGGAGCAAGAATGACAACGATGGAAGTGACCCCTGTGGAGGATGTCGAGCGTGCGTGTGGCACACTGCTGGCGGCGTTCCATGACAGCAGTGCTAACGATTTTCTGAACTGCAAGTTCCAGGACGTGCCATTGGAGGAAACCCTGGCGTCACACTCGAGGGCCGACGAGCTGACTCGCAACACGATCATGTTCTACGTCGACCGTGGCGCAGAGTTTGTTCAGACCGGGGACTATGCTACCGTGGCTATCTGGACAGTGCCCCACAAGCATGTGGCTGTGGATCGCACGAAGGACGAACGCTTCAATGCCGTGTTTCTGGACGAGTCTCAACGGGTGAAGGAGAGGGTGATCCCCCAGGGCATGCAATACTACTACCTGTTCATGGTTGGGAGGGATCCCGTGTCGGCTGTGAAGGGCAGCGTCAGGGCTCTGTTCGATCACTACATCGAGAGAGCCAACAGGGAAAACGTAGCTTTGGTGCTGGAAGCAATCAGTGACCACGCCAGAGACGTCTACGAACACTTCGGTTTTGTTAACTACAATACTTTCAAGTACGGTGCGGGTGAGGTCGACAGCAACGGCCACTTGGATTCCAACGGGGACGGTCATACAGGGTACCTGATGATTTATTTACCAAAATAGTAGCCAGGGTCACTGTGCACGAGCACGCTGGCAACATGCCGGTTCAGCTCTCTCAACACAGATAAGATAAGATAAGATATATATATATATACATATATACATATATGCACTCTATTTTTTTTTTTCATTGAAGATGTTTTGACAAGAGAAGTGCAGATATAAAACTATACAGACAAGATGAGCGTGAGCAAGATTGAGGATTTCGACAGGGCTTGCACTGCCATACAGAACGCATTTCGTGAAGAACCAAGTTACTGGTATCTGGCTTGCAAATTACAAGACAAACCACTGGATATAGCAATCGGTTCGCCAAACACCGTGGACTTGCTGACTCGTGAATTCTTCACCCACTACCACGACCATGGCGCTCAAATCATGCAAGCAGGCGATTATGCGACGATCGCCATTTGGACGTCTCCATCGGTGTCTGTTCCAATGGCTCGGACTTCCGACGAAGCTTTCAACAAGATCTTCTTCGACACCTCGTTGGAGATCAAGCATAAAGTGATCCCCCAAGGGATGCAATACTATTACTTGTTCATGATTGGGAAAGATCCAGAATCGCCGGTGAAGGGGAGCGTGAGAGCAATGTTTGATCACTACACAGAAAGAGCTAACAAGGAAAACGTAGCATTGGTATTAGAGGCAATCAGTGAGCACGCCAGAGACGTCTATGCACATTTCGGTTTTGTTAACTACAATACTTTCAAATATGGTGTAGGCGAAGTCAATAATAAAGGTCAATTGGATTCCAACGGGGACGGTCATACAGGGTACCTGATGGTATACTTGCCAACCGCCACATCGACTTGATCCGGCCATCTAAATAGTAAATATGTACTTCCATAATTTTATCTTCTCGAGAAATACCTCCCTCTCTCTGTGTCGTCGTCGTCGTTGTCGTCGTCGTTGTATATGACCGGTTCCCACTGTTTGTTGGTGTTGTTTTCTCATTTTTCGGTTTTGAAAGAAATTTTGGGAGAAGAACAAACAAGAAGAAAAAGGGACAACAAACAATGAGACAACTCTCATTTCTTGAGAGAAATATTTATAAATAGAGATTCTGTTGTGGACATTCATTTGTAGTCGACGTAAACTGATAACATCTTCACTAGCATCACTCACATATACCACATTTGCCCAAGATGATGCGTGGGTTTAAACAGAAACTGATCAAGAAGACGTCAAGTTCAAGTTCTTCAAAGAAGAAAGAAAAGGAGAAAGAAAAAGAAAAAGAGAAAAAAAGATCTGTAAGTGGGAACAGTTCGTCTAATGGTTCGACGACTCCAACGTCTGAGTCCAGTAGAAAATCAACAAGTTCTTCCACGAAGAATAGTAATAATACGAATAATGGCAGTACTACTGGCTTGGTTGCATCAACAACAAACTCTACCACCACTACATCATCATCGTCGTCGTCGTCTCATAAGCATCATACATCCTCAAAACAAGGCTCCTCTGCTGATGGATCCAAACAGAAATCTTCAAGAAAACCTTCTTCTTCTTCTTCTTCTACTACTACTACCTCGTCAAATAAGAAGAAATCTAGTGTTTCAAGCTCTCACCCATCTGTCACTGTGATAACCACGGGTAACGCTAATGAATCTGAACAACAGGTAGTGACACCTACTGCAGCAGCCCATCCCACATTTATCGGTGCTGCTGCTGTTTCAATTGCGCCGGCTACTGTTGGGAATTCAAGTGCAACCACTATGGGAGGAGATCCATCCCCATCATCTCATAATACCACTCAAGGGTCACCTTCATCTCCAAGTATCGATATCCCAAGATCATCCCATTCATTTGAGAAATTACCGACTCCTGCAAAATTTGTCTCCGATGCAGATGTGGATTTGATTAGAACTCCACAACGTCATTCATCATCAAGATTCGAACCATCAAGATATACTCAAATATCTAAATTACCTTCATTTGATGAAGTGGCTCCCGAAGAAAAAATTCCTTTGTTTATAGCTAAATTGGATCAATGTAATGTCATGTTTGATTTTAATGATCCAAGTTTTGATATTCAAGGTAAAGAAATTAAAAGATTCACTTTACAAGAATTGATAGAATTTATCGTAACAAATAGATTCACTTATACTAATGACATGTATTTACATATGGTAACAATGTTTAAAGTGAATTTGTTTAGACCAATACCACCACCAGTGAATCCAATCGGTGACATCTACGATCCAGATGAAGATGAACCTGTAAATGAATTGGCATGGCCTCATATGCAATTGGTTTATGAATTGTTCCTAAGATTTGTAGAGTCACCAGATTTCAACCATCAAATAGCAAAACAATATATCGATCAAGGTTTTATTCTATCATTGTTAGAATTGTTTGATAGTGAAGACATTAGAGAACGTGATTGTTTAAAGACTACATTGCATAGAATATATGGTAAATTCTTGTCCTTAAGAAGTTTTATTAGAAGATCAATCAATAATATTTTTTTGCAATTCATTTATGAAACTGAAAGATTTAATGGTGTTGCAGAATTATTGGAAATCTTAGGTTCGATTATTAATGGGTTTGCATTACCGTTAAAGGAAGAACATAAAGTTTTCCTTGTAAGGGTACTTATTCCATTACACAAAGTACGTTGTTTATCACTATATCATCCACAACTAGCGTATTGTATTGTTCAATTCTTAGAGAAGGAACCATTGTTAACGGAAGAAGTAGTAATGGGTTTATTACGTTATTGGCCAAAGATTAACTCTACAAAGGAAATCATGTTTTTAAATGAAATAGAAGATATATTTGAAGTCATAGAACCCTTAGAGTTTATTAAAGTTGAAGTTCCTTTATTTGTTCAACTGGCTAAATGTATCACTTCATCACATTTCCAAGTCGCAGAAAAAGTTTTAAGTTATTGGAATAATGAATATTTCTTAAATTTATGCATTGAAAACGCAGAAGTGATCTTACCTATTATTTTCCCTGCTTTATATGAATTGACGGCTCAATTAGAATTAGATACATCCCTATCCCCATCAGACATGAATGATCCGAATGGAGATATGAATGATCCATATTTATTGGTTGAACAAGCGATAAATTCGGGTTCTTGGAACAAAGCAATACATGCAATGGCATTCAAGGCCTTAAAAATATTCCTTGAAACAAATCCTGTATTGTACGAAAATTGCAATGCCTTATACTTATCTAGTGTTAAAGAAACTGAGAAACGTAAACATGAAAGAAAAGAAAATTGGAAACATTTAGAAAAATACGTAGAAAATCTTAGGATAAGTGATGTCGATGGAAGACCGATCGCTGTGACCTCTGGTAATGATAATGACAATAATAATGATCAAAAATATACAAGTGGCTGATTTCAAGTAAAAGAAGAAGAAGAAAGATGTCCTACACAATTTTAAACTGAATGGTCATAGAAAGACTTTTCAATTGGAGGTCTTGATGGGATAATCTTATTTATATGGCCATTCATTATGAAGGAAATGGTATCAATTTATAGAGTATTACGCCTTGAATGTCAACGCCTCAATGATTACAAACATATATATGTATATATATACTTATACTTAGATAAAGTATTAGATATAAAAAAAATTATTTAAGAGAAAGAAGTTGGATATTTAGAAATCGGTTATATCGAAGTCCTAAACTTTTTTTATTAATTTTGGGGAGCAAATCTTGATGAGCATTATTTTTGAAAAATTATTATCGGTTATTTAAATGTTAATATATTTATTTCAAATTGGTTACAAGTATTACTAAAACACAAAAGATAAAGAAACAAACCGGTGCAGTTCTCACATATGATATGTTGAGAGTAGTTACTTCAAGAAATTTAGTATCAAGGTTTAGAAGTAGATTTTTTAGTAGCTGTTGCTCACTCACTGAAAAACATCCATTCAATGCACCAATTAAGATATTCCTAAAGAATGGTGAAGTTGTCACGTTACCACCTATACCGAAAGATAAAGGTAAGACCATTGAAGATACTAAAGCAAGAAGTATTTCCAAGATACAAGGGAGAATCAAACCGAAGGATCTTAGGGTAAGAGGGCGTCATGGTGTTACCTCAGATTATAATAATAATCGAATGAACAAAGAAGCATATAACAGTATAATAAGTGATAAAATCTCCAAGAACTCCTTCAATGTTGTATTCAGTCCGTTTGGAATTAAACAGGAAACAGTTACTTTAAAAGATAACACTCAAGATTCAGAAGGAGAACAACTACATCCGCCTCAATTAGCGGGAGAATTACATAGGGTTCTTTATCAACCGATGACTTTACATCAATTGAAAGATTCACGGTCTAGTGTTTACTTATTCGATCCAAAATTGGAGAAGATAACACCAGAATTTTTGGAGAAGAAAATATTTATAACAAGTGATCAAAGTGAACTTTCAAGCAGTAACGAAAACATCCCTTTATTTGTGACTCCTCACAAGGACAAGAGCTTGATGTCTGTGGCTAAGAAATACAAGAAAAGGTATATCTCCTCATCTAGTTCAATGACAGCTATTCTTTCACATATCCATTTTCTATTGTCTAACTTTAGAGGATTAAACATTGAGGATACACCTATATCAGATAGATTCAATCATAAACGCTGTAATTTCTCAAGAGGGGCCAAATTTCCAGCGACAGTAATATTACGTAAGATGGATGACAAAATTAGATCTATTGATTCAGACAAAACATTTGATAAAGAAATGATTCTTTCATTGTTGGGTCACTCTTTAGAGAGCTTCCTTACTGTTGATTCAAAATCACCAAAGCCGCAAAATGATTTTTATCATTATTCAAAAATAAATGATTTTATTGTGAGATCTCAATTAGATGCATATGATCCATATCTTCCCGGTACAGGAGTGTTTGACTTAAAAACTAGAGCGGTATCTGCAATAAGACATGATTTGCCATATGTAGAACAAAATAATAATGTGACTGGTTATAGGTTAGATAGGATGCATGGTGAATATGAATCATTTGAACGTGAATTCTATGAACTGATTCGTTCTACCCTTTTAAAATATTCTCTACAGAGTAGAATTGGGAAAATGGATGGTATTTTTGTTGCATACCATAACATTTCAAAACTTTTCGGTTTCCAATATTTACCACAGGAAGAATTAGATTATATCATTAATTCAAAACATAGTGATAAATTTTTAAACGTGTTACACAAACGAAGTAGCGAAATTATACGTGATGTGGGTCAAAGAGATTATATTGTGAATCATTTATATCAAGGTAGAGAAATTGCTAGTCGTGTCGCTGAGTCTGAATTTAAGGTTTCATTTGTCATATTGAAGAATGCTTTAAAATATTTGGAAAGTGAATTAGATAAGAAATTAGGTTCTAAAAATTGGGAAAAATGTAAGATTATGATGCAAACCGAAAGTAAAAAAATACGTTTGCCAAACAGCGAGGTAATTAACTACCCTGTTCTTAATATTATCGCAATCCCATTGCCATCGGATTATCAAGATGAATCAATTATCAACGCAAATAGTTCTCAAGAACAGATACAAAGTGTCATAGCCGATTACTCATCGAAATTAGAAAAAGAAGTGCATCATTCTGAGTTTGTGGAGAATATGGTGGGTGTTCAGCTTAGGGTATTCCACAAACAAGATAATGCAGAAGTTTCTAAGATTGGGAATGTATCGAGTAATACAAATATATCATTAGAAAATAAGACAACTCAAAATTCTTATTATTCCAGAGTGCAAAATTTTCAAACACCCAATTTTATACGTTCTGAGGATGTAGATCACTGGAAAATTTCCTCATGGTGGACCCCTATAAATGATTCCAAGAAACTTTGTAGGTTGTACTTAGAGTACTGTAATATTAAATTAGATGCTTTAAGACACCAATCAGAGGTAATAAATGACAGTGAGTCTGTCGTAAATAACTTGAAAAATCAACCCAAACTAACCAAATTTGAGGTGAAAGGCAAGTCCAAGCAGAACAATCCTTTTCAAACAGTACTAAGAGCATATGGTGAGAAAGGTGCCATTGCTGAAAAATCGATAATTGACCCTGAGAACAAGATTAGGTGGAATTCTTAATGACAGCACCTATGCGGAAGTGAGATATCTCAAATATCTTGGAAATAATTAGAATTAAGCATTACATTAGAAAATGAAATAAGATATGTTACATTATGAAACAAAAAAATAAAGTTTCTCGTACAATGAGAGTAATTTTCATCAATTAAGAGGTTTCGGTCAGTAATTAAATGACACGCTTTCGTATACATAGATGAGATGTTTTTCTCCTAATTATATTTGAACTATTAACTTCTATACTCTTATATACAAGATTGTTGTAGAAATATTAAGTAGGGATACTTATTATGGAAACAATTCATGAACAAATAGAACATACTTACATGGTTTATAACAATTGTTTTGACAGGATCACAGGATCATAAACTATCCTGTGAAATATATATTATAATATCTTCTAATAATTTTTCTCATAACACACGATGCGCTTCAAGAAAGTTTTCAACGATATCTATCTGTAGAGAATCTGAGATAGAGCTTTTGCCTCTAGTAGTCTCTGCAACTTTTAATTGTTTTAATTCGGACATTTTATAATACGATAATCGATCGGTCTCTTTTATTATATATAGTTTACGTATTGTAAAATATTTGATATTCTTTATATAATATATTAAGAGCTTCCTTTTATATCATTTTTTTAAAGATTTTTATTTCGTCAATAACACTTTTCATCTCTGTTTATGTTAAACAGAGTTGCTGTTGTTAAACTGCTCATCTTTTGTGCATAGTAACGTTGGACAATATAGCTCCAATAAACCCAATGTAGGGGGAACGAATACTACATTATGCAGTATATATCATGTGTTATTATATATACGGCAGTGCAGCACACTCTAAATTCTACTTATATTAGCTACCTTCACCTTCAGATGGGTTAAGCTAATGTCAGCCTTTTTAGTGCTGCAGTTATCTTTTAACACTACATTGTCCAACGTTACTATGCACAAACGATGAGCAGTTTGACAACAGCAACTCTGTTTAGCAGCTACATATCAACATATTGTTAGATTCTTATATTATGTTTTCAACAGCTTCTATTATAACGTTTTTCAAGAATAATAGCTTTTATGGCCAAGTTGGTAAGGCGCCACACTAGTAATGTGGAGATCCTCGGTTCAACTCCGAGTGAAAGCAATTCTTTTTGGAAATATTTGATTTGAAATTTTTTTTATTTCATGGTAACTCCTAATAATAAAGAAGAGTTTTGCTTTAATTATATCTTTATAATAAATAGAACGTTTTCTTATTTTGGTTTTCTTACATGAAATAATTAATACCTTCGAAATAATAGTAACCCCTAACGTGGAGTCAAATGAATAAAATTTGAACAATCTTATCTTTTATTACTATGAAAATGATTATGTTGGCAGTAGTTAAGTTTGTAAATTATAAAGTCTGTATTCATTTGGTATTTTCCGATTTACATATATATATATATATATGTAAAAAGACCCCAAATATTTGTATTGTTTCTTGAAAGTCATTATTATTATTTTTCTAGATTATCTAAAGCCTTTTCAATACTGGTGACTTCAATTTCCCTACCGTTGACCTCTAAATCAGTTGCAATATTTTGTAAAACGTTAATTAAAGTAGAATTTTTATTGGATTCATTTTTTAATTTTGAAATGCAAGTATTATCCTGTTGTGAGGTCATATGTTTTCTGATCCTTTGATAAGTATCTGTAATGGGGATATATTCCTTCGTTTTCTTCTCCTTTGGACAATTACCACAACATTTCTTAGGGTTATCATTACAAGGTTTATTCGTTTCCTGAGACATTATTGATGATGGAGACAAAGGTAATTGTTTTATATTACTATTATCGCCACCACTGCTATTATTAACGATTGATTCTGGTAAAGTTGATGAAGGGTTCATATTATCCTTAAAGATTGATTTGCAAAAAGCTTTATTGTTTGGATCCGCTTTACATCTATCACATGAACCAGGAGTCCACACTTTTAAATCTGGTAAATCATCTTTCTTCATCATTTTCTTCTTCTTACTACAACAATCTCCAGAATTATTTCCTTTACAATTTGAATTTTTTTTAATTAATGGAATTGCCTTCATTGGAGTAAAATTTTGAATCATTTCATTCAAAGAATCATTCTCTATTTTATCAAATGAAATTGAATTCTTATCACTTTCATTAGAAGCCGATCTCACAATGACTTCGTCTTTCAAAAGTTGGATTTGTCTTAATAGAGATTCATTCTCGTCAAGGGCGTTCTCTAGTGCAAATTTCGCTTCCTCTCTTTCTTTTACTAAATTATCACATCTTGTTTGCCATAATTCTACATCTGTCTGTAAATTACTTACAGTATCTTCCAATATATGTATTCTATTAGCCTTTCTTTCCCTATAAGCTCTCTGAGCGTCTCTATTTTGTTTTCTTCTCCTCGCCGCAGAATCATTACCTCTACCACTACTACTACTACTGCCGTCTTCTATAGTAATATCATCAGTTATGCTGAGGTCATCGTCATGTTTATTATCTGATGGCGATGGAGCCACTAATGTCTCTTCTCTCGATTGACCCGTCGATGGTAAACTTCTAGACGTACCTAATAAACTTCTAGCCAGTTGCAATCTAGAAGCAAGACTTTTTCTATTACTACTACTACTAGTTGCAGATGGTTTAGTTACACCTGATCTTAATACCGGTTTCCTTCCCGGTTTCAATCTTTCTGGTAATACCCAGTTCTTCGATACATGAATGGAACTGGTTGTTGATAATTGTTTATTCTCCGAATTGTCCGTCATCTGCTCCTTCACAGATATACTCGGTAACGGACTGACCATACTCCTTATATTTGAAGTCGTCATCCTTACGACAGTTGTTTTCTGTTTTAGCTGTATGTGTGTTTCCTAACTATTTTGACTGTTTCGCCGATCACTAATACTTGTATAAAATATCAACAGTATCAAATGTATAGGTATCTGTGCGAATGCCAGTAATATATAGTTATATAGCACTTTGCTAAACACAGAGAAGTAGAAATATATCGCCACTCGACAAGTATACCATATATATATAGTGGTATGTTGTTATATGCTGTACGTCTTAGTAATAACCGTATACGATATTCTGCACCCACCCAGATTACTAATCCAGCGTATGTAGCGTAAGCAGACCCGCTGACTGACGGACTGACTGACAGACACACAACGCGCCGCCTTCCCCCATCGCTCCCAGCAGCATCATCCCATGGCCATCCCACATCCGCCCCCCGACGGCGCAGGCAGCAAAATTTGTTCGATTTTTGTCACGTCAGTTTTCTCTGTGGCGACTGGCAAAGACCGAGATACCCGAGAGACTCAGTTCACTCTGAGGATTGCTATTTCAGATGCGGTGATGGTCCAATCAGCTCGGAGGTATATCGATGTATGTATTTTGCTTTGTTTTAGTAATATATATATCTACATATATATATACGTAAGAATATCTGATTGGGTATATAAAGAATAACTATAGTGGTAGTTGCTTGTGCTGTAGTCGCATACCTACAACAACAACAACAACAACAACAACAACAACAGCAAGAAATTGAAAATTCTTATGTTATCTTTCTTATTTCTTGGCGATGGCGTTCTTAGCAGCTTGATCTAATGGCACAGGTGGTACTGTTGGTGTATCGTCTTTATCCAATGAGATATTGTCCGCAACAGGTTCTTCCTTTGTGGCCCTCTTCTTAGCGTCTTCTGCTTCTTGTTTGATCAACTCTTCTTGTTCCTTCAGCACTTGTAACTTCAACTCATTCGTATCACTGTTAGGTTTCTTCTCTGCTGGTTTCTTTTCGGTCTCAGTCTCAGTTTTAGTTTCGGTCTCGGTCTTGACCTCTGGAACAATAGCCTTCTTAGTCTTAGATTTTGGAACAATAACTGTATCCTTTTCGTTGACAATAGTAGCAGTACTACTTTCTTTCTTCTCTGCCATGATGATTTTCTCTTGTTCAATCTTCTTCATTTGTTCAGCAAGTTTCAATTCCGGTTGTTCAACATTCTTTGCCTCGGCAACATCTAATTTAGCAACATTATATACAGGATCAGGAATTGAACTTAGCACATGTAAGATACCATCATAATATAAATCTAAAAGATTCTCATACTTAGAATTCTTCAACGAATTGCTATTATCTCTTTCATTCTTCACTCTTAAATGAGAACCTTCAACAAGTTTACCATCACCTAAACCACCAAATGTAAATGTGGAACTTAATACCATCAAAACACTTGGAATCTTCTCTCTAAGTCTTAATTCTAACCAAATACGTAAACTATCCTTTAATTCCTCAGGTGGAACACCATATGCTTTCAACCCACGTGAGACACACGCTTGATACAATTCTTCTTGAGTTAAACTGGAGATCCCTTCATAATCAATCACTTTATCATCATTAATAATGTTTTTCAATTGATAACGAATTTGATATCTTAGAATATTATCACTACCAAACGGTCTTAACGACATAAACTTCGCCATGGCCATTAGTTGTGGTCTAGATAAATTATCTAACACCGTATCATTCTTAAATAGACATGCAACAGTCTTAATCTCATCATGAGTGAAATAAATCTCCTTAGAGTCATTATCATATATTTTCTTGAAAAAATCATAAAAAGCACGTTTATTCTCAGAGGAATCAATGGAATTATATGCAACTAATTGACTCTCTTCCAAAGTATCATGGATCAAATTTGAAGTCTTTTGTCTAATTTCAATTAATTTATGACGTTTTTGTTCCTTTTGTGAACCAGATTCATAGGTTGATGGCAATAAATTTGGGAAAATCTTTAATGCGATAGGTAATAATAATTCTGCAAATGGAACAATAACAAACGCAGAAAATGGAACTAAACGGAATACATCACCCATGGTTCTTCTTAATTGATTAGATTCACGTCTTGATAATTCATAACCTTGTACTAATTTAACTAATAGTTTCGTAGATATCTTAATCTCATAACCTAACAATTTCGTCCCATTCACGTAATGGTTCACTTCATGTTTGATTCTAACCATTAAAGGTTCTTTAACTTTAGCTTTATCGTTCTTCTTAACTGTAGATTTGTCAGTTGATGATTTAGTGGAATAATACAATCTTGATTTCGTATACCTATTGAATGATATTAACGGTTGCAAAGTGTTGTAGTTATTAGCAACAAAAGGTCTCATGAATAACATTGACGATACACGAGTAGACGGCCTACAAACCATGGTCATCTTGGAAGCAGCGCTCATTCTTACCTATGGAAATAAATAAATAAGTGAAATAAATAACAAAGAATTGTATAGTCTTATACTGGCGAAATAAGTATCAGTTCGATGTAGTTTTATCTGCAGTCTCTTCACTTCTAAAAAAAAACCTAAATCTACCTTTGTATTAAGTCTAGATATATTTTATTGTAGTGTTTTCCCTATTATTCTTTACACCAGTCGATTATTTAACTGACTTAATTTTATATCAAAAAGAGAGTGAAAAATGCCATTTTTTTATTACTCAAATTTTGACCACCAAAAGACAGTGAGATTCAGCGATTGTGACTGGCTCGGGGCCGTTCCCGCTGTGCGAAATAGGGTAGAACTGGTGTCACAGTGTACGACATACCTAAGAGCTATGGATGTTTAGATAGTTAAATAGATAGTTATATTTATATTTATATAGATGGATATATGAGAGGTTAAATGACTATGTTATAAGACGTTAGAGAGTTGGCTCTGGCTCTGGTTCTGGTTATTGGTGAGACCTGTATACTTGCGGGACTCCGGGAATATCTTGAACGCAACAACATTACGGCGATCGAACCAATTGTACCTCCAACAGAGTTCATGAGCGACTAATTCCCCAAAACCTAACATCATACCATTGATAAAAGGTAATAGTAAGTTCACCGATGAAGAGACCAGTATTCTAGTGATACGTGTCAAATCAGACATTGTGCTATCTGTAAGTGATACTTGTGAGTCTTTCTCTTGTTCTACAATTTGATTATCGGAATCCCCATTTTCTTCTTCTTCAACAAAACTATTATTATTCATGACACGTTTCAGGGATTTCCATTGTGTTTCATTTAATTTGTCCATGTCTTGGTTCATTAAACCTTCAAGACCCATTTGTTCTTGTATTCCAGCCATATTTCACTGCTCTCTGTGTCGTTGTTCTGTCTCTCCATATATATATTCGTTTATAAAGAGTTATTTGTTAGAGCTTAAATCGCTTCCGATGGCTCTTAAAATATATGTTTTTGTTATGTGATGATGATGGAGAAAGACACAGACAGAAAGACACAGACGGAGGAAGAAGACTAAAAGATGTGTATTCTACAGATTGATGAACAGTATTAAGCCATTATCGATGTTTTCTGTTGAGACAATTAATTGACAGATGGAAGAGTTAAGCTCCCACTTTTTTTTTATAGCTAATATCTCATCGATATAGGGAACATTTGCTAACATAACGGAATAAATTCATAACTGTAATACTGGTCTGTATAAGTGTATACCTTGTCCAATTCCATTATATAATCAATGAATGAAATGTATATTATATAGTACTAATTAACCAAACATAACCAAACAAGCATTACCCGGCTTTCAGTTTCTAATTATCCGGGTAATGCGCCCCAGAGTAATTTTGGCTAATTAAAAAAATTAAAGGCGAACAAGCCAAAGAAAGCCGAGGTTCAACCTTTTTTTGCCACCCTCAAAAATATTATTAGCACATATAAGCTGTATAGCACAGTATTAGTTTTTATTATTTTAGAGGTAATTAGTGGGAATTTTTTAGTAATAGAACTTTTTTTTTGGAGGGGAGAATCAATTGATTATTTCTAATCATTACAAATTAATTAGACACATATACATACAGAGACAAAGATGAGTGGTTACGATAGAGCTTTATCTATTTTTTCTCCCGATGGTCATATCTTCCAAGTTGAATATGCTCTTGAGGCTGTTAAGAGAGGTACATGTGCTGTTGGTGTTAAAGGTACCGATTGTGTTGTATTAGGTTGTGAAAGACGTTCTACTTTAAAACTACAAGATCCACGTATTACTCCATCAAAGATCTCGAAGATCGATTCACATATTGTTTTATCCTTTTCTGGTTTAAATGCAGATTCTCGTATCCTAATAGAAAAGGCACGTATAGAGGCACAGAGTCATAGAATGACTCTTGAGGATCCTGTCACAGTGGAATATTTGACTCGTTACATTGCTGGTGTTCAACAGAAGTATACTCAATCAGGTGGTGTAAGACCCTTTGGTATCTCCACATTGATTGCAGGGTTTGATCCAAAGGACCAGACTCCAAGATTGTACCAAACTGAACCTAGTGGTATATATTCCAGTTGGACAGCTCAAACGATTGGTAGGAATTCAAAGACTGTTAGAGAGTTTTTGGAAAAGAATTATGATACTGAAACACCACCTGAAACTGTTGAAGATTGTGTTAAATTAACAATTAGATCGTTATTAGAGGTTGTACAGACAGGTGCCAAAAATATTGAAATTACTGTAGTGAAACCAAATGCAGAAATTATTACATTGGATAATGATGCAATTGGTAAATATGTTGATGATATTGAAAAGGAAAAACAAGAACAACAAGAACGTGAAAAATCAAAGAAAAAGGATTAAATAAAAAATGTGTAAAACGTAAACGTAAATGTATACATATATAAAATAAAATATTATACTATTATTATCAAAGGAAGTCATCTACTTAATTTTGATGTTAATAGACTTTATAATGTAAAATGTAATGTAAAAATTGGTATTGATAAAAGTAAATAATATTTATATAGAAATTAGTTTTCAAAAGAGATTATGACACTTTTCTTCGCTAATCTATCCGCTATAAACTTATTGTTATTTCTTGAAAGTTGGAAAATGTGAGGCTCGTTATAATTATTTATTGAAATGAAAAAGAGTTGAATGATTTTATATTTTATAGAACTAAAAATTTAATAAAAAAAGAATTAGAATTATTATTTTTTAATAATAAAAAGATTTAACTTCTTATAACAATAGAGCAGCAGCGGCTAGAGCACCGGCACCTAGACCAGCAACAGCCTTGGCAGCACCGTTAGCGGTTTGAGCGGTAACGGAAGCGGTAGCTTGGATTTGACCATCAGTGATTTGAGAGACGGCAGCAGCGGAACCCTTGGTGGTGGTAGCAGCAGTGGTGGAAGCCTTAGCAGAGGTAGAGGAAGCCTTGGAAGAAGAAGCAGCCTTGGAAGAAGCAGCAGAAGAGGAGGCAGCAGCAGAAGAGGAAGCGGCAGCAGAAGAGGAGGCAGCAGCGGAAGAAGAAGCAGCGGCGGAAGAAGTGGCAGCAGCAGAGGAAGAAGCAGCGGCGGAAGTGGCAGCCTTGGAAGAAGAAGCAGCACCGGTGATGGTGGCTAGTTCAGCTTCTAGTCTGGAAGAGTACCATGGTAGAGCAGTCAAGAATGGAGTAATAGCATCGAAGTCGACTTCAGAGTATAGAGTAGTGTAGGAGTCGTCAGTGGCGGAAGCTAGAGCCATACCGATGTCTAGGACACCAGCTGGTAGGTCAGCTAGAGAGATGGTACCAGCGGTAACTAGACCCATGTAGGAATTCAAGTTGTCCTTAACATCATTTAAGATGACGGTTAGTTCAGCAATTTGAGCACTGGTTTGAGCTTGAGCTAGAGCAGCGGCGGCTAGGAAAAGGGCAGTCTTGGCGTACATTTTATTAATTTATATTGGTTGAAGCGAATGAAAGATTTGTTCGATGACGATTATCTATTAATTGAAATAGAATAAATATAATAGAAAGGTATGAAAAGAGAATAAGATATGAAATTAATAAAAAGAATAATTGGTTCCTTTATATATGGTTTTTGGAGGATAAGGAAACCTCTTTTTTTTCCTCAAATTTTTTTTGTCTTTGGAATATGTGAATTAAGAGATTAGTAGGAAGAAAGAGTCTTTACAAAATGTGTGTTTATTTGGAATATAATATCTTCTTTTAGAAAGAGAGAGCAATCTACAAATAAACATGCACCTACAGGGATAAAACAGAAGATGGTAGTAATAAAATAAACCTAGTGTTTAGAAAGTACTGAAGAGATATAGAGCGAGAGAGAGAGAGTTAATACGACCCAAAAAAAATATTAATAATATATTTATTTTATTGAAACTTCTTTTCTTGGCTTTCTCTGTGTCTTGAAAGTATAATTGTATTGTTTACATGAAAAAAATACTGTTAGAGAGCGGTAATAATAACAAAAACAATAATCCAGGAACGATTCTTTCTTTGTTTATCTTTGGTAGTTCTGAAGGAAAAAATAAAGAGTTGTTAGTTAATAAGGTGATATGTTGATAATATAAGCGCGTTTCCATTAGATTCAGTGAAAATTAAGTAGAAAAAAGAAAATGCCGAAGTACGTTTGCTCGGTGGTGGTGGTGGTAAAAAAAAACATTAATAGTAAAAAATACGCGGCCCCAGTGCATGGAAAGAAAGCAGTTTTCTTGTTTGGTTTTGTCTGTCTGGAAGCGTAGAGTACGAGAACGTCGTTCGTTTGAGAGTGCAATAGAAGCAACAATTGGTTTGGTTTGTTTGTTTGTTTGTTTGGCTTCCTCAATTCGAGAAGCGAAGAAACAAGAACGTATGTGCTTTATGGATTGTTATTTTTCTACGGGGAACTGTTAGGGGGAGCATATATATATATTATGTATGTCAAGAGTGAAATTGTCATTGTACGATGTTTATTGTTATTTTCTTCTTTTAAAGATATGGTATTTTGTGCCTGAAAATTATAAAAAATTTTCTTCATTCGTTTCTGATTTGCTTACCTCGTTTAGATCTATTCTTTTTCGTCAAATTATAGAAAAAAAGTAAAAATCCCAGAAGGGAGGGCAGGGAGGAGCAAACAGGGCTGGAATTGGTAATATGAAAAGGGAATTAAGAAACTTCGTATGTGCTTTTGGAAAGGCACAAACCAAGTCCGCAGTAGATCATGCACATTTTATTACTTTTATTACTTTTTTTCTATTTAGTTTGGGGCACCGGAGCGAAACAGTTTCATTTCACTACGGATTTTTTTTTACTTTCATCCCTCGTATGGAAACGGAAATATATATTTGGGTGTTGAATGTTTTTTATTCAATTCAACAAACTGAAGTTTGTTGGAGAAATAACGTAACTATTAGATGTATCCACGGGTTGATAGAGTCTTTCATTTCCTCTCTCTCACTCCCTCTTTCTGTTTTGAATAGTTTGGGGATATAATTTTATAGGTACATTTGTTAGTAAATGATGATAACATGTATAACTAACTATATTGTCGCGTTTTAAATTTTATTTATTCCGAGTCTGGCTCGGAATTTTTAATGATATTAAATTTTTCGTCTTTTCTTTTGGGGCGGCGGGTGGTTCACTCCGTGGTTCCATTCTTTTTTTCATTCTGTCCCCCTCCCCCGCCAACAAGCTAGCACGCTAATTTTTATTGTGTTTTTGCCAGATCTATTCGTGAAAAACTTTTTTTACTAAAATGGACATTATGATTTCCTTGTTTATTCATTTATTTCTTTTTTTCATTGCACATTCTAGAACTTACTATCAGTATTAGTATCTTTATTCCCTAATTAAGAAACTATATTTATTAATAAATTTCTAGTTCGGGGTATCCTTCAAACATCATTATCATTATCAATTAATATTAAGATACTAAACAAATACACATACATATTTTATTTTTTAAACGACAAAGATTTATTAGTTATCGATGAGTTGATGATTATAACAATCTGAATTAATATATTATTTGTTATTATTATAAACGTTGAATGATAAGATGCAACACAAAACAAGGGTTAATTCATTTGTTATTGTTACTATTCTTTAACAGAGAAAGAAAAGAACCAAAAAATGCAAGAACGTTATAGCTGTTGAATTTATGTAATGCAAGGCAATGTTGATTTTATTATTATTTTGATTTTTGGTTCCTGTAATTTAATTTTGACAGATTTTTTTGTCTGTCTGTCTATTTCTTTCTTCTTTAAAATAACATGCTTATTATCATTAATTTATTAATTAAGATACCTAAATAAGGTCATGACATTTTGACTGAAGAAGCGAGACAAAGGGACTTTTTTTTTCTTTCTTGCAACATAACATTCTTCTTCACACGTTTATTTCTTATTTATTATCTAGTTTCGTTTATATCTCTTTTTCTTTTTATTGTCCAACTTCTGTTTTATAGTTGATGTAATTTTATATTGTTTTTACATTCTTTTGTCTTGATTCGCTTTCGTTTGCGTTTGCGTTTTCGTTTATTTAGCCGCCAATCTATATATGAAAAAATATGAAAAAGAGGCGAATTTTGCTGGTTCCTATTATTGTAAGTTTACTAAAAATATATACACACACCGTTTCCCAATACTAATGTATTCTTGCTGATCTTATTCGTTTATTCTATTGTGAAAGTAATAAATATTTCCATTAGTAATAGTATTAGTAAATAGTGAGACTGATTATTTTTTTAAATTATTGTTCTTGTTATTTTGTTTTGACAGTTTCAACAATAATAATTATAGTAAAAAGCAGTAGTAATAGTAGTAATAAATAGTGAGATGTTTGAGTTGCAACAAATGTTATTTATGATTCATAAAAAAATTAAAATATAATTGGACGAGTTGGGAATCGAACCCAAGACCTCTCCCATGCTAAGGGAGCGCGCTACCAACTACGCCACACGCCCAGTTATTTTATGTTGTGGGAACATTTAAAATTGTTCCTTGAAGTTAATAAAATTTCTATTATTTGAAAATAGTTTATTATTATTTTCCAACTTCCAACATATTTTTGATAAAATGTCAACTGATTATATTATAAATTACATTTTGTTTTATTACTTAAAAAGTTTAAAAGAAACAACTGCTCTAAGTGTTCGTGTTTTTAAACATTAATTATATTGTATGTGTTTTTAATCTACGGCAATTAAAATTAAAAGACAAATTGGACCTTAAACTAAACGTAATCAAGACATTTTATATTTCTATACTGCAATATATTCAATTTGAACCACTAAACCATTCAAATATCAGCCCTTAAGTTATGTTAATATCTTGTTATTTATTACAATGTTTTTTTTATATTTACATTATTGAATAAATTGTCATTCCACAACATTTACTAAGTCAGGTATGTCTTTTTAATACAAAATATAAAACAATTACTCAAGCTTAAGTTCGTTAATAAGGTAACTAATTTTAATTTTTTTTTAAAAAATGGTATATCTTTAAAATATTTAATGTTTAGGTTTAAATAGAGAGCTCCAAACAAAGAGGTCCACGTAAACAAATTTTAAAAATTCAAATTTAACAAGAAAAATATATTTAGAATACATTATAACGTAGTGAAAACTAGATGAATGTGAAATAATAACAAAATGTTTAAATAAAATTCCTATTTATAATTTCATTTCTCGTTATATTAGAAAATGTTCAGTTCTGCTCACACGTTGTCATTTTATGAAAGACAAGCAAATAATGTCACTTCAGTAGAAGCAACATATACTAGGCAATAATTCTGCTCCAACCACTACCATTGAGAAAGATTATCTTTTTAGTAATTACTACATGGAATACGTGACATCCGATGCTAAACTCAGAAGTTATTCATCCTAATATTTTTGTTCCCATTCTAACTTTTTTTATCCGTCTTCAACGAGAGACGCCGAAACGGGCCCCTTTCTCAGACCGAGAAGCAAAAGAAGAAATAACATAAATTGAACAACATTTTCGTTAAATCTATAAATTAAGACGTATTATTATATATTTACTTTAAAGGAAGTCTCTCTCTGCTTCACACTTACAGCTTCATCATTGTCGACTTTGTTAAGGAGATGTATAACCCTTACCAGAATCAGAACCAGGGTAATGCGTTCCCGCAGGGGAATAACTACTACCAGCAAGGTCAAGCAATGCAACAACCTATGCAACAACCTATGCAACAGATTCAACAACAACAACAGCAGCAACCTCCACAAGTACAAATGAATACATCCAATTATATGGGTATGGGCACTCAAAATACAGGTTATAATCCAGGTTTACAACAAGGTGTGAATCAACAATATGGGACCTCAGGAAACGTGACTCAACCACAACAGAATTCAATGGGTAATTTAGGATTGAACTCTAACACAGTGCAATCACAACCAACAAATTCCTATTATCAGTCTAACAATCCAGTTAACGCTCCAAATTTGCAAAATAGTGGGATAGATGTAAACAATTACCAATCGCAACCTATCCAGCAACCCCAAACTCTAAATGCTATGCCGCCAATTCAGCAACAGGGAACAGGTTACTACAACAACAACACAACTTCTGCTGCAGCTACGCCAGGTATTAACCAACAGACTGGAATGCAATCATTGCAAAGTCAAGGTACTGGATATTTTCCAAATCCAGCGCAAACTGTTAAGCCAGCTATTACTTCTCAGGTTTCACCAATGCAACCATTACAAAGTCAGAATTCTACTCAAATGCAAATTTTGCAGCCCCAAGTTACTTCATCTTTGCAACCGTTGCAACCTCAACAAACAGGGTTTTATGCTCAACAGTATCAAATGCCATTAGAGCCATTGAAACCAACGGCAACAGGGTTTGTGAACTCTTTTGCTAACAATGGTTTAAATAATGATATTAAGATTCCTGCCATTAGATTATCTTTCATTACTGCGAAGGACCAAGCAAAGTTTGAAACTTTGTTTAGAGCTTCTGTTCAACCAGGATCGAACACCATCACTGGCAAGGGCTGTAGATCTATTTTGATGAAATCAGGTTTACCACCTTCCCAATTAGCTAAGATCTGGACACTTTGTGATACAAGTAAAGCCGGTGAGTTATTGTTTCCCGAATTTGCGTTAGCTATGCATTTAGTTAACGATGTGTTACAAGGTGATCAAATTCCATATGAACTAGACTCTAAAACTAAAAACGAAGTGAATAGTTTCATCGATGCTATTAATCTAAGTATTGCTTCTAATGCAACCACATCAACTGCCAAGACACCATTTGATGAATTGATGTCAGGTGGTATTCCAATGCAACCAACTGGTATGATACCTCAAACTAGTTTTGGTATGCCTGCTCAACCAACAGGTGGTCTAATGCCACAATCCACAGGATTTATGCCACAAACAAGTTTTGGTATGCCACCTCAATTAACTGGTGGCTTAATGCCCCAAATCACAGGCGGTATGCAAGCTAATACCATGATACCTCAAAACACTTTTAATGCTCCATTGCAAAATCAAGTCACCGGTGGTGGTATGGGTGGGGTTCCTATGCAAGCTCAAGTTACAGGTGGATTTGTTCAACAACAGCCTCAGCTTGTCCCTCAACAGACTGGTCCTATGGGCATGCCAACTTTAACCTTTGGCCAAGGTGGCTTAACTAATCAAGTTACCGGTTTTCAACAACAAAACCAGCCTCAAATGGGTCTGCAACCACAAGCTACAGGCTATCTACCACCTTCGAATTTTAACCCAACTGTTCCATTGGTAGCGCAGAAAACTGGGTTTGGTAATAATGAGATTTATGCCCAATCGAACTTTACAAGAACTTTAACTACTCAAATGAACCAACAACAAGAGGATAACGACACCATTTCTCCAGAAGAGAAATCCTTATTCTACAAAATTTTCGCAACTTATGATAACAACAACACAGGTTTGATTGATTCTCCAACAGCAGTCGAAATCTTTAGAAAATCAGGTTTAAATAGAAGTGATTTGGAACATATTTGGAATTTATGTGACACCAACAACTCTGGTCAATTAAACAAACAAGAATTTGCGTTAGGAATGCACTTAGTGTACAGAAAACTAAATAATCAACCAATTCCGAATAACCTACCAGCAAGTTTGATTCCATCCAGTAATAGAATTTTAGACAACCTAAAGACTCAATTAAAAAGTAGTGACAACGGCTTAAACAGTTCAGGTTCAAGAATTAATGGTCTAGGTTACAAAAACGATGACAATGAAAACAGTCTTCCAACCTTTAGAAACCGCAGAAAGAATTTTTCTACAACTACAACCGCATCAACTGATTCGTCAAACGTTGCTGAAAATAAAGATTCTCCATCTGTTGCCGAAGCTTCCCAAAAGTACCCTGACCTCTCCACCACTGACATTACCTCAACCACTCCAAACCCACCTGTCGCAAAGGAGATACAACCTGCACCTGTTAAATCCGCTCAGCCAACTGTCGAAACGTCTACAATAGCTGAAGATTTGAAGCGTATTACAGAAATTAGGTATGAGCTAGAAAGTCTGCAATTGCCATCGATTACTGGTAACAGCCAAGTATCTCATGATTTGCAAAAACGATTTGAAACTATTATTGATACGGTTCCTCAATTATTTTCTGAAATTGCCGATGTCAATACCAAGATTACTGACGCCAAGATTGAGCTAGTCAATTTAAGATCGGGAACAGCTATTGAAGGGACTGGTACAAACGGTGAAGTTACTGAGAATGATAAAAAGAAAGCTAAGAGTAGAGCATTACTAAAGGCTAGAATGGCTGCTTTGACCGGGAAACCAAATGACAATGCAGGCAATGATGACAACTCAAAGGAAAATACTGAAGAACTAAACAAGATAAAACAAGAAAGTGTCAAGAACCAAGAAATTATTAAGGATATCAGATCATCAATTTCTGATATATCTTCCTCCTTGAAATCCACATTTACGGGTAAAAACATCTATGATGATGGCGAGGAATTCGAAAGATGGGAATTCGGTAGTGGATTAGAGAGGGAAGTTCGTAACTTTATCAGAGACTTAAACAAAGACAGTCTATTAGCTCAAGGAACCGTAACTTCTAACGTACAATCTTCTGCTAATAATACTTCTAAATCTGACTCTCATAATTCAAATGACAGGTCCGCTTACTTAAAGGAGCAAGCTCAAAAGAGAATGAAGGAAAGATTAGCAAAATTTGGTATTAATAAACGTGGAGATAGATCCAGAAGTAATACTTCTGAATCTATAAAGACCCCATTCGAAGTGGAAGATAGACCTGTAGAAACTTCAAAGGTAGCAGAATATTCCAGTAACCAGCATGCTCATCAGCCACAGAATAATACCAATAGTAATGATGGAGTATCCGATATGGAAGAGGATGAAGAAGAGAAGAAATTAAGGGAAAAACTTGAAAATCTAAAGTTGAAGAAGAAAGCTGACAAGGAAAAAAGACTGGCCGAACTGCGTAAACAAATCGAGGAAGCTGAAGCTAATTCTGATGAGGATGAACCTGTCATGACCAAAACAATTAATTTGAACAATGTTTCCAGTCAAGTAAGCTCTCAATTACCACAACAGACAACATCTTCATATAATTCACAAACTGTGAACTCGACAATCGTACCGTCTGCTCCAGTAGCCAATAACCCAATCTCGAAACCTAATCCATTTTTTAAACAAGAATCAAATTCTAACAGTTCTTCATTTGATGCAGGAGCTGCTGAGCTACAAAGAAGAAGTCAAAGAGGTTTTGATGAGAATAAGGATAGTGACGGTTGGTCTGATGATGAGCCAGAAGTGGAGGTACAATCAGAAAACGTACAAGTTACGTCATCAATTCCCATTGTGACACCAAACGTATCTGTCCAAGAACAAAGTGTCGCAGCTCCTCTGGCTCCACCAATTCCTCAAATTCCGGAATCAACTCCAGCGGTTCCATTAGCTCCACCAATTCCACAAATCCAGGAATCGACTCCAGCGGTTCCATTAGCTCCACCAATTCCACAAATCCAGGAATCGACTCCAGCGGTTCCATTAGCTCCATCAATTCCACAAGCCTCTGTTCAAATCCCAGCCGTCCCAATGGTGCCTCAGATGGTGGACAACTCAGGTTATGATGAAGCTGATAATGACGATGTCTTATCTATCCCAGAGTCTGTAGATTCTGGTGACGAGGGTTCCTCCATTCCAATTTCAAGTATCCCACCTCCACCTCCACTACCATAATGGAACGTATGTACCAAAGTATGCCTGTATTTTATATATATATATATGAAATTATTATATATGTTAATTTTTATCTGAAAGATAATTCCGTCCTTCTGTGTGACACCAGGTGAAAAGAATGCTTTAAAGCGGTTTTCGGATCAGTCGGGGTATTACAAAGAAATATGGGCAATTGACAAATATTAAAAGTTAGTCATCTTTTATAAAAATATAAGGGACATAAAAATTCATAAAAAAAGTTCTTCTTCTTCTTTGGAAGTTCCACCTTCAAGAAACATATATTTACGTATAATTGATATCTAAAACAATGACTGACGTTCAACTAGAAACCCTTTCAGAGTTTACGACGTGCGATATATCTGATGGTCTCCAAAACTTGTACGGTATCAAAGATGGTGGCTATTTTCCAAACTTGTGTCAGAGATCAGGTGAAAGAAAGTCTGGTTCAACTGTTGGAAAAGCTTACACTGTTTTATTTGCACATGCTTCCGATGAAAGACCAGCCATCAATTATATCGATGAAATTCCTTCAAATTCTGTATTGGTGATGGCCTATACACCAGAGCTACAAACTTCAGTTGCGCCATACACATATGTTAATAATGCAATTTTTGGAGGATTAATGGCTGCCAGAGCTCAAAAACAAGGTGTTAATGGTACTGTTGTTTTTGGTAGAGTCCGTGATGTTGGGGAATTTACAGATTTGGAATATCCTGTGTTCAGTTATGGTTTGAGTGCAGTTGCATCTAAAGGTGTTGTTAAACCTGTTGCCATCAACACATCCCTTTCAATTGCGACAAGTTCGGACATCATTCCTGTCGATAATTCAGGTCAATTAATTAGTAAATCGTGTGGTAAGCGTAAAATTGCTATCGCCATCAAAGAAGGCGACTATATAGTATGTGATATTCACGGTATGACTCGTATTCCACATGAAACTGTTGATTTAGATCGTTTAATTACGTATATCAAGGGTTCAATTGAAGTCGATACCTTAATAGCCCAAGACATCCTCAATGGGGAGCCTGCTGAAGCTTCGAAAATAAAGTACAGAGTCGCTTTGGAGAAACTAAAGGACTAGGGAACTTCCTAACCTTCTGTTTTAACTTCTTTGCCTTTTTATAGTATAATACTTATTCTTTAGTGTATTTAAATGTACATATTCTTTTGTGTTATACAATAACAACGCAACTATAATAGAAAATGATATAAATCAAATAACTTATTAAGGGAAGTAAGGAGAATATAGCGTAGCTTTTATTGAGAGTACGGTACAATCATATACAATATATATACGTATATATATGCCCCACCCCCTTGCGTTTGATAGTTTCATTAATTTATATAGGAGAGGAAATCAATACCAATATTGCTTAAGCAGAATAATTCAAACGGAAAATATCGTTAAAGACGTAGTAAGAGCTACCTTCTGGGATCAAATGGAAAACCTGGGAAAAACGTTGTGGGTTTGCTTCATCATCAATCAAAAGGTCACCAGTAATCATAACCAGAACATCACCATTTTGGGAGGCTGGCTGAGCATCTAAAGTGGTGATTCTGTGAGTAACTTTTTGGAAAGGTAAAGAAACCAACTTTTCGACAATGTTCTTAGCACCTTGCAATTGGTTAGTTTCAAAAGTTAGCATTGATTCATCTCTATAAAGGTTACCTAATTGAGTTCTGTCGGAATCGAATTGATTGTAGTAGAATTCAGTGAATTGTTGGGCTAGAGAGTTGAAATCCATGGACATCGTTGGCTGAGGAATGTGTATATACGTGAGTTATGGTACGCTTTATTACTGACACAAGAGACAAATGGTAACAAATACAAAATCTGTATGAAAGAAAATTACAAAAATATCAAGTCCTTCTATCCAAGATTTATTCGATGTTTGTTCAATCATTATTCAATTTTCCATCCTCTTTTTGATTTTGTTAGAAATTTTTCTCTTCTCTTGAAACTTCAAGATCAAATTGTACGAGGGAAACCGAATTGAAACCTTTCGACAAAAAACAAAGAACAACTTGAATTTCAATAATAACAAGAAAGTTAAATAGTTAAACTAGACTGTCTTTTAAAAAAACATTCTGGTATCCTTTATTTTTCAGACAACGTTTCAATTGAGTAAACATTGTTTGAGGTAAAAGAATTAGTATTCACTTATACAAGTTAAAATATCTTAACTTCTCTTTTTGTCTTTGTTATTAAGAGAAACGATAAAAAGGAAAACACTATTCAAAAACATAGGGGAGGGCAAAAAGCTTTCACATCGCAGGATTTATAGCAAACTGCATAATGATTAAACGTGCAACATCACCATTCAAGAAGTCTCACAGTAGACAAACATCTACAGATGAAAGATTAGCTGGCGGCCAACACTCTAGAACGTTTTCCGGTGGAAGTGGACATATAGGGTCACCTAGTAGACAGACAAGTATAGGAGCTAGTCATCCACCGATCTCGGGATCAAACCAGACACATAAGAGAACTACGTCCAGATCTTCGAACTCTTCGCAAACTTCTAATTTCTTAGCCGAACAATACGATAGAGATAGACGAGGTATTATCAGTTATTGTTTCTCGAAGCCAGATCACAAGACCAATTCACCACCAAACAATTATATTACCCATGTTAGAATTATTGAAGACGCCAAATATCCATCTTCGAGGCCAGCAGCTGATTCAAAATTAGAAAATAAGAAAAAAAGGGTTTTGATTCTTAGTGCGAAAGCAAATAATCAAAATGCTATTCAATTGCATAAGGCTCGTGAGAATTCAGACGGGTCGTTCCAAGTAGGTAGAACATGGGATCTAAAAGAATTGCTTAGAATTGAGTGTGATCAAACAATTCTGGAAGGGTTTCTAATGACCATGGGGAAGAAATATTATTGGGAAACAAATAGTGCAAAGGAAAGAACTGTTTTCATTAAGTCCTTAGTTAAAATATACATGCAAATATATGATGGTCGGGTTCCAGAATTGATAGATTGGGATTTATCCTTGTTCTATCTCGACGAACGTAGTTACTCTAGAGCAGTTATCACAAGAGAATCCTCTTCTCAACCAACATCACCTTCAATTGGTAAATCACAAGGAAACAATAATGCATTTGTCTCGCAACAGACGAATATGAACATGCAAGAAAAAATATCCCATAGTTCGGATAATGATAGATTGATCCAACAGCAGAGGGAGCAAGAATTGAAACAGAAACAACTGAATGATCTAGAATTACAAAAACAGAAATTACAACAGAGACAGTTATATGATCAGGAAGTACAGAGACAGAAATTAGAACAACAACAACGAGATAATGTGTCGGAATCAATGAACTTCCAGCGTAGGTCCGGGGTTGAAAGTGCTCGAAAAAGCCCGTCCAGAAACAGCTTGACAAAAGCCCCATATACCACGTCCACTACCCTCAATAGGTTAAGTAATACCTTTCATGATGAACAATTAAGTTTACATGCAGATTCTGACGATTTTCAAACACCAAGACATGATACATACAATTCGCAATCACCCGTAAAAACAGCACCAGATCTAAACTACAGCAATGTCCCAGATAGATCATCTCATTCACCTATACATACCACTGATCCATATTCGAATAATTCTGCAGGCTATTCAGACAAAGAAACTAATGGATATGCGGATTCTGACCCACAATTACAACCAAGGTCTAGAAATAGACCTATTTCAAGATCACCACAAAGAAATGTATACCAAGAGAGACCGCGGAGTGCCGTAGATTTGTATTCGCCATCTAATATCCACAGAAATAGTATGGCTGAGGTAGAAGATGTAAATTTTGCAGAACAAGGTAAAAGATTGGCTAATGTGCAGGCATTAGACGAAGATTATGAAGACATGAAACCTATAAGTTTCGATGATATAAATCAAAAGGACCTCAATGATTCTCAAACAAGGTACAATGCCGAGCAGGAAGCCACTGATTTAGACGACCAAATTTTGCAAGAAGAACCACTTGATTTGAACCAAAGGAACAACGGCAATACCACTGAAAGTAATGAATATACCGGAGGACATGATATATCAGATAACGAAGACCTAAATACCTCACTCAATGAGGAACCTCTCAACGAAACGGGCGATTTATCTTTCGAAAATGGTGACGAGATTCGTTATAGTCAACACCTCGAACCGCAATCAACACATGTTTACCATGAAGTGACTACTATTCAAGAAGAAGGTCAAAAAATTTTACCCCAAATGAATGAAGACGAAGAAATATCTACAGAACCAGATAAATCGAGCACTGAGTTAGTTGAAATTAATGACGAAGCTCTGTTAGAGACATTGACAGATATCAATTGGAGCTCTGACGACGATGCAAATAAACTATTGGAGCGGATTGACCTACAATTAGCAGAAATTGAACACAAATTCAATTCAAATATTTTAGCTCTAGAAGATGCTGGATCAGAACTTAAAGTTTATGAGGATAATGTGGATATGGAATGTGACAGAATGAATCCAACCTTTGCATTATTCTTAATGGAGATGAATACATTTGCAGACGATATTGACTTTGTTGAAAGTAGACAAAATGGTCTACAAATTGAGAGTGCTAATAAAAAGCTTTTATGGAATACTTTGTCGGATCTACTAAATACAGTATCTCTGGATGAAGATACATTAAAAGAACTATTAAAGTGCCCTATCAGAGAGAAAACATTACCATGGATGGAAGTACAATTAGGTTCTCTATCGAAGGCTGTTAGAGCCATCAGAGGTCAATCCACGAATGATGAATATAGTTTAAAGGATATGGAAGCTTTGAAAAAAAGACGTCAATATTATGAAAAGGTCACTGAGCTATTTTTAGAGAGAGTGGTGGCTGAGATGGGTACGATGTTCGCATACATTAAGAGTAACGGAACTACTAAGGACCAATTGATTAGTATTCTACACCGTTTGCTTACCTTTTCGAGCTTGATCATTTTTTGTAAGGAAATTTCAAACGATTCATATAAAACTATTATCGAACAATGGAATGAAAATGTCCAATCAGTATATACTGAAATGTGGGATAGAATAATAAAGAAACAGCAAAAACAATTTGCCAACAACAAAAACATCCTACAGGGTATTGCAAATCAACCTGGTGAGGAGAAGTTACTAGAACAATGGAAATCATTCAAACAGACAAAAAGAGTCACTTCTGATGGTAGCCTATATGCAGATTCATTATCAGGCATCATCGACATTCTAGATTTAATAGAGCACCAATGTGTTGTTTACCAAACTTTTATCGATAACTTTTTCCATATTTCTTCTAATGAGTCTTATGTTGATTTTGTCAAGAGATTCAAGGATCCAACGTCAAGAATTATTGACTTAGACAAAGTTAACAGAATGGATTCTGATAGAGAATCCGCACTTATAAAATCTCAGTTAGTCTCGAGGGTTTTTAACCCTGTTGTGACACAACTAATTTCATATTTTGTGGAAACCATGAAATCGAATCAATCAATAGCTCCTTCAATCATGCTAATACTAGAACAAAAATTGGGGACCCTGGAATCTACAGACCAAGAATTCCTAAGTGATACATTTACCAGAATTTTCACTCAGCTGAAACAACTGTGGTCTGGATTCATGGAAGATGAGCTGTTATATGTCGAAAGAATTGCAACAGATACAACAAACAAATCTGTGTTCCCAACAGTCGTTGGTCTTCCAATATTTATCAAAAATACTCATGATTCTTTAATGTACACGCAAAGTAAGATCAATGCGGAGGACATGAGTAAGTATGAGGTACCAAAGCTAGTTACAGAGTCATTTAACTCGTTATGTGTTTCCATTGTAGGCTTTCTATCTGATCAGGTGGATGAGAAGGTTGTATCAGGAAAACAAAAGAGTGCACTATCAACAGACCAATTGGCACACTCAATTACCCTTCTACAGAATACAAATTGGCTAATTGAACTTCTAACCATGTTAAACGGGCCATTAAAAGGTACATTTGATCAGCCAATCCAAGAAAGCAAGAAAATCTTTGATGTTGAGAAGGATGTATATGCAAACTTTTTGCTACAAGAAGCAATTCCAAAATTAACATCTTTTGTTCGCGGGGCCATGAATGTCGTAGAGACAAGTCCAAACCAGGCCACAAGCCCAGCCATATGGGGTGCATATAGTAAAAGTAACCTACAAAATATATTAACATCTTACAACTCAAAAGAGATCAGTGTGTTGGCTACCAAACTTCATAAATGGTTATTGAAACACTTCTCCTCCGGACAACCTGATATTCTGAGAGACAATCTTTGTGACAAGTTGTGGTCGTGCCTGCAAGGCCAAACCGTGTCTCTGTACCTGAGATTATACACTATAATAGATAAATATTACAAGGGTACACATGTTAAATTCACAAAGAATGATATTATCACCGCATTTGAATTGTTCAAAGAAGCACCATGAGTTTTTGCTTACATCAATTAACAAATATACACATACAAATACTTATATAATCATTTAAATAGCAACTTTCGAATAAACTTATGAATAATGCATGTGTTTCAACCACGATCGCCCATCGATTCTCCAAATTGTAACTACACTGGGGTATATTTCTATTACATAAAAAGTTTGGTCATTTCTCATATGCGCCTTAACTTATCCACACCTTTTACAAAGTTCATTGAATTTAGCGTTTAAAATTTTTTGAAAAATAAAGCTTCATCGAAAAATATTGAAGAAGTATAAGTTATAAGATAGGAAAAGAAATGCAATGCACAGAAGATACACCTTCCCTAGCAGCTCGAAAAATAAATTGAAGTAACATAAAATCGTTCAACCATGTTTAAAAAGTATGCATATTTACTTGGGAATAATGAATTCCATTATTCGAGCCTTCTTTACGCTATTCTGTTCGAGCTGAACATATACTAACATATATACTATTACGTTGTACAGATTTACGAGAGATGATATACATTCACGTTCTAACGTGAAATCCTCTATCCAAAGAACTCTTAAGACAAAGTTAGTTAACCAATATCCTAAATTGGAGCCTGTTATTGATGAACTAATTCCAAAAAAGAGCCAAGTGGAGGTAATCAAGTGTGAGGATAAGATTCAATTATATGCTGTGAACGGTGAAGTGCTATTCTTCCAACAATTCGACGAATTAATTCCTAGTTTAAGACTTGTTCATAAATTCCCAGAAGCTTACCCAATAGTTCAAGTGGATAGGGGTGCCATTAAATTTGTTCTTTCTGGTGCAAACATCATGTGTCCTGGGTTGACATCCCCTGGTGCCGGCCTACCAGACGCCCCTGGGTTTGAAAAGGACAGTGTGGTTATAATTAAGGCTGAGAACAAAGATAGTGCATTGGCCATTGGCCGTTTGTTGATGAGCACCGAAGATATCAAATCTATTAATAAGGGCCATGGTGTTGAATTGATCCATCATCTAGGTGATCCATTGTGGAACTTCACCATCGAATAAATAACAGAATATTAATTTTCTATAATTTTCTATAAAATTCTTCTATATAAGAATACTACTTATTTGAGCATAACGTATATGTCAGAGCCGTTTGTTAAACCTAAGTCACTAACGAGCGAAAAGTTACGGGATATTTCTACCATACTTTCAGTTTCACTTGTAGGCTCATATAATACTTTCATTTGAAGAATAGGTACACCAACATGTTTGCTAATGATACTCTTCATATAACGGATTGTACTATTAGGAAGAATATTGATTTCAAAATGGTCATCCTCATTATTGTAATGAATATACAATTTGAAAATTTCCAAATCATTTAACAAACCAATTTCTGTAGACACATGTAGTAAACTTTTGTCTATCTTCTCAGGTATCCCATATTTATCTTTAAAATATAACCACCTGGTTGTATCTTTGGTTAATTTTACAGAATTTGAAAGAATAGCAGATAACAAATACAATTCTGCTTCTTCTTTTATCACTTTGGTCAAATGGGAACCATCCAGGACGTCTAAATTGTTAAACCTTGCGAGAACATTTAAAAACATCTTTTTGTTGCTATCTAACAGATTAGTTTCAGAAATATCTGCTGATAAAATAGGATTATCATTGATGCGGAGGGATTTGAGTTGAAGGAAAGTCTCATTTAACTGATCGATTGATTCCCAATTATTGATTGCGTTGTGGGACAAATCAAGCTGAGCCAATGAGGACTCTCGACTAGCGTGCTTAGCTGATAGCAATATCACTGATCTTATCTTATTATGTGACAAATTTAAATATTCTAATTTCCAATCAGTCAACCCTAATGGCAGTTCATCTAACCCAACATTAAAAAGTGATAAATGGTTTACATATTTTGGCAGCTGAAAAGCAACGTTTCTCAATTCTGATAAGTTGTTACCCCCTAAATCGAGTGACTCTAAAAGTGGGAAATGTGCCACAATATATCCAATACATTTGATGGTTATATCACAACCAGATAATGAAAGGTGTTTTACGCTATTATATATCTTGATCTCACCCGGATTAGGGACATGAGGTTTAAATTTATTACCGCCTATTTTTAATGTGGACAGGCTTGGCATATACTCCAATAGCTCTAAAATATCTCCAAAATTTGAAATAAGGTTATTAGATATATTCAAGTTCTTCAAATTCTTGAAAGGATTAGTTATTGTACGAATACCCTCTTCTGGGGTGGACAGACAGGATATGGATTTTTTTTCCAATGAAATCGATTCTAACGAACTAATCTCCTGATTTCTACTGTTCAGCTCCTCAAATCCTAAGTATTCAATATTCTTTGAGCTAATCCGAAGAGACTGGTCGATTACAGTCGAAGTTCCATATATATCATATACAGCTTCGAGGAATCCTCTTTGCTTTACTCTTTCCACTTTAGACCACTTGAGAAAAGATCCAGAGTTCTCTTTAGTGGTACTAAAGTATCTGTGTCCATTTAAAGTACCTGAATGTTTCCCTCTATTGGTATCATCCCACTCGACACCAAATGCCAGCTCGTCTTTCCACACATCTATATAACCAATATATCTCACAGTGCAAATATCATCACCAATCTGTAATCTATCACCAATATGATATCGCTCCATGATACATTATCTTTGTAAATTGTGTGTCACTTCTACCTCTGCAATTCTATACCAATTCACTTCCCCCTCCTAAATCTTTTGTTGCGATTTTGGAAGTTATAAACTGAGGGCATAAATTACTGTATTTTACCAATCTACGTCACCTGAAAAAATAAAAATAAAAATAGGAAGGCGATGTGCTAGATAAGTTTATGTAATAAATTAATTTAAAATGAAAAAGGTTACGGTTATACTTATGTTATTTTCTTAATGTACATTTTATATATTGGTAGAATATAATATCCTATATGATTGTATAGATCTGCTTTAATCAAGCCATGTCAGCATCTTGGTCGTTTGCTGCACCGATTGCAGCATCCAAAGATCCGAATAGACCATCCAAATCAAACTCTTTAGACCACTCCGAAACAATGGTTGTCTGTTCAGCCTTAGAAGGGGCACTTTTAGTGCCAGTACTGGTACTAGTGGACACATTAGATTGGGAAGCATCTGGTGTTTCCTTGGAGGCGTTTGGTAAAACCCAACCAAGAATCTTACCGTCCCTCCAATCATTCAAGACTGACAAACCGGCACTAGCTAAGTTTGGAATACCACCTTTCCCTAATCTACCTCTCTTACGTGCAATGTAAATTAAAAAGTGCTTAGTGAATGTGTCTGCATCATTTGCAGGAATTGGTGGGATCTCGTACAATTTCTTGAAACTCTCAGTCATTTCGTTAGATTTTGATAATCTCTTGACCAGCATCAAGATAGCTGGATATGGATCCAGTATGAACTTTGGTGGAAGAGCACTTAGAAGTGCTAATTCTGCTTCTTGTTCAACCTTGGATTTGGCCTTGGTCTCTCCAGGGAAGCAAATACCAGGAGAGTCAAGAATCTTCAATTTGCTATCGATCTTGATTTCCCTCAAGGCAGTAGTGACACCAGGCTGGTTACCTGTAGGGCAAACCTTTGAAGGACCCCCACGACGAGAAGTAATGGCATTTATGATAGAAGACTTCCCAACATTTGGGTAACCAATGACACCGACGACAATTGATCTTTTCAAGTTGGAGTTGTTAGAGTACGTTTTTAAGGCCTCTAATAAAGCATTGGCCGTTGCTGATTGAGTTAACTTCTTATTGAAAGAGGTTGAATTTGTGGCACCAGGAGCAGCTCTGATTGGAATAGTTGGGAAACTAGATTTAAGAACATTCAACCATTGTTCTAAAACGTGTGGTGGAACTAAATCTACTTTGTTTAAAATCAGTATTAGACGCTTACCTTGACTTTGTAATACTTCTTGTTCGACCTTTCTAGATCTTGTCCCTTCCGGATCCCTAGCATCAAGAACATACAGGATGACATCAGAAGCATCCACAACAGTCTTAAATATCTTGTCATATGCTTTTCTGGATTGTTCTAACTCGGAATCACCTTCATCATCATCATCATCATAAAAGTTGATATCAAGGTCTCTGCTTTCATACTCGATTGGACCGTTCGCATTAGCAGTAGCTTCAGAAGTACCGTCGAAATCGGCAGCAGCTTGTTGAGCAAAATCTGCCAAAGCAGCTAAACCGGAATGTCCATCATCTTCATCTATGTCATCCTCATCCATAACTTCTTCACCGATAGCAAGAGCTTGTTCTCTGGCTCTTTTCTTTTCTTCTCTGGCAAGTCTTTTCTCTTCAAGGTCTCTTTGTTTCTTGGCCTCGATTTCTTCCAAGATTTTGTGTTTGTATGGGAAATTTGCTGGGATACCAGGATCTTTCTTGTGCTTAGATTTCCAGGTTACATCTGTCTTAGCAAACTTTCTTTCCTTTCTTCTGTGAGCAGTAGCCTTTTTTTGGATACCCTCTCTCATACGAGTAGAAGTTCTTTTTGATGTACGCTTTCTGACTCTCATTATGTTACTATTTTATAAGGCGATGATATATCAATGGTTTAATATATTAAACGACTAGGGATAACTTAACAACACTAGATATCATTCTTTATAAACTACACATTATGAGTAACCAATAAATCAATGATTTGTTATTATCGCAATGCTCATCTCATCGCAATTTGACAATTCAAAATTATTTTTTTCCGCACTCTGAAAATTTTCGCTTGAAGAGGTGTTACCCGTCTAAACTAAAAAAAAACTCATCTAAACGGTTCTTAATGTCACACTTAAATGGTAAAGAGACCTCACCTTACCTCACCTGTTAGAAGAACGAACAATGTCAGAGAAGTTATGCTATATTTTTTTCCTAACTTCTTCCTCAGGAAAAAAATGAGGTTATAAAATTACTTAGTATATATCATATTTATAAAGTAACAATCGATAAAGTTCTATTCAGGAGCTCTTCTGCCAACTATTGATTCTGAAATTTTGAGAAATCTGCCATCGAAAATGCAGCTCTCATATTGGCTGAAGATTGAGATGACTGAACACCTTGTGATAATGGTCTTCCGATAGTATCATCACTATCTTCAAGTGGAAGAGCAGGGTTCTGCTTTTTTGTATTAAGATTGAACATACTTTTACTTTTCAGCATGAATGCGGATTCTTTCAATTCTCTAAATCTACTACTCCCGAATTGGCCAGCCTCTAGGTCAGAGATGTCATTCGATGATCGACAATTCTCATACTTTGACTTGAGTTCGGAAATCTTATACCTTATATGAGCTACTATTTTACCGATAGATGACGAATTGAATGGAATATGCGATACTTTCCTTCCTACAAAGACATATATCACAAATCCTATTAAAATTAATATAAGTAGAAACTTAAGGAACCCAGCAGATGTATTGCTCACCATAAATCCATCACCAATAAGACCAGGAATGAACACTTTGTTGTCATCCTTTGCACTGCGTGAACTTGGAGCAATACCCACTCTAGCATTGCTTCCAACAGTAGGAACCATGCCAGACGCATATAACAAAATTCTACCCAACGTCCAAGATAAGTCTATCTCAACAACTTTATCTAGACTTTGAAACATTGGGTAGTCGTATATACCCTTTGATGTATCTAATCTACTACGGTCTTCTTGTGGCAGTTCGAAACCCTCGTGTAATATATTGATAATCCAATTACTCTTAAAACATGCGTCCTTTAGGTAGCTTTCTGGGATAGAGTTATATTTTCCATCTTTATTATTCTGCTCTATAGTTTTCCAGTCAGTATTACAGAATTCTTCGACTTTCGAACTAAATTTGATAAAACTGTATTCACCCCCAAGATTAAAAACATCGTTTGGGGTGTACCAAAATTCAGATATCCCTACAAACTTATCTTTCAGGAAGTCAATCTTGGGAATGTGAACACCATTGAATAAACAGCGTTCTTCTTGACAGGGTAAATTCTTCAATAATAACGGATATATGGATTTTGAGCATTGCTCAAAATTACCTAGCCCAGCAATCTTAAATTTTGTATCTTTAAATTCGAAATCGGTCTTACTTCCCTTTGGCATACATGGATCAGATAATGTACGTGTGGTGAAATCGTCATCATCATAGTTATTGGTGTTTTCTGGTAAAGCATTAATTAACTGTGCTAAGTATCTCTTTCTTGCCTGATTGGCCCCAAATCCTAGCCACGTACTAACAAAAACGTCCCATTCTTGGATATCCCCATTAAGACTCCGAAGATAAACAGTTGGAATTTCGTACTTGTATTTTGTTATTTCTTCTTTATCACTTGGAACAAATGCAATCTGAGCAGATGCTCCTCCCATATCCATAAATCCCATTGTAAAATGGCTCTTCTCATAGTCGTTGAAGTTGTTGAAGTTACCCAGCAGATAGTTTAAGCCAAGCCAGCCGTATATACCCTCGGTCTCTCCATCTATAATCTGAATTTGGGTATCACAGTCATCCATCTTGAACTTTGTAGATTTTTTAATTTTTATGCATAGGTCCTTTAAAATCTCTTCTCTCTTCTTTTTGGGTAGTAACCGCATACCAGCAGTTGCTTGTATGAATACAGGTGTACTACTTAATTTGTCATGCGGAACAATCTTCTCTGCTTCCTTCAGTAGGGGGTGAACGTGATCAGAGAATGCTTTATTTGTTTTATGCTCAAAACTTGATAATCCAGGATTCGCTTTAAATGTCCAATCCTTAGACTGTTCTATTTTGGGCACCGAATGTAACTCTTGTATATCATGTTGTGTCACATCAATTGTCGCTGGGTCGGTCCATCTAAATACATGCAACCTCGATCCAGACGAACCTGCATCTATAACAATCCCATAACAATCTTGTTCGTTTCCACTCGTGATCATTGTTACTCTCCTTTTATCCCTGTTGTGTGCTATTTCCATTTAAAACTGTTCTTATGTAACCTTTAACTTATAAAGAATGTTAGCTCCAGGAATTAACTTAGCATCGCGAAATAGGTTTTAATTTTTCTTCTTACTTCATAATATACTGAGGTGAAATAATTTCATGAAAAATTTCACAAAAGTAATGATTCATGCAACCCTAACTGTCTCACCAAGAAAAATAAACTCCTCATCAGTACTCATTTCACCTTCTTGCAAGCAGTTTCAGCTTCTAAAAATGTTATCCCTTTTATGGATACTCTTATAACACCAACTGATGCATCTTATCTATTAATTGAAACTCAACCAAAATTGAAATTTAATAAGTAGAAGTATTAACAAACCCATTTTGAGCAGTCTATAACATTCGTTGTTCTAACTTGTTAATTGATACATGTTTTGTTTGTTATTAAGATTTCAATATTAATGTATACTGAAATAACCTCTTTACATGTTTCACATGTTACAAAAAAGTATACCAAAACATTTGAAAGTTGAAATTTCTATCACCTATACTTTTCTGCTTATAACAAACCAAAACGATATATTTCACAATATTACTTATTCAAAAATTGAAGGCCAGTCGATTGGTTACCATATCAAAATAAAACAGAAATAACTCTTCGTTCGAAGCAACCTCATTGACTTCAACCTATCATAGATACTATTACTTATTTTTGTGGAAACAAATCATAAACGCCGGACTTCCTTGTACAACATAATAAAAAAAGATATAATAATTTATAGTAGGTACTCTTACACAATAGTACGTTGCTCAGTAACACCCTTGAAGTATTTTAAACGAGTATTAGTGCTATAAAATGGGGCATTCTTCTCAGAACTATTTAAAATTAACCATTAATACTTAAAATATGCATCTATTTAAAACAACCACGAAGTAGTCAAAAAGACATTAAAGAAGAAACAGATAATAACCCTAACTTTATTTAGGACCTAAACTGTGCTTAGAGTTACTACTATATAAAACTAATACCAATAAGATCTTCTGAAACTATATTGAGTATGACAACAAAGGCTTAATTTCTTCTCTTTAACAAAATATTCCATTTAGTATATATTCTATTTCGGTTACCGTGTACAATCTAAATTTTAGATTTTTCTTTAAAATTAAATCTTTAACATAGTTTATCACGTGCAAATATATATTGAAATTTAACTGTTTTTCATTTTTTTTAAAATTTTTGAACTGGATGCGAAAATTGATAAAAGTATAGGTTTGGGCATAATTTTTATGGTATGCTATTTTAGATATTAGGGGAAATAAAAAATAAAAGGATCTTATGACAGTAAATTTGAGTTGGTATAACATGGTGAGTGTTACCTCCAAGAGACCCAATATATTTTTTGGAATCGAATCAGAAGTAGACAGACAGCTGGTTACGAGGACCTTGTAGTTTAATTTAATTTAAATTTATCTAGAATTATAACTTTATGAACAAAACTATAGTACTAGAAATACAGTTTTTATGACTAGAATTATATTTTTCAAGGGGATTACCAAATGATAGTATTAAAAGAACCCCAAGAGTAAGTTTTTTCCTTGAAATTTATGCAAAATCCGTTTCTTAATATGCATCTCTTTCAGGCACAGTTACATATATTTTGTTTAAAAAAATACCTTTTTCAAACGTTATAAATTAGTTTACGTTTACGACTTAATGGATATGGGTGTCACTACTATTATTTATAAAGTTAGTAAATTCAAGTATGACGCATATTAAAAAGTTTGATATCCCAGCTCTTCTCATATCATTGAATAATGACGACCTAAATTGCTTTAATATATATCTTTTTAAATATTGGTGTACGCAATTGTTTAGTATCTATCCAAGTATTTTAAACGGTAGGAATAGTAGACAAATATTATTTGATTACCTGGGAGGGGTGGATGGATGAATGTATACAAAATAGTACTCCATTGAAATTGATAAGTTTTTTCGTTTTTAGTGTTTTATTTTTTCAGAACTGATTCGGTAATAATAGATTTCTTATTAGAAGTTTTTAGTTTAATATGCTGTACATTCTTCGTGATTTCTTTAGAACCGGAATTAGAAGATAAATAAAATATTACGCAACAATAATTTGCATTTTTTCATACCAATTTTAAATATGTTTGGTATAGATTTACTCTCTCATTTACACAAAAATCAGTTCTTCTCCGGTCGAGTAGGGCGTGCCTCTTTTATTATCCTCAAAGACTTATATCAAGTCGTATGGTTTCTATTATTCTGCTCTTTAATATGGTCATGCCATTATGCTATAGAGAATTAGAGTGCCCCAAAATGTATAATATTTAGAACCTAACTAGATCCTTAAATATTGTGATAAATATACAACTAACTACATAAGAATGATTCCTTAAAACCGGAAAATATCATACTTAGATATCTTCTAAATTTAAAAGATAATTGGAAAGTGAGCCAAAAAATTGCCTAAGTCATTAGAACAAAAAATAAAATGCAAAACAAAAAAAAGGAAGGGACCAAAAAAAGGGATCAAATAAGAATGTATTAATTTATATTATGAAGTATTTAAAAAAATCCAGAAAACTGCAGTGATCTTGTATAAATTGCAAACTTTAGAAAAGTGTTTGTCAACCCCATTTTTCTATTTATCATAGAAATTTTACCAGGGAAGATATATAGTCCTATGCCATATCATATGATAAAAAACTTTTTTCAGAGAGTAACTGCAAGACCAATTAGTTGTTTCAATTTTTTAGAAAGACTCCATTTTCCTATTTGTCCAGAGTCAATTAACTTTATAGAAATAACCTCGATATTTTTTTTTTCTCACAATATATTGTTCCAAGCCATATTTATTTACTTCAGCATTCGGACAAGTGAAGCTTATTCCGATGTGTTTTTATTGTCAAGTATTTTTATGTCTCTTTTAGATATTATGGGTTAATAAAGTAGAAATTTCAGTTTGTTTAACCCATTATAAGAATTTGGAAGCTATATGTTCTAATACAGTTATAAGAAGGTTATAATTAATATTAGCTCCGTTGACACTGACGAAATAATTCGAAGCTATAAAAAAAATATCTAAGACTATGGAAGGGAAGTAAGATCATACTTATTATGAATTGTACTCTATACCCCCTGTAGCCATATTAACAGTGCTATCAATGTTTTGGGCCCAATTTAAGAAATATAGTAATACATTTTAGTGGATTATGTACCAGTAGGATTATCAGTAAATCGATAATAAATGTAAACTTGCTGTAAACAATTTATTTGAAATTAAAGTTACTAGTTATGTGGAAGTGAACTGTGGTCCTTAAAAAACCCGCTTAAACGGTCTAATAAAGTGAAAATCAAAATAGCTATACTTTCTATTTTAGTATGTTCAAGTTTTTTGGTGATACACTTTCATCAATTTTGGAAATTTTAACAAACACAACTAAACCAAAAAAAACAAAACATTTCTTTTTAAAAGATCACGATTGTCCCAATAAAACCTTTCAATTGACGAATCATAAGAGATTGATCTTTTTTAACTACGAGAGGCTAAAGAAGCAACGTAATCTAGAAACAAAAAAAAAGTGGGAACACTAAATATATTAACAAATAAGTTTACTGGAATTCAAGAGCGATTGTAATAGCGGCAGGAATATGTAAAATACTTTAAAATGAACTGAAGAAGAAAATTTATCCTTTTATGCAGGGGATCGAAGTATTCAGACACTCAAATTAATTTACTAAATTTCCCCAAAACAATAATATGAAGAATATTGGAATTTCCAACCCTGTGAAATTATTTCATTTTCTATTTATTTATCAGGGTGTCTATTCTATTATAGTTCCATAACCACATGTAAATAAAATAATTGAACTGCAACTAAATAAAATAGATGATACATTGTTCTATTTATTTAATACTTAGTACTTACTGTCGGAATGATTATCTAACACAATAGATAGTTTCATATCATTTAAAATTTATGAAACCATCATTACGAAACCTTGAGAAACAAGGAATAAGTTTATCTATTATGTAATCTACGATACATTTCTGATACCTATAGCTATGGGTATGTTAGTTTAATATATATTTTCCTAAATTACGATGTTTTACCTATTTTGAAAAAAGAATGGCCGTAAATGGAAATGAGTGGTGGATGATGGAGGGGTAGTACCAAAAAATACATATCGGAGACCATTACTTTTAAGATGGATAGCAAACAACAAAAGATATTGTTAATATATATATATATATATATTTTAAAAAAACAATAAGGAATAACAATTCATTCATTTAACAATAAAACAAATAGCGATAAAAAATTAAGGTTCCTAATTCATGATTATAGTACTACTATTAGAGACACAATCTTAAAACTCAAATACATATAACCTTTATGGAAAAGGCTTACCAAAAAGGGAGGTCTCTCAAATGATATTATGTTACATCCCTATTATCTACCGTTTATAGTTCTTTTAGACAATAATATAAAAGTAAACACCTTCATATACACATATATTTACACGTCGCACACTTTTATAATATTGTTTATTCATGGGGAAATACTTTAGACGGTGGAAGTATATCAACGCCAGAACTAAGTAGTTAACTAAAGTCTTGTGCTTGGTTCATATTATATCAAGTGAACCATACTACGGCAAATATGTTCTAAATAGTGTGGGTAACCTTTGAATAATTATGATAGAAGGTAGATAATGGCAATTACCATAGAATAAGAGAAAAAAAGTAGGAAAAGAAAACACCTCACTATATTATAAAGCCCCTAAGAATGATGACATAGAAGTAAAATGACTATTTTATGATATTCATCCTGTTAATTCCGAAAGGACCTAACGAAATTAAAAATTATATTTTTTCGAATTACTTGAATAGTCAGTCGTCTTAATCTTAACAATAGTTCTTAATCCCGAAAATAGAGATAAAAATCAACTAAAGAACGCACTCTTATTTAAATTAGGATTAAAGTTATCTGTGTTATAATTGAATAGGGT